CTAGAGAAGCTCTAAATGCTCGAAAGTCTAATTCTCCTTATTTTAATTGGAGTAAAAAGTATAAATTTGTGTACACAATGAAGAAATCAATTGGCCCACAACAAAGTCCTTTGCTGAAATCAAATAATTCTTAACCAAACTTAAAAATATCATAATAGTAGTAACGAAATATATAATATAGGCAAAACTCAAGAAAAATATAACAATAAAATGTGCTTAAATCGAGAGGGTTCATGTCACCTAAAATTATTAGTTAAGAAAGGAATGATTAGAAAATATAGGTGAAAAGCAATGGAAATCACATGAAAACACAACCACATTCTCATCAAAATTCATAATCAAAAATCAAATCAATAGAAAATGTATTGGATGAATTTACAATCACATGTACTTAGATATATTATCATTACTCAAAGCCCCTAAGCAGCTATTATAATAAGACATTTTAAAAACTTTACCTTTTTCTGCATCCACCAAGGCAGATCAAAATTTGAAATAAAAAGCGTAATAAGCAATCCAGGAAATCAAATAGAAATAATCATTGGATTTATTATCGAGATTGAACATTTAAAAGACTTTAGCAATCTAAAGTGCCAAAAATTAATCTTAATAAATACCAACCTTAGGGCAATTAGAAGCCCAGTTAAAAGTTCATTAGAAATCTAACAGTGCCTAATTTATTGAAACATAAAAATTTTAAACCCATGCTAGTTCTTAACCTCTGATTGAATTCACTCCAGATAAAAAAAAGCCAACGACTACTAGGTAATAAATTAATTAACTTAGAAAATGTCAATAAGATTTAATGGCAATAATTATTTAGTATAAGTCATTTAAATAAAAAATGACTATTGATATCTCGACCAACAAAATATCTTGGCTTGTGGAAACAATTAAATAAGAAATGATGAATCATTTTGGAAATACATTTTAACCCATAATTGGAATTAAAACTACTAATATTTCTATTCCTGTTGATTATATTCTATCTAAGATTGAAAGGCCTTTGTCTTTATTATCGAATTGTCCAGTATAACCATTGATTATTGAACCAATGATTAATGTAGAATAGGAAATGAAATAATCTCGAGTTAGTTTGAAGGATTTCGAATTTATTCGATGTATAGGAGTTGGAGGATTCTCTAAAGTTTATTTAGTAAGAGAAAAGAAGACTGGCTAATTTTATGCAATGAAATTGATTGAGAAAAAGCCTATCCTGTAACAAAACAAATAGAACATAATTCAAAACGAGAGAGATATCATGTATAATTTAAATCATCCCTTTATTGTTAAAATGCAATATGCATTTGAATCTAGAAAATACTTGGTTTTTGTATTAGAATATTGTTCAGGAGGAGAATTATTTTATCTCTTAAGAAAAGTAATATTTTAAATTTAAGTTAGGTTAAAAGGATGAGTGAAGAAGAAGCCTTTTTTTATTTTGCAGAAATCTGTTTGGGAATGAAGAATTTACATGATAATAATATTATTTATAGAGACATCAAACCTGAAAACATTTTAATTGACTTTGATGGGCATGTTCGAATAGCAGATTTTGGTTTATCAAAGCCTCATATGGAAAATTAGGAAGTGGCATATTCATTTTGTGGATCTCCTGAGTATATGGCGCCTGAAATGTTATTAAAATAAGGTCATACATTTTAATTGGATCTTTATTGTCTAGGAGCCTTATTATATGAATTAATAACTGGTTTACCACCATTTTATTCAAGAAATACAGATGAAATCTATTAGAAAATCCTAAATTAAAAATTGAGTTTTCCACCTTAATTATAAATGTCATAACTCTTAAAAGATTTGTTGAACAATTTATTAGCAAAGACTCCAAAAAAAAGAATAGATAATATTGACTCTCTTTTAAAACACCCATGGATGACTTAATGGAGTGATAAAAATCTATATAAAGACTTTTTAATGAAAAAGATTGATCCTCCATTCAAACCAGATTACTTTTCATTCAATTTCGATGAGGAAGAATTTGGGAAAGGAGAAAACGAATTTCTTTTGCAAATAAAACCATTGCAATTAAATTTGTTAGAAAATTTTCCAAAAGAAATATTCCTTAAGAATTTTTATTATAATCAAAATGAAAACCATTTTGTAGAAAGCACTGGTGGTACAAATTTAAACTTGAAATTGCAAGAGGAAATATTATAGCAAGGAACATAGAGACAGAAGTCTAAGAGACTCAATACTTTTGATGATGAAAATACAAATTATGTTAACGACTAAAAAGTCTTCATATTAAATTAATTAAGATTATAAACGGAGAATGAAATAAAAAGAAAATCTGCATTATGAATATTAAATATTAGATGTATTTTTTTATGCTTTTTACTTTAATAAATGTACTTTCAGAATCATTATTATCTTCTTTATCCTCTTCTTGGTTATTTTTATTATTTTTCTTCGACAACAGGCTCATCAATGGGAATGTCAATTTCCAAACCAGCTTTTTCAAGCATTCTTTTAACATCTTGATCTCCTCTAAGATTGTCAATATCAACAGATGATTTTTCAGGGACGTAGTCCAATCTTCTCTCTCTTTCTTCTTCTTAAATCTATAGTTTGAAATGTGAACATTACTTTGAGTGAGATGCCCTTTACTGATCCAGTTTAGATTCTCTTCAAAAGATGTGTTGCGAATCCAGCAATTTTATTTCTCAATTTTTTTGATGGTACTTATCCAACTTCTGAGAGAATCTTTTTATTGAAATGAAAATCGGAAGTGAGTTTCATGTAGTATTTTTCAATGAGGACTTTAGCTGCCTTTCTTTACTGTCTTATTTCTAACTCTTCCCATGAATGAATTTGAAAAAAATTTATATCTTTAATTTATGAAAAATAAATCACAGCAAAACATTAAAAATGCATTTAATACATAAATTCTTAATTCTTTTTTGCTATTGACTTTGAATACATACATTATGATAATCCTTAAACACTTAATAAAGTATTTATTAGTTAAGTGATAAATATTTTAATTTCTATATATTTATTAATGTTGATAGTACAGGTTAGAACACCGAAAATAAAAATGGCAACACATCGAGCATAAAATAGTTAACCATCAATGCTTAATTATGGTAATCTAAATAGTTTCCATGAATTTTTTCAAAATTAATCAAGAAGCTTACAAAAAGGCGAAGGTACAAAGGATAGTAGATGCAAAACTGAATCAACATAAATTGAATTAAAAGCTAATCATGCACATAAAATATCAAGTTAATCAACAACAATCAGTTTAACAAACAGCACTAGTTATAATTAGAGATTATCTAAACAAAATTAAAAATCTAACAGTAGTCATAAAATAATAGAAAAAATATTACCGAAATCTGTCAATCCATTTTAAGAAGATGAAGGCACAGTTAATCAAAAATTATAATCTTAGTTAAAGAAATTATTAATCAAAACTAAAGATATCATCAATTCATATGAAATCACTTAAAAAAAGTAATAAATAACAGAATCATAATTAAAGCAAGAAATTGTTTAACTTAAAAAGATAATAGAAAATTAATAAAAATAACTCAAAAAACATAGTATCTAATATTGAAATGTTAGTCTGAGCAGGATTTTTTCCTTTTACTTCCTAAATGATTTTTATAAATATAGCTATATAAATTAATAAATTACTCTAATGGGAAATACAATTTAACATAAAAGGAGAAATCCAGCTAATTGTCTGGGATGCATGGCTTAGGATCACGAGACGTTTGATCCGAACGAATTGCAAATTGGACTTGAAGTAGACAAAGCTAGAGGTTAGTAATTGAATATTTTTAAAGGTCGAATCACATAACAGTCAACTGCTTATCTAACAGAAAATGAGAAGAACTTTTTCAAGGCAGCATCAGGACGTAATTTAGGGTTAATTCGATTCTACTTAAATAATGGGATTAACATCAACATTTTGGATGAAGATAGAACATCTCCCTTGTAAAAATTGAGTTTATAAGTATTTACTTAGACATATAGCATCCAGATATGGATCAATTCAAGTAGTCTAAGAACTTATTAATAATAATGCTAATATAGATATCACAGATATGGCAGGATGGACTCGTATAGATTATTGTCTAAATTTAAGCATTACATGTAGCAGCTTTTTACTAAAGAGCTTAGGTTTGTTCAGTCTTACTAAAAGCAGGTGCAGATCCAAAAATAAGAAATCGAGAAGGCAATCTGGCATAAGATTTAGTAAGGGACAAAATGACCTCAGAAATATTTAAATCATCTATAGAGATATAGAATTCATTTGTCGAGAGACAAGTTAAGAGAATTGATCCTGCATAAAGATAACATGAGGAATATTTTTAGTTTCTCAAACAATAAAGACTGTAAACTGAATTTCTGATATTAGAAAAAGTTAGGAATGTAACAGTCTATGTGAGAAAGTGTCATAAGGAAAACTCATAAGTCCAAATTTATCTCCGACTAAATTGATTTCAAAAGAAAAAGAGAATTAAGGATTTTAAGATTCAATAAGTAGATCCATAATTTCTGAGAATGAACACAAAGACATTTAGGATTGTTATAAGGATCTGTCTTCTAAAATTAATCGTAATATAATCTCTCACTAAAATTCAATCCCTAGATCTTTTGATGAAATGGTATAAAATCAATTGTATAATTTTAGTATTCTTTAAACCAGTTAGTGCTTTTGTAAAATTCATCCAGAGAACTTGTCGCCTTTCTCGATTAAGTTAAACTAATTAAGCATGATTACAATTCTGAAAATTTATCACTAGATTTATTCAACCACTCTTCCATTATTGGTATATCATTTATGATTGCTACTTAAATGATCAAACCTACTCCCTAATCCATCATTAACTGGCTATTCTAAGATATTGAATTAAAAAACAAAGTGCAAATATCAAAGTACTATAGAATTATATTTATATAGATTATTATGCAACATCAATTTGCAAGAATAATAACTAATTCTAAAATTATTTGTTGATAAAATAGTAATGACTGACAATCTAATTGATTCTTTATAAGGATTATTCAATAAATTGCTAGTTCAGAATGATCCATTTATATTAGACATTCTGGTTAAAGAATTTAGTCGGCGGTTTTATGAATTTAATTTTCACAATTCAAAAGCTCAGACTTTTCCATTCAAATCGGAAGAATCATTACATATGTTTACATTTGCCCTTGTTATTTTGGACGTTCAAAGTGATAAATATGATAAAGAAAATGCTTTCAAATGTTTTTTCTAAAACATCTAAACTATTAACAATGGAGATAACTTGAGTTCAAAATTTATTTAATCAATCATTGAGTAATTGTAATCTTAATAGATTGTAAAATTATGTGAATAGCAAATTGATAATTCATTGTATCATGTTTTCAATCATTATTGTACTCCTATGCTATTGAAAGAATAAAAAGAAGTATTTTATAATTATATTATAGATCCGATCTGAGAAATGGAAATTATATATCATTAGCGATGTTTGCATCTTGATTGCTGATGGAAAGATGAAAATTCTGTCTAGTTCAAAGTGTGACATTATTATGAATAAATAAGAAGTCACTATTTAAGGGAAGTAGAATTCTTAATTAATCTATTTTGTTTGCAAAGATGATCAAACTTTCATTTTAAAAATAAAGAATAAGAAATTCAGATTTGTTAATCTTTAATGATACTATTTAAAATGTATTTATTTATTAATCACATTTTAATAAATATGTTATTAATATTGTATTTTGCATTAATCAAAGCATAAATATATACCCACACATTTTTAATATTAGATTAATAAAATAGTGTAAGAATTATTTTATCATTTACAGATAGGATTACCAAATTATTTGAATAGATAATTGATAAGTACAAGTCACAATTATATCCCAAATTTACAAGATTAAGAGATTAAGAAGAATATTTTGAATTCTAATTTTTCTAATTATTTCAATAACACAAGATTTTCATATGGAAAAACAAAATTAAACCCAGAAATAACATATGTTAAAAATTAAGCTATTGTTGTTTATTATCAATATTAGAACTTATTGTCTAATAGTGAATTAAAGGAATAGTATAATGAATTGAAAAAGTATTATTTTACTGACGAATTTTATATTATCATACATCATAAGGTTGATAAACACTTAACAGAAAACATTTTGTTCTCAACAAACCCAGTTAAGTATATTAAAGAATTTTCTTAAAACTTGGATTTCATTGAATTTCAATAATAGTATAATTTCACAAATGAAGTAATTAAACTAGTTAACAACAAAAGCTAGTGTTAGGATTTACAATCATATATGTCTTCAATTAAAGATTATAATTAGTTTAAAGAAATCAAGGGCAAATTTCAATAAATTAATCAAATTTAATCTTGGATTGATGGTTGGATTATTAGCAATAACACAGAGTTTGCTTAATTGTTGTTTGATTAACATATTACAGCAATTGAAGAATTATTGAATCAATTTTAGACATCTTGTTAATAGAGCGATTAAATATTTTAATTGAATTTTGATAATTACTAATATACAATAATATCTATTTGCTTGATAATGTTCATAGTAATAAAGCATTTTGCTAAACAATTCACATTTAATGATGATAAAGATAAGTTTGTTTGATCGAATATTTTTGTGTTTAAATGAGATTTATAATATAATATAGAATAATAGCAATATCATCATTTATTTAATAGCAATTTAGCATCATCCTTACTTGTTGTCAGATATTCAAATCTTTTTTATTTCTCTGTAAACTATATTGGAATTAATCTATTTTTGTTCACCGCATATTCATTCGATGATAGCTCCTCTATAATTTAAAGACAGATTGATAATAATAATAATAATAGTTTTATATTATTTACCAAATAGGCTTTAAATAGAAACAATACCTTTTGTAAAATTAAATAAATTCGGTAAAGACTTTGAATTAATTTTGATGTTTGGTTATTTTATTTCTTGAAAGAAAGGATGCAGTAGAATTTCAAATGCAGATATACTTTAATTAGGATCATAAACAAAGATTTTTTCTAATAAATCTACCAATTAATCATTTTAAATTTCTTAAAACCGTTTAGACATTGAAAACTTAGGAGTTTCAGGCATTTTTAGATTTAATATTTAAGACTTTAGATTTTTTATCTCTTCAAGAGTAGGTGTTCCAAGTAATCTTATAATATCTGCCATGGTTTCAACAGTATTAGATTCATTGAACAGTTATTTGCCTAAAAGTATTCTGCTATGATACACCCCAAACTCCAATATCAACTTATTAACTATATAATTTAGATCCTAATAATAATTCAGGAGCTCGGTAATTGTGTTCACCAACATAAATTAGAGAAGGAATGGAAGTGAACAATTGTTTGGCACTGTTAAAATCACAGAGTTAGACACTTAGTGTTCAACATCAATTAATATATTTCTTGGGTTGAGATCTCTATGAGTAATGTTTTTATGATGCAAATAAGATATGAACAGGATCAGAGTAATTAATCAATTTGGTTGTATCAATAAGCGGCTTAGTAATATCAATAGAAGCTAATTGAGGTTAAAATTTAGAGTTTCTTTTAAATAGACTGATTTAATCAAGAAACATTATTAAAATATATAAAATTTAATGTAATAAACTAATGTACATCCACAAGTGCTATTAAGCATCTCTTCATAAATTTTGGCCAACAAAGTCAATTTCCCTGGCAAAACTCTTCATGCAGGGATATTGTTGGGTTTCTACAATGCCAAGATTAATAAGACTGATATCTTGGATTCATTTGAGATAAGTTATTCAGGTAAGGAAGAATTGACTCAAAATGAGGTTGAATTTTTGAAGGAAAGATAATAACTGCGTTTAAAAGGAGATAAGTGGAACCTGTTTAAAAATTTGGATATAGTAGGTTTAATTAACAATTGCTATTATAGGATGGTATATCACAGATAGTAATCCACATAATTATTTAAAATTACATACGTAGATTTAAACATCGTCTGAAGCAGAAATTTCAGAAAATCAAACTTCTTTCTTTAAATATCTATTGTGCTTCGATCCACTTAGTACTTAAACGACTTTATTTGAACTTGAGGATAATAAAATGCAAGTATCCTAAAGTAAGATTGAGCCGCAATCAGAAGAAATGATTGGCATCACATCATTGTTTTCATAATAAAAATCAAATAAAAAGTATGACTTAAGAGTTAATTCATAACTTTAAATGATTTCATTCTTAGAAGTATTAGAATATTGTATAATCCTTTTAGAAAATGTTATAAAAATTACTGGAATCCTTAGATAATCCATAAATCATAAATAATCCTCTGGCTTTACTAAAGATAAATGAAGTGATAATTTCATTTCCTTAAGTTAACCAATAAAACATTGAATAGGACTACTTTAAGCTATTAATAATCAGTTATTATTGTGCAATTTTAAAGATGGATGTATAAAGAAATAAATCATTAAATTGATAAAGTAAATAGAATAAAAATTATAATCAAATCAATAAAACAAACTAAGTTAAAGTAATAATTCCGATATCTCCTCTTTATTATTAATATGAGTGTAATTAAACATGATGTTGATGTATTAAATAGCAAACTCTTATTGTTTGGGATTTTCTAGATTGAATATCCTAAATATTTTATTGGATCTATTCTCTATAATTAACTTTGCTTCATCCACTTTGTTACTTAACTCAATCATATTTAAACAGCTAGATCGTTGTACATCAGCGAAATTGTCCCATATATTCTTCTCAAAATTAAAGAATGTAGTTTCATCTTAATTTTAAACAGATAAATAATCCGCTTTCAAAGAAGATGTGTAATTAGTTTTACATTGAGAAGATAGTGTATTTGAAATTTTGGTTTAATTTTCGTCATTTTCTTCCAAAAGTAATTTTGAGAGAGTGTTGCTTGAAACCTTATCTTAAATAATTTACTCTTTTAAATATTTCTTCGTGACCTTGAATTATTCTTTTAAAATCAGAGACAATTAAAATTCAATATATTTAAAAACCGATGGATAAATATAATAAATGAGTATTTATTCATTTACTAGTTGATTTAAGAATCTATTTTCCTTTACATACTTAAGTATTGCTTCAACTTTGTTATTAAATGATCTATCAAATTCTTCATTTAACAATTCTAATAGTTAGTTTAAGAAATCTTGAAACCCATTTGAATAAGTAAGTCCTACATTTCCTAAATAAGTTAATTGATATTCGTTAGTTGATATCTCAATAAAATCTTTAAAATATTGAATTAATTCTTTATTTTTTTTATTATGTAATAGATCCTAGATTTAATGCTTATTCAATCTAGGTTAAATATTGTTTCCCCATATTTTATACATGAATTATTAAAAAGAGAAATCAAATGGAATTTTTTGATATTGACCATCATTCATAAATTCAAAAGGAAAAATAGAGCTCAGAACATTGATATTTTGTTTGTATTGTTTCCAGAGAAGAGAATAAAAGAGCATATAATATTTTGCATTGATTCTTGAAAGAAATAACTTAACCTTTTAGCAATAAATATCAGTTGTGTTAAATAGGTTAAGAATCTCAAATATAAAAGTGTTATTTTTGTATTCATCCTTAACAATATAATTTCTAAGCTCTTCAAAATTGTAAAATCTGAAACTTCTAAAAAAAAGTGACTGTGATTTATATAATTGGCAATCATTCCGAATTTTAGAACAATTTAATTATTGTTCTTATTGGAATTTGTGTCTTTGAGTTTCTAGTATTGATTCTTCCTAAATATTATTAAGGAGGATATTATAAAGTAATTAGTATTCTTTAGGAATTTTATCTTTAATCAGTCTTGTCCGTATGGAGTGCAATTCACTAGATATTTGATCAGATAGATTTTATTTACTCACTCTATGATAAAGCTAATAAAGATTCTTTATTTCAATTTCTTCTTTCTTACATACTGCAGATCCCATTCAAGTATGAAACTTAAATTTAATTATATTTGATATAATGTGAATAAAATTGTTTTAACTTTTTTATATTTATAGAACAGTCTATAAATTAATCACGGATAGTAAATATTTTATTCTCAAAAACTGTAATGGGGGTCAATTATAAATATTTAAATTATTGAAGATCAAATTAAATTTTAAATCTGCGTTTAGAAAATTGGGATAACAAGGCTTGTAAATAATATATAGTTATTTTACAGAATTGTAAATGGAAAATAATTAATGAATATGTAATTAAGCATAATTCATTATTTAATAATTCATAACTAATAAATAACAAATTTAATCTTAATTTTATTACATATTGGCATATAAATGTCGTATCATTCATAACTATATAGATGTTATAAATTGACAATTAAATGTCCATGTGAATTGGCCAACCTGATAATATATTTTTACAAGATTATTGGATTTTTATAAGCGTTTTGAGTTACCTACCTATTTACATATACAATTTGTTATACAGCAAATTCTATACAAAGTATTTTAAGAAATAAACGTCGAGATGGACATACGTGATGATGTGTGATAGATTGGAGAAAAAAGATGTCAAGTGTGATACGCATCCTGGATGTTGGAGTAGGCACAGGACACCCAATGAAACAGATAATAAATAGGATTCCTTTAAGAATTTTTGCTGTTGGGATAGATATAGATACAAATTAATTGAGGTAAAATAAAGTATCCAAATCCTAGATATGTAAGGCAAACTTTTAAGTAGAATGAAAATGTAGAAATAAGAGAATAAGACTTTTATGATTTGCAAAACACAAAAGAATAATATGAGGCTGTGATATTCTCCTCATCTTTCATGATTATGCCTGACAGATAGAGAGCTTTGAAAATTGCAAAACAAAGATTGAGCAAAGGAGGTTCTATCTTCTTTTGTTGACCATGGAACATTATAGAAACTATAAGACAGTGATCATACAAAAATTAAGCCTTACTTAAAATACATCTCGACCATTGATTTCGGAAGTATTACTTATGAAAAGGATTTCGAAATCATACTAAATTAAGAAGGACTATAAATAATATCTAAAGAAAAGTTGCTAAATATAGTGTATTTTTAGCCATATTTAATATGTTTGTGGTAGAGGCAGAAGTAATTTGAATATTCATTAATTTTTATTAATACTAATTCTTTTGTTGAATCGTACACTTTATGGCTCAATCCATCATTAACTCTTTATCATTAATATTATTATTATTATTAATATGAAATCCACTAATACTTATTAATACATTACTAATAATTCACATTAAGAACTTATTGATTATTTGAAATAAGAAAACAAACAGTTGACTGACCAACTCAAGGAGCTCAACAATCTCCTTCAACTCAACAAAAAGGCCTTAAAAATAATGACTCCTTAAAATAACGAAGAGTAAAATAAGGCCTTACTTATGGTCCTCAAGAATCTTTAAGAAGAAAATGCCAAATTAAACTCTTAAATAGAGAAACTTATAAATGAAAGAAATCAAGCTTAAAACTAAGTATTAATCAATTAATAAATCACTGAAGAAGCATAAAGACATGAAAAAGAATTAATTGTATCACTACAAAACAAAATTACTACATTATAAAATAATTTAAGCAAGGCCGAATCTTAATTATGCAAATTAGAATTTTTAAAGCCAGAATTTGATGAATAGTCTGGCATCCTGATTAAATATAAATAGATTACTGATACTAACAAAATCAATAAAGAATTTCATGATTAAATTGAAACACTTAATGATCTGTTGATTTTATAAATTAAAAAGAATAAAAAAATTGAGGCCTAAAAAAGGCAATTACAAGGCTTAAATCTAGTAAATTTTATTTTAAATTTAGAAATTGATTACAAATCTTATCTCAATAAAAAATGCTGCCTTGATATCAAATGGCAACAAAGTTATTTTATAACAACAACAGTAGATGGATCCATAGCCTAATCAATTAATTAAATGTACTTCTCTATTATAGTGTATTTAGTCTAATAAAATATCCTTTATGCAATGAAAAAGGATGAAAATATATATTCATCAGAATCAGAAGGTCTGTCTTCAGTTGATAATTCTCCTTTGGCATCACCCTTGCCAGTTAAACTAGAAAACTGCAAACCTTAATAAGAGAGTTAAAAGATTAAAAATGCATAGGATATTCCTAAACTTAATCTCAGCTAAGCAATAATAATATAGGAATTGAATGCCAAAAGATAAACTTAATAAGCATAAGATATGAGAAAGGCGACTGATGCAAACCTATTGGATAAATTGAAATAGTATGATTAAGCGTTAGAAGGACTCAAAAAGAACTACCAAAGAGAAATGACTTTGAATAAAACACTTGAAACTACCAATAATGAACTAGAAAGACATTGTGAAAATTTGGAAGTAATGTTAACTTTTTATGTTTCTAGAGTTAGATTTAAATCCTTATTAATTCTAATTTAAGATATTAAGAGAAATAGTAGAAAATAAATAAACAATACCATTTTCTGCAACAATTTTACTTAAATAAGAAAGATCAAGTCACAACTACTCAAAGTCATAACCATAGATTCTCATAAAGTCCTACTGAATTATCCTAAGAAATAGTATTAGATACTTCATTTATAGATGCGAATGAAGCAATTCTATCAAATGAATAGGAATTCAAAAACATTTAATATTAAATGATGCAACAATAATAGATTCAGTAATAGTTGTTATAGCAATAAAATTTTTGTTAATTTTATTTTGCAAATAATGTGGAGGATGCATAAAGATTCCTTTTAGGATTGGCTGAATAGATGTATAGTGGATTGTCAGAGAAAATTGAATTAATCATATAGGGTTAGAGTAAAGGGAGAAGAGAAAATGATAATAGAATAAGATCACTAAGTGATATAGTTGAATAATAAAATAGAGTATAGTATATACAATAGTAATGATAATAATGATTTAATGACTTGTATAGATGTGTTATAATGATATTAATACATCATTTCTTTCTATAAATTGTTATCTCTTGTTATTTAAAATATCTTCTATCATCTTCATCCACTAAAATCAAATTCAGGATGTATTTAACACTAAATTTGCCATTAACATTCTTAACAGATGGTGTTATATCAACTCCACTTAGATATAATCTGATTGGAATCACTTCTCCTTTTTATGGACAACCATCCATCAATTCGTATTTTACAAGTGTCTCATTGTCTGTCTATTGTTGTTGACCTTGACCATATTGTTCTTTTCTGATCACAGCCAATTCCATATATTTAATTTTGATTTTGACCAAATAGAAATTAACCTTTCCTGTTACGACATCTCTCAAATGATATTTACTCTTGAAATATTCAAAATCGATATGCAAACACTCTTCAATACCAACCTAATTTAAGATTTGATCTATACTTCTAATTTCAAAGATGTTTAGGGTTGTTCTTCTAATTCTGGTTAGGAGATTAATACTGCAAAATCCACTTCCTTTTATACTTTACCATAACTTCTGGTCATGTAAATCTTTAAGTAATATCTTAATCTCACGGTATTGCCATAATAACTCTCATTTTGCTTTTCGAACTTCTAAAATTAAAATTTATAAGCTTTGTTCTTCAAATAGGATTCCTTAAGGTTCTAATTCTCTGGACATTGACATAAAATCTGAACTCTGTTTTTAATCATTAATAATTTCTTGATAATTTAATTTTACTATTACCTATGCGTCCAACCAATTCAATTCTTATACCCATATGTTCAATTTTCTTCTATTTATTCATCTTAACTTCCACCACACCAGATATATCATCGTCACCCTAAATTTTAAGAATCTATAATCTAATTACAGTGTAAACAGGTAATTTCAAGGCTCCTAATTATTTGTCCGTAAATCTTGTGTGTTTGCGAGTCTCTATTCCATCTAATGAGACTTCAATTATCGGTTACCCTTAAACCATATTCAAAAGAGATGCCTAAAATACGTGGAATTCATGAATTTACCATCTTATGTCAATTAATGATATAATTTAATTACAATAATTATTATCAATTAAAATAAAATAAAAAGTTTTACAATTGAAGCTATCTCTATTATTAATGTAGATCTAGTCCATGAAAACATATTTTATAATATCTTCCTAATAAGAATAATATAAAAATGATATTCCTTTAGGATTATTAATTATATAATATACAAATTGCTCAATAATATATTCATCAGATATATTTTTTATATCTCTTATTTGAATAATTCAAATGGAATAGTTTGCCTATAGCCATATGATTAGACCTTAGTAAGTGGTGATAACACAAATATTGATAAGAGCTTTTTACAATTGCCAGCCTTCACTTTCTATACAAGTCATAAAAATTCTCTTTTTGCTTAATAGTAATTTATAGAATAACTAAATTCAACATAGTATCATTTTCACTTTGTCAATTTCTCCTTATCGACCTTTTCAGAATAAGGATTATACCTACAATAAAGCAGGGTGATTGACAATAAGATTGGATTTATCATTTGTCTAGAGCATCTTTTATATCTTAAATATTATTCGATTAATGCATTATTAGTGATTTTGGCATTTGATTTTTATTATTCTTGATCTCCTAGATGAGTACTTCTTGCCAAAGTTTCAATACCCATCTTGATTTAAATCAAGTGATTACAATTTAGCATATGGAGATGTATATTTTAGGTCTCAATTTAATATATATAAATATTAAATATTTTAATATTTCAGTTACTATGAGTGGTATCAAAACACAAACTGTTCAGATAGTTCCAAAGCTGAGAAGTGGTTATTAATAAGAAAACAATTTGTAGGAAGCTAATAAGATTACTAAAAATGTAATTGAGCATTATGACGCAAGAGATTTGAGATTGCAGGATTTACAGGATTGCTAAAAAGTTTACAAAGTGATTAAAAAGGAGACCACTACAAAGTGGATTTTATTATCAAAATTGGATGAGTGCAGAGCATAAATAAAATTAGAATTATAATATTTAAAAACATTAGTGATTTATGTACAGAACAATAGACATGGAATGAATAAATAACAATAGCTAGAATTGAATTAATTATAGATACTCCTAAATATCTTTGAGACATATGTAGACCAGGTGGAAAACAATACGTATGATAAGAAAGAAAAACTCAAACGCCTTAAATCATCTGAATTTGATGACAAATAAAAAACCATCAATGAATGGAAAAAATAGATTAATAAAAATGATATCCTCTTAGATAAAATGTAACCATCCATTTCAGAATGGAAATAGATCCCATTAAAGCTTTTAGACGAAGTTCTAACTTCATCCTATGATCTAAAACTTAAATTATTACAAGAACCAGATAGTATCAGTTCTGATAGAACTTTGAAATACTAAAATTTGATACAGGAACTTAGAAAGAAGTTGAATCTTGATTAATACAAGAGAAGTAGAAACCAATTCGATGAATTCCAATAAATGTAATCCATTATATATTAATTATATTAGAATTGACAATTTCAATTATCACATTCCAAAATTATAAGAAATGAATCAATTAAATTTGGCTTAATTGAAGGAAATGAAAAGAAAACTTAAAAACAAATCTAAATCCAATATTAGTCAGATGAACTCTACCAAGTCCTCTCCTAGAAAGGAGGAATCTACACTTCAACAAAGCGAAGTCGATAATTATTTATAACAATACTAGAAGTAAATCAATTATTTAAATATTTTAGAGAAAAACAAAGAATAAGTAGAATAGACAAAGCACAATATAAATAGAATATCAAAGAATCTTAGAGGGAAGTTTTCATAGCCAAAAACAATTAAGGCTCCATTCAAAAATTACACCAGAGCTTTGATATCAATAAATTGAATACAAGTAAGGGACATAGAGAATACATAATCTCAATGATTGATGGATAATTATTGAAACCCTACACTCCATTAGTTAGATTAAGAAAAGAGGATTCCAGAGAAACATGTCAAAATTCTCATATCAATGAAACCTAATCCAGAAAATTGAGTCTTAGAAATGCTTCTCCTTAATCCTTCGTGGATAGAATATCATAAAAGATCAATGATGTTACCACTTGTGAAGAGGATGATACTTATTCAAAAATGGAATTCCCTGAACTCCATTTGTCAAGATAGTAAGGTTATATAAGCAAATAAAACCATAAATTCGTAAAACAATAATATAATCAAAAATTTATCTAGAAAGTCAATAACAATGAAGTTAAACTAGTGAAACAATGCTAAGGTAAGTATTCCATTTATATCTAGATTTCTACACTACTAGGATGAAATTCAATGATAAATTCACCTAATTGGTTTCAACCTTACATAAGGATCGCCCTTTAACTTCCAGCATAAGATCAAGGTCTTTTACAGCAAATTAGAATTAGAGATAAGAGAAAATCTAAAAATTAAGAAAAGTTGCTGAAAAAGCACGCCAGAATTTCTTTTTTCGAAATAAGGAGTAAAGAGAATGGCATTAAAATTTGGTTCATGATTTTAAATTATCTGATGCAACTACTTAATATATTTTGGAATAATTGTAATACATTCTTGAAGGTATTTTTCAATAAAATAATTAGAGGGATTGTTCATATAAGTTGATGACATTATAAACATGGTACAACAAATTGAAGAATCATCTGAAATGAAAGTGACTTCAAAAAGTTGTCAACTTCTTAATACAATTTTCAACTACTTTGGAATATAAATCTCTGAATTAAATTAACATAAGAAATTTAAGAACTTCCATTCTTATATTGATTGAATAATTAATTAATTATATTATTTAGTATTTATAACAATCATCTTTCAATTTGCATAGCTACATCAATTAAAGTTTCATTCCGATTTTAATCCTCATTATCTATTTCGATCGTTTACATACCATCATTTTTTATAATTAAGATATCTTTGAATGAATTATTTTTCTGTTCTAATCTGTATCCTTTATTTTTAGCTACAAACAGAAGCGCTGCAAATAATTTACTCTTATTTATCTTTTCATTCATAATCAAAGGCATAGTTTTTTCGATTTTAATAAATTCAACTTGACCTTTGATTTCATCTATTACTCTCTCCAATATGACTTGCAATTGTTTAATTGTAATAGGTTCATTATTATTGTTAGCCTATACTTTAAATGGTAATATATAGAAATCTAAATTATTCTAATATGTCTCTATCATTTAATTGGTCTCTTCTAATTATACTTAGATATTTATTTCGTCTAATCCAAAACTTTCCGGTTCTGTAAAAGGAACAGGTAGCTATTGTTCTTCTTCTTCCAAAAATCCAGTGTATTCCCTTGTAAAATATTCAAAATATCTATAATAATCAAAATCCTAACAGTTATCAGCTAAGCATTTCAAAGTTAACTCTCTTTAACCGAAATCCCTTTAAGTGTTTCCAACAGTATTTAAAATAAGAAATCTATTTAGTTCTGCTGCATCATCAAAATTAAATGTATCTGGATACACTTTCTTTTGTTTTTTCTTGACATTTGTTTATTGCTACTAAGCTGCTTACGATTGATTATTATTTTTTTGTATTTATTACTATTCTTCATAAGGTGCAAGATCTTAATCAAATTCCTCTTCCTATTCTAAATCCCACTCATCAACTGGGGCATTTACATCATTAAATATATCTTGGAATTGTTATTAATAACTAAGTTATTTCAATTCTTCTTGAATTTATTACTATTTTTCTGCTGCCTCTCTTTGTTGCCTTTAAAATTATTCCTATAAAGCCTTTTTCTTTTCTTAATAGATTTAAAACTATTCCTATTGCAATTGCTTCTGTTCTTCAGTTAATAAAGGATTATTATTATCATTTATTTAATCTTCTGCAAAGGGTTCTGACATCAATTCAGGCAATTAATTATTGAACTCCTCAACATCCATTTAATTCACTTGTTGAATCTAATTTTAATTTGGATTTTCGCCTAGAAATTGCTGTTCAAAATTCATCTACTCTATTTTCTTCCTTAGATATACATCTTATTAGTCATCATCTATTTCAGTTGGATTAATTTTAAGCTATTATTAGTATTGCTGATTCAGACTTAAGAATTATTGTTCCTCTACACTTAATTAGGTTAAGGATTATTATTATTGATCTATAGTTTGTTAGGCCTACATCAACTTTTCATCGTAAACTCGGAAATCATTGAGAAACTTTTCAATGGCAGTTTATTAGCTTTTTTCAATTTTGACAGTTTAAGCATCCTTTTTATTAAGTAAATACTTGTATCTCTCTCTGAAATCATTGATTTCATTGAAACTCATTTTGAATTGTTTGGACATTAAGTTAGAGTAATCTAAGACTGAAGTATCGATTTCTAACTTAATAAAGCCTGTCAAGATTTACTTGTTCTATTCATTTACCTTTAATAGTTAATCAGGATCAATGATAATGGCTAGATTCTCATCGAATTAAGGGTTGTATATAATTAAAGTGGTCAATTCTTGCATGTCCAAAGACTTGCTTGTCTAATTGAAGAAGGGATTGATTTGAAGTGTATCATATTGATGAGTATAAGGTTTGAAATCAAGAGTGGATTCACCATATTTGGTTATCTCTTTAAGTTCCATGTTCCGATTGATATAAATAGCCTTTTATGCGACTTATTAAGCTAGCTATTGTTTGCTCTTCTTTTAGGGAGGAGCATTTGGAACTGTAGTAGTGTCATAGACTCTTAGCAAATTAACTTTCAATTTAAGACTCTCCACGTAGGTTCTATCCACTCGGTTGGAATAGAGCCAAGCCAAGGCGTCGAGATAAAGGGCACTTTTATTCATATCATCTATTTCGATCAATCTGATTGAATTGCCTATCTCAAAGTCAAAGACCCTTTCTGATAATCCTTTTTGCATACATTTAAGTATCTCATTAAGAATTTCATTCTGTTCATCATCCGAATCATCACTATTTTCTGGTTTATTGGGATAATCGATCTAAATTTCAATTTCTTCTTCTTAATGGGTTTTAAGGTCAGAGAGGTATTATTATAATTTGGACATTGAATAGATGATGGTAATTCTAAACTTTAAGAGCTCAAAAAATCATTAAAATATTTATAGAAGTTATAATTTCAAATAAAATGAATAAACAATACATACCAGCCAAAGCACAAGAAAAAATATTTGGTTTAATTCTAAAAAGACCAGAAAATTTAAATTGTGCTGACTGTGCAACAAAGGGACCTCGTTGGGTTAGTTTAGACTATGGAATTTTTATTTGCATGGACTGCGCAGGTTTAACTTCAATTTTCATTCATTAGGGGCTCATAGAACATTGGGTCCCAGTGTCACTAGAGTAAGGTCGACTAATATTGATGGATGGTATTAAGAAAATATTGATATTATGGAATCTATCGGTAATGGGACTGCAAATTCATATTGGGAAAATAAAATGCCAAAGGATTTTATGTAAATGATTCAAAATATTCATCAAATAGCAAACCTACTATCAATTAAGGTCTAGATTCATTAATTAGATTTGTCCAAGAGAAGTATGTTAGAAAGAGATTCATACCTCAAATATCATGTCCTGATCCCAAATAACAATACATTCTAACCAAAACGTAGTATTTATCTGATATTCTTAATTAGATCAGTCAAGCCTTTCTATTTTAATCAATAAGAAACTAAAGTAGAGGAACCTAAGGTGAAATTGGGTGATTTGATTGATTTGGATGATGACTTCTTTGGAGTCAAAAAACCAGCTGTCTAAGTCGAGGAAATCCATGGATAAAATACTCATTAAGGTACCACTCGATCATTGTCACCTGAGAAGGATTTCAGTGAATTTGTACAATCGACTCCAAATATTGATCAACCAACCCATTCACTACCTTCTCTTGACATACTAACACTCTACAAATCAGAATAGCAATAGACATAACAGTCATAACAAATAATACCTAATAAGAACTCGAATTATGCTTATTTGTCTAATTTGGGATAGTAATAAAATAATGGGTTTTATAATTAGCAATAAAATTATTAACACTTTTATTAATAATAACAATTGTAGTAATAGTAATTCCAATATTAACAATAAAAATAATAACAACCAATTCAATCAAATGGGCCCATTAATATTATGAATTTATATTCCAAATGATATTTATTTAGATGACAATAATTTAGAAAATTATTATAGATATATAGTCATCGAAATTCTAAGTCATTTCTTTCTGCACATTGAACAATAAAAGTTCATGTCTTATGCCTATTAGGCTTAAACACCAGCACATTCGTAATGTAACCATTTAGAACATTTGTCACATTGAATGTATGATTTATCAGGATTTGATATTTGATTGCAAATACAGATTCTTGTCCACTTTGAAATCGGAGGGGTAAACTTATCCTTCTCTACATTATAATCTGCCCTCGTGAAATATGTTCTCTCATTTTAAATTGTCATTTCCTCGTATTCCTTAATCGATATCAACTTTATTTCATGATCAATCTAAGTGCAAAATAACCATTCCTCCATCTCTGACTAAAACAGTTCAAACTCACTTATCCCTTCCTATAACTCCTTTAACTTTGAGGGCAATTCCAATTTATTAATATACTTTTACACTTTGATCATGGGTATCAAATACTCATCCACTTATAAATTACAAAACCCTATTAACTTTCCATATGTTTTCTTATCCCTGTTCCCATCAATCGATAATTAAACTATTTAGCCCACTGAATAAATTATCCCATCATATTTCATTTTCTAATACGATTTCACCAATCCCAATTGCGAACCTGCTTCGATTAATTCTTTATACTAATTATTGCCTCATATACATACCTTTTTTGAATATAATAACTATTTTATGACTTAGTCGTTTACTTAATTAGCCTCCATTTTTATTAATTAAAAGAAAATAAAGGGTGGGAAATATTAATATTTTTAATAATTATTATTTTTATCATCTTAATTTTCTTAGTATTAAGTTTTATCAATTTTGAATGTGCTACCATGTAAGTCCATCCCCTTTTGGTCTTCCACTTTCTCCAAACATTGGAAATGGCCATAACCAAGGATTAGTACCCATAACTTGAAACCAATTCTCCTTAACAATAAAAGATAAATTAATACTATACCTAATATCATACTCATTTATTTGGTTCTCGTTATGTTAATACATTTCAAACCTTCTTAGATCAATAATTGTTTTATTAGTGATCACTAATTTAAGATATAGTATAAAGCTTATTGAGATACTAATAAAAACAACAAATAAATAAAATGATCTATGATCTATTAATTTATTACAATATGAGAATAGGTATAATACTTTTGCTCTAAATTTGCGGTTCTTAATCTTTAAAAAGTATATCTATTGTCTATAAACTTGCTATTACTAGGCTTAAAGTTGTAGACAAACTAAAGTAAAATTGTCCCAAAATATGAAATTTGCGATTAAAAAACCCAATACAATTTCCATACCAAAAACTATGAAAATCCATATTTACGACACATCTTTTACACCTAAGAACATAATATTATTTTACCTTTCACAGTGATAACAACGTTAAGGCTTAAATTGACGACATCTTAAACAATATTTTTTTTTTTTAATTTCTTAATCCTCAAAAAACATACCATAATTCTTGGGAACCTGAATTTAATATGAAAAATACTCTCCCAGGATCGGTAACAATAGATTTATACGTAGACCAAAAAAGCATTACATATAATATATGTAATGGAATCCAAAGTATTCGTGTGATTTAAATCCTTGTATTCGAGTAAGGGTTGAGCAATGTCAAATAAAGAGTACAACAATATTAAAAGGATAAAATGCTTACTAAACTGTATGGGTTTTATAATTTTAAATCAAGTTCACGATATTCTTCGAAAAATATCATTAAAAGATTTAAATGTTATGCTGCAACATCTATTTGTTAATCCATCATTTATTCTACAATAAATCTAATAAATTAATTAATAGTATTTGCAGACATATATTATTATTTATAATATTTCATTTTACTTATAGAATATGATTAAACATTATAATCAAATATTATTAGCTTATAGAATTAAAATTACAAAAAGAAAAATAGTAATTTCATATGTTAAGATACTTGCAGATGTTAATTGATTCATCAATTTTATTAGTTTAATATTTATTGTGCTACCAATAATTTCATATCTTTTAAACTTTCCACTTTAGCAGAACCTTGAAAAAGTGAAATTCTATGACTTTTTATTGATTGAATCGAAATTTAAGCGAAATAGAAAAAATTCAATATAATTCATCCAAATACAAGAATTATTCAAGAAAACAATCAATTCTTATGACAAAGAATATCTAATAAACTATTTATTATTTTTTATTCTTAAACATCCAAAATTCCCCAATAAATTGGAACTTACATTAATTATAATAACTTTATAAGAATTACTAATAGTAATTGGAACGTTTGGCATCGAACAAATATATAATATATTTTGTGATAGAATTAAATGTATTTCTTTAGTTTGATAAATTAATGAAAAAAGATTGATCAATGACAAGCAAACCCTGTATATGTAATTATTATCATATAATTAGACAATCTCAAGCAAATGGTAGTTGTTTAATATTTTCTATTGTTTAATCTCTCTATACATTTAATTATATAAATATTTTATATAATTAAAATATTTTTAAAAAAAGTAAATACACAAATTTAAAAAATCTAGTTTTATGAGTTTTGAACCATATTAAGAAAATAAGAAGACAGTGAAAGTGGCTCCAATTAGGATTGTTCAAAATTAGCATGAATAGAGTGGCTCTTAGAATCAAACAACTAAATATCCATAACTTAATTTATAATTCCCATTTTAAAAATGCTACAGTCCAGCTGTTACAATACCTTTAAGTTTTTTATAATAGCTCATTTAATAAGCGTAGCAAAACAAGATTCTGAATCAGATTGGGGAAACTAAAGTTGTTAAGCAAGAATAGTCAGAAGCTGTCAATAATCTCATTTCTTAAATATAATACCAAAAACAAGGAACTTCAAGATAATAAGATAGTAATGAAGATACCTTAATAAAATTATATTTAATTAAGAGTCAGATGAAATTTATTATTGAAGATACATCGTCAATTGAAAAGGTAAAGTTATATTTTGCTGATAACCAAAACCTATTACCACATTTCTGGGCCTGGATCAATTCAATAGAAATTAAAGCATTGGAAGAGATGCTTATGTTATGTTATTCAAATCCATCAAATACTAAAAGAATATACGATATTTTCAAATCTCTTTTTTAAACTTTGTCAATTGAATTTTTTTAAAAGCATGCATATGCACAAATATTGAGATCGAATCTACAAGATAAAATTAAATATCTATCAGTAATAGGCGATATTTTGAGTAAAATAGTAAACCCATAGGATTATTTTTATTTTAATAAGTCGTGACTTATGTAAAATATTAATGCGTATATGTATTATAACACAATAAATCAATTTTTTATGATTTTCTTAATTAATTCATAAGCCATATTATTATCCATAATTAATCTCTCCCTATCCTTAGTGACAATATGATATTCAACTTAAGCCTTCTTGAATTGCTGATAAGCGAAAACACAAAACAACCAATTGAAAGCCAAAAATAAAATTTGTAAAGTAATAAAAGTACCTACTTCTTCTTCAAAGACCTATATTTTCAATAATTTGATACTGATTTAATTGTATTAAAGTAAGAGATGATGACTATAGTAGCAATTGTTCTGAAGGCCAAACTGATTCCTAAGCTGATGGGGAATAGATGTAAGATCTAAATATATTCACTTAGCAATTACTTTTTAAGATTTTTGATATATTCCATAATACCCAATAATCGAAGCTACAATTGTGCATAATTAAGCTATATTTTATGGAAATCAATATAGTCTCCAATTTTCTAGCCTATTCTCTGTTAGATAAATTTTGATCTGTCAGATAAGTTCTAATTCTAAAGATTTATGAATTGCTTTCAAGAGTGATGGCAGAAAATAAACTAAAAACAGCCAATCCCAATAAACAAGAATTTAAAGTAAAGAATATTACTTTCCTTCTATCAAAGGAGAATCTATTTTTGATTATCTATCTCAATTCTGACAATTCTAATTGCTTTGATAAAACTGGTGATTCCATAAATTATATTTTAATTATATAAGATAAAAATATCACTTTGCTTATTATTTTTCTTCTTCTTCTTCATTTATGGGAAGTAAAGGATTGCTAGTCTAAAATTCCTTTGTATCTCTTCTCTAAAAGCTATTAAATGCATTTAATACATAATCATTTCTCCCTTATTGTTGATTCAAATTAATAATTAAATCCCTCAATTAAGTTTAGTTAACCCTCTTCTCATCCTCACTAAAATGTATTTATGGGGATGCTGATTTAAAATAAGAAGTGCCTTATCCTACAGTACTTAATTAGAGATCCCAAATTTCTATCAAATCAATCTAACAAGAATAAATTAAAATACTTACATTAAGTAAATGTATGTCTTCAGGTAATATCTAACCACTTTAAAATGTCTTGTCTTCTTCCACAAGTCTACTTGCTTAGAGTTATTTACCATCTATCCAAATTCTGTGATGATCATACCCACTACCTCCTATACCTAGTCCAGGCTATTTTGGCCCTTATCTAAGTGGGGAATGGAGAGTTTGGCTTTGTCTCTTAGTAATTATTGGAACGAGCAAAGCAAATTTACTTTATTATTGACCATTAGTTGAGAAGATTTTGAATTTGGGATGGATGGAGAATATGAATGATCCCTTATTTCCAGATATATCAGGAGAAACTCTCCATTACGAAGGTGAGAAATAACCAAATACGTATTTCTCTTATTTATCTCCATCTTTATCTTTTTGGGAATGTCTAAACAAAATCATATTTGGCCCTTTAGCTTAAAGTAAACAATTTCCTAAGACATTAAAATTATATTGCTGTCCAGAATCCAATTCATATTTATACATCTGATTAAGTGCTATGCATTTCTAAAACCAAGGTACACTCAAATTAAGTAATGCTTGGTTTATTTAATTATTATTTAATACCTATTAGTTATTTATTCATAAGTTCACTAGGATTCAATTTTGGTAATTAATTCCTCAAAGCTTTGTTAATAAATTTTCCTGCGATATAATTTTTAACGATCTTAGAAATAAGAGGAGTTTCTGATTTAATTTTATCATTAAATGCTTTATAATTCAATATGGAATGATCTGATCAAATTGATATTAAATTCACTTACTTTCAAATATGCTATTTATTATTAAAATTGGTGCTTGATCATCATCATGACACAAAATATCTCCCTTATCACTCTGCATGTTGATGAGTTCCTAATAATCAATAATTTTGTATACTTTAAATAGTTTAACTGCATTTGAATAACTCACACTTATTTTGTATACATTATTTAAATTGAATGTATCTCTTTGCATAATGTCAGGACATGACAAAGATACCAAGGTGAATAGTGCATATATATCTAAGTTCTTGAGTTAGCTCTATAACTTCATTGAAACCCTTGTAAATAAATCAACTAAAAGTCCTATTTTTTAAATACCAACTGTGAGAAAAGTAAGGCTATCTACATAACTTTAGCCCCCATAGTTTCTCATGAAAATGTACAGCTTTTATGCTAACACTGGATTCTCTGTGAAATATTGCTTGAACCCTTCAAAACTAAAATGTTCGTCTGTTTTCCTGTTATAAAAATTATAAATACCCTGGTTTTTGTTTTGTCATCTTACTAAATTTTTTTAGTGCATAATCATAATCACTTTAAGAAAATCCAACCTTCTCTCTCAACTCTTTTTCTCTCGATCCACAACCACCCATTACAATTTTATATATAATATTTATTTACTTTTATATTGTCAATTAATCTGGTAATTTGAGTAATAATACATTCTCAATTTAATAAACTGTGTTTTATCAAATAAAAGAGATTTCTGATAATTCAAATATATAAATAATAATTGAAGAATTTCCTAATATCCAATAGGTAATTCATTAAATTAAATTACGTATCTATTCATACCACTCAATTTCTGTCATTCAATATTCATGTGATTCTTCTAGAATACCTTTGATATCAATTGATATTAATTACTTGTTTCTAAACTCTTCGTGTCTAAAGAGAGTACAAATAAGTACTAATATAAGAATTTAAATAAATATTATTTTGTATCTCAACTACTTCTTGCAAAGGTAAACATTTTTCTTTTTCATTATAAGAATATTTGATCAATTCTTTTTGATGGTTCCATAACTTTGGTTTTTTTTCTCATTGTACAAGATAAAGTTGGGTTTTAAAGTATGTGTAAGTATTTTATAATCTTGCTAAATTATTTTTAGTTCAAATTTTTATTCAGTTCTTTTAATAATAAGGCACTTCAAAGAAACGAATTTTAAGCCTTAAGATTTATATTAATGTTAGGGCATGGAACAAATATAAAAATAAATTATCATGTCAATGAATATAAATATATTTCCTATTTAAACGTAAACAATAAAATTTAATCTCTTGTTTTTTTATGGTATCTGCTTATTCAATAGGAACTGGGAAAAGAGATAACCCCATTAAAAATTTAGTTCCAGCTCCAAATGCATACTCCTTAAAAAATCATTCTACTTCTCCCCAATGGACGTATAAGATTTTATATTTTTAGAATAGGAGGCAAAGTTAGGAGGGAAATAAGAATAAAATCATGCACTCCTGGGCCAGGATAATATCCTTAAAAATCTTTAATGAATGGGACACCCTGTTGTACTTTTAAGGGTAGACTGAAACAAAAAGTTATATCTTAATCTCCTGGGCCAGGCAATTACAAAGAAGATTCATTCTTTACCATTCAAAAAAGAATCCCATCATATAGCATTGGTGTAAAAATTGATAAAAGAATCAAAAATTTTGGACCAGGCCCTGGAACGTATGATTTGAGTTAGACCCGTCTTACAACGAATTCTAGTAAATTTCCTATTGAAAAAAGAATAAAGACCATGGATGATGGAGCTAGTTCACCTGGGCCAGGATGTATGCTCTCATAATTATTTTAGAATACGATATAGCAGACCTTAATAAATTTTCACTGCATAAATCATAACCCTCATGGGGATTTGGATCGAAAAACAATTTTAAAATGCATTAATCATTGGACATAAGTTCCCCTGGTCCTGGAATGTACGAATTAAAAAGTACGTTAACACAACATAGTTTTACATTGAAGCCAAAATTAAAGACTTAAGAATGTGATAGATCAATACCTGGACCAGGAAAATACTCTCCTGATGTTTCTTTTATTAAATCTACATAACCTGTCTTCAAAATAGGCAAAGAATCTAGGATTACTTAAAAAAAGGTTTCCCAGGGCCCTGGACCTGGAAGATATTACTCTGAGTAAGCTAAATACTTATTCCTACTTAGAAATTACGATGCCAGAAGTAAGAAAAGGCAACCTTGTTACAGTTTAGGAAAAGCAAATAGAATTTCTATGACTGACAATGAATCTTAGTTTGTGCCAGGACCGGGAGCTTATGACAGCCCGCCTTAAAAATTAGGCAATATTACAATCAAAGGAGCAAAAGCTCAAATGCAATCATAAAAAATACCGGGACCAGGTTTATACTTAAATTTACATTAGGAACTTATAATCCTAAAGATACATTATGTTACTTTTATGATGGCTCTGTTAAGTTTGTTAAAGAATCAAAATAAGTTAAAACGCTCTCTACTGAAACCTTGCCAGGACCTGGAAACTATGATTCTAAAAGTATTTTAATTGGACCATGTTGGGGATTTGGTAAATCGAATAGCAGAAAACCCATTTATAATATTAATAACAGTCCAGGTCCTGGAGCTTATAATGTTCCATCTAAATTCGCTGATGTTCCAAAATATTTAAATTGTAAACCTAAATTTTAAGTTTGAATTCGTTTTATATTTACAAAAATATAACATCTATCAGAAAATATTTATTATTATGCATTAAATATTATTGAAATCAGGCTAATCATCAATTTATTATCTAAAATACTGTTTATTTGTAAAGAAATCCAGGTTAAGTATGAAGTTGTTCACAAGAATGAAAACAAAATAATTTATTTTATAAAATTTGATTGTGTATTGACTTCGAAATTTATTCGATTAAATTGATTGATTTTATGTTGTACTCAAATAGACCAGAGATTTTAGTTCAAATCAACTCAAATGTCGTATATAAGAGAAAAAAATAAGAGATAAGTTGGAAAATAATATGATAGAATGGTAAGGAGAATATAGAATGGTTGAATCAAATAATTAGTATTCAGCATTTGGATAAGATTTGATATTATAATATAATTTGATATTATTAATTCACACAATTATTTATTTGATTAAATTAATTAGACTAATTATTAGAATCGGCATTACAGTTAAATATTAGATAGATTTTGATGGTTATTAGTCATTGTTTATCTGATTTAAAATAATTGTTAATTGTGTCAAACAATAAATGAAACATACTAAAATTGTGCACGGCCATATTATAGAAGTAGCACAGTCTGTAATGAGTGTGACAATATTGTAGAATATGGCAAACAACAATAATGAAACAACCCAAAACCAATCAAAATGCTATTGTAACTAAATTAATGCTGCGATTTCAGTATAAATAATGGAAACATAGTAAATTATTATGACAGCTACCCATTTTTTAGATCCATAATTATCATCACACAATCCAGGTATGATAAAGATTAGGAATGATAATAATAAAATTTTCCAAACAAACAAGGGCAAAATAATGAGTATGGGATTCTGATTTATGATTCCATCGAGTTACAAACAAAGGAGTATTATAAAAATAGGCAATAATCCCAGAGTAGAATTTTAAGCTATTGCTAAAAACACTTTGGCAATTCTTGGATATTACTATTAATCTAGTAAAATATTTATTAAATACATAGCCATTTGCTGCTTAAGATCCAAATGACTGAATCGCATAGGAAAAATATAAGTCCAATAATAATCCAATTGATTTAATATTCGATTCGAACTGCTATTAATTGCAAAATTATATAAATCGACAATGCTATGAAAATGCGTATACTCTTAAACAAAACCTCCTCCTATTTTCTTCCGATGTCCGATTCGGATCCTTAGAAGTCATCTCGATCTTGCATTATTCGTTTTTCTGAATAATATATTATTATATATTATTAATTCATATTCCAAACATTCGTTCTTTCCCTATCCAGCCATCTCTGATTCCTCACAAATAATTAAAAAGAAGATTTAATCCAACCTTCCCAATAAGTAAAAAATTAATTAATTACTTAATCCGAATATACTATAATTCTAGTTCACTATTATTAATGGCCATTTCTAGTGTTGCTTTCATTGATAATTCTATTAGTTCGTATCAGAGATATAATTCAAATACAAATATTTACAGTAAATAAGTAAAACATATATCATTTGAATTTACTAAGATTTATGTCTCTCTTGCATACGGGACAATGTTTTTCCCTTGAAAGCCATTCAGAAATGCAATCTTGATGAAACACATGGCTGCATTCCAGCTCAATTTCAACAGGACTTCCACTATCTTCTAAGCAGATTGTACAACTAAAATCTACAACATTTCATACCAATCGTTGATTTATTGTTTGATTTTGCATTATTTCAAAAGCAATTGAATTTGGTTCTGGAGCAACCCTCTGCTTACGAATCCCATCTTTTCTTGCAATTCTTGTAATTACTCATAGCTCATTTCATCGAGATCTACGTTGTTCTGCATTCTAGTGAAGGATGAATAAAAATATATACTGTGTTAGACGATTTTAAAATTCCATTTCTTCTTGTTATTGCAACATGAATGCTAAATGAATTGATTTTTCTTCCTCTGTCATTTCCTCTTATATTTCATTTTACTATTTCTCAACAGAAACTTGTTCCTAATTCTCTTCTTCAATTTGGGGATTTTATTAATTTTGTAATTGTTATTCTAATTCTTGAATTCTTTATTTCAAATCATTGACTGTATTTTTTAAATCATAATTCTCTTGGCGCAATTCATTAATGATGTCAGATTTCGATTATTATTTCTAATTGACTTTCTGTATTTATTGGGTTGGAATCTTGAAGAGCTTATCTACTATTTCCTTATGTTCTGAAGAGGAATTCAATTAACTTAGTTTGATAGGATTGTCCATCTATTTTAACAATAAATTTATTAATAATTTATTTTCACTTAAAAAAAGGTTTATTAATATTATTATATTTATATTGAATGATATAAATTAAATCATTTTGGAACGAAGATCTTGACTTCTCCATAATTTAAATATAATGTGAATTTTCCACTAGCAATTTTGATACAATCGGTTGTTGGATAAAAGATATTGCAAAGAGTTGTTCCTAAAAATTATGAATCTATTTTATACCTTCAGCATATGGATGATAGGTGATGGTCTTGGTAACTTATCTGTCGTATTTACTCGAGAATGCAGCGAACAAGGTACCTCTGGTGAAGGCATAGATTTCAGAGTCTGAATATCTTTGAATTTAGTCTTAATTTCCTGCATTTGTAGCCTTACGAGCATTATTGATTGCTTGGATGAATTTATACATTTCAGATGATCTATTGATAAATTAAATTCTTACTAATCCAAATTACCCCACAAAACCTCTCTGTTTTATGGATCATTACCACCAGCATAGAGTTATTCACTACCATAGTAAATCATAGGGATTCCCACAGAGGTGAGACAAAACGCAGTGATGGCCTTGAATTAGAGCTTTTTGATAGCAGAAAAGGTCAAATGAGGTTTGTCACTTAAGAATACTTCATCTGGAATGTATCCTGAGACTTGGTCGTTTAAGAATCTTGCATTATCGTGATTGTCGTTGAAATTTCCAGCATATTGAATGTTTTACTTGCCCCAAGAGTTGGTTAGACTATTATAGTAATTTTCAAATGCGTTCATGTCTCTCCAATGTAGGAACACATCTCTGGCTGTGTAGAACAGAGGGTAATTCAATAGGGCATCAACAGGACCAACAAATTGTTTTAAGAAATTCATGTCACCATCGAATACTTCTCCAACTGTATAGACACCGGCAGCATTGGAAAACTTATACCAGAAATCAGTTTTGACCATCATGAGTGTATCAATTCTGATTCCGTCAAACTTAAATTCTTAGACAAGCCATTTGATCCATTATAATAATTATTCTGTAACAAATTGGTTATCTTAATTGAGATCAGCCAGACCTGCAAGTCTACATCTTTCAATATTATAAAGATTATGTGAGTTAAAATCGTTGTCTGAGATATCACACCAGTCATGATAATGAGATGATTGATTGAAGGGGTAGTTCTAATTGAAATTAAGATTTGTGTTTCCCATCTAATTTAAGATGAGATAATTACATGATTAGCCACTACATCAACCATAACCCATATGTCCCTAGCATGACAGGCGTTGACAAGAGCCTTCAAATCGTCAGCAGAACCGAAATTTCGATTGACGTCATACATATTCCTGGCCCAATATCCATGATATCCACCATCATAGTTATCTACGACAGGTGTAATCCAAATAGCATCAAATCCCAAATCTGAAAATTATTATTATTATATTTACTCTGAATATAATCAAGTTGTTGAATCATTCCCTTGTAGTCACCACCACAGTAGTTGCCCAAATTGCATGAGGTTGATTTGCCCTAGCTTGTAGCAAATCTATCAGTAAGCAATTAATAAACTGATCGACTCTTCCATTCTTCTTTCGTTTTACAATGAATGAGTGCAACAAAAACAAACAAAGACAATAACAATCTCATGTATTAAATTTAATGATGTCACATAAGTAATAATCAGGTGCGACATTTATATATATGATATTGCATATTATAAACCTACATTACATAATATGGTAATTTATTAAAAAAATACATCATTTTCCTAAGAATTTCAGATTTTGAGACTTAATTTCGATAAAGTCTTTAAAAAATTAATTAAATTTCATTTGCTCGATCATCTGTTCATGTAAACCAGTGAAATACAATTCTCTTCCACTCTCTAAAATCAACACATGCAATTACTTAGCAAATTATCCATAATAACCCCTAAACGATCCAAGGCTTGTTCATCCAAAACGCTAACATATCTAAAACTAAACACAATAGTATCTATCTCAGGCAATCGTTTAATCTATTCGACATGATTCTTTCAATATATCAACCATTTACTTTCGCATTAATGTAATTCAGTGATCCATTGAATCGATATATGATATATTCAGTATTGACATCATCCAACAGATCATTTTCAACGTCTACTTGCACTCTTTGTTCATCTTCCCCATCTTGCTATCTAGTCATCGAATGCCTTAACTTTACACTCTGCACTCCTTGTTTAAGAACTATTTCGCTGGCAGCTGCACTCATCGTTTCTGCGAATTTCAACAATGCATATAGACTCCCAATCAAAGAGGCAGGTATAGGACCATAATAGACAGATAAAGTGGCAAGAGCCACAACCTTCAGGATTGTTCTATACCTCCTTGTAGCCAGTACTCTGTCATAAAAACTCCAAGTCGGACATTAATACCCTGAGTACAATACTTAGCCACCAATTATAAATAGTGGGATCTCCATAAAGTACTTCCCTAATACTCCATAAAATATTAAAATAGAAAACGAATTCAAAATTGATGACCATTTATTCACTTCCTTCACTTTTATGTTCAATACATATAATCTTTGTTGGGCATTACATGGAATTCCTCCTAGTAACCCTGATAATATATTACAAACCGAAACGCATTCAATTTCTTAATCGTAATCACATTTCACATTCATCATTATCTCCGCTCCCTTAGCACAAATCAAATTCTATGTCATTATAAACAGTGCCATTGGAACGGCTTCTTAGAATAATCTATAGAGAATATTGAAATCAACCTTGAATATCTCACCATATGTCTCGATCCAATTAAAAGACAAAGAGACATCTCCATAAACACTTCTCAGGCACCTTTCATCTGGATAAAATTACCCAATGAATATCCCTACAAAGGTACTTACGATCACCCAAGGAAATGGTTTATGAACCTTATTCCCAATGTACAAAAATAGAAAAACCCCTATTGTTGCAAATAAATGATGCAAATCCCCCCGCTCAAAGTAACTTTTATACATCTCGAACCGATTCTCATATATTTAAAATCCTGTGTTTGATTGTAAATCACTAAGACCAAATCCATAATCAATATAGTTGTTAATGATTAAGAATCCCAAACCCCAAAAATACCCTTCTATCACGTAGCTTGGCATGAATTCAATTAAATGATGCCATTTGAATAAGCCGCAAATGTATATTATAATTCCAATCATCAAAGTAACCCAAGGCACGGCCTCAACTCCATACTCTTAAACGATGTGGTAATTAAATCGAGTCGCCATTTAATTTGGAACATAAATTGAGTGGTTACTTCCGCTAAACAATCCATTTACAAAGCTTCCAATAAATGCTGATGTTAGTCCAATACTTGCATTTAAGCCTGAATAACTTCCTGCATTCAATGCAAAAGGCATTATTAAAAACGTTGTTGCCATCCCACTTCTCCAACTCTCTCGGATATAAGATAAACCGGTTTTTAGGTCGTGTACTGATAATTTGCTTATTCTAGAGAATCTTGAAAATCTGGATTTTCTTTGATTCTTCTTTTCAGACTTCTTTGACAAAAGGGCTGAAGCTATTGACAATTTTGGCTTGTCTAGATTTATCAGCTCTATTTATGGCTATTGCATTTTAATCAAGGGAAATTTTAACTATAAATATATTCACTTAAGTTTTCATAAATAATTCTGATCATATATAAAGATATGGATAAATTATCATTACATAGATAAATTTTTCTTTGCCCTTCGAACATCGCCATAAAATATATCCTTTGGAAACCTTTTCAAAGCTCTCAGTTTGTTATATTGCATACCAAAAGAGAACTGCATTATCTCCTCCTCCTTCGCTACATTGATTTAACTATAACTTAAATATGCTGTCTATACTCCAGTTTAGTATCACTATAATCTTGAATCTATTGAAATACTGATCGTCGTATCGGAGTTACATCATCGGACTGTGTGAAATTGCTTCTTCTATTTCTGTACTCTATTTTGTGTTGGAAGTAGTTGAATTGAGGGTTCTCATCGACATTATTCGGAGTCGACTGCCCATTACGATTATTTTCTGATATTTGATATCATTTTTACTTAAATAATTATTGGTCTTTCTCAGGATTTGATCTTAGAGATCTGGTTAACTAATTTACTTGGAATGATTGCAATCGTAGATTTCTCTATAAACTATATATATTATAGAGAAGAAACCTTCCTTGATTAACTTTAACTGCCTACAATCGATTGCCCTTATTGAGGGCAGTCTTATTCAACACATTGAACTTGTTCTTTTAAATCTCCACCTTATCTATCCTATAAACCTGAAATTCTACTTAAAAACATTTGGATCTCATTCGGATAGAATCTTTTATTAAAGTCATTTGGCTTGTCGATCTCCGTCTTAACTCTTTGATGAGAAGTCACCGATTTTTTAGACTTGTTTATTTCGTGAACATCTATTGAGGTCTGCAAATATTGATTATATCGATTAGGCTGATCTATAAATATGAATGTCAAAATCAAACTTCGAAAGAGATTCACAACTTTTGGCTGACTTGAATTTTTATGAGTAAAGTTTTAGTACAATTTGTTTGGCGATTCCCCCCCTCTACATTTATTGGCACTTTATGTTTTTCTACAATCTTTGTTAACAGCTAATTCCATAGGAAATTGATATTGCATAATATAATAATTACTAAATTTATTATAATACAAGAATCATAATTACTCTGCAATATAATATCACTCAATCTAACTTACTTTTAAAGAACTCTTTCATTTTTTCTCTCTAAGTTTTTTAAGTTGCATTTTCTAATTTATTTTAATGAAATTCCTTAGCTAAAATGCTTTGATATTGTCCTATGCCATCACTGAATCTAACAATCATATACTAATCCTTGCTTATATTCTTCAAATAATTATTATCCATTATAAATAGATCCATTTAAACTTGACTCTGTATTTTATCTATATCCAAGCATTTCTCTGATTTGTATTAGCAAATATTAATTCTACTAAGCGCTAACATTTTCTAATATATCTTTGGAATGATTCTCGCTAGTAAGAACTTCCAATTTGTAATGCTCCAATAATTTGAGGATGTTCAAGGTTTGAATTTATATTCCCACATCTCCAAAAATTGAAGTTTTATTTCAAAATATTTTATCTCACATACAAAACAAATAAAATGCTCCATACAAAGCATAATCTTCTGCAAATGTTTACAAAGGATTTTTGTATCGATTTCTAATTAAATTAAACTTTCTTTTTATTAATAAGCATGAGAAAGACTTACTCCTCTTGAATTAATAATCAAAGCCATTGCTTTTGAATTTTCAGGCTTCGATTTCTTCAAGGCTTTATAAAGTTTATAAGTCCTAGGGAGTTTATTTGAATTTTACATTGAACTTGTGATTTAACCTTGGAGACAAAGTACGAAATTTTTTGTATTTTCTGTGTCTTTTCAAATTAATTATAAGAATTTATACATTTAAATATATTATAATTTTCATTCATTTAATTATGTTACTAGAGCAGTTCCTCTCTTTACCCAATGGCTGACACTTAATTAAGTTTTAATAGGAATGGAAATAATCTAAAAAATGATAAAGAAATAATATTACGAAATTAGTAGAATGACCTGTTGTTGACAGGGTACCTCTTCTATCTAGAGTCTTATAGACTGGACAAATGTAATCTTCTTGATTTTCAATGAAGTTTTATTTTGGTAAGAGTTAGATCTAATATATTATTATAAAGTATACCTTAGGGAAATTTTAATAGATGACTCCATTAACAGGTTCATCTATCACTTATTCTTCTTAATTCCATTTACCACTTTCTAAGTATAATCCATCAATTATAATTCCCTCTTCTTCTTTAACGTCAATCTAAAAGTCAAATTTCAATTAATCTATAGGTATTCTATGTTTTCTAGCATGATTTTACAAGACTCCTGTGAAGAAGGATTAGGTGAAATAGAATCCAGGCAACCAAAAGATAGTTGGAGTTCCAAATTATATCCATTTGTTAAACATCTCCACTCTTAATTGCAAATCCTAAAGATAATTGTTCAAACTCTTCAAGGACGGATAAGATTTCTATTTCCATAATTCTGGTAAGATATTGTTGAGTAAACATTCTCCCATCCTTTCTAATTGTTAACTCATCACAATCAAACCTTAAGCAGCTTTAATCAAATCCTGCAATGATTTTTATAGAATGTTCAATAGGTTGTTGTATCTCAATACCTCTTACAATAAGACAGTATTCATGCTTTCATAATAGTCAATTTTGAATTTCTCTTAGACCACATTGATATCAAATTGCTTAGGAATTAGGATGAGTAGACTTTCAGCCTTGTCTAATAATAATTTATTTTTATCTATGTTCTCTTCCGCTCCTTATTCGACCAATCCAACATCTAGAAGACAATTTAAAATGTGCTTAGTTTCCAATTAGGCTTGAGTGATGGATGCATTTGGATGCAAACCAAACAACTCTGGAGACGAGGTCTCAGGTAATAGATTAATAAAATCAATAGCTTATTCTAAGGTATTTAATTGTTGAGCATCTGGTATGCAATATTCTTGGATAGGACTGAATTTATAATTTTCATAAAAGATATCCATCCTATAGAATGTAGTTAATAGAACTCTCAAACATCTTCTATCCCAGTCATCAGTGACCTTACCACCATAATAGCATTCACCAGTTAGATAAATTAATGCTGTGAATGGGATCTCTTAATAATCCATAAGCATTTATTTCAGTTAGCGAATGGATATTCTAAAATCCGAATCATTAAAATCATAAGTAATATTCCACCCTACAGGTCCATATCTTCTTCTTTCTCTGACAATTGCATGGAAATAGCACAACGCTAGATAAAATTACTTGAACTCCTATGTTTTCTCCCCACAACTCTCGTAGAATTTCTTCTCATTCTTTGAACTATTCTAATTCAAATAGATCTGTTAGATATTATCCTTGACTCCTTTAGGGGGATCTTTGGTCATTTTGACAGCGTCCATCAATAATTACTATGGAAATGAGGGAGTGCTCATAGTAGTCATCCACAATCTAAATTCTGTGTTGATTTTCATAAGCTTGTCCTTCTCCTTCTTAAGTAATTCACTATTGATATTTTATAATAGGTTATCCAATTGTGGCAACCAACTAATTGCTAAATGACAATTTTATAATATGACCCATTAACCCAAAGCCAAAGATTCCATAATCAAATTGGTTGCATTCTCTCCCTGTCCTTTACCCAAAGATACAAAAGTCAAAACCTTTCCTCTCTCAAAACTGAACTTCTTAACTTCTTCTTAAGGATCATCACCAGGCTATAAAACAAATATCAATGGTATAGTAGTATTACTATCTTCAAAACTCTCTTATAAACCAAACAGAAGATTTTAAGTGAAATACTGTCCCAAATCTTCAGCTATTAATTCTCTCATATAATAACCAAAATATTGTGGTCTTGCTGCTCTAATCAGCAATAGTCTTTAAAAGGTTGATAGATGTTTGATTTATTCAGGTATTTGATTCTTTTATGGATCATCTAAATATGAGATCATTGATTGGCTATTAGCAATTTATAATCCCGGAATGATGGAATGTAAATTGTTTAGCATTTCCCATTAATTCTAAGTGAAGATCGATGGATCTGGATTTTCAATATTAAATCTTTCTCCATTCAAGACTGATCCTGTCAATAGAAATTGTAATTCATTATTAGTTATGAGATTGTTGCTATTGTACCATGTTATCAATAACATGAATGAGAACAGATTCTTGTGTTTCACAAATATGGATCTGCTGATCTCTTAAAAGACAACTCTTTTTAATGACTCAGTTATAAACACAATTCTCTATTTGATATTTTTCTAATGGGGTTTTTCTGCTATCCTTATTGCCTTCTTAAATATTCTTTAATAGAATTCTAATGAGAATACATACATTGGATCTAAATAGTTGAGTTTCAGTATACTGAAATACGTATGAGATGCGAATGTAGACAAAAGATCATAATGCAATCTATTCTGATTAATGCGATCTTCTGTTTATTTTGCTTCTTTCAATCTTAATGTGATTTCTTCAGATAATATCTTCGATTATTGTAATTATAAAATTAATGCTTCATCTTCTAACATTTATGAACCTTCAGTCTTCGATAACATCTCTAGAATCTGAGATTCTATCTATTTCATTTTTTATTTGTAATAGTTGTTATCGTTCATTATTCTAATCTTCTCATCTTCCAATTAGGCATCTTCCTCTCTGACTAATATTGATGTCATTTGATCTTTTAAGGCCTCCTAAGTAATAGTAAAGTTAATCAAAGTAACTTTTGTCAAAATAGATGGAGTATAGTGTGGATTTGATAATGAAGTCACCAGGTATAATCTAAATCCAGGATGGACATAAACTTGATTCCCGCCTATACTTAACATAGGTTTGCCATTTGCTATCTAATATTGTTTACTTAACACTGGATCCAGGATTTGATCCAATTATTATTCGATGCCTTAAATCAATAATATTTGGCCATCTCTAACTGCTGTTTCTAAGATATTTCCTAAGTATCTATCCTATTTAGCAACTTTAAAGTTTTGCTCATTTACTTTCTTCTCTTTTCTCTGAATGAATTTATTCGCTTACCCTTGAGGATCTATGATTAAGGGATAACTATCAGCCTTTTACATGATAATGGCATTTTCTTTACTGAAATCATCCAAAGGTAGACCACAAAGTATCCATTCTTGCAATTCAAATTGTGTACTTAGACAATCAAGTAAAGAGTAAGATTCTGAAATGGGCACATTCTACTCCTTGATAATCTATTGCCATTTATTTAAGATTGTTTTTCTAAAGGAGATGGTAAATGCTCCCATATATGATAAATATCCAACAGATAATAACATATCTCCTAAAAGCGACTTGATATTATTTGACAATTTAATGGATTCTTCTTTCCATCTATTTTTTTCTCCAGCCAAACCGCTAGTCAATTCTAATGCTCTTTTTAATTTGACTTCACAATCTTGGATCTATGCCTTAAGCTTTTACTTTTAGAAATTTTCATTCTCAAAGGTTTCTCTTAATTCTTGACATTTTTCTTCAACCTCATGCAATAACTACTGTTTGGCAGCAAGTTCATTTTAGGCCACTTTTAAAGATTACTAAGCTTTGTCGAATTCTTCTCTCAATGGAGTGATTTCCTTATAAACAAAATGGAACTTATAGATAGCCAAAACCCATAAACATAGTCCTTCAGCAGCTTAACTTGCCTTAGAGATAAGAGCCGGTTGGAATTGTTTATTTTTATCTAAGAACTAAGTCATTTTAGTAATGACTTTCTCTGGAATGTTGTTTCTATTGTACTTTTCAAGCATCTTAATAAACTTCCCAGGATCACTTAACACTTTGCCAGCTTCCTCCCAATAGTCTTCACCTCCATCAGGTGCCTTCTTAGGTTTCCTCTCTAACATGATACAAACAGAATCCATAGTCAATCTGATAGGTTTGGGAGGGTTTTTCAATGCTTTCATTTCAACAAAATCGGATATTTTAAGTGTCTTAAGAGCTTTGATTGCAGCTTCTAATTGAGGTTCTGCTTCACTCAATCTCTCCTAACACTGATTCGATATATTTTGTGCTATTTCTGCCTTCTTGGAAGTTTCAATTTCATCCTCCTTTACCTTCATTCTTTGATCTTCTGCAATGGCAGTTTCCTACTCGACTTTCTTCATGATTAAATCAGTCTCATGAGTTTTCTGAACCAAAATAGGTTACAAGGCTTCAAGTTCTTCCTTCATCTTATCCACAACCAATCCACACTCATCCAACATCTTAACTCCGTTGATGTATGTGTCTCTCTTCTATTGGATAGAATTTGAGTATTGATTATACATGGATTAGAAACTATTCAGTAATTGGATATAAGATAAGGGTGTGACATAGTAATGATAGCCCGTTCTTTTTAAATATACTTCAGTCATGGATTCAACAGCATGATGGATTCCAACACAAGCTTGAGCAATGCTAGATTCTGGTAGCAAATGTTCTGCCACTTGTTGCAATGCTTATTGGGACCAGCTTTCCATCCATAAAATAGAAGTACATGAAACAAGAGATGGGAAATTTCTAAGTCTTGTTTTTAATTTATCTCCAACTGGACTCAAGTAAATAATTAAATGCAGATTGGCTTTACATTGTTTAACAAACAATTCCCATAACTATAACATACTGATGTTCCCTTGGATTCTGGTTTCTCGATCCTTTTATAAATTCTCTTTGAAGTCACTTAATAGATTCTCTTTGTCATCGTAATTATAAAGATTAATGATTTCCCCAATATTCAAAATGTTGTTGATATCCTCCAGTACTATTTCAGTCACTATTTATTGATCTGATAATAGGAAAATGCTTTTGTCATTTTTTAATGATAGATTCTTGAACATCTCTCTCCAAAATTCATACCACTCTAGCAAGTCTTTATCGAAATCTAATTCTCCTATCTTGAAATCCTACATAAAAGCACTCAATCTTGATAGAGTTCTGCATCCAGTTCCTCCCAACCCTATCAACAAAGCATTTCCAAAGGGTTGACTGATTATACGATTGATTTTACAGATAAATTCTATGGCATCTTCAAACAATACTATGTTCAATTTCAACTTAGGATAAAAGTCATTGAATTCACCAATGTACTCATTTAAAACCTCCATAACTTTGTTATTATCATCTAGTTCAACATATATTTTATAAAGAGTATGAGGTTCTAACCAATTTCCATATCTACATGATTATCCGACAATATCGGAGTATTTCAAAGCACAATCTTCATCCAAGATCTCTACTAAAATCTATTCAAATTATTTATGATCCTTCTCATCCACTAATCTATCCTAGAATACTCTCATGTTCTCATGAGCCCATAATTTCAATAGTTTTTATTTGGCATCTCCAGTCGCATCATATTTGTTACTAGGTACCATCAATAATCCTCTAACGACTTTGATTAAATCTCTTAAGTTGAATAAGTAATGAGATCTTGAAGGCAATGGTAGAAATCTTTAACTCACTTCCTTATACACTCTCAAGCATAAACTTGGCAATTATTTTGAAACAAACTTCACTTTGTCTACGTACTCATCAAATCCATATTCAAAAAATTTGGACAAAATGTATTTCATTGCATCATCTGAGGAAGACAACACATAAATCATATTAAAATGTCGAACCAACCTTTAAGGTATATTAGGTCTTCCGAATCCCATGGCTGCACAAAACTAAATATCCATAATGGTCTTGAATTCCAAGGACTTCTTATCATACCATCCTGATTAAATAAACCATTGTCTAATTAATTCAAGTGGTGGTTGTGCTCCAAACTACTCCTTCTAAGGCATATTCAAATCATCAATGAAGATTATATTGCATTTACCAATTTCAGGTCCATAAATACCTTTTCTTCTTTTTTACTTTTCCAACTTCGATTCCAAAATGTCCTACACTTATCCACTATTAGTAGTTGCTGAAAATGCAGTTATTGTAGGAATGAATTTGCTTTAATCCAATTCATCTAACAACACTTTCTTTATCAACATCGTTTTCCCAGTTCCAGTTCGACCATATAATAACACTGGCAATTGTTTATTCAAAAAGATTCTTAATAAACCTTATACACTTGCCGATTCTGCTGTTGGCACATAGATTTCATGAAAAGCTGTGCCTTTGGGAATATGGAAATCTAATTTTTGATTCCACATCAACCAATTTTTTTTATCAATATCGAAGTATATCTCAAACACTGATAACTCTTTTGGTGGTTATTGATTTGCCTCTAAATTTGATTCCAGCTTCTATCGAATCAATTGATTGAATTATTTTCTATGATTTCCATCCAACAAAGTTCCAATTGTCCATACAACTGAAAGGAAGAAGAAACTTATCACTTCAAATTTCTCTTTATCATTCAACTATCTGATCTTCTTTACATTGCTGATTTCCTTACCTTCCATTTGCAATGCTCTTAATCTGGATCTCTTTAAGGTTTTCCATTTCAATATCCTACAACAACTAATCCTTAGTCTTGTTCTTCAACAGAAAAGCAAAAAATAATTTTAAACAACTAGAAGCCAGCAATTCTTACGATGCAGTGTAAATCAATTACCTATATTTTATTTCCTCAAAGACGTCTTCCAATTATTAATATAGGGAATGGAACAATTCTATATATTAGGGTTCCTAGAAATTAGGAGTCAAAAGGCTTTTCCACACCTATATTAATGACTACCATCCAATTTCTTAAGGTTCCAAATATACCATACCACAACGACTAACTGTGGCAGGAGATGCCTCAGCTAAATCCTCAACCTCGAAGATAATTCTCATCTGCTCTGTTAATTTAATTGTTTCACCATTTGTCAAACAGAGCTTCTTGTTATCATCTAATACTGTATTCATGTTTTCAATCCATAATGCATCTACAGGACCATCAAACAACACCCAATTCTTACCTTCCTTCTCAATACATTCTCTAAAGATCACTGCAGTAATTCCATCCTACCATTCATTAGTTGCCATATCGACATCTCCATACAATAATTTTGAAGTTATTGATTTAGGATTCAATCCATAAATATGAGATTGCAAACTTTTGGATAATATATTAATTATTGTTGTTTTTCCAGATATTGTACCACCAACAACCATTAAACCATGTCTTACATTTACAGTTTCGTACAATTAAATAATCTTGGTGTAAAATCTATCATTATAGGTAAGACTCATGGATTCAATTTATTGCATAATCAATTTACCCAATTCCCCGTATTCTCTCTCCTCTGGCTCAACACCTGGGAATAAATCTGAGATGATTGCTTTGAATAATGGAACATCTTTTTAAGTGAATTTTGGCAAATTACAATCCTCAATAGCTCTCAATACTATGATTTCATCGCTGGTGTTTGTTTCTCTCTTTAACCTACCTGCAGCCAAAATAATTGACTTAACTGCTCTCATACCGAAATCATAATGAGACTGAGTAGATAATTATTCAGAGGCCAATTTCAAAGATGTTGTAATTTTAATACTTAACTCCCTGGCTTCTGTGAACCCATAGGAATACAAAGAGATTTCTGTAATCATAGCATAATTTGGAATCATCATAGCAACACTTCTGAATAAGGCTTTTAAGTTATCTGGTAATTCACTTCTTCCTTGATATCCAGGATTCATAGTAATAAAAATAGCACAGGTTGAATCCAATGTCAATTACTACCCTTCAAATTAGAACACTCTAGAAGGAACCCTCTACGAATTATCCCTGACTATTGCTGTCTAAATCACCAGTATTTATTGAGCTATAACTGAAAGGACTTCTAATTCTATTCTATTGAACTCATCAAAACATGCCCATGAACCACAACTCACCAATCCCTTAAAGAACTTACCCATAGCTAAATAATCTAATGAATCTGAACAATTGAACACCACACAATGTTTGGCCATTGCTTTAGCTAAATCTTTTGTGGTTTCAGTCTTTCCTGTACCTGCTGGACCTTCAGGAGCACCACCTAAGTTCATATGCAATGCTGCCATCAATGTTCTATAGCATCTATCAGTCAATGGTGTGATAACCAACCTTGATTGATTACCCAAATATTCATAACCATAAACTCTTTAGGTATGAAGCATTTTGACAATTACATCTTTCTCTAAGTAATATCTCATTTATGACATCCACTCAAAATCATCCACTCTTCTCACATTCTTGCTTTTTAATTCCTATGTGATATCCTTTTATTTAACTTATAAAACTATCAGCACACCTAATGCTTGTAAATGATTTTCATTTGCTATTTCATGATGCAATAATTAAACTGTACTCATCAATACTTTGTTAGCTTACTGAATGCATTTGTCAATAGAAGTGGCATCCTTCTCGTAATCAGAAATAAATTAAGTAACCATATTAGTAAATATGATCTCATGAGCCAATACACACAATTAAGCAGGAATCTAGACTATGGATTTATCTAATGTATTTGCCGAAACTATTTGAACACCCTAAGGAATCAAAGTTTTAATTGTTAATTTCATAGACTATTAAACTTCATATAACCAATCCTCAACTCCTCTTACTGCTTGTTCTGTATTTAATGGATTTACATCAGTAATCAACTTTATTATTTCCTAAGTACTACTAATCATATGAGTTATCAACATATTATCCTAAAATGTAATTTCATTTATCCCCTCAAAACATTTCTATAAATGTCTTTGCACAGCTCTTGGTTCTCTTGCCTAAGCTAATATCTATAGAAGTTCCTCGTTAGACAAGAAGAAGAACCTTGGAAATGCTGTTCTCTTCTTATTCAAAAAATCATTCAAGCTTTTAATAACTTAATCCAACTGTTCGATCATAAATACAAAGTTCTCCTTCATTCTATTCTGGAAACATGCTTCCATCACTAAGGGCTATTGGAATGTAGCCAACATTAATGCTCTCCACATTTTATCAACCACTGAATACTTATTACCCTCTTTAGGCATTTCTCTAATAATATCTTCAGAATAAAAGATTGGTTATAAGTACTACCATGACTTTTGTGTTTTACACCATAATTCAATCATCTCTTGCGCTCTAAATAATTATGCCTTCCAAGAATTAACTTCCTGTAATAAAAATGCCACAAATGGAGAACTTGCTATACTCATCATCTTGGTTATATCTTCGTCTAATTTGTCTAAAATAGGCTCAACACTTTTCAAGATGTGTGTGTCAGTATCTCTAAACTGAATTAACTCAAACTTGATATTCTTCCATTCACTCTTCATCTTATTGATTGATCTTTCAAATGAACTCTACTTAGATGCAGTTTCACTTATTTCCCTTATTTCCTCCTTCAAGTCCATCACTCCCTTCTCCAATAGAGTATTTAATGAGAAGTTAGGATCATCATCCAATTTTAATAATGCTGTTAAACTAATCCAATGCTGCTTCTTCAAAGCTGGATTTCTTAAATCATTGATTAACGGTAAATAAGGTTTGAAATCTTCATACAGTTTTCTAATAGCCATAGTAACCTAATACATATGAGGGATTATTTTAAATGTCGTTTTCTCCAACTTAAATAACTCAGTCCAGGCTTCTGTTACATCCTAAGTTAATTAATCTCTGTCTATGTTATTTAATGGTCCACTCAAGGCAGGGGGAATTTTGAAGTAATAATCTCTACCCAAGGCCCATACCTTATAATAAGGAGTGAATAGTTTCTTGATCTTATCGACTTCTTAATAATCGGTCAATTTCCACTTCAATATGGCCTCTCTTCTATTAATTATCTCTGCCTCTTCTATTGCCCTTTCCATCTTCTCCCCCAAATCAGCAAATCTATTAGCAATCTGGTTTATCTAATTAATATCTTCTTCGTTGATTAATTCATTCAATTCCTTGCTAATGTAATTTATTTCTCCAATCAACTCTCCCTACTGTGTCATCAAATCTTCTTAGAATTTCTTTTCATTGTTCTATAGCCTTTTCAAACATTTTTCCTGTTTCCTCATCAATTTCAATGGCATCCCATAAATATTCCAAGTCTTTTCAAAATTCTAATAACTTATCTTATAATTCATCTTCTCCATCAGAGTCATCTTCTCCATTACTTTATTTATTTTCTTACTCAATATCACCAATTCTTCTTTCAATTGGTCTTTGGCATAGGTCCTCAAAGCATCCATCTCCTCAAGATTTTTAGGTTCTTCTGTTAGTTTCTATATCATCTACTTAATCTCACCTTCAATCTTTAAGTTCTCCTTAGTAATCTTTTAAATTAAATTTTCGTACAAACTATCCGAAGCTTTCCTCAACCTATCCTCACATAGTTATTGATATTGTTCTACATTCAAATAATAAAATCCTAATTTCAATTTTTTCTTAAACATATACTTTTACATATCCTCTCTAATCATTATTAACTTATCTAGTTCCTTAGCATATTCTTCAAATGATCCCTTCTTTAATCTCTTCTCAATATCATAATCCAATATAGATTCAAATTCATTTAATTTCTCAAAATATACATTAAAGAGAGTAAAGTTTTAATCTAAATATTATTGAACAAGTTATTTATTATTAAGTATCTCAACATCATCAATGCCTGTAAAGATATGCATGATCATATCTTCTCTTGCAGATTCTATTTCTCTACTTCTCATACAAGGAACAGTAGTCAATTCTTTGATCGCTAACCAAACGTAATTATTTAAGGATCTCTTAATTTCTTCAGGATTAGGTTCGAGAACCAATTAAAGTCCTTATACTTTGATCTCTATATTGATAAGTAGATTATCATTAAAGACTCGATATTCTCTATCCTTTGCATATTGATAGATTTATTGCAAAGGTGGTAGATTTGGATCCACATCAATTTTGAGATATGAGATAAATCTTGCTATGCTCCTTTACCACATTTCCAATCCAGATCGTTCAAACTTGATGTTAATCAACTTTTGAAATTGTTGTAATAGTTTAAGTGTCTCACTCATTAAACCTTGTTCTTGAATTTTGAGTCTCTCAGCTTCAAGAACAATCAATCTAAGTCTTTCCTCTTCTATAACCTTCAATTGTTTAACTTCAACCTCAATCATTTCCATAATTAAATAATGCACATCATACATTCTAGTCTTCAAATCCCTAATGGCATCTGCAATCTTAAATTTCATATCCTTGTCCAATTCATGAAGATCTTAAGGTTCTAGATAGTTTTGACAAAATAGATGTTATTCTTCCAACTTAATCAAATTTATGTTGGCATCTTATAAAGCCTTGTTTTTCTCTTAAATAGCTTAATGGAGATTCTTCTTCATGTAGGTAAACAATTCAATAAACTTTTGCTACCCAATGCCGTATACTGGAAATCTGGGTTCTACATGTTTTGGTTCAAATAATTCTTCTGGCAAATATCCTTTAAAGATGGCTTTCTTCTCTTCATGATAGGGCAACATCCTTTTAAATTAAATTTCATGATTGGCTCTGATAAATTACTTCTTAACCTCTTCTGAGAGTTCAACCAATAAATCATATCTATATTTCTTCAACTTACACAATTCTTTTGGACCTTAATCGATTCTACTTAATTATTTTGGAATCAGATATCTTTTGAAATTAAACTTAATGGATGGGTCCAATTTATAAAATGCAATAGGATCTCTGACAGATCCCAATTTAAAGTAGATTCCCATTGAAAATAGCTGTATTCTCATTAATTAATCTTCCTAGATCGATGATGTTGGATCATCCATTTTATCTATCATGTAATTATACTTAATAAACACTTCACTTCTTTTTCTATAGTAATCTGCTATTTCTAATTGTTGTTTGAAATAAGCTTCACTCTCTCTTTTAAATCTAAGATTCACTCTAGTTACTTATTTAGTCTTATTGTATTTTAGAAACCTTATCTCATACATGTCAGCATCATAAATATACTTTTCAACTAAGCATTCCTCCCAAGTGAAGTTTCCACTTGTATCGAACCACTTTGAAAATCCAAAGCACTTTCCTTCTTTCTCCTTATACTATTCGATTAAATCATCACCTGACTCGTCCTCCATATAATAGTAATCTAAAGGTAAAAAGATTTGTTTCATCTCAAAAGGCTATGCCATAAATAGTCTTTCCCTATGTTTTGTTAATTCTAACTCCCCCAATTCATCCTACTTTTCTCTAATGATCTACCCTGTATTAGGATTGACCTATTATAATTAATATTAATACTCTCATATAAGGGGATTGTAATCTTGGATCAACAGCAGAAACTTGAAAGTGTTTCTTCAACATTTTTTCCTCCTTTTCCTTCAAATACTCCTCTGTGTATGTTTATATAAAGTCATCTGCTTTTAATTTAATAGTTTGATATCCTGTCAAGTGTTTAATTTCTTCTGGGAAATGGGGCACATACAAATTTCTAGGCTTTGCAGATTATAATTAACTTCTCTTAGTCTAAAACAACTGTTATTGTATCCCTTTAGAGTTCTCCAACTTTTCATCTCCAATATTCAAGGCCTTAATAACAAAATTGGCTGAAATCGGACGAACAATCTTTTGAGAATGGGAATGTTAAATCTAAGGCAATCTTTTCTCTTATAGATCTTTAATCAATTATTCAGAAGGAGCCAACATCTCTTTGTGCTAATTTTTCATTATTTCTCTGATGTTTTAGGTAAATTTTGGTTAGACTCCTCGCTCCACTCCAAACTTAATTTTAATACATATATCAATACTTCATCCAATTCACTTTGTGGCGGTTTTAAATCATCTCTTCTCAAAACTCCTTCATCAAATCTATCCTTCTCCCTAGGTTTCTTCATCTATCTCTAAGCTTGTCTTTCTATGCTTTGCAGTTTCAATTCTGTAAACGTTTTAGTGCCATCTAATAAATCCTTAATTGGGATATCCATGTATGGCTATTAATTCGATTACTTGTCTGAAGCAACTGTCACAAACTCCCCTGGCTTTGGCAATAATTAAATTGTTTTAGTCCCCTAATAATTAAATTTCATTTCACCTTGATCATGTCATTCAGTTTAGCCTAACTCGTCTTACTGTTTTCATATTCCTGATACTTCTTTATTGCTTAAATGTGTCTATCTTATTTGCCCTTTGTATAAATATTTCAAATACCGAAGGCAATCTCTTTTAACTCATTCAATTAATTAATATTATAATTAATAATATACTTTGAATGAAACAGATAATCTCTATATAATATTGAAAAACTGTCTCTTCTACTTTTTAACCCGATCTCACTGGCTCCTTTAAATTTTCAGTGTACAATTTCATAATTTATAATAAAAAAATGCTTAAATTTCTTGAGAATAGAGAACCTTAACCTACTAGGAGAGGAAAGGACATCATGAGGTATGAGAGCTAAAGTCATCTCCCAAACAATCGATAATTTAATAGTCCCCTACACTAAGATGCATTAATACAAAATGATAAACCAACTTATTACATAACTAAAAAATTACCTCCTTTACAAATCTATAATCCTTTAATCTAAACCATTGATTCAGTTGAAAGACCTGAATATATCGTAAAATAGAAGGACATCTATATTCCAAGATATCTGAATGAATATAAGACAAAAGGGTTTAAGAAGAAATAAGGAATATTTGAGTCTTACTAACATTTATTGGCTCAGAATAAATCACTAATCTAGGGCATTCACGTGGATAAAAAACCTTTATCCTTACCAGCCATCAAAGAACATTTAAAAGAAAAATCTATATTAAATGTACCTGCCCAATATTCAACTCGTAGTCAAGATGCTTAAAAAGCTGATTTAAGCTGTTTCAAGAGTAACATATCCAATGATCAAATTTAAATTACAACCAAGAAAAATAAAAACAAAAATATCAGTTCACAAAAATCAAGAGTTTCACATAAATTATTAACTGAAGACAAGGGTATCTAAGTCAATATTGAAAAAGCAAAAAGCCATAAAACAACAGAACTATCTGGAGATTACATATATAACTTCAATTTTTAATATTAGTAGAAGAAAGAGGATGAAGAGGAAAAGGAAAAATAAATGAGATAATTAAGTATCTTTGATAAAAAAATCAAAGAGTTTAAAGAATAATAAAAATAGAAATTATAAAAAAAAAATGTTTCTTGAAAAAAGTTTATTGATTATTTTGATAATAGTAATGGATCATTCTTATATTAAATTTAAAACCTTTTTAAAATAATATTTTAAAGTGATTAAATAAAATCATCATGCCTTCCAGATTTTTTTAGTTTAAACTATTTTTTATTATTGATTTTATTTTTTGGCATCCAATTGGTTTTTAATATTTTCTGCATTAATTTTGTTAATTTAGCATTTCTGAATCCCACCTTACTGAAAAACGAGATGATGTTCAATTTTAATAGGATCAAGTTTATATTGTGGTTTAAAAGTGATTTCTATTGGTATACTAAAAACATCCCATCCTCTGCGAGTAAGTTGAAATGGGGGATTTCTAACTACTATTACATCTGGATAAAATGTTTCGTCCAATATAAATTTAACATTATCAACTAACTCTATTAATACCAAAGAATTTAAAGGAGTTTAATCAAATTAGCTTACATAATCTAAAGTTACATAAAGTGTCCATTAGTGTTTATTAGATTTTTCCTCTTCAAAGTAACGATATTCATTTCCATAGTTAATTTTAATTTTCATTTCTTTTTGATTTACCTCTTAATTGAGCTTAATTTCCTATTATCTTTTTTAAAATTCTTCTTTGAAGCATGTTTAAACTATGTGTTAAATTTCTTCATCAATTTTAAAAGGACCTTTATCATTCATAATCTAAATTCTACACATTGGACACTTATATTGAATAAAATTGAAATCAACTAATTCAAGGAGGCAAGATAAGCAAAAAATATGGTTACATTGTAATTTGCAAGGATCTACAAAAACCCCTAAACAAATTGGACATGTATAATTATCTTTTGATATCATATTTATTTTATTAATAATTTAAATGTATATCCATAAATTAAAAGTCTTAAATGATATCTGATTACTTCTGATCATAAATTCTCGTCCTTCATGCAAAATAACTTTGAACTATTTCTTAAGTTACTGTATTAATTAATTAATTAGTATTTGAATTAATCCAAATAAAATTGGTATTTAAAAGCATGATTTCACAATTCTAAATCATATAATACGAAATTATTAATCTCTCTCATTTGATTTACTGTTAGGGTCAGTTTTATAATTTAATAAAATTTAAATAGTTGTATTCAGAAGCTGAAATACCAATAATCCTAGAAATCAAATATTCATTTTATATGCAATAATTATAAGGATCATAAGAATGGAAAAATTATGTAGAAAGTCAATTAATTATATTCAAGATACAGAAGAGGATTCTTTTGGATTTTAATAAAAGTGTTTAGCATAAGATTCTTTAGTAGAGTCCTTATTTTATTCTTTTATTGCTATCCTTATGTCCAATGATGCTAAATTGCTTTAATAGAAGTCATACTTCTTATAAACTTTGAAGAAATGAAAATGAATAACATAACATTATTTAAGGAATCATTAAAAAAATAGAATAACCCAAAATAAAACTTTGATGGTAATTCTAATGATTCGAGTTAATTAAATATTTATCAAAGTTTAAATATAAAAACTTATCTAAAAATAATGAATTATAGAATGTGAGTTAATTTTAGTTTAAAAAATTAATACTCTATAGTAAATAATTAACATCATGTAATCATAAATGATAGCTCAATCGTTATAAAGGATGAGATAAATTTTTGAGTTCTATTTGAATTTTTTTTGTGAGTTTTAAATTTTATGTGAGATAGGGCGTATTTTAATTATTCATTGATCTACTACTTAATTGAGGATCAATTTTATTTTCAAGAGGATTAGTTATGCATCTGCTTATTTTATTGATTGGGAGTTTTGGAAATAAGTTTGATATTCTTCGATTGGCTATAATAGAAGAAGATTGTTGAGTTGTTGTTTAGAGATTAAGAGCGAGAGCTTTATTGCCATTGATTTAAAGTTTTAATTATTGAGATTTTCCAGATAAAAATTAAATCATCTTAAAATCTTAAACTTTGAAATATTTTTCTTTTTCTATTTCCATTTTAGTTTTATGAATTGATTTAACAATAATTTATTTTGGAGGAGTTTTACATGAAGGAGGTCTCTCCATATTATCATATTCTAAAATAATAAAGATAACTACCAACAATTGTATCTTATTTAGATAGTTTCCTTAGTAAACTGGGCTTTCGTGCTGTTTTTTATTATTTTTTTCTTTCCAAGATGCCTGCAAAACTTTACAGGGCAAATCTTTAACCATCAATTTAACGATGTTATTAAATTTAAGTTGGTAGATTCGCTTATTATTTTGCTGTCAATTAACCAAATGTATCTCCGTATGCAGATTTTCTTCTTGGTTAATCCTATTATCTCATTAAAGCTATTTTTTCAATCACATTCTTCAATGGTTTTAAATTTATAATTTTCTTGCTTTAGATTTGCTTTTCTGTTGGAATTAAATTGAAATTATCGTCATCTATTGATGCCTTTAATAAACGAAAGCAATGCATTAATGAATTTTTCTTCTCTCCTCTCTTTAAATGAAGGACTTAAAGTTTTTGAGATTTTGTAGTTGTAACTTATTACATAATCAAATGGGTCTCTCCTCTGCAATTATAAGGAAATTCAGGTTAATCACTTTGTTCTATTTAGTTAAGAATTTATACATGGAATATTTTGCATGAAATAAATAATATTAATTATAATATTAATATCAACCTTTACGCTTACTTAGTCTCCATGCATTTGCGTCTCCAAATTTGCAGCTTAATGGATCCAGCTTCTCTGATTTCTTTGTTTTTGAGAGTTATCCCATTTGATTGTGAGCCTTGAAATAATTTTCAGCAACTTCAATTAACCACCTAGGTTCTAAAGACATGTTAAAATGATCTGATACCTATTTCACAAACTTCCCTCATATATTCTTTGGATGTCATGACCAGCTCATGATATACACACCAGAGAGGTCCCTTGTTGAACAAGGCACTACTAGGATGGATATAGACTTATTGATTATCAGATAAAGTTTTATAACCTTCTGCTTGATCCTAAAATAGAGAATATGATTTACCTTCTTAGCAACATGGAAGAAATAACCAGCAGTTATAGCTTTTCTGATTTTCCAGAAGTCTTTACCACAAGATGTAATTTGGAATTTATACCTTTCCATAATTTATAATAATTGTTTTCTAACATCTTAGGCTCTTCTCATGGATCTTGCTTAGATATAATTTTCATGACACCACACATTACTAAAATTGTTTTTCTTCCAATGCTCATAAACTGTTAACAAAGTCAAATGATCTCCTTCTGGTCTATGAAAATCTGGCCTTTTTCTAATCTGCTAATTGTTATCTGTCTTTAGGTCTGTAGAAGATGTTTGGTTCTGATAACATTGCTATAATTGTAATGATTTCATCGACACATCCTAAATCAACTGCAGTCAATAACATTTTAGCTTGAGGTGGTTCCAAAGGGAATTCTGCCATCTTCCTACCTACTTTTGTTAACAATCCTTCATCATCCAAAGCTCCCAATGCATACAATTATTCCATAGCTGCAATCATAGTTTGAACAGGTGGGGGATCCATAAAGTCAAAATTCAAAAGATCATGTATTCCCATAGCTTTTAATAATAAAATTGTATTTGCTAAATTAGTTCTCTATATTTCAGGTACTGAAGTGGGTAACATTTCTGTATTAAATGCTGATTCAGTATATAATCTATAGCATTTTCCTGGACCAGTTCTTCCTGCTCTACCTGCTCTTTATTATGCGGATGCTTGACTGATTGGAGCAATAATTAATGAATCCATACCCAATTTTGGATTATATACCTTGATTTTAGAGAACCCTGGATCAACCACGTAATAAATTCCATCAATAGTGATTGAGGCTTCGGCAATATTAGTAGCAATAACTATCTTTCTGGCTCCTGAAGGGGCAGGGTCAAAAATCTTCTGTTGTAATTCTGTGGGTAAAGCAGAATAAACTGGTAAAATAATCAATTCAGGAGCATCTGGGCCTAACTTCTTCATTCTTTCATGAAGCACTTAGCATGCTGTATCTATTTCTTCTTGTCCTGTTAAAAACAATAGAATATCGCCAGCTGGCTCTTCTAAGTGAATCTAAATTACACACAATTAGGCAGCTTCTAAATAGTCTTCTTCAGGTTCATTTGTGAAAAACACTTCAACAGGAAAGTTACGTCCTGGGATTCTAAATATCTTGCAATTAAAAAAATAAGAAGAAAACTTTTCAGCATCCAAAGTGGCTGATGTTACAATTAATGTGAAATCATTTCTTTTAGCAACAACTTATTTTAATAATCCAAATAACACATCAGTATTAATTGTTCTCTCATGTGCCTCATCTAACATAATAACACTATATTGACTCATATCTTTATCTATTAATGCTTCTCTTAGTAACATTCCATCAGTCATATACTTAATAATTGTATTAGGACCTGTGCAATCTTCAAATCTTATTGCATAACCTACTTCATCTCCAAGTTACACTCCCATTTCTTCTGCCACTCTTTTTGCCACTGACATTGCTGCCACTCTTCTAGGTTAAGTGCAACCTATCTTCATTCCATTTCTACCATATCCAGCCTCCATTAAATATTATGTGATCTAAGTAGTTTTACCACTACCTGTTTCTCCAATTACTATGAGAATACGATTCTCTTTAATGGCAGCCAACAATTCATTCTTGAAATTATAAATTGGTAAAGATTCTCTCCATTCTTTAATACTCATATGTGTTCTATTTCTTACACTTGATTTGAACATTGCTTCTTTCTTCCACTCAGGAATTTCTACTTACATCTAATTCATATTTCCTGAAATCTAAGCTAAAGGATCCTCTCTGTATTTATCTCTATTCTATTCATTTATTGCTCTTTATTGTTATTCTCTCATTTCTCTCCTTTCCCTTGCCAACTATTAAGCATGTAAGGCCTCTCTTTACAAAGTTCCTTCTGGATTTTTCACAACTCTAATTGGTGATAAATTTATCCCTGCCTTCGTTGTTTATCCCTTTAAAAAAGGAGGTTCATAATCATTCATATCTATTTCCAAATCTTCAGAGTCTGAAACAAAACCTTCTGACTCTGAATCTTCCACAATAGCTTTATTGTCTATCTAACGAACCAATTTTGAATTGTATTCCAATCTAGTCTTCTCCCATAAATCTGGAGATGCAATTCTCTTAGCTTTCTTTTTACAAGCATCCTATGCTAAATCCAATTTGACTCCTGTTATTGCTCCATATCTATTATTGTCCTTACTCTACTCTTATTATTTAATCACTTGATCATATTCATTCATTGCCTTAGCTTTCTTCTCTATCTCTTAACCACTATTTTAATCCACATCCCTCATTGACAATGCAATCTTCTCATTCACAATACTAATCACTTTAACAAACACCTTCTAATTTCTTTTCAAAATATCAAAAGGATTGGTCACCCTTTTCTCTCTTATATTGGAAATATGGACTAAACCTTCCTTTCTGCCTTTAAAACCTGCTATCTACACAAAAACTCCAAAATCCTACACCTTTGTTACTACACCCTCATATATATGTCCTTTTTCTATATCTCTATGAGTCCTCTATGGTGATGCAGATGATTCTTTCTTATCTTTTTTCTCCTTCTCCTTTTCTTTTTCTTTTTCTCTTTCCTTTTCTTTATCCTTGTCCTTATTTTTGTCCTTCTTCTTTTTCTTATCCTTCTTCTTCTTCTTATTTTTTGATAATGACCTTGATCGCGATTATTCTTCCATGTCCTCTAATTAAACTACTTCGCGATTTGGTAATGCTAATCCTGGAAATTTCTGTTCTTTTACTACCACTTCTATTTATGGTGGCTGTTCTACTTACTTTTTTTCTTAAGGTGACATCTTCTTGATGATATTGAATAAAGAATTCGTAAATTAATCTGTAAAATCAGCTTTGGCAGCATCCAATTTTTATTTAAATTCTTTTTCATCTTTGCTTTACCTGCCTAAATCTATTATATATTCTGCCAACACCTTATCCTTTATCCCTGTGTGATTTTCTAATTCTTATAGCACTCTGGAGCATAATGATATGTATTATAATTGCAGCAACTAATTCATTACTATAATTAATTTTCTACTTTAATATTAATATTCATAAATTATAAGTTAAAATTCAACAACAATGACCTCCTCATAATATAAACCATATTGATATGTACATCACTCAATTCCTTCTGAATGTTTTTGAAATATTTAAATTCCTTTCTTAAATTACATTAAATTGTTATTAATTTGTTAATTTTTTTGAATTGTTCAACAGGATGAAACTCGAGAAAAAAAAGCAATAGCCACAGTAAAACCCTAAGAACAATACGAAAAGTTCAAAATAATAAGTAGTTTAGAAACTTCCAGATGATATGGTATGAATCAAGTTTGAAATTAGGAATCTGAAATCAGAGATTGCTTCAACTTTTATGATCCTTAGAAGTCAGGTTACATTAATCGACAAAATTTGAGATCAATCCTAGGCAATTTTGCTTTTATTAATAAAACTGTTAAGGACATAGAAGAAGAAATTCATGATGTTGTCGATGAGTATAACTTTATATTATTTGAATTTTTTCATAGACAACGAGATAGTTTCTCATTGAAAGATGTGATGCATATAATTTAAAAAAGATGGTTTGAGAATAAGGGCAGAGATGAAGAGATGGATGAAATCTTCGATTTATTTGTTAAAAAGTGAAATAACTATTTATATTGTAGAGATCGTAAAATTGGATTGGCTGAAATTAAAAATGTCTTTGGTTAATATCTTGATATTCAGATTAGCGAATCTGATATCCTTGAATTTATCTAAGATGCAAGCAAGGGTAAAGAGGCAATGTCTAAAGATGATTTAGCATCTAAAATGAATTATATTTGATTTTTTGTTACTATATTAATTGATATGCATAATATTTGTGTTTCAATTGAGTGAACTTCAAAAATAATAATGATAATTTTTAGACTTCTATGGTATAAATATATTTATCTTTATTAAATTTAATTAATTGATCGCTCATGAATTATAAAGATGCAGACCCTGAAGGAAGCGTATGTTCTCAACCCACTGCAAGCTAAACAGGGGAAAACTTTCACCAAAAGAAAGTTACTTTTGCCAGATCAAAGCATGTCACTAAATGCCAGAATTGCTAATTATAAGACTTACAATTAAAAAAGTTGACAGAACAAATTTAAAATATAGAGGAATTACTTATTAGTTTTCAATAACAAATAGAAGAGCGGAATTAGGAAAATAAAAAGCAAAACTAAAAATAAGAGGAGTTGCTTCTGGAATTACAAATAATTAGTGAAAAACATCTTTAAGAATTAATTAACAATGGAATATTATAAAAACAAAACATTGAATTTCGCAAAGAAATTTTGAAATTAGAATAGGAAATATCAAAGAGTCAATGCCAAAATTTAGAACTGTAAATCTTAAAAATTAAATTATTAGTACAAAGAGATCTTCTGAATTGAAATTCATTGAATCTCTAATTTAAATGTTTATGAGCTTTCATTCTAAAGTGCAATTCCCAGCGCCACCTCAGTTAAAATAGGTTTGGAAATGGTTGAAATAGATTGTTTCAGAATATGCAATACTCAAATAAAAAGAATTATTACTTCATAAATGATATTTATAATAGGCTTTTAAGTAAATTAAATAATGATTTGTCATTTAATAAATAAATAGTCTATATTCAAAATTAATTCTCATCATGACTTCTTTTTTAATCTATTATTAAATAAATCTAAGTCGTTAATAATGTGAATAATTTCCTTCAAATCTGTATTGACACAAAGATCAATACTCTACTTCTATTTTTAATTCTTCCTTGCTCTATTTTACTTATCTATTGGCACTTCATTTTTTTTCGGTCTGAATGTATAATCTGTAGTTTCACTCTGTTTTTTGTTCCCTGATTAAATCTTTTTAATATCATTTTATTTTATCTCTTTTGTTTCTTTTGTACATTAAATTTAGTTTTTACATTCCATTAAATTAGGCTTCTTTTTGGAAGCTGATTTACTTGTATGAAGCTTAGCGTAGCTACCTAAAAAATCTGTGACTGATGATTTTTTTTATTGGGGTGTAGCAATATTTTAAGTAGTGTTTCTTCTTAAGTAAAGAGTATTACTGTGTTGTTCTTATTTGATTGGAGATATATCCTAAGAAGAAAATAAAGGTTTTTCTTCTGAAAAATAGGATAATTTAACATCTAATTTTTTAATAGGAAGGGAGTCTCGGCGAAGATCATTTTGAGTGGTTTTATGAACAATTTCAGTTAAAAGTTTTTCACCTTTTGGTTTAATTTGATATTACAGTTAAGTAAGTTCTTAATTTTCTTCATTATTTTTCCTAATTGGAGGGGAAGTTGGCTATGAGCTTGATATATTTTTTTGGAGGTTGTTTTTCTGTAATATGGAATCGTATTTTTTGATTTTCATAAGGAGGTCTTTTTAAATATTCTTGATTAATGTGCAAGATTATTTTTCCAGTATTTGAGCTTTAAATAAGGATTCATTAAGTTTTATATGAGATTTATCGGGAGAAATTTAATTGGACACCTTTTAAGCATAAGAAAACTCATGAATTCGTTTTTTAGTTTCGACTGGTATAATTTCCATTGTTGAATAAAGAAAGACGATGGTAATTATTTAATTTTATTTATCTTATAATAATTAAATAAAAGCATAATTAAAATCTGATTTTCCAATATCAAAAGTTAGAAACACATATAATGGATCTCTATGTAGCTATCAATAGTAAATGTAATTTTTGTCAAAATTAAATGAGATTCAAATAAAATCTTATGTTTTAATCTTATGAAACATCATAAAAGCTCAATACAATTTCATCAGTAACAATTTTCTAATTTACTTGAATAATTAAAATAGAAATAAAATTTTATTATGGATTAAATTGAATTGCTAAACCTTTGGAAAACTATTAAAGGTAATCTACAAAAAAAGTATGCAAAGATAAGTGCTGCTTTTGTTGATATTGATTAGAATGATTCTCAAAAAATTGAATTAGATGATCTCAAATTAGAGTTAATTTAAAATCATGGCATTTAATCAGAAGAGTATATGATTTGTATGATTATAGAGTGATCTAATAATTGTTTGAATATTTGAATGCATCAAAAACAGGTGCAATCACCTTGTAAGAGTTTGAGAAGAATTGGATTTAAGTTGATGAATAAGTATAGCAGGCTTCAATTTAGTAAAAATTTTAAGACCAAAAAAGTTATGTAAAAGTAGAAGATTAAGTTTTCAATTCCTCTGGATAAAAATCAGCTTAATAATTTTCAGAACTATTTAAATCAAATGCATCAGGAAGCTCACCCAGAAAATATATCAATATTTAAGGTGATTTCTAAATTAATCAATTCACTTAAAACTATTCACCTCCTAAATAATAATATAATTAATTGAACTACCTAGAAACCTTTATTCAAACTAAGAAAATATCACCTCCCAAAACTTCATTTCTCTTGAAAGATAAAGCGGATGCTCAATAAGACAAATTAAGAAATTTATAAAAGAGAATCAATACTTTATTTAATACAAAATTGAATGCTAGAAATTCTAGTCCCAAAATAAGAAAAGACTTCGATAGCTACTTAAATACTTTGAAATTGGGGAAACCAAATACTCAAAGGAGGCAACCATCAAATCCTCAGATATTATTTGATTATTAAACAGTATATCCTTAGCGTAATTCATAAAGAGATTATGAGTAAAGATGGTCTCATAATAGAAAAAATAATTCATAATCAAGTAGATCATTAGATAGAATATCTTTACAATAATATGCATATTAATTTTAGGATAGGAAGTATGCCAATAAATAATTTAAATCATTCACAAATAATTCATAGAAAGGATCACAACCAAAAACAACATTTTGGTTTAGATTATGAGTTATTTATATATTTTTTTAATTATTTTACGGATAAATACTGTAGTTAATATTAATATGGCAGAAATCAAAATTAGTAATCAAACAAAAGATAGAGTTGCTGCATGCAAAGCTTACATTGAGAGAAAATATAAAAGTTTAATTACAAATGAGAAGGAGAAAATGGAAAATTGGTAGTAATTATAAGAAATATTGAAAAATTTAAATTTTACACCTATAGAATAAGAATTGATTAAGAAGGAAATTCAACACAAGGAAGCAATGCAATTAAGAAAGAAGTTAATATAAATTTAAGATATATTAGGAGATAAAAAATAACAGTGGAAGATTTTGAATCTATTGCAATAATTGGGAGAGGAGCATTTGGAGAAGTGAGGGTTTGTAGATAGAAAGACACAAATGAGATAGTTGCGATTAAAAAAATGAAGAAAAACGAAATGTTATTCAAAAATCAATTAGGACATGTTAGAGCTGAAAGAGATATATTGGTTTCATCAAAATGTTAATGGATAGTAGAACTGAAGTCTTCATTTTAAGATGATGAAAATTTGTATTTGGTAATGGAGTTTTTAAGCGGAGGAGATCTTATGACTTTGCTAATTAAAAAGGACATCATTCCAGAAAGAGACGCAAAATTCTATATAGCTGAGTTAGTTTTAGCTGTGGAGGAAATCCATAATATGAATTATATCCATCGAGATCTAAAACCAGATAACATATTGATTGATGCGCAAGGTCACTTAAAATTATCAGATTTTGGTCTTTGTAAACATTTAGGTTAACATTATGATATGGCAGTACCTTATAATATGAATAATACTGCTGTGGATTAAAAGAAATCAAGAAATGAATAGAGAAGATAATTAGCATTTTCCACTGTAGGAACACCAGATTATATAGCCCCAGAAGTGTTTTCTTAAAATGGTTACAATCAATTAGTTGATTGGTGGAGTATAGGAGTGATATTATTTGAAATGGTTATTGGATATCCTCCTTTTTACAGCGATACTCCCTAAAAAACATGTTAGAAGATTTTAAAATGGAAGAACCATTTCAAATTTCCAAATAATCCAAAAGTATCTCCCTAATGTTATGATTTAATTACCAAATTGATGACAGATGTCAATGATCGATTAGGAGATGCTAATAAGATTAAAAGACATCCTTTTTTTAGTGGAATTGATTTTAACAATATTAGAAATTAAAGGCCTCCATACATTCCTGATAAAAAGAAATTGACTTCTAATTTTGATAAGTTTGAAGAGAAAGAGCCTTGGAAACATGTGATTCATAATAGAGAGGAGTCAGATTAAGAAAAGAATGGATCTAATTTGAATAAAAAGTATTTTCAGGGATATACCTACAAACGTAATTGTGATGCGGAGATGAGTCCTGTGAAGAGAGCCTTAGAGGAATTAGAAAATATAAGACCTTCGGGTATCAAGGCAGATTTTGATAAAAAGTAAAAATCTCAATCTCCTAAACCTATAAATGCTCCTCCTGAATTCAACAAATCTTAAAGATCTTAATCTCCAACAATAAAAGAATAACTCAAAAACACATACATGTAATATATTGGATAATATTTATCACCTCTTAATAAACAAAAGTAACAATAAAAATAATGTAAATGATTACAATTGATATTTTTAATATAAGAATAATCATTTCTCTGAATTTCTAAGTTAATATTTTCTTTTTTATTTTAATTATTTTTCTTTTAGCAATTATATCTATTCTTCAGTCTGTTTAATCCTTTTTAATTGTTCATCTTCATTGTTGTCTTTCATGATTCTTTTCTCTTTAGAAATAGCAGGAAGAGCAGGCAAAAATGGAGATGGAGATTTTTCCTCTTATTGATGTTTAACACTTTAAATTATAAACTATTATATACTTTTTAATTAGTAAAGGTTTTGGTTCACCTTCGATATCCAATTTCTTCTATACTAACTTTTATTAAAGTATCTGAATTTCTGGTTTCATAGGTTTTTTTGTTTTCTTTACAGCTTTCACAGGATTGCCAGCATAAATCTAGTGAATGAGATTGAGTTTCTCACTGTTTTTAGAACCCTACTATGCAATTTCTAATGAAGGCTTAGGTAGTATGTGCGATTCATCAACTTTATTCTATTTTTTACTAAGAACAGATGAAGCATCATATGATTAGATCTAAGAATCATCTAACCTACGGCCAATCCTAGGTAAATGTTCAATATTCGAATTGGTTAAAGGATCTTCAACATTATCTTGGCTTGATTTTTAAACAGCCAAAGTTTGAATGAACTGATTTTTATCAATTCTCATCATTTTTACCGGGGCATAATTCGGCTTAGGTAATCTGTCAGTTAGATAATGCATGACTCTGGGGACTCGAATAGTTTATAATAAGAATTTAGCCCCTTCTTCTTCAATCAGAACCTTATCATCCATTCTATTGACAACTGCTGATAGTTATAAGATTTTATCGCAAGATGGTCTCAAATGAGGTTAAACTTAAAGTAAAGCTCTGATAATATTGCTTAGATCTTAACTATATATTGTTGGTATTTTTGGATAATAGCCTCTAACAACTTTCTTGTAAAGACCGTTCATATCTTCTGCTCTAAATGGAGGTTTTAATGTAGTCATCTCATAAAGAACACAACCTAATGACCAGATATCGGATTTGGAATCGTAAGGCTGATCCTTCCACACCTCAGGTGATGCATAATAAGGGGTTCCGGTTTAAGTGTATAATAGTATTTTTTTAGCCACTTTAGATACATTCATATCTCCCAATTTAACAGTTCCATCTACATTCATAAAGACGTTAGCTGATTTCAAGTCTCGATGATATATCTTCATATCGTGCAATGCCTTCAATCCCTTAACTATCTTAAAGTAGATGGATGAATTACTTATGTAAAGTAGTTCCAAATGTCCTTTTCAGCCATCAACATTCCTTTTTTCTAACACTCAACAATCTTTTGGAATAAGTCTCCATCATCTGCATACTCCATTACAATACTATTTAGAAACAATAGGTTATACCACAAACTCTGAGTAGATTCTTCTAAAAACGCCTCCTTATACTAAATTACATTGGCATGTCTGACACTTGCTAATATTCTAACTTCATTCAAAGCATTTTATTTCTCTTTGTCTGATAATGATTGTAGTTTCACTTTCTTTAAAGCGTATTCGAAACCATCTGCTATTCTTCTTACTTTATACACTTTCGAATATGCTCCCTCACCTAACTTCATTATAAATTTTACCTAGTTCTTACAAAATCTAAAAGTCTTTCAAGGACATTTTCTACCTATTTCTATTTTTTATTTATATATATAATTATTTATAATATATTAAAATTTATATTTATCTTAAATTTTAATCGCTCTCATCCAATTCATTAAAATACTATTTGCTTAAATTTGAGAATTTATTCCTTATTTATTCCTAAATCAAATGTCATTCTCATCTTCTATGCTATCATTTACATCATCACAATCAAATAGTAAATTTAATCTTAATTTCAATTATTAATTCTCTAATAACTGTTAATCAACAATTGTCAATTTATAAAATCACATGCTTTGTAAACTAAATTATTCTCTTAAAATGCATCACCAATAAAAGCGCAATTTTAAAGATTTCTTAAAATTCATCCAATTTTAAAGAAGAATTCTTCAATGCTATGACTTATTATTCTACACTCCATTTTTTTAAGTGAAGTATTTTAAAAGAATACTCTATTGTAACTCATAAATTGTATAGTTTGCTTTATAACACATACAAATACAAATCTTCAAAATATACCAGGATCTGAAATATATTTGAAAGTATTAATAAACCATATATTTCGTACAAATCTAATGCAAATGACTTCAAACCAATATTTTAAATGAATTTTTTAGCTTTTTAATTTAACCTCTTATCATAAAACAGTTGTATGAAGATCTCAAAATCGCTCTTATGTTTTTAAATCATTCCCTTTTGATTGATATTTTCAATTATTTATCAAAAAACAAGCCTGGATGTTGTTTCGACTCCTTTTATATTATAATATTGTTAGTTATCATTAATTATTTATATTTTTAATTAATATAATATCATCCTTTTACCAGTAACAATGTCATAATTCTTAACACCTACAAGAGATGAATTATATGATTCATTAAGATTAACAGATATTGCTAAATCAAATGAATCATTAGAACCATCCCCCAGAAAATATATTAAGGTAATTTTATATTATAATAATTCAGATAGAAGATTATGAAAATACTCCTTTAGAAACTCAAGATTCATCCTCATACAATAAAATTATTATCCCCATTCCCTTGAAATAACCAGTGTCGGCTTCAAAGTAAGGCCAAAGAATGCTTATTAATCCAAATTTGAAGATTGTAATTAATTTATTCCATTTTCATTTAGAAAATGCTAAATCTTTATATCTCACACGCTATTATTCAAGAAGAGGACGATATTTTCAATTGTATTTAATCACAGAAATGAGAAATCCTTATAAATTTTTGAATTTGAATACTATAGATCAATAATATGAATCTTCACAAACTATTAATTAGATTATTAATGGTATGTATTTCCTTAATTCTAAATTTAGTTATTAATTTGCTTATTTCAATTATTCACTTTCTTAACTATTCTCTAAAGTCTGATAAGCTTTCATGAAAGAGTCTAAACCCATTTGCTATTCTAAATAATATCTGAGAGCTTCTATCTTATAGCCGATAGTGTCTCTTTCAGAAGTACCAGGGACTTAAAATTACTTTTATTGATTAAGAAATCTATAAATATATTACTGATAAAATTACTAAGGAACTATTTTGAAATTATCCACAATGATTGATTCTTCCTCTTCCTTCGATTATTTTTTATCCAAACATTTCCTCATGTCTTTAATAAGGAACTTATAACCTTATTATTATTCGAAACTGTCATCTTCTCTTACCAAACTTACTATTGATTCTTTTCTTTTTTGCTCCTGCAAAATTGGACTCTTACTTTGTAATCTAACAATGTTTGTATTGTCTTTTAAATAAAATTTATTTAATAATTCTATATTTTATTATTATTTAGGAGGCTGCAATTATTATTGATTTTCTTTCTAACTAACTACACTAGCAAATGACTGAGGTTTTTCAAATTTTTCATCCATTAGTTATTACTATTATTATTAAGAATAAATTTGTTATTATTGTATAGAATAATTTTAATTTATTGATTGCAAAGGTGAATTTTGCCTATTAAACAATGATTTTAACTCTACTTTGCTGTTATCCTTTTTGGGTGAAGGTTTCTTACTAGCTACAGTTTGAATAATCTATCTTGAAGTAATAGGTGAATTATTTTAACTCTGATTTTGAGATATCTTATTTTATTCAAACTGTTTTTATTATAAAATAAATTATTATGCAGTTTATTAAGGTTATATAAAACTAACTATAAGATTATATATGTTACAGATTTTCAGTAGGTTTTATTTCTGTCAACTCCTATAATTCATGTCTATTCAATGTTGAAACTAATAAACTTCCTATTCTTTATTTTAAGAAATCTCTCTCTAAAATTCTCTTTATACTCGGTCTCTTTGATGGATCCTTAATCAGCATATCAGCTATTAACGATTGTAATTCTGAAGAATATTGTGAGGGTATTGGAGGGTAAGTTCCTCTTAATATTTTTAAAACCAATTCTTTCATTGACAATGCATCAAATGCATGATTCAAGGTAGTTAACTCATACAAAATACAACCAAGCGACCAGATGTCAGATTTTTGATTGTATGGTTTTTCTTAGCATATTTCTGGGCTTAAATAGTATGGGGTCCCTATTGCTGTTTTGGCACAATCATATGTGTGTTATAGAACACGTGCAATACCAAAATCCCCTATTTTCACATCATTTTTGCTTGTGAGGAATATATTTTATGTTTTCAAATCACGATGCAAAATCTTCCTCTCATGTATGTGATTCATTGCCAATGCCATTTAAACAAACCAATCTAATATTTGTTCTTCCGAAAAGAGTATTCCAAGTTCTTTTTGTTTCGCTATCTTACCATACAAATCACCTCCATCGGCATAATCCATTACTATACATAGACATCTATCAAAGGTTTCATTAAAAAATCATACTTTTTCTCCATAAATGATTCTCTATACGTAATTATATAGGGATGCCTCATGGCCTTCAATACATGAACTTCATTCAATGCTTCCTCTCTTTATTTCCTGTCCATCTTAGATATGTCAATAATCTAATTTAAATCATTTGATACTTTTATTATATAATTTTTCTTATTTGACAAAGCCTAGGCTAGAAGAGCATATCCAAAACTACCTGATTTATTTTATCATAATACCTTTTCCAACTACTCTAATCTTTTTGTATTTATCCATCTGGTTTAAATTTAAAATTTAATTATATTATCAATTATAAAATACTGTTAAGAAACAATAATATTTCCCTTCATGTTAATATGCCCTCAAATGACTAAAAAATCATTGAAACCAAATATACATAAATATGATCCAAAGTTAATTGGTTCATTCATTAAGAATTGAGATCCAGTGTAGAAAATCATAGAATTCAATCCTAATTTGGCTATCAAATTTTATTCTCTGAAGACACACAAGTGTGATATTTTTGAGTAGTGTAAATTGAATTAGGTTGAATTTTTTGTTCTTCATTCTTAAATTAATATTATATTTAATAATGGAAAATTATAATTTCTCTGCTTTATCTATATCCATATAAACAGACACCTAATCCTCTGAATCAGATTAATAATTTAGCAGTCCTTTAAGATCAGAGAAAACTAACTTTTTAGATTTAGAAAATGAAAAGCAAAATAATGACTCCGCCCATTAATCACAAGTTGAAGTTTCTATCTAAAAGGATTGTTAAGAGAAGGTGGCTCAGACTTCAGAATAGAAATCAAATAGCATATGTGAATCTCAAATTAAATAGACCAAGGCGTCATAGAATAAAAAGAGATTAGTAAAGAGATGTTAAACCACAGTTTTGATTGGATAATCAATACATAAGCACAATACTTAAAAGGCAGATAAATACTTCGTGAAAAAAAACAACTAAATTATTGAGACTTCATTTGAAAGAATAAAAATCAAGAGATCCAATTTTTCTGGAATGTTTCTTACAAATTTAAGGTAATAGTAGAAACCAATTCAGGTTCGTTATTTTCGATCTACAATCACGAAAGTCCTGGTGATTGACTAAGACATGCTGGCTGCAGAATTTATTGTTTTAGCTTTAGCATAGTTCCAAAATGATAGCAAATTAGATTAATCTTTGTATGAATTTCCAAATTACAGTTTAGCTTATTAAATTGAGGGGTAGGATGATTAGTAGGATTTGGATGAAATCTCATATCGTAGACCAATCTAAAGATACAAAAGTTTTGGCTCTCTGGAAGACATGATGAAATCAAGAAGAGAAAGTTTAAATTAAATAGATTTTGATTAGAAACCAATTTCATAGGCTGAAATTTCATTATTAGCTGATGATATTGATGACAAAATTATTTAAATTGATTTAGAATCTCCAATGCGTTATTATAAATCTGTTGATATTGTACCAATATTAGATCCGAAATAGTTAGATATTGATTTGCAGATGGTAAAGATGTTGCATCAATATCATCCAAATCATATACTTATTCTTATTGAGGAACCTATCAGTCAAGTCAGATTTCATATGAAAATCTGCCCGAATTAATTGGTTGAAGAATTATTTACAGAATTAAGTAGAAAAGCAAATAAGAAATTTAGAAGTGCCGATTATAATCTCGTATTAAAATATCCTTGTATTCACATGAGTACGGAACCAATTAATTTAAAGATACCTATAAGTAAATTACCAATACATTATTTGATACTCATTTAAAAATTTCAAACTGAAGTCACTCGTTCATTAAGATAATGCAACGATAGCTTTACAATGAATATCAATAAAGATACTATCTTCTCAAAAAGTGCAAATAAATCATAGAGATTTTTGCAAGAGGAAGGCAAAACATCTGAGAGCACAGATAAAGTTCGAACCTTATATTCGTATTAAGAGTATTAATTATTAAAAATTGATAAATAATTTAAAAATAATGTGATTTTAGGAATTGATTATTTCGATTTGTATTATACTTACACCTAAGAGAGACAAAGATAATTTACTCTTGGAAAGCTTTGTAAATCAATTTCTCAAATTTTATTTGAAGAGCCAGTAATACAAAAAGATTATAGGAGATTGCCTTTAAATAAAATATAAAAAGTTGAAATGACAAAAGATTTTTATCTGATAATAGTTTATGAGAAAAGTCAAAACTACAAAAAATAACTTACTTTTGGAATAGATTTAAACTAAGAGAAATCGAAATTAGATCTGCAATAGAAAACTATAATGAATGCATACAATAAATTAGAATATTTAGTGGATTTATATATAAAATATAAATAACAATTATGAATTTATTCAATATTGATAACTCTTTAGCAACCCCTTACTCATTTCAATCTAACACAACGAGTGTCTTTATTGATAATGATTGGCTTGCCAAATAATTGGAAAATGTGCAATAAATTGACTACTAAAACTATAATTTACCAAGCAACACAGACATTTCAGAGTTTGTACTACAATAATCCGTTGGAGAAAGTCCTTTTATTTAATAGTAAAAACGAGATCCTGTTGATTTTTCATTAATAAAACTTGAAAAATTAGAAGAAGCTCAATAAATTAATTATACACCAAAAAAACAATATACATCAGCAACCAGAAAATAAAATTATAAAAAATGCAAAACCACTACAACTGGTTTTGCAATTGATGAGAATGATGCAAATAAAAATGATTCAGATACCTTGAGGAAAATAAAATCTTCTTAAGTTTAAAAAAAATCAGAATTTACAAAATAATTAAATATCTATTAATAGAATTTTTCAATCCAAATTCAGGTCAAATACTTTGGAACACAATATTAATAAATTATTTCTGTTGATGAATCCATCAGAGCTGCTGAATTTATTGTATTAGCTTTGAAAAGATTTGCCTCTGATCCTAAAAGTGACAAGTCTAAATTCGAATATTAGAATTTTAGCTTAGCATATAAATTGGTTGGTTAAGACTTAAGTCCAACAAAATACACATATAATAATGACGAGAATTTTGATAATGACAGCATAATATTAGAGGAAGAATCTTTAGAAAGGCCGGAAATAGATCTTGAATCTCAATTGTTTTATAAAATGGTAGAGTTATTGCCTACTACTACTAATTTTGGATTAGATTTTTAAACTATAAAGCAAACATTTATATCTAATCCTGAATCAATTATTTTATTAATAGAGGACCCTCAATCACTTATCTTTTATCATATTAAAGTAAATAAAAAAGGAACTTTGGGAGATTGTTTAGTAGAATTGAATAGAAAAGTTAGTAAAAAGTATTTAAAAAATGATTTCTACCTAAGTCTGAAATTTTCATGTGTAAATTACGATTTTGGGGAATTAAATGAAAAATTTCCTATTAACTAATTACCCATTCATTGGTTAGTTATTATTTAAAAAGCAAGAAATAATCTTCTAGACTCCTAAGAAGAGGTATCAATGGCAAATATTGGGAGAACATTAAATAATACAATTCATGAGAACATGAGAGGCTCAAATTCATGTGGCTTCTTATCTATAAACTTTATGTAATTGGCAACTGTAGAGAAGTTGCCTTTATTATATAGTTATTAAGAATTTAACTTGATAAGGGCATATAAAGAGTAGTTAATTGATGTCATTTTAGGCATAGATTACTTTGATCTTTATTATACATTTAATTAAAAACAAGCAAAAAAAGTTGGAATTACCAAGCTTGTATCCAATCTAATTAAGTCATTGTTTGTTCAAGAGACAGAGAAAAAGAAATACAAAAGAATTCCAATAAATGCTATTACTGATTTAAAGCAACAAGAAGAAAAATATTTTGAAATATACTATGAATTATAGGATGGATATTAAAAAACAATTAAATTCTTTTCCAAAAATGATGACAAAATTGTTTTTCGAGATGCCTTCACTAAGTTAGAGTATTTAGTGTCAATATAACAAATTTGATGAGTAAATATTATTCATTTTTGGTGTAATTCACCATTTTTCTCATATTATTTAAGGTGTGTCTATTTAAATGTCTAACTTAATTAGATTTAGATTCGACCTCTTCTGAATCTGTTTCTTGTAAAACCTAGGTTAATAAAAATCTGATTATGACTTCTAAACAATTGATTCTCTTATTTAATAATTTAAATTAAGAAAATAATTTAGTTATGTTATAAGCCAATATAATTTTAAATATAAAAGAATGTAAATATGAAAGAATTAGACTGGGTGCAATACCAAATAATGTTATAAACAATGAGTTTAATTAGTTATAAATATTTTAATTGACTTTACTTAATTTTATAGAAATCTAATTTAGGTTGCTTTATAATTAATTATATGTAATAATAATAAACATAAGTTGGACAAGGACCATTATGGTAAGCTGTGCCTTAGGATTTTGTATTCCCTAAACCTAAATTTGAAGCCACAGTCACAAAATTGGGAAAGAAATAACACGAAAGACATTTAGTAATTACTGATAAACATATATTATTATTCAAAGTAATTGAAGTTATATTGAAAAGGACAAAAGTAAGCATGTTCATAAATTACTCCCTTTGGATTTTACTACCAGATTTGAAATATTTAGAGATGCACCTGTTTTGAAAGCCAATGCATCTTAAAAAAAATCAACTCCTAACACTCCTGCATCTACTAGAGCTGATATAGTCAAGCCTGAGGATGTACAAACACTAGGTGACATTTTGCATATAAGATTGTAAAGTGAGAATACAGAAAAATTTTGGGATTTCACTGGTGATTAAGAGATTTTAAAAACATTTCGAAAATATTTCGGATAGAAAATCAATCAGATGGGATTTCATCACATGTTCAAAGTTTTCAAAAAGATTGGAAAGGGAAATTTTGCAAGTGTTTATTTGGCAGAACGAATTGAAGACGGATAATAAATGGCTATCAAAGCATTTTCAAAAAGTGCAGTTTATGCAGAAGAGAATGGAAAGGTACTCAATTATTATGATAATTTTAAAGGAGGGTTTAATTAATGAAATAACAATAATGAGAGAGCTCGATCACCCTAATATTATGAAATTATACGAGGTTTATGAAACTCAGAATTCTTTATATATGGGATTAGAATTATTATAAGGAGGATAATTATATGAGATAATGAAAAAGAAAGTAATCTTAACAAACAAATAAATTCAATCTATTATGAGAGGACTTTTGGAAGGATTGGCACACATGCATTCTAAGAACATTATGCATAGAGATTTAAAATTAGAAAACATTTTATTCAAAGAATAGAAGTATAATATTATTATTTATTAACGAAAATAGCGATATCAATTCAGTTGTGATAGCCGATTTCGGGTTAGCTACTTTTGTAAATCTGCCAGTATATCTTTATTGCAGATGTGGTACTCCTGGATTTGTGGCTCCAGAAGTTATCAATATTACTGATATGTCAACAACTTATGATAGTGTTTGTGATATTTATTCTCTTGGACTAGTCTTCCACATATTATTAACAGGAAAGCCAGGGTTTCCTGGAAGAAGTTATAACACAATAGTCTAATAAAACAAGGAAGCTAAAATCAATTTTAAAAGTCCTGTGTTTGATGTTGTACCACCACCAGCTTTTGAATTGCTAAAACATATGTTGGAGCCTTCGCCTAAGAAAAGAATAACAGCTACCGACGCTTTGAAATATGAATTTGTTGCATTATGCGAGAAAACTATCAATGCCGCATAGGAAGATGATGGAAATATTGGGGATATCGATGATAAACCAGGGTTGAATGTTAGAATCTAATAAATCAATGAATAGTATTTAAATGAATCTATTCATTTAGGGCAGCAAAATTTGATATGCTTAGAATTAATCAATTAACTAATTCGCCTATTAAATCTCCAGTTATGCAGGCGACCAATAAGATGAAAGAAGTATAGAATAAAGACTAGTAAATGATAATGAGAACTCCAGTTATTACAGGAAGAACTGTTGCATGTGAAGGTAATTAATTATTATTATTCAAGAATCTCCAAATATGAATTAATTTGTCTCTCCAAGTGTTTAATTCAAAAAGCTACAATAAAAGTAATATTCCTTATTAATGTAATTAGTTAACAATAAGCACCTACTGGAAATGTTCTATTGAAATACACTCAAAAGCCCTAATAATAACAATAAACTAATACTGAGGATGAAAAAAAGGATTAATCAAATATTGCTAAATCAGTTAAGGCTGCATTAAGTAAACATGTATGAAAATAAGAAATAAATAAAATATAAGATATATTAAAATTTTATATTTCAAATATCTTTTATATATTTAAAATTTTCTGGTTCTTTAAGAGCTCTTAGTAAATTATATCTGTATTTTAGATGCCATCCAGTGTTCGCTATTCTTGAATTGTAAATGTAAGATACTGATTATTGTTTTAGAAAATATTCACTATAAATTATTTTATATTATGTATTACCTAAAAATTCGAAATGCTTTATTAAATTGTTGACTTTTCTCTTAGTTAGTATCAACCCAAAGTTCTCTAAGTTGTTTAATGTTAGTCATCTGATTCTTCTTATCCTTTAACACACTCACAAATTCTTCAAATTATTCACAGTTCATTATTTTTAATCCTATATCTTTATTTTATATAATGTAGCTAATGATTGCTTTAGAAAAATTTTTAGTGATATTTTTAGTATCATTTACTTTTCCTTTTTTGATCTTACTCTTTAACTTAAAATAAGAATTTTTTTAATCTTTACTATCCTTTTCCGCTTAATTAGGTTCGATAGATTCAGAATCATCATGTGAACCAAAAAACTAAAAATCAGAAGTTCGAAAATGCTGACTTGATTATACTTGTTTTGGCTAGCCTAAGAATCGATCTTAAGATTATAAGATTGGATTTGTAATTTAATATTGCAAGGCTTGATACTACTCTTGTGGGTAATTTGCATAATACTAAGGATAAAGTTAATCTAATGATTTTTTTAAATCTTACATTAGATAAGAGGAAATTGATTTCTAGGAAAAGACATGAAAGTACTATCATTAGATTCTTGGACTTTAATTTTTCTTAAGATTTTATCGTCCTAAAAGATAACCTATTATTTTAGAAGCCATTTATACATATAGCTAATTATTTTGGTTGGGCAAGATAATTATATTTGATTTCTTTTTATTATTTTGATGTCTTATGAGATTGTTTAGACACTTAATGAATTTATGTTAAATTATTTAGAGCTAATTTATCTACATTATTATTTATTAGTTTACCTTTATTCTCTAGTCATTTCCATCAAAACTATGATAGACATTTTAGAAAGAATATGGCTATTACATCATAGACATTTAAACACTATCCTAACTTCTCAGATTACTTATCATTATAGACTTTTTTTTTGTAAAAATTAAATATTAACATCGTAAAAATATTTACAAATTAACTGGACATTTTTATAATTAATGGATTGAATATCCATTTTTGGGATGTATGATTTATTATTATAATATAAATGATATAATATTGATTAAACTAAATCTAATATATTATTACCTATAATTTTTCATCATTCTTACCCTTCTTCCTTCTGTTTCTCTTAAGACTCCTCACTTTCTGATTACGAACTCTCGTGCTCCTATTAAACTTATTATTCCTTCAACTTTTAATATTGCGATTCAGTGAAATTAGTATAAGCCCTCAATAGTTAGTCCTTCAAATCTTTTTCCATTTCCTATGCTCCTAAAATCAATATTTTTACATTGAACTTCTCAGTACTATATTCCTTTAGAGGATTCATACCCTCATTCGTTTTAGCTGGCTGCCATAAAATATGAGGGTATGTTCTAAAAGGGTCATCAAATAATTTACTTCGTAATAAAAAAATCTCTCATTATTTTAATTTATAGCTCAAGTAATAGAACCTAAAATAATTTAATTTAATTTAATACTTATCTTCTATATTCATCTGCAGCCAGCTCTTGCTCTAATTACTTTCTTTCATTGACTAATGAACTCTTCTTTCTCTGAAAAAATTATAAAAGAACAATTACATTTTAATCCTCTTTCAGAGTTTATAAATCCTATTTATCCTTATCATCCAATCTCTTATTTATTTCAATCTATTTATCCAACTAAATAATAGGGGGAGAGTAGAAATACTTTTTATTTCTCACCCATCAAGTCTTATTTCGCTTTCTAGAGATGGTTTCCTAATAAGAATTTTGCTAAACGTTTATCCTTCTCTTTCAAGGTAGTGGGTACTTGTTCATCAAGCTACTTTTACTTTTCTGCACGTTCTTCCTTTGCACCCACAAGGTTTATTTGAAATACATTCTAAACAATCTAAACAATTATATGTACAGATTCCTTTCCATTGTTTAATTTAACCTTTTTGTTATCTTATTTTCTAATTAATATAGCTAACTAATATACTGAAATGAGAAGTTCCTGATCTCATTTATTATTGCCTTTCTTTTCGTTAGAATATCAGCCTGCTTCTTATTTAATTCATTCAGTTTATTTCTTAAATCATCAGCATTCATTGGAGATAAATATTATATTATATTATTTATATTAATAAAATAAATTCAGTCTATATTTTGCATACTTAACTTTTCTATAATCGGTACATATGATGAAGTTACGTTAAAATTCACTTATCCATTATATATGTTAACCGCCTGTTCTAACTTTACAATAATCATTAAATTATAATCTAAGATATTGATAGCAATTTTTGTAAATTATAAAAAATTTACTTAATAAATTACAATCAACAAATAATCAAAACTTAATTTTTATTCTCCTTTATTGGAATTGCTAATATTATAAACACAACTAGTAGAGTTGTATAATAAAGGATATATTTTAAGATCCCAAACAAGATATTATTCTCAATCATATAAATATTCTTCAATGATTTTCTATGTACTTTGAAATTTATAATAATTTATATTCGCTATTTTATTCTCTTAATCCCTCTCTTTTGCTAATATTACTCAAGTAATAACTTTAGAGAGGTGATTTTAATGGCTTTGTTTTTCGGATAAAATGATCATTTATTCTTCTTAAGTTTATTAATAATTTAGTTAGAACTACATTCTAATTGCATTCATAATTTAGATATTGTTGAGTTTTGTGTTAGTTATGAATATAAATTTTGTGGCACTTCATAGTCAATATTATCTTTGATTACTATAACCATATATCAATTTATTCTAATTTTAATTTGTAAATCTATTCAGTAATTTGATTAAATTTCAGTTTAATTTTAAAGATATAATAATTTGATGAATTAATAATTATGTTAATGAAAATTTGACATTGTAATTGTTAAAGCAATTTCTTCTGTATACGAAATTGGATAAGAAATTTTGTATCAGTTAAATATTCTAACAGGTAATTCTAAGTATAAGTTTGAATATTAATGTTTTGTGGTGCTATAAACAATTTGAGATACAGAAATGTCTAAATTATTCATTTAAAATTTAGAAAGAAGAAAATTTTTGATTTTCTTTAATTAATTTTTTGCTAAATTAGGTGATAAGAAGTAGATAAAGTACAATATTTTTTAATAGAAAATTTATTTACGATATAGGAATAATGACTATTATGCAAAGGAGAATGAAATGAATAAAATTTTAATTAGCAATTCTAATTATATTTAAAAAAAGAATAAAATATAAAGAATGTCGAAATCATATCATTACCAAGTTTAGTATATTGCTAAGGATCAATAGGAATAAAAAAAAGATTCTTAGCCATATAGAAAAGTAATTCAATAATTAATTAGTCATAGTCACATAATAACAATTACGATGGATTTTCAAGAAACAAAAAATATTACAACAATCGATAACATTATTAAAATGATAATAAGAGAGTGGAATATGAATGTATTTATCCTATTATTATTAATAGAGAAATAATAAATATGTTAGCCCTAAAATAATGTTTATGATGCAAAATTATTACTTTCAGCTTATCGAGAATATTTATAACCTCCTGAAGAAGTCGTCCACCTGACCAAAAAAATACCATAATTATTTGCAACTAAACCATTCAAACCTATTTCTTAGACAACACATTGCAATCACAGTGACGAAGAAGAACCTTAATGGATGCAAGACTCATAATTCAATGCCCCTTTTAAATTAAATGATATAGAAAATGAAATTTAATCAAAAAGAGAACAATATCAAAAAGATCATGGTACATTTGAGAAAAAACAGGAAGAAAAAAGATAAAAGATATAAGAATTTCAAATTTAACAAGAAGCTATTAATAGTATTGAAATCGAAAAATAGAAGTACAGAGAAAAAAGAGAATAAGAATTAAAATAATCATAAGCTGCTATCGAAACTAAATAAAAACTTTTTGAACTCTTTTCTACAAATGTTGAACCCTAAGCAACTCCTGTGGTAGTCAATCATAATATTCTAACAGTTGAGGAAATAGAGAAACGACAATTAACTAAATAAATCTAAACTAATAATAATAATAATAATAATAATAATAATAATAATAATAATAAACCAGAAGAAACAGCTAAAGTTTAAGAAGCTTGTATTAGCGATGATGAATTAAATCAACTCTTGGGTTTTAATAACAATAATGAGAACTCTAAAACTGTAGATTAGTTGCCTTCTATTCTTTTTAAGAGCGAATAAATTAAAACTTCACCATTTTCTATACAAGCTCAATTACACAACAAAGACATTAATGAATCATTATGGTTTTATATTGATAAATCAAACAAAGTAATTTGGATTTTTTTATTTAGACTTAAGGGGGGTTTCCAACCAAAAATATGGATATTTGGTATTCGTAAAATTATTTAAAACCCAGTCTCATGATTTCATGGGGTTCTCCTGGAAAGTGGATATATTTGGAATAATACTAAAACAATTTACAATCGATATTATAGGGGACCTTGGATAAATTAAAAGCAATGGATCCTTTAGCAGTTGATTAAACAAAAGCTTACAAGCCTGCTCAACCTAATCAGCCATCATAATAATGGATAAACCAGCAACATTACGTTTAAAATAACAACATTAATAGATATTAATATACCAATTAAAATAATTAATACGGATAATTAAGAAATAGAAACAACTAAAATAGAACCATCTTTTAGATTGGATAAAAGGATACATAATAAGTGCATTATAATTAGTATTATAGTTCAAATGGGAATCAATACGAATAATCAGGTGAGGGATTTGTTCTTGATATAAAGAGTTTTCCAACACCTGATGAAAAGTGAGATTAATAAAATTAAAAAATAATATTATTTATATATTTCAAAATTTTCTATTGCTAAAATTGATTGATTTCTAGAAGAAATTTGGATACTGTTTTCTATTACTGCCAATATACTATAAACATTATAAATAATCTTACTTTGTTTCCAGAATTATCAGATATATACTTTGATTTTGATTAGTTAAGTGGGCTTTGGAATATTTGACTAAAATATAAATGAATTTTGATTACTTTTAAAATCTATTTGAATAAAATCCAGATGAATGAACATTGGTTGAATTATTTATTTATGTTAATAGGATTTTTTATTTTATTTCTTCTATTTTGATTTCTTCATCTAACCTTAATTATTATCTTATCAAATCATTCTTCTATGTTGGAGAGGATGGATTGAATTTTCTTTGATAACTCATTCTTGAGAAGTTTAATAACTCTCTATTGTATTCATTCTTCAATAGCGACCCTATAGGAGATGTATTTTTCTATCCTAAAATAACTTCTAATTTGTTTATCTTATTCTTTAGTTATTGAATTTGGTAATCTATATCATTATAAGAGTCATTTTTTGATTTTTTGTAATCCAAAGATTTATATTCTATTTCTTATGACTATTGTTCTTATTGATTGTTTTACTAGGTATCATTTTCGTCCTAATCAGTATCTTTTTGCTGTACCTATTCCAATTCCTCTTCTTATAAAAACTGTTCTTAATCTTCTTATAAAGCTTATTCTTATTCTTAATCTTCTTGTTATTGTTCTTAATCAACATTTTCTTCTACTTATTGTTCTTGTTCCTCTTAATTTTCAGTATAAATTTGATCTAATAAAATTTAGAGCTATTATTGCTATCCTTAAATAATAGTAACGAAATTCTCAAGAATTTCATTGCTAATATCTTCTCCTTATTATTACAACCAATTCTTCAAGGAATCAACTGTAATTTAATTATCATTATCATAAATATCCAATTAATTCAAGTCAATTTTTTCTTGTATTTGCTAATATTATCTAAGAAATAATAATATAATTTACAAATAATTTTATTTTATCTAAATAAAAAATTATGACAATTGAGTTTCGATCTCTTTTGGTAATTACATATCTACGGGAAGATCATAGCTCTTATGATTTAAGGCTTAATCTTTCACCTAATCATTCATCTTAGGCAAAATCGCATTCTTGAAGCTAATTATTTATGTGAAAATAATACTCCTAATAAGTTACTAAACTATCAGAATCTTCATCTAAAACTCTGAAGATATAATCAAGTTCATCTTAACCTACTTAAATTTCATTATCCAATAAAAATTCATAGATGTTTTCTGGTTTTAATCCTCCAGTTCTTGGCTAATCTAATCTTTTGTATGCTAATTGTGATATAATTATTTTACTTGTAAATGGTTCAAAATTGTTCTAGCTTGCTAAGAGTATCCTGATTTCCTCAAGCTTTGCTTCTGCCTCAACTGCATATTAAATAAAGAAATAGAAATTCATTAAATTATAAAAATAAGATTAAATAAAATTTTATTTTATTCTTTAAACAAATAAGTTCAATAAAACATCATTCTAATGTACAAAGCCTGTTTTTCTTCGAAAAATGACCCTTCCTTTAACTTAAAGGAGATTGTAACGTCTACTTTACGTTAAACCTGTATTATTTTGGTGGCTCATAATAATGATCTACACTACTATTTCTCTACCTGTTTGAGTATAAATATAAATCATCTAAGATTTAAGGTTTTTTTTAGAATTTTGGCTTTATGATGTCAGAAATATCAAGTAATTCTGTTTTTTTAATTGTATTTTAGTAATATTATCTATTTTTAACACTGATTTCAAAGTCACTGCAATTTTAGTATTCCAAAGATTGTAAAATCAGTTTCTACCTTTTTTATAGTATGCATTTCTAAGATGGCTATGTAGCTGTTTCATGATCGGTTGTATTTATAATTTTTAATTAGCTTGTTAGTTTATTTGATTATTATTAGGTTTCTATGGTTTCATTTTAATTCAAAGTCGAATATTTGCCTTTGCTTGAATGTATATCATTTTTTTCATGCTGATTCAATCGATCAATGCATTTTTAGGACTATTTCGAAATATTATTGAACTGTTATTGTAATTCAGTATTTTATTTTTGAAGTTCTGATATCTGGATTTTCAAATCTGATATGAATTATTCTTATTCTGTAATTTTTTTTTCATAAAAAAGTAATTATGAATTTTACCTCTTTATTGTATCCTGCCATTAACTATTTACACTTTCTTATCTTTTTAATTTATTTGATAATTGATCATTTAAATCATATAATTCCAATAATTCTTTTTTCTACTACCTAATTGTATACTATTAAGGATCATAGAATTCTTATGTGATCTCTTCTTCATATTATTTATTCCTAAATTGCATATTATCTAAAGTCAGTTAGTTCACTATGTCTTACAGTTATTAAATATTTGATGTCTATTCAGCTATTCTCTAATAAAGTTTAAAATTAATAGCTTAATTTCTTTCTATAAGTTATTGATAGTATTTCTCAATTTCAAGAATTATTTTTTATATAGTTTCTTGAATTACTCTTTTATATTTAGTATGAACATTCTGAATCTCTATCACATTAGACTGCCTTATAAGTTTGAGAGGAGAGGTTATTATACTTGAAGATGCCAATGTTTGAGATGTAAATTCTCCAAGAATAGGATCAAGTTCATCATTAATAATATCTGTAAATTATTAATTCATTATAAAATTCATTACTATTATTATCTCTATTATTCACGAAGTTTTTCAATTTACTTTCTCTAAAATTCAAGGTCTTGTCTCTCTTACATCTTTTAAGGTTGATAATATAACACAATCAAATATCTAAATAACAATTAATAAAAAATATCAATATACCTTCCTGCAACATTAAAACCAGATATATTATCAAAAGCATTTTTTGCATCATAAATATCCTCATAAACTACAAAAGCTGTTCCTTTTTTATCTCCATGAGTCCCCCTAAAATAATCTAATCCAGATGAATTACTTTCGAATTTATCTAATTGCTCCGAATTTTCCAAATATATCATACATTTCTTCAGATGTAATTTTATATGGTAAATTTCTTACATAAAGTATTCTATTTACTTCAGCTGGCAATCTGATAACTTATCTAGACATTAAATTTATGATAAATTAAATAATTATATAATTAACTTGGAAGTAATTTTTTTATTTTCATTATAAATTGAGTTAGTCCAAATATTGTCTCACTAATTTGTCTTTATTTTTCTTCTATTTAATTCAAAGTATTTAACCTTAGTTGTTCGCCATTCTTTTTGAACTCATAATAAAAATCACTACATATCATGTTTACATTAACCTAATCGAAATAGAAAAAATACTATTTGAAATTAACAATTATTTCTTTATTCATAATTCATTCTTAAATTTTATTAAATATAAATTTAAGTTATATGATTAACATGAGATTATAAAATCCAAAATCCTTATCTTCACTTGTAAATTCGTATTTAAAAAAAATTCACAATCCAATGGAGATTAATGAATTAATGGATAAATTATTGAGTGGTGCCACTTTTTTGCCTATATATGGACTAACTGATAAATAAAAATTAGAACATAGAACCATCTTCACTAATATTTCACTTGGGAATAACTAAAACTTAGGGTAGCTTATGAGACTAAATTAGCACTATATTAGGGATAACAGTTTTAGGAGTGATTGGCTTTTTGGCCCTTGGATTTACCTTTTTAGGAGCCATAGGTGGAGGAGCTATTGGCATAATTTTGGGAAGGTACTTAGGAAGGAAGATCTCAAAAAAAATTGCTACAAAAGGGATAAATTTAACTGAATTTGATATCTTTGTCATCAGAGTAAAAGGCTTACTAAAATGGGTAAACTTCAATTTGATGATTTAGGGTAAATTGATTATGGTCAAGTATCTGAATAACATCAACTTACAGAGGTTTTGTGTTTAGAGAATTTTGACTGAGATCATTTATTACTATGTTAACAGTCCACCTTGTGTAGATAACAGAGAGTTTTGTTAGAAAAGAATATTGAAATACGATTTTCCAAAGCCTGGAAAAACTTGTCTTTTATATTTTAGTGTAGATCACAAAAAAGCCCCTAAATTCAAAGGGCATATCAGAGCAGAAACATTAATTTCAGGTTATATTTTAGAATCTATACCTGGAGGAAGTCGATTGTATTTTTGTTCAAATAATGATGTCAAAGGGGACATTCCAAAAGTATGACAAAAATATTATATAAATAGAGCTTAGTTAACTATGTAGCTTCGAGAGCCCCTGTTGGTTGGATTAATTCATTAAGAAAAGGTTGCGAAGATTACAATAAGATAATGCTACAAATTCAATGATAAATAATTGAGAATAGCAATTTATTTATAAATCATGTTACTATACTTTATAATAATCAATAAATCATATTTGAAAATTGAATAAAAATCTATTTGACTATTGAAATATCTTAAATAATAGAAATAATATTAGAATTTTTTATTTTTTCATTTAAATAATTTTTTGAGAAAGAATGTCACTGAAATTATTATTATCACTTTTAAAATTGCAGGTTTTACAACTACAAATTTCCCTAATAATTTACTAAATTATAATCTATGGGTTTTAGTGCATAATTTTGAAGTATCTAAATTTTCACATTAGTTGTCAACCTGAAAAACATCATACATAATAAATTGCTAACCACTTAAAATATTAAACCAAACTACTATATCTAAAGAATACAAAGTGCGTAAATTAACATTCCAAAGTGATACAATATAAATATATAGAACTTTGTTTATTAGATAAATAATGTTTAAATTAATAATAATTTGCTTATTCGTTTTAATACAAATTAAATGTTAAGATGGAGATGGGATGGATGAAGCAAAAAAGTTATATTAAGAATTACATGGAGACATAGAATTAGAAGAAAATTCAAATGAAAATAATTAAGAATAAGAAGATGAAAAGGAATGTGAAGCAACAAAACAAGATGAATAAATCTATATGGCAAAATAATTATCAAAAGTAGTTTTAGAAGAATAAATAGAAAAAATCACTAAACGACTTTCTGATATTAATGTTTAAATAGAATCTTTGAAATATAATATGCCAACTAATGAAAAATCTGATGAATGCTTAGAATTTAAAGATTGTGCTGCATGTACTAAAAATGCAAAATGTGGTTGGTGTAGCATGGAAGAAAAATGTGTAGCAGGTGATAATATAGCTCCATTTTATACAATGTGCAATTTTTATAATTATTTATATTGCGCTGGAGAATGTGCTCGATATGTTGATTGCGATGTATTTATATTTTTAAGGAAAGTCATGTGTAAAAGATACAGCTTGTGGATGGTGTGAAGATTAACCGCACATAATTATTAGTTGTGTTTAACTAGATGGGGATGGCATACAATGTCCATAGAACTATTTGATTGGAGATGGATCTGATAAATGTCCAAAACGATAATTAATTGTGCTAAAAACTGTAAATAATAAAAAAAGAAAAGAAACTAAAGCAGAAGAACCCAATAGTAAAAACTCAGAAAGAGGATGGGAAGATAATTATGGTAATTTTAATAGTAACTTATTTTTAGTTATGGTTAGACAAGGAAGATATAAGGAAAGAATGAATGCTCTGAAGGAGAATGCCAGTCCATCAGGAGCGGCTGTTGGAACCAATGAATTAGATCGATTATATGATGAGAAAGCAACATTGGAGAAGAAACTCAACTCTTATTAGAAATAATATAAAAAACTAGTAGGAGAAGGAGGAGAAGACGGATAAGATGAAAATGCAGATGAATGATTTAAAATAGGAATTCATTTAATATATATAAATAATTACTTTATAAAGTAAAATATGGGTACTTGTGTTTCAAATTAGGATGATGTTAGAAATGCTAATTAAATAGCATTATCATTGTAAATAATAGTAAAGTAACATTAGAGAAATAAAACACTTCACATGGAGTCGAGATTCTCATGGTTTGTTCGATTATGAAAATAAAAATGTGATAAAAGGGTAATTAAAAACCAATTCGTCAAAAAGTATTTATTATTATGAATGAAAGTGATATTTATCAGATAAAAGGAAGCCATAAGAGTTGTTTAAACGAAGGATGAGCTGTTAGTAATATATAAATTTTAATGAATTACTTTTAGTAATATCAAAACTAATCAGATGTACAGGAACTTATAAGAATAAATCGTTAGATAACTAAATATTTTATTGAATCGATATACTAGCAATAAATATCAGAGGAAACTGAAGGTTTATCGGATTTTAGTCCTTGGGTTGTAGTTAAATCATTAAAGAGTCAAAAGAATGATTAAGCAGTTAATTTATTATACTATGCTTGATAGGGTTATTCCTTGAAATAAAATGATTACATAAAGTTGGGAAGAGTTCGATTTAGAATTCGAGAGATCAGTTGTTCAAGTGCCAACCCCAATAATTAGGAGTTGCCCATTGAACCAGAATTATAGAAATTTGTATCCGATAAAAGTTTAAACCTCATGAACATTCATACATAGGAAGATGAATAGAGTTAGGTGGAAGAACCATAATGTAGGATATGTTATAACGATGCTTAAACAGATTTAAATAATCCTTTGATTGATTGTTGCAAGTGCTAAGGATCAGTAAAGTTTATCCATTTGGTATGTTTGTAAACTTGGCTGCTTAATAAATTATAACCAAAAACCACTAAATTCTCAGTTTCCTTTTAATGGAAATAATTCGAATGCGAAGTCTGCAAAGCTCCTATTCCTAGTAAATATTAAAATATATGAACAGATAGAATCAAATACTAAAACAGAATTTATGAAACAATTGTACTCCCTAAACCAGAACCTCCCTATTTAACACTAGAGATATTGAGTAGAGATAGAAATCAAAGCAAAGGAACACACATCATTAGTTTTTCATAAAAGAAGTTTATAAAATTAGGAAGAGGTCATGATTCTGATGTTCGTATTACTGATATTTCAGTTTCAAGATTACATGCTATAATCAAATATTCTAATTGTAAATTCTATTTTCATTGATATAGCTTAATTTTTTATTGAAGATCAACAGTCCAAATTTGGAACTTTGGTATTAATGAAAAATCCAACTTAAGTCTCAGTTGATATGAATAAGAACCTTGCTATATAGATAGGAAGAAGCGTTCTCAATTTTCAAGTATTAAAAGATTGGAATGTTTAAACTTGTTGTATGTAAGAATAATCAAAGTTATATTTTCAATAGGGGTTCTGTATCAGATGAGTAAATGCAGCAGTAGGATGACAATAATAATTTGATTGGAAGTGCAGTAGGAGATGACGATTAAATTCAAGTGGAATAAGCATTTATCGATAATAATGGGGAATTCGATTGAAAGTTAATGTTCTTATTTTTATTTGTATTTGATAATAATATAACAAATAACTCATCTTCTCTATTGAGGCTGCTTTTAAGGATAAGACTTTCCACGTGACTTTTAATTTTGAGCTTTTCTTTATTATTTTTATTCATTTTGCTTTTATTATTTTTGTTATTATTGCTATTCGTCTACTTTAAATTGGAAAATTACATATCTCAGCTTCCTCTTAAGCCTTTTTCTCAGCATCAGGATTCTTAAATATCAATATTACTATTCATACCAATCTAAAATACTTAATCGAATTTCCTTTAATTAGCAATTCTTTGATACCATGAAATGAATTTCCATCCTGAGAAAGATATAAGGGAATCAATTACTTTTGATGTGTGTTTGACATTGGTTAATTTGGCATTCATAAATTTATCTAATAATTCTAATTTACCATCGTATGTATCTCCAGCTTTAACTTCAATTACCTATTCTTATCATTCCTTAAAATATACCACATCTGATCCTTTGGCTGTTAATAATAGACTTAACGGGAACTAGAATAATGATGAAAAGTATTTACGATATTTATCATTAAATAAAAGTGTATGAAAATATATTAAATAATACTATATTAAGTTAAAGTCTGTTTCACTAACCCACTCTAACATTAAAAATCAGTACATCTTGAAATTTTTCAGAACTTCTAAATAACATATTTCTATCAGTAGTTTTTTAGATTTATTGTCATTTATATACTCATATTTTACATAAAATCTATTAAAATTATTAATACATGTCCATGTATTTTAGAAATGCTAAAATGAATAATGAGAATTGAATAATATGTTGTTATATTTTATTGTATAATTAAAATATTCATAAAATTTTATTTCTAATGTCTTCAAGTTTTTTTATAATGTCAGCGGGAGTCCTATCAAATTCTTCTGCTACAGCTCTTTATTTGTTATATTGCATATTTCCAAATTGATCACACAAATCTCCATCAATGATAGACTATAAAAATGTTATATAGAATATTTACTTTACAAGGCCCATAGGCAGATCTAAATTACATATGATCTCTTCCAGAAAGTGGTTGATGTTCAACTCTAAGATACATTTCAAGATGGAGGAAGAAATCAATGTCTTCTTTATTATCAAATGGATAAAGCGCAGCAATTGATCCCATGGATGTTCCATAAACAACCACTTCTGAACTGGTAGACACTAAAGCAATTTTTTAGAGACTAGTGATGACTTCACCTACATAAAAATTACAAATTTAATCCATTTTGAATGGAGCTCCATTCATACAACCTTGATCCATCTTCATCTTGTATTCATATGGATGTTCTTCTTATTCTTCATCAATATCTAATGGTACTCTGCTAACAAAAATGTTTTCAAATTTATCGCCTGCAATAACAGTGTGATAATCTAGTACAGTACTAGCAGTTACATATCTTGGTAGGATATCATCTGCCAATTCCATGAATGTTTGATCTCTTATATTATATCTAAGGAGATGAATGGAATCAGCCACTTCTGCCACATAGATTCTATCTTCTTTGACCATAATTGAAGTGATGAAAGAATTCAGGTTTTTAATTTCTGCCTTCTTCAAAATTCTTTGATTTCCCATTTCATAGACTCTTAGATTGCATCCAGCTCCGACTAACAATCTTCCTCTCCAAGCTGCTAATGCGTATGGAATTTCATCAATGGGAGTGGAATGTTTCAACTTCAAAGTCTTATTATCATAAACAAATGTGTGAATGAATCCTTGGCTGAATTTCCTAGATGGCTCATTCACAAGATCCTTCACTGTGCCAACACATATGTATTACTCTGGATAGCCAGCAAATTAAATGTAACAGATTGAACATGCGTGTTAATTCTCATAGAATTGATGAACGTTAACAGTTTCCAATTTAGTAGCATCAACTATTCGAATCAAAGATGCCCACTTATATTGTTCAGCTTGAATTTGATTCCATTATTCTGGTAACTCTTCAGTCTAATAGACTTCCTAAACCTTCTATTAAATATTGTTGTAGGATCGGTTGTCAGATTCAATTATGAATATTGCTTTGCTAGGTTCATGAAAAATCATCTTCCTAGGAGAATATGTCAAATCTAATGACTACTAATTAAATATTTCACCAAATCTCTCTGGCATGATAATTCGTAAAGTACTTTAATTAGTACCAACAATACCTTAAAATTCCTTAGCAAGAAAAGCCGAAGCATAATCCAAATAATCATAAGATAATGGCTACATGAATATGCGACCACTGTTATTATAACACAACCATGATCTAGACGACAATGCCAACATAGCCTGTTATTAATTGGCTGTAATCCTCAGACATTTCACAGGCTTCGTTCCTAAATATCTTGTTCTTGTGTCAGACAAACCTCCTGACAATTAATCAACTGAAGTTCTCATTAAGAGACCATTATTCAAACCTATAAATAAAAATAACTATTTTGTAAAACTTTATTACCCTTCCTATTCAGAGGCCATTTCCATCATGCATAAGCTTTCAGCCTCACTGGGCAACGCTTACATGGCTCCTCTTTCAAAACAAGATTCAGGCTCTAAACTCAACAATCTGATTGTTTAATCACTCAAAGCCACACATAGAAATTTGCACCTTTGTCTCCCCTCTTCAATAGGGCCCAATTCTAAAGCTTTAATTTCATTATCCATTTGATCCTTTGTAATCTCTATCAAATTTCCTGAGACACTTGTAGTATCCAATTCAAAATAGTAAACATCTCCTCCTGCCAAAGCAAATGCTACTTATTTCTCATTTGAAACTCCTTTAATAACTTTGCCATCTATGATATAATCAGTGGGGGGTTTGTTCTTTCTAATGTGTCTATATCCATTTGTCAAAATTTGAATTTATGAATCATCTATCAAAGTTCCGACATGAATTGTTTATTTAGTTCCTTCTAATCCTGTATCATGAACTTGCTCCACCTTCTCACCAATCTTCAATACTAAAGTTTTATTGATGTATGAAATCACTATGTATTTATGAACTGGATCCTCATACCTCTCTTTTAAAGTCCAAATTCCTAATGGCTTAGCTTATAAATTAGTATTAGCCAATTGTGTAATTTCTAAACCATGTCTTAGAACTCTCAAAGTTGATCTATTACCAGCAGCACAACAAATATATATTTATGGATTGCCTTCCTTTGCTAAATCAGCCACCTTTAAATCACTAATACAACTAAAATTATTAAGTTCCTATAAGAGTGACAAATGCTTAAGCTTTTAAGGCTTAAAAAATATTTATTCTTCCAAAGCCATGCTAGAATCAGTGCAGATAATGTTTGTGCTTGTCTCCTCTCTCTAGTATTTATAGAAACAATGATTTCCCTTTTCACAAGCTGCAAATAGATGTTTGCTTCTCATCAAGCACAAACTGTTAGCTACTGGAATAGTATCAAAGTAAATCATTCTTATTGAATGAACCTCATCTTTAGTGAATTGTAATGATAATTCGAATAAATCACCATACTCTGATTATAACAAATATAAAAAGGATGACTAAGATATATATTTAATGATAATTACTTTTTATTTATAAAATCCAAATGAACTTATCATCGCTCCCCTATCAGCAGGCATTCCCTGATTCTTGGGATATGGCACTTTCATCTCTTAATTCTTTGGCCCTCTATAATGCAAGAAATCTTCACATAACACTATAACACCTCCTGGTCCATCAGGTGCATTAGGAACCATTAATAAAGAATGAGAAGAAATATGAATAGGATCCGATCTTTATCTCCTTACAGTATTCAATCCAAAATCCATTTCATATATTGTTAAGAATTTTGTTTATATGCCTGTGCAAACTGCACTGTCCTTGTCTTACCAATCCCCATAATCAGATTCTATAGCTGCAAATTATGCATTATCATATCCAGCATCTAACCCTACAATATCAAACACAATAGTGTGTGACTTTGGTGCCTCTAAAGGGGAAGAAATAGTTATTTTTTCATTTTCTCTAGTTAAAATATATACAAATTTATGTTTCTCTACTGCACTAATCATAAAGGCTCTTCCTTTTGGATCACATGCCAGGTATTAGCCAGGCACTATCCTTCTGCATCCGGTTTTCCCATATGTTTCTTAATGCACTTTTACAAACATGTTTTTCTACCCATCAAAACCCAACACTACTACTCGACCTGAATCACTACCAATAACCAAATTATCTCTATTGTTCTACAATTTAATTAAAATATTTACTCCAGGAAATCTGAATGAATGGATTGAACGTATTATTCCAAATACTTCCTATGATGCTATTGTCTCTAATTTACCACTAAACATCATATAACATCATTATACTTGCTATCATTTATCTTCAGAAGCTCAATGTGCTTTACTTTTGATACAACAATCTCTTAGGCTTTTGGTCCTGAGAAATTTCCATATATGGCTTTTTGTATTCCTGTGCTTTTTTGTAAAGTTAGACTGTATAGTTGCATATCCAATATTTAAATAAAAACAAAAAAGAATATATTAAATAAAATCAATAATTAATTTGTAAATTAGGCATTCTTTTCTTATTAGTCTTCTACACTATGTACACCTCGACATTTTCATCATTATATACTCTATTCTCAGTCAACTTATAAATCTACTCCTCCAGATTATTGATTTTCACTTCCATATCACTCTCATTTTCTATCTTATTTTAATTTGATAATAACTCTATGTTAAGTTAAACTTTATTACCAAGACATTATTCAATCTGCATATTTATATTAACTAACTTCTCAAAAGGATCTACTTCTGTAGTTCTTTTTGTTGTTTCTTTCTCTTATCTCTCTTATTTCCCTTATTTCTCTTGTTTCTCAATAACTTTTTTTTCTTCATTTTTAATGGCAACTTAACATCTACTAAATGTTTGAATTTCCTTAAGAGTGTTTTCATCTATTTGTTGTAACACATTTCCAGTGGATGCTTTATTATTTCTTCTTTTTTTTGATCTCAATTTAGACATCAATCTATCCAAATTGAATTCTTCATCCAATAATTTATCAATCATCGATTAACATTTTTTCAATAACACTTCAACATTTGATTTTGGTTATTTTAATGATATTCTCATTTCTTATATAAATAATTAGGCATCAATTCTCTCAATGTCACAGGGAATTTATAATGATATTGTTTAATACATTTCTTCATTCTTTCTAAATTAATTCTCTATTGTTTGAATTAATGAATCTATCTATTAATTTTATTTTACTGATGTCGATTAATTGTTTTTGATGGGAATACATTATTCAAGTTCTTATTTAACGATTTAATTTAAATAATACTATTTTAGAAAATAATTATGAATATAAAGATTAAGAATAGATTTTTTAAATACATTGATCTCATTGACTTTTGATCACAAAAATTCAATAATTTATGATAATCTATTACCAGAAACATTCTTGATTAATAATATTTAAATTATAATAGAAAAATGATGAATTTATAAAAATTCATAACTATAAGGCTAACCACTTATGAAATTTAAGAACAACTCGGCATGGGTACCTTTGGTATTGTTTTAAAAGGCAAAAATTAATCAACATAATAAATAGTGGCTATTAAGATATAATAAGAAATGAAAGAAAATGAGAAGGAGATGTTAAATAAAATGAAAGGAAAAGAATTTAGGAACTTAATTAAAATTTTCGAAATTGAATAAATAGACAACTATTATTATATAGTAATGGAATATTGCACAGAATCTCTATATGATAGGATTAAGTCAAAAGGTACAATAAATCCAGATCAGATAAGGTTTATAATGAAAGAAATAGGAAATGGATTAAAGGAAATTCATGATCTAGGTTATGCTCATAGGGATATGAAGCCTGAAAATGTATTGATATTTTAGAAGAAAGACTTGAACGGTACAACATAAGAACTATATAAAATTTGTGATTTTGGAACAATAAAAGATGTTGATGTCCTTCAAACGTAAGCAATTGGCACTGCGTACTATCTAGCTCCGGAATAATTGATCAAAACCAACTAAGGTAGTTCATACACATCAAAAGTTGATATATGGGCTTTTGGAGCTATGATATATGAATTAATGACCAATATTCCTTTGTTCGATGGTATTTTCATTATTTAACATAGGATATAGTGAAGAGGAAGTCTATTAGAAAATTCTTTCAACGACTCAAGAACAAATTGATGAAAAAATTAATACTAATTTGCGTTTAGAAAGGAAATACAAAACTCTACTCTTAAATATGCTTCAAATAGATACTAATAAAAGATATGATATTCACCAAGTTTAATCAGATTTAAGAGGATAGTCACAAAATGTTACTAGAAATCAAGTTCCAAACTCAAGAATATCTCAAATTATTTCAGGATAGCAAAATTCAGGATAGCAAATTTCAAACCTAGTACCTAAAAAGTATCCAATTTTTGATCTTCCAATACCAATGCCAACAAAAACCCTTCAAAATTTTCAAAAAACAGAGATTTTACCAGCGCCTTAATAACTTAAGGAGAAATAATAATAAATGAATATTAATATCAACAACCAAACCTAAAATAAGGTAAGCAGCTAGATGAATTATGCATGTAACATTCCCCCAAAAAATTCAAGCATGTAAAAATTTGATTAACCTTAACCCAAATTTTAAGGTAACCAACCATCAAATATTGGAAAATCTATTTAAATCAATCCCTTCTCAATTAAGGCAAATATGGAACTTGAATAAAAATAACCTTCTAGTTTGGCATAAGACTAAATTGTTCAAAAATAATAAGTTCCTCCACAATAATAGATTCCATAGAACACTCAACAAATTACAAAAGTAAGATTTAATTCTACTATTTCAAACTCATTTTAAGAAAAGAATCCACAAAAGCAAGGCAATAATTTTGGAAACATAAACCAATCTCAACCGTTATCAATAGATGGACCAAAATAGAATTTTACCCAAAATAGGAATTCATCTACACAACCTTAGACACAACCAATATTTTAACTAAATTAATCGATGAAATTAAATTAATAATAAAACTATTTTTAAAACTTTGCACCAAGGTAAGATAGATTTAACCCTTCAAAATTTACTTAATAGCTTAGTTGAAATAATGACATATATTCAAAAAGTAATTTATTATTATTTTTGTAATTAATTATATATTTTACATCAAATGATTATAAAAGTAAATATTTATTTGAACTTATAGATTTTTAGGATTATAGTATTTTTAATCACTTAGAATTTATAAAATGATTGATAGATATAAAAAACATCTTTAAGTTCTATAATTTGATAATAATCAATAATTTTGGAGCTAATAGAAAGTCTACAAAATTAATCTAACATGATTTTATAAAATAATAAAAAACCAAACATTAGTTTGTTTCTTTGATAAATTTAGTTTCATCCAATTTAATTAATTAGATTAATCAATTTTCAATTTCTCTATAAAGTTATCATTAAGTAAAACTAATTTCTTTTCTTTGACAGCATATTTTTATAATATATGCAATTACTACCGAGGCTGATTTTGACTTTTCAGCCATATAATGAGTTAGAACAATGCTTTTTTTATTAATTTTCATCTATATAGTTAAGAAACTAGTCAAAGATATGAATTCAAATTTACATTAATCATTATTTTGCATATTTTAGAATTTCTGTATTAATTATTAGTGAGAGTGTTAATAAGCAACAAGCATAATTGCGAATAAAAATTGGCTGGAGAAAATGTAAATGAATAGGGTATATTATAATTTAAAACTTGAGGAGAGTGGAAAATCTATACTAAAAATGGGAATTCTATTTTGAATATTGGGCCATAGAATGAAATAATAAAATAAGCGTTACTGTTTTTGAACATTGTGTACATGTCGCCCATAATCTAGAAAGTTATTTGCTCAATTTAATTTATTATTTTATTTGAAAATTAGAAGATACAAAATGGAAAGCTGTTATGTAAAAATAGGTATATTGTTATATACTCATTATCCCAAATCAGTATCACCAGCAGCAACTCTCATGGCGATGTATTCCTTTAAGTCTCTCATGTTGGTGTTCAAGTGACCAATCAAGTCAGAAACAGTTTGTCTGTCAGCATCTCTGGCGGATCTTCTTTATTAATATTCATAAGCAGCTTATTAGCATTCAGCTCTTCTGTCATCTCTTTATTAGGTCTTGGCTTCATGTCTGGCGGTGTTGTCATCTTATGAGCTGTGGGTGGCAGCGAGTTAGTCAGCCAATGATTAGATTTCAGCTTCTAAGTTGGCGATGGCGGAGTTGAGCTTGTTCATGTCTCTGGTTAAGAGGGTGTTGTAGGCTTCAAAGGCTTATCTCTTTGCGTCTTCAGTCTTTCTGGCCAAATCGAAAGCTTATTATAATTAGTTTTATAAGTCGTCGATCAATTGGATGATTCTTCCGGTTAATTCTTAGTTGGCATATTATTAAGCCTTGACAGCCAATTAAGCCATAAGTTTGATGGCTTTTCCGAAGTTCTGATGTGTTTCATTTATCCAGCCTTGTGAGCAGCAGCGTTCAAGTGTGAAGCGACTTAGGCAAAGACTTATGGGGTAAAGTGGACGGCTTCGCTAGCTCCCTTTTATAAGAAAGCTGGGGCTTATAAGTTGTCTGTGAAGAGTCTTCTTGCTTCAGCGAGGACGCTTGAAACGAAGGTGAATTCTTCTCTTTAGGCTTCAAAGTCTGTGTTTTCTTCTTATCTCTTGGCTGTGGCTTCATCGATAACCTTTTAGAGGAGGGCCTTTTCAGCTAATTTGGCAACTCTTTATCCGACCTTTTAGTCATGGACTGGTTGGAGTTCGTCAAGTCTAGCTTATAATTCTGTATCCTTTTATTCGAGGTTGGCGAGTTCTTAGTTGAGTCCAGCAAGGTCAGCGTCACAGACACCTTAGAAGGCCTTGTTTTCAGCATCATCTTCTCTTTAATCGTTTTAGTATCTTTCTTCCAAATCATAGAGGGTTTAGAAGATTCTTTCAAGTGGTTCACCTGTTTGCATTTGGATGGCAATTGTGTTCAACAATGTCTTTCCAAGTTTGCTCTTTTCGAGTTTTTCGAATGCAGCTAAGTTTGTGGCGAAGGCTGTGGCAACCAAAACCAAAATGACGATTGATTTCATTTTAATAATGAAATAAATTTTGCAATTGTCTTCCTTATATAACACGGAATTATTGAAAAACGGATTTTTGATGACCCCCAAATAATTTATTTCCCTATTTTAACGAATATAATAAATTCAAAATGATCTCTTTCATCTCTATTTCCCTCTCCCCTTCATTCAAATCAACAAATTAGATAGTTTTATTAGTCCTGAATATGAAAATGATAATTCAATAATATTGATATACCAAACCTGTTCTAAATATAGATTTGTTTCAATAGAGTGATTACTCGTGAATGCTAATATCATATCAACTATTCTATCTAATTGATTCTATTCAAATAATTACATGGATATTTATAAAAATTGTTGGAAATAATTTGTACTTAAAATATACTGATGATATATTTATAACGTTATAGAGTGAAATCACTTTATTTTGTTTAGATAAAGCTTTATTAACATTATTGGATTAAATATATATGTGTATAAACATTGTATTAGATTATTTGTAATATTTTTGTGCCATTATTAGAATATCAATTTTATATAATTAAATATAAAATAAGCATCAAGTATAAGTTTAACAGATGGCTAATTCATTTAGCAATAATTTAAATTTTAATATTAACGCTTCATCTAACTTTATAACTTTAAGCTATCTAGATTTCAGTAGATTCTAAACTTAATAGAATATGGAAATACTATACTATGCTATATGATTTATTAATAATTTTGATAATAATAGATAAGTGATCTACTCTATTGAATTAGAAAATCATTAATTTAGATATTGATATAATTTGTTAGTATCAAACTTGTGTAAAACTTTTTTCCTCCATTTTATATATTTTCATTGTATGAAATAATTTTATAGATAATTATCGAAATATCATAATGAAATTTCTAACTAAACAAAATCCGTTATATACGTTTGAGCTATCTATCACTAATTTAGAGTGAATTCGTTTAATATTGAGATCAACTAAATTCAATTCAATACTACTCAATAATCAATTTGAAGTGACCCATTTAATGAATAACAGTTATATTGTGATTGAAATAATATGTATTTTAATACGTAATTATTTTCATTTAATAATACTGTATAGTGTTTACACAAATATATATTATCATTGTTACTCAATCATCGTATTCAAAACTATTTTTTCTTGGCTCTTTATTTTCTTCATCTAAGGCGAAGAATTAATTTGTATCCATTAAATTTTACTCATCAATTTACTTCTTATGTTCTTTTATAATTCTTCGGATTACTCCCATTTTACAATTCATAAATTAATTTATATCAACTACCCACTAGGTTAAATTGCTTACTTATTTTCTCTGCTTTTTTCAGACAATAATAATAATCTTCTAATGTTTTTCTTGAGATTCCTACAATATCAGCAGCTTGGTCGAGAGTGTACTTGATCATTTTTCCATCTTAAAGGTGTCTTTGTTCAAAAATAGATCTAGTACATTAATAAACCAAATACCTCCATTAATCGACTAAAAATTTGGCCTCGTAAACAAACCTTTCTTTTATTCTCTTTTACAATTGGTGCTATTATTAATTTTCAATATTCATTTAGGTAATTAATATAATAAATGATAAAGGAAAATGATAGATATAGAGAAGTTAGCAACTACTCTATTTAAAATCAAACAGATTCAATAGATGACGAAAATATGATATAAGAGTAATAGAATTAGATTAAGCACTTAAAGATAAGTTATTAGAAATGGATTAACAAATTGTGGAGTTAAATAGGCAATTATAAAGCTAGAATTGGTAGAGCAAGAAAAAGAGAGGAGGCTCAACTAATTACTTACGAAAATATCAAATGATTGACCTGTAAGAAGAATTAAAAAATAATCGCACAAAAAGTTAAAGGAATATACACTTGAAATAGATACGCATTCTTAAAAGTTGACAAATCAGATTCTTTAGAAATTCGAGAGCATTAATTGATGATGATAAGATTAATTTTGTCAGTATTATTGAAGAGATTATTTCATCTAAAAATTGCTTAAAAATTTAAATAAGAAAGACAATAGAGGAAATTCTAGAATAAGTAAATATTTGATTTGTGATAATGAACATCATGCATTTGAATATTATTTTAAAGATATATTGATCTAAATTAAATATAAATATAAATCTGCTTAAGAGGAAACATTAATTTTAATTTAATATTATTTTACCTAATTTTAATCAATCCAATATGTAAGAGGAATTGAAACGTCTACAAGTATCATAAAATTTATTTATTAATGATCTATTTTGATGACGAACAATTATGTAAATTAAGAGAAAGCATTTTGTAAACTATAAAATTCAATAAGTATATTTTATAGAATACTTCGGTTAATAAAAATTATTTTACAGAAATTTACTATGTTTAATAGTACCATTAAAAATAAGGATTAATTTGAAATAAAATTATAATAGTTATCACAAGTGTTTTCACAAATTATCTAATTTAGTTGTTTGAATGATGATTTTTTTATATTATAATTATGAATGAAAGAGATATCCTCATTGATGTAAATTTTAATATGTTTTGAAGGGAAATGCTCCATCTCATAATCCCTTAATCCATAAAATTGCCAAGAACACTGAATACACAGTTAAAAAAGCAATGATAAGTGCAAATGCAGTAGTTGAAGGAGGTATTAAGAATCCTTCTCTGCCTGATGAAATTCTCACAATTCAGGAAAATCAAATGAGATTTTTAATAATGTTAGCAACTCTCTAGTTTTTTACTTTATTAGTTATAGGAATATTTTTGGTCATAGAATTATTTACTATTTATGAAGAAATATCGATTATCGTTTTATTAGTACTATTGGTTATTTATGTAATAACTTTGGTTGTTGGATAATTCGAATAAGATATCACATAATCATTTCCTAAAAATATTATATTGTTTGTATGAAATAGTTATTACTATAATTTTATAGATCATCAACTCATTATCTAGAATATTTTGGATAGCCTATTTAGTAGTGCTAATTGATTTCATAAGATTTGAATTGATTTAATTATTAATATTCGTTAATTTACTTTTGATGATAATCTTTTTTCAAGTTGATAGGAAATCAAACACCAAAAACTGCTTTCTAATAAAAAATTAATTATTAAGGTAATTATTGTAAATAATAAAATTAGAATCAGTATAATAATTATTCTAGAATTTGGAGGAGTATATTCAGTCTTATTGTTTGATAATTTTGAAACTGCAACTCTTTGGTAATTTCTTATATAATTAGGTTTGTGATCATCATTATCATTTATTTTTGGATGCTTTTGGAAATTTAATTAATTGAATTTCGAAAAAAATTATATAAAAATGATAATATTTGGTATTTTGCAGCTATCATTTTTGATGGAGATCTCATTTTCCCTTGTTACTTTGTAAATAAGTAATTGCTAAACGAAGAGTTTGATAGTATTTTAATATGATATATATTTTAATTTTTAATTTTTGTAAGTATCTAAGTTCTGTGAAAGTAAATGCATAATATAATTATTAAATTTAATTATGGGAGAGATAAGAGAATAATTAAATAATCTATCATAAAGAGATATTGCTGAAAGATTGCAATTCCTTACAGATCATCAAAGATCAGACTTTAAAAAAATGATGGGCAAAGTGCTACTATTCTAATTTCAATAAGATGAATATGATAAAAAACAATGGAACAAACTTCAATATTAAATTTTGTTATCAATACCACTGGTTTTAAGTGCAAGAATAGTCAGTGAATATCTCAATGCTAATGTTGAATTTTCAAAGCAAAGACCAACATTATGGATCAAATTCTTAAGAGCTATGGCTTATAAAAAAGGAATTGGATTGGGTACAGCTCTTTTAGTCATTCCAATTCATAAAACAATTGAATATAGTCGTAAATTAGGCTACAAACATTATATTCTTTCTTAAATTAAAGAAGAATGACAGTTAATTATTATTTATGTTTTTAAATTGTTATCAATCCCCAATTTTTGAGGTCTATAATTCAAAAGACGCTAAGAATTCAAATGGAAATAAAGAAAAACTCAAACATTACTCTAAATTGGTAGATCTTCAATCCTCTGTTTATGAATATAACTCACTCTTAAAAAGTAAAGATTAAATTCATTACAGCATACCTTCTAATGACGAAATAAGTTAAATTGCCGCATGGAAAGGATTCTGAGTTATCTTTGGTTCATCCTATTATTGGAATTCAAGGATACTTTAAAGACTCTATACATATTGAATTATTTGTAGTTGATACAAAATCAACAAGAAGAAGGATAATTTTGAATTCTTTGAAAAAAAGTGAATGTAAACCATTTTTTATCTCGTATCCCTTGTAATCATAGTCAATCTATAATAATTGGGTTACCATCCTAATTCAAATGCCTTCATTTGTATCCTAATTCAAAGGGTCTAGTTATAGAAGTTTGGAATCAATCTTAGTTTAGAGTTCTTGCTCTATACGAAGAATATTTACAATGCAAACCTTTAATGAATCATTGTTATCCTAGTTTCAATATCCAATTGAATCTAATCCCAAGAGTTTCTTGATTTCATTTCAAAATGAATAGGAACTATTTGTAGATAGCAATCAAGAATAATAGTTGAATGCTAATGCACTTAAATAAGCTAAGCTTAAATAAATATAATATGATATTCCTAAAGTATAGAAGTTAACATTAAATCCATAAAAAATTCAAGAACCCTTACCCTAGAATAATTCAACAGAGCGTGAATCAAAAGTAAAGGAATGTGAATAAAAAGTAAAAAGCAAACCACAGAAAAAAGCAAAATAAAATAAAGAAAATGAATTTTTAGATCTATCTTTAAACATTGATAAAAAATAAAAGAATTTAGAGAATGATGAAATTGATTTAAAAAACATAGATGAACTCATTAAAATTATAGAATAAGATAGTAATTAATAAAAAGCAAAAGAAATTGAAAAAAATAAAGAATAAAATGAAGAAGGAGATTTAATTAATATCATGAATGCAATTAATGCTATTGAAAACTAAGAAAGTTCGAAATCAGAAATTATAATAAAAAATCCAATAGGATGTACAACAATCACAAAATAAGGAAAAACTACATTAATATTAGAAAATAGGAAAGAATAAGAAAATTTTGTAAAAATAATCTATGACCCAATATTAAACTGCTATTTTGATATAACCACTAACAAATGTTATGTATGATTAAATGTATTCTTTATTTTTAAATATTAAAAAAATTGAGTTTTGTAAGAATATATATATATTCATTGAAACAATCAAATATTATTATTGAGAAGGATGAATAAAAACATAATAATAAATTAGATATTACCCATCAATCCAATAGTATGAAATGAACAATTACTAATTGGATATAAATATAAATAAGGAAAAATAAAAACTTATCAATTATGTCTTCTACTTAGTTTATTTTTTAATGTTTCTTCTGGATCTGATGTTTAAAGCATTGTTATTAATAATCTTGTATGATCTTCAAACTCTGTATCCTCTTTTTGATTATTAACTTTAGGTTTAATTGTGAGAATATTTTTTTCTAATTGGCTTAAACTAATTTAATTTTTTGATTGATTACTTTCTTTTTCTAACTTTTTTATTGAAGAGATTATCACTCATTTACTATAAATGAGAGTATATTCTATTTCTTTCTAATATTTCTTATTTACTGATGTGCATAGATGTCTATTATAAGAGAGTCTATATTTAATAAATCCATATGTTACATTTTAATATTGCTTTAATTAGTTTTTTTCATCAACTTATCTGTATTTTTCTGTGATTTCTAACATTCTGTATTCGTTTTATCTCTTTTGCCTCTCTAAAATGTCCTGTTTATCCTATTCTTTAAGTTTTCTTAATTCTTATTTTAATAAGATTTTATTATCTTATTCTTCCTAAATTGATTAATTGAATTACTTTTTTCATTCTATTAAATTACTCGACCTTCAAAAATTTTTCATTTAATTATTTTAATTTTTCACTAAAAAAACTATAATTTATATTTACTCTCTGTCTTTAAAAATGTCTCCTTAATTAGATTTAATCTTTCTTTATTTTGATTTAATTTCTAATTTTTTTTCTTATTCTACATTCTAAATTGATTTTTAGTTAATCTAAAAATCTTTTTCTTTTTGCACCATTTTTTCTAAAAGCTGATTGATTTGATCTTGTGATATCTTGTCTTTAAGTTACTTTTGCTATTTCATGATTTGTTGCTCCTTATGATTTTACTCTTTTATTTTTTCTATTTTGTTTTAAATTAATTCCTTTTATAATTTTCCACTGTTCTCTAATTTTTATTATATCTTAGCCATTTGAATTTGACATTCCATATCAATTTATTTTTCAAATTCTTCCTTTCTCTATAAAGCTTGTTCTCTTTTTTTCTTTTCTTTTTTATCCTCCCCTTTAAATATCATTTTACTTCTGATTTCATAAGTGCTTAATATTTGATTAACTTTTTACGATTATTATTACTATAGATTTTTTTGTGCTTCATTGTCTCTAGGTTAAGATTTGCTTTCCATTTCCTGAGTGTCAATTCTTCTATTTTCAACTTTCTTAGATGTACAATATTTCTCTTTCATTTCTTATTATTTTTTTATCATGATTTGAACTATTCTTTAATCTCTTTCCTGAATTTTCTCTAGTAACTCAACTCTCTTTTTGTCTTCTTCTAATTTAATTTGAGCTTCTCTCTTAAATAATTAATTTAATTACTATTTTCTATATCTTATGTTTATTATATCTTGACAATTCTTTATTAAGGCCTCCTTCTAATTCTGCAACATCCTGGCATTCCCCTAGAGATTATGGAATGGACCCCTCAACTAATTCCTAATGTTATAAGTATTGTAAAGTCTTATTGTAAGCATAATCCATTTGTTTTTTGAGTCTAGAATAATATATAAACTAGAATTACATACTCTAATTAATCGATAGTAGAACCTTATTTAAGAGAGACCGATCTTTCGAGAGACTCCATCGAGGCGCATTATAATTGGCGTTATCTATTTTTTTGTATGATTTCTTTTCTTTTCTAAAATATTTCATTCAATAGTTCTAAAATAATTGTTGAATTTTACAATGAGTTTTATTAATGTAATGCTCATATCTTATTTGAACTATTTCATCACTGCCACTATCATTCGCACGAAAATGGTTGAGATCTCTATAACAATAAGTGGGGCATCTTATTACTTAATTTGGAAAATGCCCATGTCTATTCCTAATTTCTGACATGCTAAAACTGTTCTTGGAGAATTGGGTTTTAAAGTCAATCCATTAAATATAACCTAATTTTGAGATTAAGTAATGTAGGATGAGTTGAGATCCACTGAGCTAGCAACTTCTCTCTGAGATTTTCCTTGCATATATTATAAAATATTTTATTTCTTAATTCAGAAATAAATTAATTATTGCAAATATTATCTTAATATAGTGAGTACCAATTCTTAGAATAATTAGATCAACCTACTTAATAGAGTGTAATAAAACGAGAAAGGGATAGCGATTGATTGCAGACAAAATTTATAATTTTCTCTTTATTAAAATATATTATATATTTATTGATAAAGTTAAAATTGTACTCAAGAATTGGAATTTAAAGAATTTATAGCGTTTTAGAACAATTGATGGGTCTTCTTATTTGACTATTTGGTATCCTCTTTAAAATTAGGCATTATATAATTAGAGTTGTTTTCATTAGATGACATGTCGAAATCACTTAAAATAATTTCCTGTAAATCATTTTCTTGAGGAGCATTTTTAAATAAAAACTCTGTGAGTTTCCTTAGCAAACATTGTTTAAGGAGTTCTAAATTAATTTATTTTTTGGAGGAACCAATCTCTTGTGCTGAATCAAACTCCTTCACCATTGTTTTCACATGGGGATTTTATAAATGTTCAATTGGTTCCCATGTATTTTGAGAATGTGGGTAGCCCTTCCATTTAATCTAATATAGATAGGATTTGGCTTGTTCATCAAATCTACGATCTATAATGGATTCGACCTCATATTCCCTCTTGTATGTTTTTCTCTTCATTTGGCAAATAATAATTAATTACTATTAAGATTTAATTAATTATTCAAAAAACTCTGATGCAGAGGGGTCCTTGAGAGTTTAAATGGAAGGTTGATGTTCAATTCTAAATTATTCTATATTTTAAAATGAATAACAAAATAATTACAAAGTAATTTAGTGGAATCTGGAAAATGTGATAAGGAAATAATAAGATAAAATGAGTAAACAAAAAGATAAATTAAGTTTACTTACGGAATGATGATCGTAATGAAACAATGATATATTTGAATCGATAGTATTTTAATAAAATAATAATAATGATGTCATTATTAATCGCAGGATTTGTCATTGGAACAGTTTATGCTGTCAACCCTCTTACTGATAAAGCCGTATTTCCAGGATGGGGAGATTATAATTTTAATTCTTACTCAGGATATTTGCCTGTTGGAACAGAATTAAGGTATGATGAATAATGATGTAGATAATTGCACTATGTTTTCCTTGAAAGTCAAAGCAATCCCTCAACTGATCCTGTTGTATTATGGTTGAATGGTGGACCAGGATGTTCTTCATTATTGGGATTGAATGAAGAAATTGGTCCATTTGTGATGGTTGATGAGGATAGGAAATTCAAGAAGAATCCTTATCCTTGGAATGCCAGAGCCAACCTGTTGTTCTTGGAATCACCTGCAGGAGTAGGATTCTCATTGAATAAAGATGATTCATATGTATACAATGATGAGAATTCTGGTCAAGACAATTACTAAGCTATATTGGCTTGGTTTTAAGCATTCAAATAATTCCAAAGAAATAGATTCTTCATTGCAGGAGAATCATATGCAGGTACTTAAAAATTCAATACTCACTAGGAATGTACATTCCATATACAGCCAAAGCTATTGTGGATGGAAATAAATCAGCCTCTTTAAAAATACCTTTGGAGGGTATCTTGATCGGAAATGGTTTGTTGGTATCCGATTAATAGAAGAGATTTACAGCCTTACAAGAGTATTTCCTTAGAAGAAATTTCATGCCTCCCACAGCTACAAACACAATTAGAAAAATATGCAGTGTGAAACCAGACTCAATTAAATGTTTATTGGCACAATCTCAATTTGAGGAAATCTGCTTAGGATCCAACATTAATATTTATAATGTTTATGGATATTGCAAAGATGACACAACTCCTGACTTTTTGAAACCAAAAACTAATTCAGGCAAGTAGATCAGATACCCATATGTCTCCTGGTATGAAGGAAACAACTTCTAGAAGGTAGGAAATAGTGGTGCTCCTTGTTCTGATTTCGGACCCATCACTGAATATTACAATAATGCTTAAGTCCAAGAAGCATTGCACATCTTAGAAAGACCCTACTTTTGGTCTGCTTGCAATATGGAAATCAATCAAGCCTACAATATCAGTAAAAGTGGAAGCTACTAGTTACTTCCACTTTTAAGCTAAGCAGGAGTCAGAATTTTAATCTACTCTGGTGATCAGGATGCCATCGTCAGTGTTGTAGATACTGAATAATCAATCAATGTGATACCAGGAATTTAAGAATTGGATTCATGGACTCCATGGGGCAATACTGATTTAGATTTGGCTGGTTGGGTCACAAAATATAATTACTTGAAGTTCGTCGTCGTAAGAGGAGCTGGACATGTAAGTTATTCATATCTATTCAAATTAGATGGTCCCTGAAGATCAAAGACAAAATGGATTTGAAATGTTCGATAGTTTCATTTATGATAATGAACTTCCAAAATACCATTGAATGGAGTAGTAATATTATATTAACAATATAAATCCATCAATTTATTACAGATGTTTCTCTTCTATATCTTGTTCAATAATTAGCTTATATATAATAAATAAGAAATAAATAATTATTTATGAACACTTGCTCAACCACAGACTTTGATAAAACCGCATAGTTTTTCTTTCCAATTCAATCAAATGCTCCTTATTCTCCTTAGAAACAACAACAAAAATCTCTCTAAATTATATGCATCGATCCTTATAAAAAAGGATCTAATAGTAACATCAAAATAAAAAGAACAAATAGTTAAATAGAACTCCCTAAATTGTAATTATACACAGAGGCTGAATCTCCCGATAGTCACAAAAAGCTCAGAAGCAATTTCATCAAAGATTAATTCTATACACCAAATGCAAGTAGAGCAGAAAGATTTCCTTATACCAACATAAATAAATCAAATGAATCAAGCCCTTAAAAAATGTCTAGTTAAATGAGCTTCAATAAATAGAAGCAAGGCTAAAAATCATTTTTAAAGAGTAGACCTCAATAAAAAATAGTAACAAGAATATTTGGGGAATTATGATATTATTTATTTATTAATATTGATTCAATCAATTATCACTACTAATCTACCTCCTCATTATCTCTGATTATCAATTTTAATATATTTTATCTTAAATTCTACTAGGTAGAATATCTTCTTTGCATTCGCAGAATTAAAGATTACTTTCATCCTATTTACTGACCACTAAGGTATTAGATAAGTCAATATTCTCTAATTCCAATAACCTATTCTGTTTATTGCTTTCAAAGTAACGTAATTAGAATGATATTGGTAAAATTAGTGTAACTGGATCAAATTAAGCTTGTTGATAAGGAGAATTCATAAGTTGATTGACACCATCATTTAATTTATCATGATTAATTCAGCATAAATATTCTTTTCTAACCAAAAATTGATATTCATTAAAAATTGTTTTTCTTTTGGAATTTAGACCATTTTTTCTTTAATTTTCTGCGATCATTATTTTATCATTAGCATTTACTCAAAGAAACCCTCATTCTTTTATAAAACTTTTGAGTACACTGCCTATTCATTCTCTATAAATAATTAACGATAAGATTTCTCTAATTTTCTTTAAGTTTTAGCCAATTACTATTTGGTAATATTCTTTGATATACATTTAATGTAATATTGATACTTTCTCTTTTTTCATATTATAAAGGGAATTAATTATAGAATAAAAAATTCAATAAGTCTGTTTCCAAAATTTTTTTCAAGATTTCAAATTTGTAATTCTCTTTTTGACTATTTATTTTCTTACATACCATACTTACCTAATATCAGAGTCCTAAAATTTTTAATAATCTCATCTTAAAATTTGTCTCAAATGAAGTAGATTCATTAAATACATATTTAAGTGTTGTTGTGAAAGGTTTCTCATCTTTACCAAAAGTATCATACTCAAGGTAAATCACAACATTATTTCTTAGTCAATATCTTCTAATATCTTATAATTCATAATTGTCGAATTATAATATTTTTCTTTCTCCACTTATTTCTAATAAGATTGATAGAGATGTTTATGATGTTTATCTGTATCTAGAACCAATAGAACTCTTGAAACAAAACTAAATAAAATTCCCCTTCAAAGCGATTATGAAAATTCTTTATTTCCAATTTCATCTCTAATCTTCATGCTTAAGAAATTATCCATTCATATTATTGTTTCCTTCTCAAATAAAGTCTAAATTAGTTTGATATCAAGTGAGTTGATTTCTATCGCTACTGTCATTATTATTAAATGATTTTAATAATAATTATATCCTAATGAATACTTTTAATATGTACAAATCCAAAAGTAATTTCTTAATCTCTCGAGCATATAACTATACTTGATATAATATTATAAATAATAAAATTAAATGTTGCAAGATAATGCGATTCATAACTTCAACTTATCTTTCGGACCTAAACAATAAACTACAAATGCTAAGGTCTGTTATAAAGAGACGCCTGAATCCAATATTTCACTATAATCAGAAGAATTGTTATCTCCCTTTAGAGAAAACTCGCCTTAAAATTGGCAAAGGAAGAAGATTACATACTAAAATTCTTTCAACACATTAGATAAATAACATATTATATAGTTGCAATAAACAATGAGACCGAAAGCTCAAACTTCTTAAATTGTTAAATTTTTAAAAGTCACAAAAACTATGGGGATTGTGTAAAGATTTAAGACAAATCTATTCTTAAATGCTTATATACTTCCTAAGAAATCATAGGAGCAGTTTTAAAAGCAAGAAAAGTATACAAACACTGTTGTTTAGAACGACTCAAAAAGTATAATCGTTTTTCAATTTTATAGAAAGAAACCATCAAAGTAAATAAATCCCTCTTATTTCACCCTCAAGTCCCATTTCATAAATCTTTGACATGATGAGCATCATCGTTCAATTAATGGCTTTATGGATAATTTCCATTATGGCTGTATTTACTAATGTAGATGATAATCAAGCTCAAATTATTCTATTTATAACCGTCTTCCTTGTTTTAGAACTCATATTCTCACTCAATAGAGCAATCATAATACAAGGTCTGATTATAGAAGATCGATCAATTATATTTTAAAATTTTGTTAAACAATCATCTTTTCTATATTCACTAGAAATCATAATATGTGTTTACATATCATTCAACAAGAACTTTTTACAAAATAATGGAGCCATCCTATTGCTCATATTGCTGGCAGTCATAATTGGAAGGATATTATAATAATATGATAATCTAATTGACACATTATATTAACTCTCAATTCCTAGCGATCTATTGGATCTCATCACACTAATTATTTCAATATACTATTTTGCCCATTTTATAGCATGTTGTTGGTTATATTGCGGATTGCTTTAAGAAGAAAACGGATCCTGGATAACTTATTATGAATTATCAAACCAAGATATCTGGATTAAATATAGTACTTCATTCTACTGGGCAACTATGACCATGGTAACTGTTGGATATGGTGATATTACTCCAAAAAATTAGACAGAAATGATTTTTTGTGATATTGCTATGTTTTTATCAAGTTGTGTTTTTGCATATTCTATGAATTCGATTGGAATCATACTCAAAAATATTAATGATAAGAAAGTCAATTATAAGTATACTATTGAAATATCATTAGAAAGAGAGCCATCATTCTTAATTAGTATATGAAGAAGAATGATATATCCAATCACATTTAGGATAAAGTTAGGAATTATCTAAAATATCAGATTGAGAATGAGTATAATGAAATTTCAAAAGATGCCATCCAAATACTCAAATAATTACCAAAAGGCATTGAATAAGAAATCACTCAGAATATTAACAACAGAATTTTGCAGAAGATTAAAGTGTTTGACTAATTCACAAAATGGACCAAATCAGAATTGATTGATAAAATCGAATTAGCTAGTTACACACCTGGAGAATACATATATCATTAGGATACCAATCAAAATATTGAAATGTAAATATTCATATTAATTCTATATCAGATATTATGTCTATCAAGGTTCTGTAAATATTATGGAGGAGTAGAGCCAATAGAATATTCAGTAGTTGAAACAAGGAGAAGTGTTTGGTGAGTTTTAATTTTTTACTGGTTTCAATCCTAAAGTGTCAGCCATAAGTAGTGGTTTCTCAATTATTGCTAAAATTAAAAGGGAGACTTTACTAAAGATTCTATAGGATGTAAAAAAAGATTAGGAAAAATTTCATTAAATCAAAGATAAAATCTTGTTATATAATGATTACAGCGATCTTATGATCACTTGTAAATTTTGTAAAAAGATTTCTCACATCTTTTATCTATGCCCCATGTTATCATATCAACCAGATATGGAATCTAGATTAAAGAAGGAAGAGCTGTATCCCTAATATTAAGAGAGATAGCCATTCAAAAGAGGAATTTAAAAAAAGAAAAATTCGTTGGTATTGCAAAAAGAAACCTTTGATAACATTAAGGAGTATTAAGAAATCAATGGAATAGATTAGGTAGAGGATAATCTATAAAGTGAAATATAGACTAATTCACTCAATGAAGAATAACTATATCCTATTAATGAAAATCAATAAAGCATGAAAAACATAAATTTGGTACCAAAAAACCCATAGATGATGACTAGAACTTCAAGATTATCAATTAATTAAAATCATTTTGGGTTCTGTAGACAGTCTGTTATTTAATCTTCTAAGGACAAATACAATATAAAAGTGAATTAAAATTAATTAACTATTTCTAATCATAATAGCCCACCAAAGAATATCCATGAATCCAAAGGTATAACCAAATGGAATATGTTAGATAGCTTCATTGATTAACTACAATTCCATTATTTAGATATAGATTCAATTTAAGAATACGAAATATATATGAAGCATAACAATTTTAAATAGGTGATTAAGGAATTAAATCAAAAACCCAAATATATTCGAAAGTTATTAAAGTTATAAAAATACACTTTTAATTATTATGTGAAAGTGATGGCCATTAAAATTAGGGAATATTTAGATGATGATGAAATTATAGAAAATGTATTTAGTAAATCTTTAAGAAAGAACTAATGATTGTTGATTATTGTCGTTTTTATTCTTAAATAGAACTTAAAATAAATTTAATACTCTGCCCACTTTATCTTCTTATATATAGTATATAATCAATACTCAAATCTTATACAGATATTTTAAGTTTCCCTTATTAATCATTAATTACAGAATAATAAGGCAAATTTTAAAAATTCACCCACCCCCATTCTATGATTCTACTAAGACTTATTAATCAATTTTAGAATTCCATATATCACCATAGAACTATTTTAAAGTTTCATGATTTGAAATTGAAATATAATGTATATAAATTATTATTTTCTAATTTCTTGATTTATTATCGTTAATAAGTGACATATATATTTATTTCATTAAGCAATTTAAATTTGAATAAAAAAGAGAAATGTATTCGAATTCAGCTATTTTTATGATGGTAGAGAATATCCTAATATTCATATGTTATATGATGATTAAGAAAAAAATGCCTATAAAACAAACACCAATCAATTATAGTTAAAGTACAATATGTTGTGATTGATTAGACAAAAAACAATTTTGGGAAAAAGTGTTAAAAGATCAACAGATCACTGATTTGCCATAGTTTAATGAATAGGATAATGAATAATAATCCATTTCCACACCAAGGAATGAACACATCATTTAATAATTTTGGTTCCTTTAAAAGTTCTTTCTTTAGTATACTCTTTTAAATTATACTCACCTATTTCATTTTGTGACATTTTTCAAGAAAGAATGGCAATTATTTACCTGTAGAAACTAATAATTTCATTGGAATTTATTATTGTTACCACTTATATTTTATTAATTATCAGCATACATTTCATTTAAAATATAAAATATGGGAGTATTTATAGGAGGTTTAGTGATATTTAGCGGTTTAAATTTGATGATTAGTATATTTTATAAACCAAAATAAAATCTTGATTAACATATGCATGAAACCTGTTTAAAACTTGAAAAATTAAGGGAATTATTTAAAATAAATAAATAAACCAACTAGGAAGTAAATGAAGAAATAGATAAATAAAGAGATGAGTAATAATCAGAATTTATTGGCAATATAATTAAAACAACTTAAAATTATTATCCTAATCTTATATCCTATAATAATTTGTTATAACATAACATTCAACCAAAATGGTGCCTAACATTTTTTGGACTAAGCTTTTTATTGTCATTTTAGATCAATGACATTTATTGGGAATTTACATTCAGTTGGCTCTATGGATTACTCTTAGAATAACTCTTAAGAGTTTCATTCTGCATTATCTATTCTAAAAGATTAACCTAGAAATGGATCTTGTAAGGACCTGATTAAGTCTATACAGAAATGCAAATTTTAGCAGAATTCTATAAACCTTTGATGTTGATTTCTAAGAGTCCATAGAAATATATTATGAATGATACCCATGTGAATATTAGTGGAATGAGTAAGGATCAATCCAATTTAAACATTCTTAACCATAACTCTACTCATGATTTGATTCAAAACAAACACTAAATTCTCAGAATTACATCTGCTAACCTTGGTACCATTGAGGATACCAAACTAGATATAATAGAAAATGTAAAGGAACTGCCAATCTTAGATTCTGACTAGGCACTTGATACTGAGTAGAATAACAATAAGCAAAATTTAAATTAATAAACTGAAATGGATACTTAACCAGAAGACAACCAATTTAAAAAGAAGAAGGTTTAGAGAGTAAAATTAGAAGCATTGTATCATTCTAAAGTCACCAACAGATCTCCTAAACCCAACTTGCCTAGACCTCAATTCTATTCAAGTTAGAAAAATAAATAAAATCAGGAAGAGCAGCAGAATAGATTATAGGAACAGGAGATCTATATGTAGAATCAAGATTTTGATGAAAATCAAAAAGAAAATATCAATTGTGATTTGATTTAGTTTAAAGAGGATGCTAATAGTCCACCTCCTTAATTCAACCCAATTGATTTCTTAAAAAATATCAGTCCAATAGGATCAGAATTATCCTAAAGAAATGAAATTCCTCATTAATGGGAAGAACCTGATGAAGAGGAGGCCTGCAACTTTAAATCTTCATTCAATCAAGACTTATAAGAAGCAGAATTCGATAGAGGAATAACTCCTAAAATTTTACCCTTACAACCTCTTAGCAATATTAATAATAGATCTCCTGTGAACTAATCATTAGGGAGTGGTCTAGGAAGTAAATTTGGGACTGGAAGCAAAGTTGGAACTGTGGCTAGAAGGAACAATAGTTAGAAGACATCCAAAGAGGAAGAGGAAAAATCATATAAGGAATCTAAAAGAATCAAAGTAAATACCAGAAGTGGTAAACAGTCTCCAGATAGAAAAAATAGGAAAAATGGAAAGCTTAGAGGAGAGTCTATGAAGGTTAGAGGAAATAGAAAAGAAGATATACCAACGTTAAATTTTGATAGTGCTAGATTTCAATCTCCTTATTTGGACTTTCTTCCTGGAATGAAAGATTCTTCGTAGTAATAAAAAACATAACGGAAACAAAACATCAGTGCCAACAAACAGAAAATTTAATAAATCATTCAATCATATGAAAATATTTAAACATCCAATGAACATAGAAATGTTGAATGAAACAATTGAATATTAAATTTTATTATCATAATTTTATTACAATTTTTTACATGGAATTTAAGAAAGAACAGACTAAAGCTACATCCAAAAGGTTTAAAAAGATAACTTAAAAACTTGGAATCTAATCATTAAACAAAGAAGAACGATTTGATGAAGGGATGAAAGACTTTCAAAACTTAGATACATTTTTCACAGTCACAGATTTACTGAAAGACATGAACAAAGAACAGCCAACTCCAGAGAGATAAGCATTATTTGAAAGTTAATAAACCCTCATTAAAACTAAACTAAAACTCAAAAAATGGAAATCTGAATACCCTGCTTACTTCTAGTTCGAATAGAAACCTCCTTAGACTTAATATCGAAATAAGGTAGCTCTATTATAAAAAGCTCAAACTCATCTGAATCTCGAAAAATATGAACCCAAACTTTGCAAAGAGGTTGAAAATTTGTCATCTATATTAAAAGATAAATTTAAAAATGTAGACATGAAGGAATATCCATAACTCTAATTATTTTAGGAAATCAGCCAATATGAAGATTTAAGAGTCAGAACAGAATTCAATGAAAGTCTGCGGGATAGTTATTGCAAAGATAGACTTTCTTTAAAATTAGAATAATTTGAATAAAAGCCAACTGTCTCATATGAAACTTACTATAAGAACTACCATAATTAAGCTGAATAATTAAGAAATCGTCTTCGATAATAACAAATGAATTTCTTTAATTAAAAATGGGGGAATTCTGTTGTCAAAATGAAAATGAAAGAAGCCCAGGATAAAAGGGGATTTTTAGAAAAAGCTAAGCAAATCAGAAGACCAGCAGTCACTAAAAAAGTAGTATTACCTTATCTTGCTCCCGTTATTAAAAATATTATAACTGACATCTGTGTAGAAGAAGCTGATATGATGGAATAGAAGAGAGACTTTAAAAAAGATATTCAAGAATTAGCAAAGATTGGTTCTGAATTTTATGATTCTAAACCTGAACCACAAATTATGGGTTTAAGAATTGTGAATACTTGATAAATCAATCATCTTATTTATTTATAATCTATTATACATTAAGAAGATTTAATTAATATATGATAAATTATTTGTCGTTTTTAATATTGTTAAGCTCATTTCTTTAATCTTGCTATTCTACCAATTATTTTATTGATAACAAGATCAACCTATTCGACTTAGACCCAATGTCCTGTTTTGGCTCCAATAAATTCTGAATCTGCATTTTATGATAGAGTCAATTGCCATCTAGCACTATGAAAATGAAAAGGTTTTTTCTCTCCATATATAAATACAACTGGAACAGAAGGCTTATATCTATATAAGAACCTCTTAGACTTGTTGATGATGGAATGAAATAGCAAATTCTTCTAGAAATAGAAATATTGATAATTGATCTTGGCAGTATAATTTTGTGGAATTGGGATTCTTAGAATAAATTTCATGTATAATTTGGCTAATAGAGTTCCAAAGAATTCTCCTACAATAGGTATCAGTGTTAATAAGAATGCTAGGGCAAATGTTATTTGATAGGATTCAATAAGTAATCCTGGTTTGAGTGACAGATCAACTTATGCCCCTACGTCTAGAGCAATAATATCATCAACTGTTTGTGGATATTTCTAGTCATAAAGATAACCATAGAAAGCTCCCCAATCATGAGTGATCAACAATTTTTTCAGATTCTATCCATTGTCCACATGCTCTATAGTAGATCTAATTCTCTTAACTACTTCTGGGAAATCTAATCCAAATTTTAGATTTTAGGATTCATGATAATTTGGATAAGATATGTTAAGTATTTGAACATCCTATTTCTGAATTCCTGTAATTGTTTCTAAATTATCAATAAATAGATACAATCCCATAATCTCATTGAATCTGGAAATCCATGCAAGAAAATCAGTAGAATGTTTGATTTTTTATTTCCTGTGTGCTCATAAGGTAACAACATGCGTATTATTTTATTTATATTAATTAATATTATATTAGGAACAATCATTAAGAATAACTAATAATCATAAAATTTATCAAATTGCTAAAAACCTTTCCATTGATTTCAAAAACTACATGTATGATCTTTACTCTTTGTCTAAGGAGTAAGCCTCAATTAATGCATTAAATGACTAATTAATGCCAAAGCTTTCTAGGTAAGTATAGAAAGATTGCTTTAATTGCTATAAAATTTATGATTATTTTAACTTCATCTAATTTATTAATTTCTGGTCCTGAATAGTCGGTTATGAATTTACGATATTTGGATTGTGTTTTGTACTCTTGGATATCATAGACCGGTTGTACGGAATTTATGAAAGTAGTCTGGTTACCTGTAGTTCATTCCTTTCAAGTAATACTTGTATTGCATTCAAAGGCTACAGCTTCTCCTTTTTCAGATTCGATTAGGACCGTATAATCCACAGAGAGAGTTCCTAAATCATATACTTCTTTCTTCTCTTATGTTTTAGTTTAGATTTAGTCTTGGTATTTTGGATGTTAAGAGAGGGATTAATCTTCCTTTGGTATTTTTCTAATTACAAAGTGTTTTTAAAAATCATTACATTTTGCCTTCCAGAGGAGGAGGTGTGCCTCTGAATTCAATAGATATCTTAGCAGTTGGAAATTCTTTCTTTAGAATAACTTTATTGGTTTTAGGATCATCTATCAATTAATATCCTAGATGTTTGATTTATTTCATTAATGAAGGTTCTTATTCGTATTGATGGAATTCGTATTTGTACTCTTTGGACACTGTTTTCAAGAGAGCCCCTCTTGCTGTTGTAATGTTCGAAAACCTATAGAAAGTCATGAATCTTAACATTATTATTATATTTTAATTATTAACAATATGATAGATCGTAGGAGTCAAAGTCCCATGGCTACAAGCTAAAAGATGGGAACTGCAAGAGCCATTTTTGACACAGGCACAGAACAAGAACCCACTAAGCGATTAACAAGATCAATAAGAAACACTAGCACAGATCCACAATAAACAGATTAAAAATAATAATACCAAAATTAGCTTACTTTGGGGGTTTAAGGTTCCTATGAATTGAATTGTATGTAATTAGTTAATTTGGAAAGCTTAAAATTCACGTTAATTTACTTAAGAGAATTTTGATTATCGGAAACCAGAAACGGACACTCTCAATTTTAGAACAGTTCAAACTTATAAACCTTAAGAAGTAAGTGCATAGCCAATTACTTAATTCAATTACTAAAGTTTTGAATACAAAAAACCAGACGCTGGTCGTACAGGATCTTACATTTAGTCAGGTACTTGAACTATTTATCATAGCGTACAATACAACATGTATTTAATATATTTATCACTCAAGTTCAAGAACCTATAGGCAGTTCACTTAACTATCAAAATAAATCTGTGTATGAACCACCAAAATAAGACAACACATTTACAAAATATGAATTGAATCCATTCGATAAATATAAAACTACTTTTGAATAACCTAAAACTTATGATAAGTTTGAACAATACAAATTTGAACCAATGAAGTATGATTTTAATATACCTGAATAACCAAAGGATCGTCAACCATCATATAGATCAATTCCATAAGTATAACCCAATTAATCAGTTATGTAATTCATTTGTTTAACCTAGTCAAACTCAATATACTCCTTACAATCCTGATAGAATTACTTTGGATACACAACTGAATAGAACTACTCTAAACTATCCACTCCAAAATGAATCCTTAAGTGTAGGACCTAGAAAGACTGAAGAGCCAAAGATGCCTTCAGATTATCAAATCAAAACTCAAAAACCTGTAGAACCTATTAAAACATAAAATCCTCCTTCAATCCATGCAGAATCAATTAAGAATGGATAAGTATATAGACCAACAACTCCAGTATATACTCAATAATAACAATATCAATTATCAGGTTAGAAATTGCCTGAATCACAATTCAAGTAGGAACCAGTGGATATGTTTAATAAACCAAGTTATAAATGTAAAATGTGATGGTTTTAAGTTAGTTGACTTACCTAAGAAATTCGTTGAGGAGATAGTATTTATCGAAAATGAAGCTAATGAGCACGAATTTAATGCAGGATGCCAGATATTTTGAAATATTTGAATAAATAATATATATATATTAAACGATTTACATCTCAATCAAGAATGAACAAATAAAGATATATAATAAAACCCTTAATAAATTTATTTTACAATCAGAATAATTAAAAATTTAGTGCTTGATCTTGAATTTTATAGGATGAAGATATAATTACACTAATTATAGGATTACTGCCATAAAATTATTTAATATGATGCTCTTTAAAGCCTAGTCAATAAAAAACTTATCAATAATTGAGTGTTTTATAATATATTTAATTTATTAACCTTGATAGTTATGGAAGAGAGTAATAAGAGATGAAGCGTTTGTCTATCAACAGTTGATATTCAAAACCTGAATTTTAATATTTATAATTATATGTAATAATGTTATATCGAAGATGAATTTGATGTCGAAGATGTAAGTCCTTGGCAGGAATTTAATTTGTCTCCGCAGTAAACCCTTTTTAAATCAAATCAATAGTATCGAAGTTCAACGATTTATTCTGGCAAGGATGAAAAGTAGAAAGTAACAAATACAAAAACCAGTTATTCTAATTAAACAAAACAGACAGCAGCAACAACTATAACAGATTTTCCTATAAGATGTTTAAGAAACAGAGTTAGGAGCATAAATTAAACCTAGAAATAGTTATTAATAGCTACTCCTGTAAAATAGTATTGTGACTTTAAACTGTCAAAGGAGTTGTTGATGAATAGGAATACTGCTGATTTTCCTAAACAAACTTTGCCTCGGAATTTCTTATCATTCTAAAGACTCAAAAAATCCCAAAGCAGAAAAAAAACTGTTCATTCTCAAGAACTCAATCCATAATTATTACAGCTTTAGATGCAAATGAAAAAAATGGAAGAACAAGTGTAATAATAAAAGAAATCATGTTGGGAAATTGGTGCTCGTAGACTCTCAAACCCCAAATTTTAAACTTTTCTAAGTACTTAAGTTTGATATTAATCTGTATTTAGACTTTCATTTTTATAAATAAAATGATTTAAATTAAACCTTCTGAATATACTCGTCCTTCTATTTCTCGATCTTTAATCATTCATCAATAATAAAAAAACTATGGAAGTCTATCTATTCCTCTTAGAGATAGCCAAAGAAAAGGATCGGAATTAAGAATTAGATAGGATTAGAGTCCTAAAGATAGAATCTAATACCAATTTAATCAATTGAAAGTAAAGTTAAATGATGCTCTATCGAGAACAACCTCTCCATAACCTTCCATTAGGAGCAATTAAGCCTAGTCCACAAAAGAAATAAGAATATCTGAGCTAAACCAATAGAGAAAAGAATCTCCTTTCAAATTGGAAGTCTCATTTTCAAATGACAGTTCAATAGAATCATCTTTTGATGAAGAAATTAATCAATAATTCCAACAAGCGAAAGAAACCCTTGCAAAACTTACAAATATGAATATAAATTAAGCATCTCCATTCAAACGCACTTAATCACCCTTAAATAACAGGCTTAGTTTACCATTGATAACTCATCCGAGAAAACAAAGTGCTACTGATAATGAGGATGATAAAATTAACCTGTAATTCTTGAAGTCTTTGGAATAGAATTAAGACAATAAGGATATAGATGAATTTTACGACAATGGAGAATTAAATATAAACTTTTAGAGTAGAGATTTATTATAGTTTATAAGATATGAATAAGAAGTCTTAGAACTAATTCATAGGACTGCTAAATATTCAGACATTAAATAAATGAAGTAGGAGATGATTGACTAATTGAATAAGTTTGAATGTCTCGAGGAAAAGGAAAAAAAGAAATAAGAAGAACAAAAGAATTAAATATTAAAAAAATTAGCTTCAAAGCATTAACTGTTAAATACAGAAGATGTCAATAAAGCAAACTTAAGTAATAAAATTGCTTACCAATTTATTGATAAGGGCATGAGAAAATTAGAATATTAAAGTTCGGATGACTGAATTTTGATACTATATCTGTTTATAAAATATTTATATAATAATAATGGGAACTTGTGTTTAACATGGACAATAACATTAATTGGAATTCAACACCATGGACTAAATTAGACTCTATGAAAATAGACACATCTACATGGATCCCCAACAAGAATTGGAATGGCAAAGACAAAACAATGGAGAGGTAATGTATATATAATATGCAGGAAAGTATGCTCAAAAGATAATTAGAGGCTGAAGAACAATAAAGGCAATAGGTCTTAGAAAACCAGAAAATACATCAGTAAATGGTACAAATATTATATAATCATTCATAGTTAAACTTATATGATCCTTAAAATCAGTCATCTAACTTAAATCTCGATGTAGAGTAAAGATCACTAAACTTTCAACCAGCTGATAAGAACTAACTAGCAAGTCCTCCTCTTTTTGAAATTGAGAAGAAATAAGAAAGGTCTTTTACATAAGGACAATCCTAAAAGGAAAAAAATAAAAGTCCAACTAAATAGTAAGAATCAAATAAGCAATTGGTTGATTATTTATCCAAAGGGGAAAAAGATGTTCTATTTCAGCCTCTCCCTTCCCCATTAAATTTGTAAGGAAACGGTGAATTAGTATATGAAGCATTTGATAGTGCAGAAATCACACCATTAGCAACTCCAAAACAAGATGTTGAATCTGAATGCGAAGAATTAGAAGAAGAACCATTAGAATTAGAATAAGAAATAGTAGAATAAAAGGAGGATCCAAACTTAATATAACAATCTCCGAAAACAGAATAACCAAAATCATAGGTAGTGCTTGATAATCCACTCTTTTAATAACATCAAGAAGATACGATCTCTTTGGTAGATGATAATCCTGAAGAAGTACAACAAGCACCTCCCCCTCCTTAGGAACGATAAATCATCCTTCAATCTTCAAGAGGAGAGTAAATGATCATGTCCTTTGCACCCAATTAATAATAATAATTCATCAAGTCCTAATAATAAAATGTACCTGAGAATGAAGTAGAAGTTCTAAATCATAAACCAAGTTTAGAAAAGGCAGTGCCATCAAATACAGATGTTTTAAAGATTGAAAATGAACATGTAGTTGCATTATCAGCCTAATTGGAGCCTATAAACATAAATGTTGATATGAATAATTGTGAAATGTTAGGACCATATATCATTCTTGATACTGGAGATGTTTATGTAGGTACATGGTAAATGGGTAAAAGGCATGGATTTGGAAAACAAATATTTTCTAATGGAGCTTTTTATGAAGGATAATGGCTTAACGATTTTCTCCAAGGATATGGTAGATACATATTTTAGAATGGTGATTACTATGCAGGGGAATTTGTTCATGGAGAAAGAGAAGGAGTTGGAGTTTTGGTATATTAGGATGGCTCATCATATGAAGGTAAATGGCTTAAGAATTAAAAGGTAAATGTAGTTATAATATTAACAGAGTGGCGAAGGGAGAGAATAAACAGGGGATGGGAATGTATATGTAGGAGGATTCAAAACAGGTAAAAAGGATGGAAAGGGTAGATTGGAATATGTGGATGGGAGTATTTTTGAAGGGATGTTCAAAGAAGGACAGATTTGTGGAAAAGGAACTTAAACTTGGCCTGATGGAAGAAGATACGAAGGTGAATGGAAGGATGGGAAAATGCATGGCTAAGGAGAGTTTATATGGGGGGAAGGAAAATCTTATAAAGGGGAATATGTCAACAATGTAAGATAAGGGTATGGAGAGTACAGTTGGCCAGATGGTAGAACATACAAAGGAGGATGGAAGAATGGGATTATGCATGGTAAAGGTTTGATGATTTGGCCTGATCAGAGATTACAGAAAGGGATTTGGATCAATGGATAGAAGTAATTCACCAAAGAAGAGTTGGCTCAGTTATAAAAAGTCAAAAAATCTAGTACTGCTGATACTTCTGTTAATAAGACTAAGGATTCTGGAGCAGAAACTAAAGAAAAGAAGCCGAAGAAATCAAAATCTAAGTCTAAATCTAAAGAGAAGAAGAGCAAATCGAAATCTAAAAAATGATTATTATTTAATTTAACTAAATTTAAAGTATTTATTTTTAAATGGAAAACTAGTTGCCAATAAAAAAGAAAACCTATCCTTCAGAATCATAACAAGATGATAAGAACAAAACCGGAAACCAAAAGATCTAAACAGATAAGCTATTTGCAAGTTTGTAGAAAATAACCTTGCTGGATATTTTAGATGAGTTTGCCAAAGAATCAGAGAACAAGAGTATAACAGACATTCTAAAGGCTATTCTTAACAATGTTGAGAATAAGCAAAAGGATCCTGAAGGGAAAGTTGATTGGAATTCAGGAAAGTATGATAAACCAAACAATAATTACAACTAAAAATTTGAGTCAAATAATAATTTTCAAAATAACAAATTTAAAAAGAGAAATACAGAAGGGGGTTGGAATGATAATTAAAGGAATGATTATGGGAATAAAGAAAATGGAAGAAGTGGCTTCGATAAAAATGGAGGTAATGATAGGAGTAGACCTTGGGAAAATAAAGATGGTAGAAAAGGAAACTTTTAGAAAGGAGATAATTGGAAATAGAATTAGGATGGCAAGAGGAATGGAGGAGGTAATCCTAATGGAGACTGGAATAATAAGCAAGGAAATGGAAACAATAATGATTGGAAATCAAGTGGGAATAATAATGATTGGAAATCAGGTGGAAATAATAATGAATGGAAGTCAGCTGCTAATAATAATAATGAATGGAAAACAAGTGGAAATAATGACTGGAAGACTAGTGGAAATAACAATGATTGGAAAACTAGTGGAAATAATAATGAATGGAAATCAAGTGGAAATAATGAATGGAAAACAAGTAGTAACAATAATGAATGGAAGGTTGAAGCAACAACTGAATAAGTTCAACCAATTTCTTGGGGATCACCTAAGTGAAAAATCATTAAAAATATTTACAAACCATTTTTTAAGTTTGTTTTTTTATAATTATTTATTAATATAAAAGATGAGACTAATTGTTTCAGTTTAAATTGATAATTTTTATATGTCATAATCACTTTTTGCCATAGGAGGATTAGTTAGCCATTTCTAAAACTTACTATTTGAAGATGTGAATGACTTCATCAATAATAGCATTTTCCTCTAAAATAATGAAATTATTAAATACCATTTCTTCTATTGAGTTCAGTTTCATAAAGATCTCTCAATTCGTATAGACTGGCAGTAGCAGCATTAATAGCATTCTATGAATCTTTTAAGACTGAATTTGCCTTGGCTTAGACTGCAAGAGCAGCTTATTCTTACTAAAGAATTATAGAGGAAAAGCATTACCACAACCAACTTATCTTGGAGTTAAGTTTTTCTTTGAATTTCGTCTTAAAGGTGAACTTTTTCAGCTTCAGAATCAGCCAACCAATCAGCCAATTGATAATATCCAGCTATTTCATTTTGTTCTAAGGCAGCAAGAGCAGCTCTTAATTGATCTTCTAAGTCACTCAAGGCGTTATAAACTAGTTATCCAACGTTAACTCCTGGTTGTCTTTCTCCACTAGTAGAAGCATCAGATTCTCCTAATGCATGTAATTCAGCATTTCCAGAAGCTTATTCAGCAGCTAATTGAGCAAATTTGGACATGGCATCTTAATTGAACAATTGACTGTATTATTTCAATTTGTCAGCAACATTCTCAACCTTCAATTCAACCATTGATGATGGAGCTCCTGTTAAATAACCGCTAGATGTTAATATATCAATCATACCTTAAATCATTCTTCAATATTTTGATGACTCCCAAAGCATCATTATGTTATTTGATAGCTCTGACAAACAATCCATTTGAGAAACATCTCAATTCTTCAAGTTCAACTTCTCTTCTATCAATATCAGCTAATCTTTATGTTGCCCATGCAATGTAGTCTGTTGCTTCCTGAAATTTATTAAATCAAAATACTCTGTATTCAACACCAATTTGTTCTCTTCTGGCCTTAGCACTTGCCCAGGCTTTTTGATTTAATTCATTAACTTTGGAAAGAGCAGCAATTCTTCCTTATCCGATTTCTTCATCGGAAATGTTCTTTTCATCTGCAACACCTTGAGCTTCAATGTTGCTGGTTTTCAAATCATTCAATAAATCATAGACGGCTTAAACAGCATCATTTGATTCTGATCCTGTCTTTTAATATATTCATAATTCATACCTGCAAGAGGAGAGCGAAATCGATATCCAAGGCTTAAACACTTACTAAGGCAATCAAAGCTATGGTTATGAACTTATTCATGTCAATAAAATTAATAATATTTCCATAAAAACGGGTAAGGGGCTTAATAATGAATTAATATAAATAAAAAATCTCTATGACAGATGATGATCATTATCCGCTTTTAGCAACCACTAAGCCCTATGTAATAGCAATGATTGCAATCCAAATTATCTTAATCCTAACCGTAGTTTTATTGAATTTGACTCACTGAAACCTCCATATTCGTATCAATATTTATATACAATATTCATTATTTCCTAGAAAAATAATTAATACTAGCATTTTCTTTGCTCCAAACAATCTTGTTAGAAATATAGATAATTTTAAATAATACAACATTCTATATGTATTTCTACATAGATATTATAGTTTTTATAATGTAGCAATTCTGCCATTTTACTTTAATAAACATGAGAAGAGTTTATCATCTTTTACTCCATACCTTGAAAGAACCTTAAAGGTATCTTATTCTATATTGAATTAGAGAAAAAGCCTTAAGAATAATAATAAAATTAATAATAGTTAATATCAATATACAATAAATTTTGATGAATATTTAGTTATAATAATATGAAATACATTCATTATATGTATGAAATTAATTTATATAAATCCTAGATGAATTGATATATTGAATATTATTTCCTATTTTTATTTAACTACATATTAATGATCTTATAAAAGTTTAATTATTTTTTCTATATAATATCTATCTTTCATTAATGTTTCTATCTTTTAAATTCTCTAAGAATGACTTCATCTAATGTATAAGAATTGAGATATTTTTTATATAAAGATATCCTTAACAATGAAATTCATTTATGTTCTCAATCTCATAATAAAGTATAATATCATAAATAGAGTATAATAATTTCTACGACTTTTCGATAATTCAATTTAAGTCTTTTGTAAATTATTTAAAGTATTTTTACTTGATCATATTTTATAATAATTATAATTATTCGTAAATATATATATTAAATTTCAATCAATTTTTCCCCCATTTGTTTTTCTCTTTTTTTTATTTGGATTGACTAAATCGGCATTTGAAGGAAATTATACATATTGGTTCCCATAAAAGGGTATACCATAAGGACCTTTTCTTGGCAGTATTACTTCTGGAGTGGTCAAAATCTCTTAACCAATAGTAAGTAAGTTTTTCTTTGGTGGAGGAGGAGGCTTTTGGAGTGGTGGTTACTCTACATCTATCATTTATTCATTTTTTTTCTTCCTAATTGTATTCACTTCAATTTCTTTTGTAAATTATAATTGAGTAGCTTTTAAAACATCGACTAAATCGCAAACAAATTAAAATTGTATTTTTCTAGTGTCTTCATCATTTGTTATTGGCAGTCCTTAATCTAATGGTATTTATCCTTTTAGTTAAACATGCCTTTGGAGGGAGAAGTATAGAACGATATCTAATTGAGCTTCGAATTGAACAAAATCATATGAATTTTCACTAATCGCAAATCTGATTAATTCACAAAAGGATGAATAAGTTCCTTTGATGTCAGTTTTTAAAATCATTTCATCTAATGCTGCTCTATCAATTTTTTACATCCATAACATATTCCCATTATATACTCTTATTATTACACACAAATCCTTTCGGGAAGTTTCTTATTTCTTGAATAGCATCAAATATTTAGTTTCATCATTTTCTTTATTTTAAGAGTGCAACCCATCTAATTTCTGACATGCCTCTCTATAATCCTCTTTTTTTCTAAATGCTTCCATAGGATCTACTTTTTTAGATTACTCCTCCTGCATTAATTATCTTTAACTTATTATATTCCAAATATCACTACTCAAAAGTAAAAAGATTAACTATCCAAATATTAGATAACAATTTTATAAAATCTAATAAAATAATTACAACCCATTTCTCAAATCTCTAGAATAACCCCCAAAAATGCCCCTTCTTGATTGAAACTAAAATCAATTAACTTAAACTAGAGATTATCAAGTTTATATCAAAAGTAGCATTGTTAATATTTATAATTCTAGATGTACAAACATATTTTGTTATTAATCAATTACTTATATAAAATTATTAAAAATCAATGGTTTTAATCTAATTTTAATTATAAACATTTAATGTTATATTAATATTCAATGATGAGTAAATGGTGTCATAATTAAAAGTGACCTTTATTATGATAAGTCAATTTTATCACCACTATTATTTTTAGATAATTTTGAAAACGACAAAGAATTTAAAATTATTAAATATAATAAAAAATATTTTTTAACTGTAAATGAAATATTCTTAAACAACTGTAAAAGTATTCATAAACATTAGCTTTAAAACTCACCATCCCAATTTACTATTCCAGTGAACAGTAGCGATTCATAAAATTGGAATGATGTTAAAAAGGGCATTAGAGATAAGGTTTATTCAAAAGTCTAGGGATTTGAGAATCAGAAGTTTATATAAAAAAGCGAATTACTTTATAATTTTAAGAATCAAGAAGAAAAGAATTCTAATCAACCCTTATCGCACAGATAATCTGCTACTCATTTAAAGAATCTTATGGATAATAAGTTTCCAAAATAAGAATCTCCTATTAAAATGGGTTTAACTCGTGCAATTTATTCTCCGAGTCAGAAATAGTATCATCCATTGGATGATATTTAAATTAAGAATAATTATCAAAGTGCATTTGGTTCTGCAATAAATAAGGAAAAGGTCAAAGTTTAATCCTCTAAAAAAGAGTAATACTCCTCATCCAAACCAATGTCAGATTTACTTGATATGAAAAGGAATAAGGCAGTAACAGAAAGAGCAACACTTGCAGAAATAATCAGAATTTCAAACCATCTTCAAGATGTTTAGTAAGCGGAAGCTACTTAATTAAGTAGTGCATATTTATAAGAACTTATTGCCTTATAATAGAATATAGGGAAAGTGCTTAAAAACACATCTAGTAAGGTTTACAAATGAACCATAACAATCTACAATTATATATTATATATTAAAAATGTTATTTTATTGTTTGAGCAATAATTTTATATCAATCTTCAATGAGCATGACATTATCCATGTAGCAATAATTATTGAATGATTTGTTTCTTTTTGATTAAATTGTGAATGATTATATAAAAAAGTGAATGCTTTATTTAGATTGCCTATGAGAGAGCAATTACATAAATGATATAAATAATGCTTGAATAATTTATTTGATTTATAATGATCATGCACTCTTGGTTTTATAATAGTTTCCTTCATTGACATCTCCATCATATTCGTCATAATATGTTAAGCCTATTTTAAGGTTAATTATTACCTGATTACAATACAGTTGCTGCATATGTTGGGACTCCTAGTAAAACTGGGAAATACATGAATTGTACTGGAATCAAAATAAGCATTCCTGCTCCAAAAAATGAATTCTTGACATTCCAAAAGATTCTTCTAATCATATAAAATTAAATATTTAATTAATATATTATTATATTAATCAATACTACTTTGGATTGTTTCTCATTAAATATTATCTATAAAAATAGTACTCTTGACATACCCCAAATAAATGCAAGGATTAAAGCGTTCTCTTTCTTCAGGATCAATCTTTTCAGGATTCTGTATCATTGTTTCCAATTCCTTTGATAATTCCTCAATTCCATCCATCAACAAAGGCAATAATGTTTATTGAATCTCTTTATATTTCTAAATTCAAATCTAATCTTATACATCATCCCCTCCAGGTATTTTACTGAGTTCTCTTTTGATTACATCTAGGGGCACTGTGTAATTTGGATCTTAAAGTAACTGTTTAACATTCTTTGACATTATTAAAATATAAATATATATATAAAAGAAATAATGATTATATCATCAATACTTCACTTTTTTAATTGGTAAATCTAATAGCCATCCCTTTACTCTATATCTCTATGTTTATTTATTCTATTAATCAATGTAGTAATTAACTAAATCCGAGAGTTGATCCAAATCATATGATAGATACTGTTTCATCAATTCGTAATGTACTCTCCTATTTATAGGTATTTTATGTTAAATGTCTCGATCATTCTCTTTTTAAATGGTTTGATAGATCTTTCTGATATCTGTAATTATTTTTGTTTTTTCTCTCAACCCTTCAATAGTTTTGATTGGCATATACTTTATATGATTATGTTGAAATAATTCACCTACTGTTAACTTATTTTCAGCTGTAAAATATTTATCAACAATTTCAGCAAACTTTTATTAATTTGAATAGTAGTTTACACATTTGGACAATGATGATATTTTTAACATTTAGCCAAGACAAAACCAAATGTCTAATTCTTAGATTTGCTATTATTTAATTTTTGTTATATCCTATGCACATTAAAACAATTAATTCTTCATTTTATTATTATTCGCAAAATGTAATTAATGATCAGTAATCTAGTAATTTATCAAAAAATCATAAAATTCAGGTTCTAAAAATACCTTGTTTTTTGATTCAATCTAAATACACAATTCTATTATTGGCTTATTCATGAATTTCGATACATCTTCCAGATCTATTTCAAAATGCTTTATAGTACTGACATCCTTTCTTAAGGATATTATTCTCCTACTGTGCAATTTAATGTATTTTATTAATTAATTGATTTACTCTGAGTTTGTGTCTGCCATTGTGTCAATAGATACTGAACATTTCAATGGTATCACTGTATCAATTTGAATTAATTGATGTTTTTCTAACATATTCATTAATTTCATTGGATTATCAATCATAAATGATTATTTAATCTGATTCAAATTGACTTTATTTTAATTTGTACACATTTGATTATATATTGCCTCCAATAATTCTAAACTTGTTTATTAAAAGAACAAAGACTTCCTTTTTAACAAATATTATTCTTTGGATAAATAGACTATGCTTATGCAATCTTTGTTCAAAAATGCACAATCATTCAAATAAGCCTACAAACTGCTAACTTAATCTATGTGAACTAACACTTCATATTAGGTTTTCAATTCTGCAGAAGAAGAAATAGCTTGGTATTTACAAGTGATCTAATTGTTAATGCAGAAATCTTCGAAAGCTGTAATGTTTTTATTGTTTGAAAATTTCAAAGCTACACTTTATAAATTTTATTCTTCTAATCTAGTAAGCATCCTGGAAAAACTTTCTGAATCCATAAAAATTACTTTGTTTAATTAGTAATTTGGTTTGTATTCACTTTAAATATGGCCAATATCTAAAGTAGGTCCTATGTATGATGTTTATATCGAGAGATAGTTTCTTAATTCTTGTATGTTTGTGGCTGGCAAGACTCCTCTGTTGCAGACTATATGTTATTTAATATTATCAGAAAGCAAATATCGGCATTATTCAACATCGTCAAAATAGAATGCTTACTTCACATTTAGACTTCTTAAAATTTGCATTATTGTATCTGAATCTCGACGATATAATTATAAATATGTAATGTTCACTAAACCTTATTTTATCTACCTCAATTCGAAGATGTCGTTGATTTATGACAAGCTTGGTAATTTCTATGATGAAACCACTAAACTTATTGAACTTGGGTATCTCATTTAAACTACATTTAAAAAATCGTATAGTTTTTCAATAGGATATGTACAAATCATTTTAATTTCTTTAAATAAATAGATGAGTCTAATTACATCTTAAGAAACAATTGAAAATTTTGAAAAAGTGAGATTAAATCTTAAGCAAATTTCTTAGATCAATTCGACCGCTTAATCAACTTCAATTTAAGAAATTTACTAATCAACCAATTATTCGTCAATAATAAACTTTGAAGCAGACAGATTTTTATGATTAGTGAATAAAGTTCTTTATACATTGGGAGTTATAGGAGTTTGCAAAATGTAGTTTTCTTTTATTTTCCTTTCAGGTTTTGATGGAGTAATACAAAACTTTTATTAATTGAAACTGTTATCAGAAAGGAGGATATTTTCATTTTCGTTCATGTTGTCCTTTGAATTTTGAATTATAATTTTATATTTAACAATTAATTATTAATATTTGAGTTGAATTATATATAAAAATAACATATTAATTAAATTGATAATAAATTTAAAACGAGTGTCATATATGAATTATATAATAACAATATTTATGATAGAATGATATATATTCACACATTTTGATTCTCGTCAATTAAATCCTCATCAAATTCTCTATATCCGAGTCCCCTTTCAACCATTTTTTATCCATATGCCCTTGCTGATTACTATTGTTCCTTTGTATGATCCTTTCTCTTAGAGAAATGATGTCTATTCTTATATATAAAATAGATGATAGCTGCAAAGATACATATTAACATAAAGTCCCAAATCTAGATAATGATATGACATTTACATTTCTGAATTTCCAAAATTTGAATCCAGGACATAATAGACTGACTGGATTATATTCAACCCCACCTTAACATTTGTTGCCTGCCACTCTACGATAACCCCTAGTAACCTCATAATAATCTTCACAATTTTCAGGAGCCTCGAAGTTTTATTCATAAAGTTCATAGGGAATACATTTTGCATTTGGATCAGAGTTTTCTCTATGGAAATTGAGATCGCATTCCCAATCTTCCTCAGTACATTAACAATATTGAACTGAATGTTATCTTTGTAAATCTTCTCCATTAAAACATTTGGCATCTCTTTTTCTTCTCACATATTCTACTCTCATTCCCATTAAACAATCTGGATTAATCTTACCTGTAGGTGACCATAACTCATAATCACTATTCTCACTTGATGGCGAGTCTTCTCCTATGCATTCTCTGCCATGAATTTAAGAAAAATCGATTTTAACAATATTACCTTATTCAATATTTTCTTCATTTATGAATAAATCTGATGTACCATAAATGATAAATCTAGCACCAATATTAGATGGTTCAGTTATGATATTAGTGATTTCAATTGGGTGTTCACTAAATTAGAATACTTCCCAAGTCAATCCCTCATTCCATGAATACTTCAGCACTTTTGTAGCTTATTGATCACTTGCCAATACAATGACACCTCCATGATCCCCAATTTCATAAATGTGAGATCCTTTGGCTATTTCAAACCATGTTAAACCTCCATCTCTTGACATATAAGTATTCACTTGATCAGGTCTATAACTTAAATATTTTCCAATGTTTCCTGTTCCTAATATCAAACCAATTGAATTTTTGGTTGAATAAAATGGACCGAATTACATTTTTGTAGAAACTGAATGCAAATGCAATGAACATGATTTAGAATCACATTACAACTTTTTACCTTCTGAATCTACTTAAGGCGGTGTCAATGGTTACCATCTACTTCCTTTATCAAAAGTAATTTTAGTTTATTTAAATTTACTTAAATCACTCTCTTTGATTCTTGGAGAGTCCTCATCAATTTCAGATTAATATAGTTCTGCTTACTCTGATGCATAAACATTTTGCAATGTAAATTCCTTCCAAACCCAATACTCTCTCAAAATCACATTACCCTTCTTCAGTTCTCACTGTGTAATTTAATGAGATCCTATATCTAGAAGCAGTTGAATCTGATATATAGGTTGTACCCATAATCGAACTGGGTTTCAGATGATTAATGTTGATAAAGGCTCCATATTAGGAATCAACTATGGTGTAACTATGATCTTTAAGTATGTCTGGCATTTGGACATATCTGAAATTGTATTCATATTGATCAGATTCTGATACAAGTAATGTTACCTCTTAATTGGAAGAATTCATAACTTAAGCTACAAATACGTGATTAGGAGTTAATTGAAATTTATTGCCTTAATTAACTAACATCGTTTTCGTTTTCATAAAATCATCACTATAAAATAAATGGGTCTTCATGTTCCAACCCGACAATTATTAGTGTCCTTTTCCGTTTGGCTCCAAAGTGATCATTATTCTTTACTCTGGGATTACATCATTATTAGGACTTTTAAATCCCCAAGAATATTAATTTACATATTTAGCAATAACTTCCCAATTTAAACCCATATCTTAACTAACCATAAGGTCCTTAGTTACAAAGCAATCCTTTTATTTCATTTGACATTTTGACCATGAAGATGCCAATATCCAATCTTTACGTGAAGGATGAAATTGAAATTCCCTCATTTATCTGCCTGTATAAATTGCATTTATTGTTTGTCCACAATCAGGAGATATCCAATTTACAAATTCTGTTCCTAAGAATATTATTAATTGTGGGTCTATTGGACTTTTTTATATTTTATTTACTACTCCTACTTTTTCATTTTCATCTTATAATACAAGCAATCCTTTTCTATGGAATACTTCTGCCAATTTCTACCAATCATCTCCGTTATCCTGACTTAAATAGATTGTTCCTTTTGAACTCATAACTAAGATCTAAATAAATGAGATATTGATTGAGTACATTGTCATTTGACTTATTATGAGCACCACACCAGACGATATCTATTATAGCACTATCCATATTTGAAATACTAACATCAATGGCATTGACAATACAAAACAACAGAAAACTAATCATATGGCAAGTTATCTTATATTATATAATTCATTCATTTATATTTCATATGTGAAGAATATAGCTTTGCAGTAAATTAAGTAAGTTAATCAATCTATTTTTGTATATAACTTTATTCTCTTTCAATCGTCTGTCTAAAAGATTGAATAAGAAGACAAAATACATATATTCCTCTGCCTCTTGTACACTTCTTTGTTTCAATAGGTCAATGCGTTCTAAATTCTACAATTGATTCTTAAGCTGCTAGGTTAATTTCTTATGTTCCTAATCCTTAGTGGGTTTAGTTAGTTTAACTAAGAATTACTCCATCTTCTCAGTGTCTCTTGAAGATTAATCCAAATCAGGAATGATTACACCTGGTTTGTTAAGTAAAGTGTTCCATTCGATACCTATGAAATATGAAGACACTTATAACCTTTAAAGAATTTGTGCTATTTAATTTCATCAATAGAGACATGTCCAATTCTCTATGTGTAATCTTATTCTAATAGACGTGTGAGAAGATCATAGGAGTCATAAGAAATACAGTCCTCTCCATCATCTCCTAATTTGGGCCACTCAATTCTTAAATTGAGAATGTTCTCAAATATCTTCTCTACTGTGTCATCATTAAAAGGGGTAATTCCACATAGCATTTCATACATGATAACACCTAAACTCCAATAATCAGCTGAATAATTGGTTACTGATACACCTTGAATAATTTCAGGTGCAATATAATCAGGAGTCCCAATGATCCTATATTAGAAGAATATAAATTACTTTTTATTGCCACTATTCTTAGATTCAATGAAAATGGATTCAGCCTTTTTGATGTGCTCATAAAATTCTGATGAATCATTAAATTATTAGGAGATACATTCTGGTAACACTTAACTCTCTCTTTTCATTTTTAATCTGCTATTCAAACCCTTTTCAGATAATCCAAAGTCTGCCAATTTGGCATGTCCTTGAGAGTCCAATAAAATGTTTTCTGGTTTTAAATCTCTATGTACAATATTTTGATTTCTCAAATATTCCAAAGCCAATATTATTTCAGCCATATAATGTCTCACATAGAATTCATCCAACGCTGTGTACGACTTCAGAATGCTAGCCAAATCACCCCCCACCATATATTCTTGAACAAAACATAAGTAATGTTCATGTACAAATGAAAAAAATGCCTTCACAACGAAATGACTATTAAGTATTTCAAAAATGTTTCTCTCTGCCTTTAATTGTTCTAGGAAAGCTTCTAAATTCTATTGTTAAATATTATTATTACTCTTTGAGCACAATCTATAATCTTTAATGCATACATATCTCCTGAGCCTTTCTTTTTCACTTAAAAAACCCATCCATAAGCTCCTTTTCCCAATGGCTTAATGAATTCAAAATCCTTTATACCAACGTTCTTCTACTCAATTGATACAGAAGAATTGGTCTTGATCATGTCAGAATCAGAGTGATATCCCTTGTCAGTGTGAACGGGATCAATCTATTCCTAAACCAGCTGTGGACTATTATTCGTAGCATTACTGCTGAATTTGCTTTTCTTAGTTACTTAAACTTGTTATGAAGAAGAGGATGTTGGAGTGATAGCTTATTGAATGTCTTAGGAGTGGAAATTAGAAACTCGGTTTTTCTATTTGATTTAGAGTTGTCTTCTGACTTGATTGGAAGGATTAGATGAACTTGATTCCTCTTCAGAAGAATTATTTAATTCTTCTTTGATAGATGGAACCTTGTTATCTCCAGCATCAGAATCAAAAGATAGTGGCTATATCATACTATCAGAATCAGTGTGATCATTTATAAAACTTGCTGTTAATGGCTTAGATGATATTCTAGTACTGTCACATCCTTCATTCACCTTAAATATGGAAGTATTCATTCTGAATTCCCTTCTTTTGGGAATTATAGGCTAATTAAGTCTTTCTCCTTCTTCCTGTTCAAGTATTGGATCAGCTTATCGATTTCTTGGAGACTGAGAGGCATAGGAAAACTTCGATTAGCGAAAAGAGAGAGAATTCTGTTTGGCAAAAGATTTTTTGATAGCTTAGATCTTGGATATTTGGACAGTCATATCATATTGTTAAAGATGACCTTCTTATTTTTTGAAATATTCCATCCGATCAAGAATACTTTTGTGAACACGTGTTATGATGGTCTTAGCCTCATTACTTTCAATATAATTGTCTGCATTTGAGAGATCATTAAGGATGACAAGATTTTCTATTTAGTCAGATAATTCTTACACTTAGGATCATCATTAGATTAATTCACTATTTTATCAGCATAATTAATAATTATAGTCATAGCATTATTGATATTGATTAATTCTTATTCGTTCTCCTATTCATCACTATTGAAAGTCAGCGTTCTTCTGAATTTATTATTATTTTTTTAAACCTTTTTATTTTTACTAACTATTATCAAATCTTACTTTATTAGAGCTTGTTTTACTTAGGCATTTCTTTTTTCTTAATAAGCTGCTTCACAAAGATTGGCCATTTCCAAATTCAATTCTAATATTCGTTTCTTTGCCTCAGCAGTTTTTCTAACATTCTTCACAATGTATTTTCATCTCCAGGGCTTGTACCTCTTTTTCACATATTCTACAGATCAATAACTCAAGTGATTTTTTATCCCACTTCTTCATGTCCATCATCATTACTCTAAAATACTAAACATTGCTACTGCTAAATATTCTTCATTTTTATTGATGCCCACTTATATTGGAATGATGTATTATTCTTGCTAATCCAATCCGTTTCCAAATAACTTAATGCTAATCTCAATTTATCTGACAATAATCGAATCGATCTAGTAACAAGTTATCATTTAATTGTTACTTTGTCGACATCTTCTTTGTAAACGACTTCTTCATTTTTACTACATCTAATCGTTGAACATCTTCTATTGCATTCTAGACCTTATGATCCATTTCCCCATAGTGATCGTAATTTTATTGGCTGAAGTATTCTTAACAAGATTTTAAGGTTAATACTACTTTTTGTATAGAATCTCTCTATTGAATTGTATTTCCCAAATAATACATACTGTTGTTATTTAATGATATTGTGATAGGATATCTATTATTTCCTTCACACTTGAGGAATCAGGGTTTAATTATTATATTCTATGCTCAATTTGGTCCATTAAAATATATAATAAATAGATCACAATTGCTAAGCTTTCTTCATTCGCACTTAAATTCGATGTTACATTTACTCTTCCTCTTCCTAACACTTCTATTACATCTATCGTATCAATAATTGCTTCTAGTATTTGTAATCTACCTAAAATTAGCAAATCATTCACCAGTCTCTAATTTATCCAAAGCCATCTAAGCCTAAGATCTATATTTCTGAAGACGATCATTTAAACTACATTTCTCATCTCCCCTCACATTCATCTTATTATAACTTTCCTTCAAAATATTATGATCATTGAATTTCTTCACCAAACAAAATGGACTCCCATAACTATTCGAAAAACAATTCTTTTGTTTGCATTTCTAAAATAAAATCTAATCAATCAATTTAATATACTGCACCTTTCGAATCATCATACTTATGAATTCTTTCACTTGCCATTCAATTTTAACTACTTTTTAATTATAAATTAAACTTAATCTCTATTCATTATTATTTTTTCACAACATATCCACTCCCTTAAATGAATTCATAAGTAACTCTCATTCCATTAACTGAAAACAGAATAGCCTAGGATTACAAAATGATCCAAAAAAATGAAGCCTATTTGGAAAGCTTTGGAGAAGGCTATCCCAACATTAAAAATACAAATGATTATTTTCTATATCTTCTCAGAATCTATGGTGATTTCTAAAATCTTGAACTCAAAAGATTTACTATATGCTATGACAATACACACTGTGGTTAAATTGGCTTACACTCTTTCTGTATTGAAAATTTCACATGCTAAGCCGAAGTATTATGTTTCAATATGTCAAGATATTTTATTGGGTCGATGAATAATTTTAAGGCAAAGGAATCGTTACAAAAGCCTGCTAATCACTCTTAAAACATGCCTTCGAAGTTCTTGGATTAGATCTTCTAATAATACATTGTTTAGTAGAAAATGTGAAAAGTGCAAATGTTGCTCTAAGATGTGGATTTACATATGAAGGTATCTCTAATTTAGACAATACCTAATATAAGAAGTTTATCAAAACTGTAGAACAATATAGAATAGAATAAAAAAAATGATAATCATTTAAATAGTTGCAATTCTTCTTTCATTTATTCGAATTAATCCAAATATTTTATATTCTCTGCAAATACATCTGAATCCGAATCCAACTAGCTTGAATTAATCTTTATTAACCTCATCATAGCCTTGATATCATATGATGGTATAATAGTATTCTTACATTGTAAATAAGATTATATATAATGAAGAGGAAAATATGTTTCTTCTGGCAAATCTTAACCTTGTTTTGGAAATTGTAATCTCCTTTCTACTTCCTTAATATAAAACTCATCAAGAAAATACTCATTCAATAGATTTTTTACTTGAATCACAAAAACCTAGTTTATGTATGGTTATAAGATTTGTTATCTGAATTGTTCAGCTTTGACATCTTTAACCCTTGCATGCAGAGGCAATCCTACATACTCTCCAACCAAATATGGAAATAAGCCATTTTTAACTGCATATATGAAGGATTCGCTTTCGTACTTCTAATTAGTCATGAACTTATTGTAAGCAGGACTTTTCAATAATTTCATCATAATTCCCTTGACAACATTGGAGTAAAATGTATTATCAAATAATTTAGTAATAAATGGGATTGGCTTTTACAAAAGATAGCGATATTCTTCAAATTAATTGAGAGCTCTTTCCACAAAAATATAATTATAATTAGCATTAATCAAGATCTAAGAGATTGAATACTTTATATAAAATATTTCCAAATATGTTATTTATTGTGTTGTAAAGAATTCTATAATTGATTCAAAATTAAGTGTACTTTCATAATAAACTCCTTTAAATAGTTCTAGCATTATTGCCTTCAATTATAGAACACTAGAATTTTAAAAGAATAATCTCATAATATCTTACTTTAAGAGATATTCTACCACATTTTCTGAAAATTCTTCTACTTGTAATTTATCAATCCTCACTAAATTGCTTCCTCTTTCTCTTTCCCATTTATTAGAAAATGAGATTTCATCAAAAGAGATCTTCTTTGGCCTTGGTTTTTTCACAAAATATTTACTTAGATTGATTTCATTTGATGCCTATTATTGCAACTATGGCAGATGTGTTATATTTTATAATTGTTCTTATGAACTTTTGTTATATTATACCAAATCCTTAATGGTGATGTTTTTGCATTAATTTTCAATCCTCTAATTTTTATATAAACCAATAAAAAAACTTTGCTATTGTGGTGTTTCAAGATTGGCTTGTGAGTGATTTTATTTTTTGGGTACTGAATTTGAATTATGATTAGCAATTGATAATTGGAGATTTGCATTTATCTACTCTACAGATTCTTGCTTAAAATGCGAATATTGCTCTTTTAACAATAAAGATTGCCGTTTCCGTATTCGATTAGTAGATTGTTAATGATCAGATTATAATGAAGGAAGGAGAGGATTCAGATATATCTTTCGGACTGCTGCACTTAACTTATCATTAGATTGATGTTTTAATTTAGATCTTTCATTCAAATACCTCTAGTATTTCTCTACCACTCTTTTATACTCTTGATTTATGGTTCCATTAACATGAGATTATAACATATTAATAATATCATAATTTGCATCTTCTCACTTATTTATTTATGATTTGTGCCAATTTCACCAATTCAGACACATAATTCTTGGACAGTTATTATACTTCACTCTATGTACTCCCTTCAAGTCTATTTCTAATATCAGATAGTTCTTTTAATGGCAATTTATCGATAAGACTTGTTTTCAGCGGTTAAGAAATGATAGGCTTTTCCATAAAACTTGAAGTGAATTTCCCTGTAGATTGCTATTTAGAATCCAATTTAGTTTAAGATGCAAATCGATTAGAAATGTGCAAAGTCATCCCAACTGATCTCTAGGATAATCTGCTCTAGGGTGGTTCGGCAAACTGCTCGATTTTGCATTAAATACTAGACCTCAAAGATCCATCATGTTTCAATATATTATGTGAATTGTCTTTGTATGAATACATCTTTTTAAAAATATCTTCAAATGATGGAACACTAAACTTAATCTGTTTTATACCTTCCCCTCATTTCTTAAACTTATGAAGATTTAGCAGTTTTTGAGACAGTACCCTTCACATAAGACTATTACTCTTAATTGCCTAATTGCTACATCTTTGAATAGACACTCCCCCGAAATTTTCCTAGATTAAACTCTGATTCATCATTTTTAGTCAATGACGAATATCTTAACTAATTGTCAGATTGACGATGGGAGTTTCTCTTTAACATCTTAACGATTTTTATAATAAATTATATTATTAATATATATATGTTAGTCAAACAGAAAAAAAAGATTTTGCTTTCTAAGTAATGCATAACTAAAAAATCATATATTTTATATTATCTTCTCTATTACTGTCCCATTATTTTTTAACCATTTATCTTATCTCTTTCTAATTCAGAAATTCGTACTCTAATTTGAGTTTCCAATAAGTTTCTTCATAAAATTTGCTATATGGAGATCGATCTCTTTTCAATGGAGTGTTGTCACCTATCAATGGACCTGTTATATCTTAATCATCCCCTAAATCAATCTATCTCTAAATTTTGGTTGCTGATGGTTTTGAGTGAGATTTAAAAAACTAAGTAATTTTTGTCTACGAAGATTCAATCCTGTTTATTTTCCTTTACATAAACTCCATAACTATCATTTTGTCTTTAAATGACGGCAAATCCAACCACAAAGTCATAGCCTTTTCCCTCAAATTTTTTTAAGGGGTCCCATATTTTGTCTCATAACTAAACTTAATGAATTGACTTACTATTTAGTAGCCATTTTCAAAAATTTCTCCAATCCCTTATCATCCTAGACTTCTTCCAAACACATTTAAAATTAAAAAATTGCGGAAAAATTAATAATATATAATTTCATTTTAGTAATTTATTTAAATTTTATCCGAGCTAAGTAGTTTTTCTAATAAATTAAAAATAAATACCTTAGATAATATTCCCAATAAGTGATCCTACCTGTCTATTCTATATCATATTCTTAAAAGTAGCTATTAAAATAAATCTTAGTTTTATACTTTCTTGTTAATTGTCGATCTCTTGTTTATTGAAGCATTTAATGCTCTGTAAAATATCCTTAATTATTTGAATCTAATTTCAAGAAACTTTTTCTATCTTCCTTCTAACATACAAAATCTAAGAACTATCCCATTTCATTAACATCTATAAAACCATCATTGTTTTTATCTATGAAAATAAACATCTCTTGTAGATCAGGTATTTCAGTATCTATTTCGTTGTAAAATGCTTCCATTTTATACTAAAAGAAATTCTTGCTTATTTTATCCAAGGATGTCTCCGTAAAAATGAATCCAAATATTTGTTCTGCTCTAAATTTTTACAAAGCATAATATTTAGGCTAGCAAATGAAACTCTAACAAGAAATTGCAAAATTATAATCTTTACTATCTGGATCTGTGTCCTATGATATTGCTCTATGTTTCTTAAGAAAATCAGGTGCTGTGAATAGATCAGCATATTTCCTCACAATTTCTTCTTCAGTCCACTTTTTCTATCTTTGAGATTTCTTTATTGTTTCATCGAATTTTTAAACTTCTTTAAAGAACCCTCCACTACTTGTATGGAATTTTTAATTCTAAGACAATCTATCTTATTATTATTTATGGGGAGTAGTCCTTATTTCTTAATTTTAACATACATTATCAAATGTTATTATTTATCAGTCTGGTGGATACATTAGAGTTGTTTGCTCAATGATCTGGGATTGTTGTTTCTTATACTATTTTATCTAGACTATTATTTGCTTTTGGCTTAAGGAGATCCATTTCTCAAATTTTCTTTGAATTGTTATTATTTCTTTTAGAGAATACGGACCTATTTGTTTTATTACAAGAATTTGCGTAAATCCATATACATTCTTCTTTGGTCTCTATGGATTAGAATTTATACCATTATTCTTTTTATATTAAAAAAGGATTGAGATGATGTCTGGATTGTTTTAATATGCACATTATCTTAGATAGAGTCGATCATCCTTGGGAATTTCTAAAGATAGATGGACACATTCTACATATGCATTTTTCAATTAAATTAAAGTACTCATTAGTCTGACTATTGGGTCTATTCATTTAGCTGTTATAATTAATTATAATAGTAAATCAATTATTAAACTTCTAATTAAAGGAATCATTATAATATTTAACAAATTTTCCATCATTCGACTGTGCTCTCTATCTGAAACTATCCTATTGTGACTTAATGAACTTTGATTCTTCATGACGACTCTTCAGAGGACGAGAGAAATCTATCTTAATCTTCTTTATAAATTATTGTATAGTTAATTAAGGTGTTTGTTATTAAGATTGATTGAGATGCTGATTGTTTTCTTTGTTTCTTTTATTAGCTAGAATCCTACTCCAATTTTTATCGCTAATCTTATTTTAAATATAGTTTAACTAACTAAATATGAGTAATAATTTACCTAAATTTGCTATTGTCTTTCGAGTCTTGCTTAAGCAGTTTTGAAATCTCTTTGAATGATTAATTATTGCTGCTATTATTATATTAGTTTAATTTATTAAGAGTTTCCTTCATTGATTTTAATGGTTACTTTTGTTATGGTTTAATTCTGCATTCCTCAAAAGTATCAAATTTTTCAGATCCTTGGCTTTAAAATGTGTTCTCTCTTGCACTATATTATAAACTACTTCTCTTAGTCTCCTCAATAACCTTAATCTCTTGAGGAATAGTAAGTTATTTCGGTGAATTATAGGACTTCAACTCTTAAATAGTATCCTATAAATTGCTCTCTTAACTAAATATTGAACAATCGAAATTGTTTGGTAAAATCAACACTGCATGTTTGACTCCATTGAAGGATTGATTCTTTCTCATAATCGGAGGGAGAATGACCAAACTTTTCGCTCCTTCCTTACCAAAACCATCAACACAATAATATTCATTCTTTTGATATGACACTATTTCGTAAATCACTCTACTGAAACCTATGTTAATCTCTTAATCACTCAGAATTATATAAGATAATAATAGCCAATATTATTTCATCCATTCAATCAGATCATCATTATCTTCTTCTATAAATTCATCTATGTTTTTGATGTTCAATTTTCAGAATGTGATTTTAATTTGTTTATTGTTGTTTCATTGAATCCTAAAACACTTTAGTAATTATCTTAATATAACTTTTATAAAAGACTGAATAATCCTTAACAATTTATTCCAAGAATTGAAGCAACTTGTGAAGTCTTATTATTTAGTTCTTCTCTAATCACATGTTCTAAAAAGAGACAACTCTATTGAACAACTTAGACTAGCACTTTTGGCTAATCAAAAAGATAACCAAATGCCGATGGAAGTGTTTCCTTGACCATATTTTCATATTTTAGTTTAAATTCACTTGGCAACATAAATTTAGAAGATGTATTCGTAACATTGACAGAACAATGAACTAAACTCTCTTATAATTGCTTTATCTATTGTTAAAGCCTTAAATTTTCAATTCTAAATTTATTCATATCCGCTTCTAAAATTTCTAACATGGCCATCGTATCATCTGTTTGTATTTACATTGATGTATTTTTCTTTGGCTTTTTGCGAAATGAATTAGCAACTGACTCCATCTCATCTAAACTTATCATTATTCAAAATATATTGCTGTTATATAAATATTAAATTTATGTAAATATTGAATATAATGTAAAGTCAGAGATTTCACTAACTATATTCTTAATTAATATAATTCATTATGATATTCCTAAGTTAACAAATTTAAATTCAATTTAATTAGAACTTGGTAGAATTTCAAAATAGGAAATTTATAAAGATATTCAAAGTAATCACATTATATTGATTTCAATTGAATCAGTGTTATCTTTAATTTAAAATAATTAGGATTAATTTAACGTGAAGTTCTTACATAATTAAAATCAAATTAATGTATTCTTACCAAGAAAATAACTATTAAATTGGAATTTAATTTAAATTACTCAAAATCATTGTCTTCAATTAATGATATCGGAGAAACATTAATGTATCAACTTAATCTGTTAAATTTGTTAATAACTAATTATAAGAAATTATTCCTTCCTTCTAAAATTAGAATAATATTAATTTATTGATTGGTTTCTACATTTTTATGTTGTGTCTCAAATGTGGGGAAAATAAATATATAAAATTTTCAGACATAATATTAATAATTTGATAAATAAATGTACTTTGATGAAGACTTAAGTCCTTGGTGCAGTGATGATTATAGACCTCGTTCACGATATCATAGTTAGATTACAGTACCATTACATAAAGAAAAGACAGAAATAAAAGAGACTCATCATACAATACATACGATATTAACAGCAAAGAAAAGTGAATTACCTAAGTTAAAATTGAATAGTTTATCACCAAGACAAGCAGTAAAATAACAATATATCAACAAATTCATAAAGATTAAGGAATCTTCAAATGAAAAACACTTTTTGCCATAACTCTCATTAATAAAAATGAAACCTCATCATACTAAACCTAAGGTTCGAAACACTGACATACATGTGATATTTGAAATCGAAAAAATTATTCGTCGAAACCATGGTTACATCCCAACTCATAAGTACACTACTTCTACTATATTTTGATCATATATAATCATTTTTTCCTTACAAAGCCTCTAATTTAGCTCTAAAGCGTGGAAGTTTTTGGATCAAATAATTATTTTTTTCTATGATCATTCGGTCTAAAGGCTAATCATTGATTGTGCCACTTCTTTTGTGTTGCATATGTTTATAAAATTGCTTGACTTGCAAAGCAATTTGTTCTTCTCTTTCGTCTCGTTTTTGAAGATATTGAATTTATTATTTATTGTCTTGCATCTTCAATGTTTTTTTAAAAGGGTCAAAGTTGTATTCTTAAATCAATAGATCAAAGAACTTCTGATCCCCTGACTATCAATAATGAATTAGTCATATTTACTTTGCCAGCTTTTTATATTAAGAGGAAGTCTAAAAAGTTGTTCTTATTTAGACGACTCAATTCCCCCTTGATTGATGGGTTGATTTATGGTATGAAATCCTTGATTTTGAATGGTTCTATTTGCTTTGTCTCTACTTAAGTTGATTTGATGTTATAATCTGGGACATGTTTACCATTTCCTGCCAAAGTAAAGTCCATTTTCTTAAGTGTCATCTCACTATCGCAATGTGAAAGCAAACGATGAGTCATTTTCTTTGCAGTAGGTTTAAATGAATCACCATAACGAGTTGGATCAGATTTAGAGATTTAGCTCACTGATTACATATATAATAAAATAAGAAAATGGAATATTAATATTCAGGAAGTTGCCATTGCCAAAAGGTGTAATTTCAATTTACAGGACCCCTTGAGATGGAAGTAATCAGATGTCATTGTTCAATCTGCAAAATGAAGCAAAATCATCATGTATTGATTCAAGATTCCAAATTTAAAATGCTCACAAGTATGGAAGAACTGAGTCTGTACACATTCAATACCAAACAAGTATGAGTGACTCAAATCTGTATATAGGCTAAGCATTACTTTTGCAAGACCTGTGGAGTGCAATCCTTTTTTTATCCCAGATTTAACCCTAACATGATTGCAGTTACCATATATTGTGTGTAATTACCGTCTAATGCCAAATTGACATACGTGACTTAAGGACTTGAATAATCAATTAAAGAATCAATTAAACAATGAAATTAATTTATTTTTCTGATGAATCAATAATGTCCTCATTGCCGAAGAAGACTTCCAATTCCTTCTTCTATTACCAAACCTAGAAGCTAAAAGAAATAAAATGTAACATAAACACTCAAAAATATATCCTTATATGACTTACTTGAAGAATTTGCTAAAGTAAGAAGTGAATAGCACTTCGACCTGATGCAGTTCTTACAAGAAAAGATCAAAAATCCAGAATTAACTGATGACTACTACCCTGTTACTTAAAGAAAGAAGTGGGATTTGCCCAAGAAGTAATGATTTTTCTTTCCATTTTATTTTCTGTTAATTTATAAACTTATATTAATCAATGTGATCTCTTTCTTAAATTTGCCTTCACTTATACAAATCCACTATAAGTAGCATCTAAAAGTGGATCATCCTTTATGTATTTCAAATCTTCCACTTTAAACTCTTTAAATTTATAATAAATAAATTACCCTTTGAAGATTATTTTGATTACTATTTCCTATTCTTTTGGTTTCCATATAGTAACTCTTAAACTTCCTTTTCCACTTCTTCTTTTTTAGACATTCTCTCAGTGGATCTCTATGATACTTATTCAGAATTAGAATTTATTTCCTAAATACTAGGCTATTCAATTGAATGTTAGAGCATGCTTGGAATGATGTCCTGTTTATTCTTTTCCCAATCCAAATAAACTCTCTCGAATTCATAAGGTGATAACTCTGCTAAAGCTTAAATTAATACCATTACCTTGAGGAGAATCACTTGGAACTGTGATGTGACCCTTCTTAATTTCTAACTCCCTCTTGATATTCTCTAAAATCTCCTACTTTCTCATATTATGTTATTCTTCATAATTACTCATCTAATCATTATTTTTTGAAGTCTTTTCAGTCACTTTCTTTAGGTATTCCTCATATTAAGGACTATCCTTTTTATTATCTCTTTCTGGACGAGTTAAAAATTTCTCACTCTCTTTTTTGAGATCATCAACATTAATGACTTACTTCTTGCCACTATTATCAACAACTTCTAAACCTCCTTTTAATCCTAATGCTTTCTTTAAGTCATCAATTCCTTATTCAATTTTTGGTTCCACTTTATTAAAGCTATCTCTCTTAACATCTACGATTGGTAATTTCTAATAGTGCTTTTTGCCTTCCTCCTTTAAGGTGTCATCTACAACATCATTAAGTAAGTTGTTAAAATTGTTTATGGCCTTTTGGGCAGGTCTTTCTGGATCTTTGGTCACATTCTCTTCAATGACAAGACTTGGTGACTTTCTTCGATTATGAGAATCTTAGATTTCTTACTTTATTTCTTATTTTAATTCCTCTTTAAGTTCCTATTTTAATTATTCCTTTAAGTCTTTCTTTAACTCATCTTAATTGACTTAATGTTCGATCTTTAAAGATTTATCTTCATGCTATACTTCGATAGATCTTTCACTCTATTTAGTATTACCTTATTAAGGATTATGAGAAATAGTAATTGAATGCTAGATTTTTTATTTATGTTTCTAATTAGAAATAGAATCTGATGATAATTATTATTAAGTTTATTATTATTATTATGGTTGCTTATTCTATGTTGGCTATTAAGTTTCAAAATTGTCTTCATAATCATAATCTTGCTCATTCAATTATGGTTAATCATCTTACAAATTTCCTACATCTACGATAATATCTATTTCATTTTCATCTCTAGGAGTTTCTGAATAAATGTCGTCTTCTTTTTAATTATCAGATGATTATTCTTATTACTGAGGTTCATCTTATACCTATGGTATAAATTACTCTGCTTTCATAACAACAAAATCTTATTCTTATTCTTTTTATTCTTATTAATCATAATCGTTCTATTATTATTACTAATATCCCTAATTTTATGATTATTATTCAGAAATATCATAATCAGATTCTAAAGTGTTTCCATCTTCATTCTCTGGCTATTATTCTACTGATTGATTATCTGATTCATCATAATACTAGGGTGGCTATTCATAAGATTCACCAAAAGAAGAATTATCCTTGACAAGGTTGTCAATAGTTAAATATTAATCTTGAGGCTCAGCATCATCATATCTTTCAACTTATTAAGCAGCATCCTCTTATTCTTATTATTCATTCATAAAAGATTAATCTTCAGCTTCTTATTCTGGAGCATCAAATGTTTATTCAACTTCCTATTATTCTTATTATTCCTATTATTATTCTTAATTTTCAGATTACTAAATTTCAGGTTCAATATTTTGATCATCCTCAAATCCTTAGTAATATTACTTTTAATCCTCTTGAACTTAAGGTTCATCTTATTATGATAATTCATTGCTTTATTCATCATAAGTGGCTTCATAGACCTAACTATTATCATTAACAATAATATAGTCACTAGACTGTTTAGATTCCTCATTTTCTTATTTGATATTACCAATCGTATTAGCTAAGACTTCAAGTTCTTTTTGGAATTCATCGAATGAAATAACTTCATCCTCTCTCTAATTTTCAATATTAGAAGCAGAAGTTTCTTCAGCAGTAACAGCCACATCAGTTGATAAGAACTATTATTGTGAATCATCAACAGATTCTAATGGGGCATCTTCAAGATCATCATCTTTGGCTTCAACAATTTTGTAATTGGTTTCTTCATCTGTATTATCATCATTTAATTTGATATCTTCAATTTAAATGTTTTATTATTCCTATTGTTATTCATCATCATAGATAAAATTAACATTTTCAACATCTGGTTCTACTGCTTCCAAATAATCACCAAGTTATTTGACTTCTTATTCTGGTTCTGGTTCAATTTGACTTTATTCATAATCATCATCCTTCAACACAATAACTTATTCATTATTTTCAGGCACATCTAATCTATCAATAATCAATGAATATTATTTATCTGCTTCAACTACAGAATCCAAAGAATTACTTTAAACAGTGTCCAATTTAAAATCTCTGATCACATTAGTTAATTTATCTTTTAATCTTTATTTTTCCCTTAAGAAATCAGATTTCTTAGGTTTTCTAATAAATGCTTCTCCTTCATCTGTTGTCAACCCAATTTCAACAGCCCCTTCTTCTTTTGTTGTGTCCTAATCCTAAAACTAATCCTCTTGAGGAGTAACTACTTCCACTTATTCTTGAGGCTATTCAATTTATTAGACTTCCTCAACTTAAGATTAAGTTTCATCAGGAATGAGATCCACTTAACCTGATTCATATACTTCCATATCTTAATGATCTTCATCTAACTTAATAGAAGCATCAACAATCTAGACATCGTCTTCTTCAATTTGAGATGTGCTTTCCACTTATTGCTCTTGTGATTACAATTCTTTATCAATCTCTTCCTATAATTAGTTTTCAGTGATCATTAGTTTTTCATCACCCTTGATTTCTTATGTTATTAACTATTGCTCAGGATTGACTCCAGCATCATTTAAATAAATTACAGGAGGTTGTTATTCTTCCTAAGGCTATTCAACTTACATTTCCTTTTGATCTTCATAAGCAGAATTAACATCTAAACTTATTTAATCTTCTATAACTTGAGGTTCTTCACTTTCATTTTCTAACTAGTTAACTTCCTTCTCTAAAGAAGCTGCCTTTTCCATGATATCCATTTTTTCTAATTGTTATTCTCCTCTTTTTTTATTTTTTAATTGTTTAGCTTCCTCTTTCAATTCTTAAGCATACCTAATCATTTCATCAATATCTGATTCTTGCTTAAGAAGATCCTCATCATTTATTTAAGTGACTTTTTATTAAGGTTCTGAGAAAGCATCAGGATCAACTGAAACATCTTCGGATTGCCCATCGATTTCATTATTCTCTTGAATATCCTCCTAAACCTATTACTCTTAAACTTATTATTCTGTATTATTTGTATAATCTTCTTGAGCCTATTACTATGTGACTATATCCTCCAAATTTGATTCAGAGATCTTCACATTTTCTATTTTTACTTCATCAGCATGAACAACAACATCTTCAGCGATTGATATATCCTCAATTGGTTTCACTTCAGATTAAACAGATAATTAATCGTTTTAAATTTCTTTGGCTTATTATTATTGAGGAATGTCATCAACATTAATGGAAGATATATCTGTATTATCTAATTTAATATCTTCAATTTAGACCTCTTATTTTGAATCCTCCTATTAATTTACAGTAGTTTATTCTTAGTTATCAAATGTGACATCTTCTTATTAGAGCACTTAATCGCTAGTATTACTGGCAACATTAGATTGTAAATTCTCAACATCCTCATTTTAATTGTAAGGATCCTTTTATTCATTAACTTATTCAATATTAGCATTTGATTATTCTTCTGAGTTTGTTATTAAATGGATTTCTTCTTCTTTAGTCAAGTTAATTTATTATGATTCTTAATTATTTCCAGCATCCTCAGATTCTAACTTCACATCTTCAAGCTATTATTATTAACTAGTTTCTTATTATTATTATTCTGATTATTCAACTTATTATTATTAATCGCCAATAGGGATAATCTCAGATTATTCAGTTTCCTTAGTAGGTTCAAGATCTATTTTAATATCTTCTAATTAATCGGATACAGCTACAGTTGTTTACTGTTAAGTAACGATTGGTTGATCATCCAATTTAATATCTTCAAGTTGGGTATTTTCAGATTCAAGATTTTGATTTAGGTTGTCGAGACGGATGTCTTCAACAATTAATTTCTAATCAGATGTTGATTGTGAGTCTTTATTATCCAATTTAAATATTTCTAATGATTCCTCCTATTAGAATTCTGGTTGATTAGGTTAATCATCATTCACAACTTCCAAAGATCTATGCGCTGGATATACTTCAATTGAGGAATCCTTAATTATTTCAATAGATTGATGATGCCAAATTTCAAAGGATTTATGCTGATCTAGATGTGTGATTTCAAGGGATTGTTGTGCTTATACTAAGCTCCTAAGCTGAATTAATATTTAAGGGTTACATGGCATTTTGTTTTTTAAATGGATGAAATTCCGCTGCTTCTTGTTCTTGATAATTCTCATAACCAATCAGATCTAATGGGTTGCTCCTCATTTGTGATGATTATACACATATTCAATTTTCCATCATTATCAACAATGAGATTGCCATCAAGTAGATCTTTGCCAAATTACATCAATAAATTACCAATATTGAAATTGTTTGCATGTGTATTGGTAGCTAGAACACCAATAAATGTTGGTCTCTAGATGATTAGAGGAATTTGAATCTCATTTCCAACAGCAATACGATTGAAACATTCAATTTGATAGTTCTCATCATTTTCTATGGCTAAATAGGCAAATTCAGCCTCAATCTCATCGGATGCCATCATCTGTAATGTGAATCCTTTTATTAAATAGATACTTGAGTACCTTCTTTGATTAACCTCATGAATTTCTGCAAAAATGTCTCCACGACCATTAAGAAGTGCTATAGCAACTTAAGGCATCTGCTAGAACGGTTTTGAGAAGATTATTTCCTTCGATTAATCAAACGAATTACTTTTGATTGAATTTGTCCTCCCCCTTCATTTTGAATCAGAACCGTTCCATAATTCAGACTATGGACAATCACCAATAAGGTGATCAATAGATAGCATTGTTTGACCATTTTTTTATTATAATAAAAACGGATTGTAATTAATTCACTCTCAATATACTTATTAATTTATTTAACTGAATGGCAGAATAAGGTAGATATAGTAAATTAAGTGAAGAGGAGGCTGCAGCTCAATTCGAATTAAGGTACACATCCTAATTTACTTAAGAAAATAATAGTTATTGGGTAATTTGTAAGAACAATACCAAAATGCAAATACTTAAAAGAATAAAAAGCAATCCAAATAGTAATAACAATAACCCAATCAACAAGAATTCATTGTTTTTAATCCTACTAAAAAGCAATCATCTTAACCATCTTAAAAGCCATCTAAAAAATTATAGTTTGTTAAAGAAGAATAACCTCTGCGGAATCCAACTCCACCCCAAGAATAAGAAATCGAATATCAAATATAATAACCTGTTGAACCAATCCCTCCTGAATAATCTCCTTTAATTGATAAACCACAAAAGCCTAGTATCAAAAAGATGTTGCTTAGAGATATAGGTAATTTGGATCTAGAAATTTAAAGATTAACTAGAGAAACTAAAGACTTTTAAAATGAGAAATTATTAAATAAATCTTAATTATCTTAACAACCAAGAAATCTTAAAGAATCAGTTACGAAAACTAATTCAAGACCCAGCTCATCACAACAATAATAATCAAAAGCATACTTTGAATTAAGATAGAGACCTTCAAGTAAAGAATCTCGGATTTCCGATGCTTCTTACACTAAAAAGGCTGAATGTTTCAAAGGAGTCATAAGAAGCTCCAGTTTGAAGAAACTACCTCAACCTCCCAAGACACAATACAATTTTTTATAGTTAAGGAGTGCATCTGAAAAGAAAATCAATCAATCAATAAACAAGACAAATACAGTTGAATCTGAAAATAAAGATATGACCAACAAAATTGTATAAAGCGAAAGGAAAATACCTAAACCTATTATCTAAATTAATAGAAGTCAATCTAAATAAGATACTCCAACTTATGAAAAGAAATAGAGTACTCCTGTTAAATCTATTTTGAAAGTCCAATTTAATTCAATTCCTGTGGAGTGTAGTTCTACTAAAAATAACAGTACTTCTTATGTAAGTTTATCCATTTAATTAGTTTCATTAGCATAAGGAATCATACAATAGTTAGATAAGCTTTTCTAAAAATAAATGCGTTGAAGCCTAGATCGAAGAAGCAGTGTAATTGTACAACAATCTTAAATCTTTGATGCAAAATAAAACTAGTGTTCTATAAGTTAGAAAGGATGGAAATCTAATCCCCAGAAAAACTGCAGACTTTTTTGTATTCATTAATATTTATCTAGTACCATAAAGAAATGTAGAAACCCACTTTATACTGAAACTTTAAATTTTGATAATGTTAATTATATATTCATTATTTCTATCCTATTACTTCAAGAACACGAATTAATACTTCTTTTGATAGTTTTCTCAAATCTGATAAAGATACTCCTTTTAGGTTTTCAGAAATAAAAGTACAACATTCATAAAGTAAATATGTTGCATTCAATTGCTCTGCTAATTCAGCCAAATCAAATACATTGTCTTTACTTATAAATTCAGCCATTCCTTCTTAGATCAAGTATAGAAATGTTTAGTTACTCAACATGAAATAACTAGATGCTTTGAATGCATTGATTAAATGATCGAAATTCCCTTCATTTTACCTTTACAATGCCTAGTATCCACAATAAAGATAGTTGATTATATTTTATAAAATCTATGGATCAAAGTCAACCTAGATTTGCTGAATTACTCCATTCTCAAAATGGATCATTTCTCTAAAGTATTCTGATCTTGCAACCAATACAAATGAATGTACATTTATTTATTTATCCTATGCAGTAATTATTGTATCAGTTTCAGAATGATACTATAACTTTCTCATATCTTGATAAAATTTCATTACTATTTAATTAGAAACATTGTTAAATATGATTCTTTGTTGTTGAAATAAATTGACTAATTATTTTTGTTTTCTCTATTCTAATATCTACAAAACACTTTTCAATAGAAAATTAATCTGTGCACTAGAATTGCCTTTACCTTGAATTTGTTACAACTCTTTTTCAATAAAATCATAATCGCTTTAGCCTCTTGAATCAATCAGGAAATATTAAATAATGGCAGTGGCAAACAATTCATCAGAAATGAAAGCACTAAATTAAAGAGCCTCTCTAATCTCAACTTTACTAAGTAAATCCAAAGCTAACTCTGCTTTATAAATGTATTTTATCAGGATTTAAACCAGAATATCTGAAAACTGCAGATTTTGAAACTACAATAAAATTGGGCATCTAACTTTTATAAGACTCTTATGTAAGGCATATTAGGTACCACTCTTAGTAAATATTGTAAAATCGCTACAATTTTAATGAATTTCCAATAAAGAATGCTTTAAATAGATTAGAATTATTACCATTTCTTATCTTAATGTACAATACTGCTATTCCTCTTATCTTAAGTTGTGATTCCATACATATAGATCATTTAATCTTTAATTCTATTAAGTTCTCCCTCCAAATATAAATAGTTGATTTGATGTCTAAGCAAAACTAAAAAATTCACGAGATGGTATATTTCCTCTGAACTTCTTACTCTTCCATTTATTCTGTATCACATCTAATTATAATGCATCATCACACTACCCATCATCCATACCACTATAAATGTATACCATATTTTCCATAACAAAACAAGCATGTCCGTATCTACCTTTAAATAAGTTTTTTTTTGATTTGTTTTTAAGAGCCTCTAACTCTAAGTATGACCATTACATATTAGTAAAATCGGTCTTTACTATCTATCCATAACGATTTTAATTTGTAGTTCCACCTATGATATACAGTTCATTCCCAATAACAGCAGTTGTGTGTCTGTATCTAGCTTATGGTTAAATTTAGGCCCTAAGCTTGGTAATCAATTTGATTATACATCAAGTTTCTTCCAAATTTTATCAATCAAAGAGAACACCCATAAGTCATTTAAAAATTCTGGATTCATTCTATTTTATGCTTTTACATAATGAACGCCACCAAAAATATATATCTAACTAAACAATAGAATATTATTCTTAATTACTAATTTGACATTATCATTGAATGACCGTATCTCTCACATGGACCTGGAGTTTAGGTTATCACAATAGTCCAATTGTTTTTTTAAATGTCATATTCATAGAGATCACTAGATGGATAAAATAATTATTTTACTTCTTGCTAGTTTTCTCAACTATCAATAAGGTACCCCCAAATAAATAAAGCTTTTTAATATCATCAACACCACACATTCCTGCTGAACTTCTTCCATTTGGTTATGAATCAGTCTTTATTTTACTCCAAGTTTTATCTTCTAGATTGAATCTATGAAATTCATTTAGTATTTCTGTGTTTGATTGTCCACCAAAAACATAAAAATTATTTGCTACTACACAACAACAATGTCCACTTTTTGGAGTTGGCATGCCATTTTATTAGACGCATTCCCAAATATTATCTTAGAACATAAAATATATTAAAATTTCAAATTTTTAATGATTTCATTGCTTCTTATAATTAAGTTTCTTTCTCCTTCCCTTTTGTAATTAAATGCTATCTAACCTTTTCATATTCATCTATGTCTTTCTCATGTGATTTGATATTTTCATTAACTTCGTTCACAATATCTGCTTTGGGTTTCAAAATAAAGCTAAAAAGTAAATGTGAACTATGATACCATCTACCAACAGGTTAGTATGTCTTCTATTGATCAATACTGCCCAATTCCTTCAAAGTAATATTGCATTTTTATATGTTTCTTTTGAGTGAATTAATTGAAGTTTCATATTATCTCACTTTGCCTAATGTACTTATTACATCCTTTTCTAAGTCCATAGCTTATTAGATTTGATTTTCCTTTTCCTTACTAATTTACTACATATTAAATTAAATATATTTTATTATTATTCAATTATTTCTTTATATTGATATTGATATCAAAAATGAACTATCACATATTATAAAGAAGTATTAATTAAACTAGAAATACTTAAAATCAAACACATTTCTAAGGCATGTATATATTATTAGAATTGTTGGTATTATCTTTATTTAACATAACAATATTCTCTTATTATAATCATACAATTGTCATGCGAACACAAATTATCGATGTTAGACATTATTGAAGTGCAATTATCAATATGCATTCAAATTTCACCGGTTATTTAATTAAGAAATCGACAAATCTATATAATTTAATAAATAATTAGAAATTAATGATGAAATTTGTGATGCTCGCTACAGTGCTGCTCTCAGTATCATGCATAGATTTTGTGGCTGATGAATTTAAATGGCCAGATTGGCCAGTATATAGATTCAAAACTTGGTCAGGATTGATTGAGCTTAATGACGAGGGAGTGAACAGGTTTATATAGATTCTACATTAGAAATTTGCATTATGTGTTCGTAGAGAGCCAAACAGAGGATGCAGAGGTAGCAACTTAACCAGTAATACTCTGGCTTAATGGTGGTCCAGGATGTTCATCATTGTTGGGTTTGATGCAAGAAATCGGTCCATATGTAATTGACAATGGAGAAACCGAATACAAGTACAATCCATGGTCATGGAATAAAAATGCTCATTTATTAATATTGGAATCTCCATTTGGTGTCGGATTCTCATAGCCAACTCCCGACAAAGACTACAAATTCACAGATGAGAAGACTGGAAGATTCAACTATGAAGCCATCCGAGAGTGGTTCAATACATTCACATATTACAGAGGTAGAGATTTCTACATTGCTGGAGAATCATATGCAGGTATGAAAGTTATTAATTATTAGGAATGTACATTCCTTATACAGCCAAAGCTTTGTTGGAAGGTGAAAAAACAGTAGATTAAAAGGAAAAGATTAATTTCAGGGGAGTATTGATCGGAAATGGTGTTTTAATCAACGATGAGAAATTTAGAAGTTAAACTTCATTAAAGTTCTTGGCTAGAAGATCATTCATTGATTATACTAATTAGTTTATTTTGAATCACAATTGCGCTTTGTAGCCAAACTCAGCTAGTTGCAGACAAGCTAAGAAATCTCTAGATAGTGCTATTGCAGAGATTAATCCTTATGGAGTGTATTCATATTGTTGGGGTGACAGTACTTTGAAATAATACAAAGTGCAAAGAGAATCCAAACACAGATTTTCATACACTCCTTGGTTGAAACTAACTGAAGATGATGATGATTCTGGTGCACCTTGCATTGATTTTGGACCTTTAGCTAATAAGTTGAACACTGATGAATATAAAGAAGCACTTCATGTAGATAAGAACACTGTCTGGTCAGGATGCAGTGATCCTATTTATCTTTAATATACTAAATCAGAGGGAAGCTATTAAATTTTACCTGAATTATTTTAAGCAGGAATCTAAATTCTCCTATATTCTGGTGATCAAGATTTGGCTGTTAGTATAGTTGAGACATATGAAAGCATCAAATAGATACAAGGAATCAAAGAAATTAAAGGATGGACTCCATATTTGAACACTAATGATGGAGAATTAAAAAATTAATTAGCAGGATGGATTGTTGAATACAATTATTTCAGATTCCAAGTTATTAGAAGTGCTGGACATGTAATTCAATATATTATTTATCTTAGATGGTCCCATAAGATTAAAGAGAGAACTCATGGTTTATGATTGATAACTTTATTAATGGAGTTTGACAAATATAATATATATATAAATGTTATTTGTTTAATTATTATTATTCGGCTATTAATATTATTTACAAGTATGTAATAAATTCCAATGAACCTGTTGAAATAATTCATCCAAACTCTACCCTAAAGTGAATTGTCATTTGCTTATGGATCAGCTGTTCAACCTTAATTCAATTATGATTATACAAAAAACAAACCTATGATAGATTTAATAATTGCCGTCGATAATGTGGAAGAGTGGCATATGCAGAATATTTAGATTAATTCAACAGTATTTATATGACTACCATAGCATTATAGTGGCTTAAGCTATTATTTAGGAAGCAGATTCATACAGAGGATGAATGTTGAAATATTCCCTATTCATTTCAGTCCCTTTGTTTAATATTAGGATTTGAAATTGAAATATGGTGTTGTGTCCACTAAAGAATTAATCAAAGATCTAGAAAATTGGAAATGGCTATCTATTGCTGGGAGAATGTAGAAACCCATAGTCACTATTTAGGAATTTGAAGATCTTAGATTTTAAAGAGCATTCATTGCTAATTTGTAAAGTGCTTTAGCTGTTGCTATTTTGATGGATTTCAAATCATCTATGTCCTTATAAGAGTTACTCTACAGTGTGATCAGTTTATCCTATTATGGTGACATTAGATTTACTTTGGGAGGTGAAAACTAAAACAAAGTCTTCAACATACTCAAAGGAAATTATAAAAATATAACTGATCTTTACCTCTCCAATCTAGGAGATCTCAATAATGTGATTAAAATCTAAAAAGATGGGGAAGTCTTAATCGATAATAGCATTAAATCATTGTAATCAATTCTTTATTGACTTAGGGAGTTCTTATGTTCAAAGATACCTGGATAATTGTTAAGTATTGTATTGGGTGAAAAAGACAACATGGGAACATTAAAAATGATGAGTTAAGATAGAATCAAAGATCTCATCAAAGAAAGTGTTAAAAGGAAAAACCAATTTTCCTCCAAACGTATGCTCTTCTACAATTTGGCCATGATTTCTCCTTTTTTAAGTGTTAAATATGGAATTTCAAAGTTAAGCAAACGCTTTAAATGAGTCAATTAAATATTATACTAAAAATAATTTATTCCTAATTAAATGAACTACAAAGAGTTGTATGAAGAGATGGCTTAAAAATATCAATTAATGGAAGAAGAGTATAATTAGTTTGTCGAGGAAAGTTAAGCATTAGAAGATTAATAATAAAAGAGTATTGAATCCTTAAGTAAATAACTTGCTTAAGCATAAAATTCTCTTCTGCAACAAAAAGAAGAAACCCAAAAGGCCAGAGTAAATATATTATCTTATATTCTTTAGAATGAATTGTAGAATATTTAAAATCAATTAGAAAAGTAAATAAATAAAAAGGAGGCTCAAATCACCGATTTGTAAAAAACTCTCTAAACTTATAAAATGCAAATCATTGATCTAGAAGTCGATTAAGATTTAAATAATAGTAAAGTTAGGTATTGTTTTCAATTAAATTAAGACAGCTAGAAGAAGCAAATAAAGACTTGGAAGTGAAATTAGATAAGGTTCTCGAACAATTAGCCTTAGCCCATACAGATTTGGAAGCTATGAAATCATAGACACAAGAAGAAATTGAACGTCTCAAATAGACTCTCAAAGGTAAAGAATTCTTAAGTATTCTTAGAGAATGAAGATGAATTAACTGCAGCCAAATGCTTAAAACTAAATATTACAACAACGCCAGAAATGGTAAAGATGCCAAAAATCGATTCTTTAAGAGCCAATGCTGCTGGATTTAATAAAAGCTTAACTCTTATTCAAGCCTTAATTAAAGATCTTGATGATAAAATGTCCTTAATTAGACATCAAAGGTCATGACGAAATGATTGTTATTGTATTATTTTATTAATGTAAAAATACTAATAAGCATTATAAAAACTTAACAAAGTGTCTGTATTTCGAAAAGATAGAGCGACATTAGCAAACATGCTTAAAATGACATAATTATTGGGAAATCCACAGAAAGACCTATAATTCATTCATATAGCAGGAACAAATGGAAAAGGTTCTGTAACACTTAAAATGTGCAAATTAATGCAATCGATTGAATCATGTGGTTGTTTTACTTCCCCTCATATTTCAAGTTTTAGAGAAAGAATTAAAGTACATGTATCAACAAAATGAGGTCGATAATTAAATGATTTCGGAAGAATACGTATAAGAACACTTAAATGACTTTTTTAATTTGGCAGAAAGGAGTAATCTTGAATTAACTTTTTTTGAATATGTGACATGTTTAGCATTAAAATACTTTAATGATATGCATCTTAAATATGTATCATGGGAAACTGGTTTAGGAGGAAGAATGGATTCAACCAATATCATCACTTCTCCTTTAATATCTATAATTACAACCATAGGATTTGATCATATGCATATTCTTGGGAATACCCTCGACTTAATTGCAAAGGAGAAGGCTGGAATTATTAAACAAAATTGTCCTGTTGTTATAGGGCCAAAATGTTAGCCATATGAGATTTTTATTAATGAGGCAACATAAAAGAATGCAGATCTCACAATAGTATAAGGCGAATTCTTAGATTTTAATGATGAAAACAATGCAATAGTAGCTGCTTCATAAAAAAATTTAATGGAGAAATATTGTAATAATTTTATTCATATTAGAATTTAAATTTAATAACTTTGAAGAGGTTTTATAAATTAAGTAACCTTGCAGGCTTGAATAATTCCGCTTATAAAATGAATTGGGAAAATATATTAAAGTATATCTTGACGTTGGCCATAATGAATAAGCGATTGTAATTATAATATAATATGTATCAGAAAAGTGTCTTAGATTTGTTAAAGGGTTAATAGATTATTTGTATATATGGAGCTTCTAATGATAAAGATATTACTTCATGTTTATAATTGCTAAAATCACATTGCCATTAAGTTTACATGGTTTAGGCTAAGAATAATAGAGCATTTCAAATTAAACAATTGTTAGGTTTTGATGATATCAAAGTTTTATATGATGGTGATATTTCAAAAACTACCTTGGATGTTGTGAATAAAGTATGTTAGATCGATTAGACAATATTGGTGATTGGATCATTTTATATAATGGATGAAGTAAGAATGGTTTTAAAGATATGCTAGTCTGAATGTGATTTTAAATGATTTTTAAATAAGTAAAATATATTAATATATAATTAAAATATTGATGAGCAGACGTAAATCTTCAATATGTTCTTAAAAAGAAAAACAGACAGAGAAGATTTAAGATAAAGAGACATCAGAAATCCCCTTAAAAAAAAAGGTGAAGATTGAAAAAAGGGTGGTAATAAAAGTGCCTTTTGCTGACATTCTTTCATCAGATGATGATTCCAATGAATATAGTTAAATACTATGTGGAATCAGATCTAAGTTCATTAGTGATGTACCAAATCTTGATTCTCCCATATTAATTAGAAAAAGTGAAACAAAAGACGACTCACAATTATTCTGATTGATTTAAGCTTATAATTGTTAATGTAGATTCTTGTATTTCATTTAAATATCTAAATATCATACGTATTATTGTAGGATTAAAAAAAGAAATTCAAATAAATAATGAAAATGCGTCATTAAATAAAATTAGTATAAAAATATTGTTCAATGGGCTCTTTCTCTTATTTTCCATTAATGCATGTATGAGTTTAATTTTACATTGAAATCACTTAGTCTATCTCTTTGATTCTGTTACATAGTTTGATTTAGCACTTATTTATTCATAGAATTGGTTCCATTTAGATTTATGACATTTCCATCATATCCGACAGAACTATGTCTAGATTTCTCATTGGATTCCATTAGAACTGAGCTATTTTTTCTTATTTATTTGCTTTTCATTTTTTATTCATAATCCTAAAGTTGTTTCATGAAACCTGGATTTGGATTTATGAATTTTCTCCTTTACTAAATATGTCGAAGAGTTTAATTCAAATTCCATTTATACTTTTGCATCATATATGCAGCACAAACAGCAGCAGATCGTGAAATTCCAGCATAACAATGAATCAATATATTGGTCTTAAGAGAATGGTTATCAATAAATTTTATAGCCTGATCGAAATATTTATGCAAAGGGAAATCTTCACAATCATCAGCCATTATCCACTAGGGTTATATATTATATATCACATACCAATTTCTAAGCCCCTTTGATCTAAATTGATTAATCTATCACTGAGAGAACAGCTCCTATTTAATATTTTGATAACAGCTCCGAATTCTATGCAGCATCCAGATTTCCTAAATACACACCACCAACTCCATTTAATGGCGCAATAATACAATTCATACTATTTGGCAGACAAGAATTATTAACGAACATTTTAATTAAAATATATGTAATTATTTCTTTCCTAACTACTTATTTCTTAATTATCTTAATACTTTTCATATTATATCTTTAAGTTTAGTTAAAATAAGATGGAATAATGGGTTAAAGTAATCATCCTAACATATTTTAATATAAGAATTTCTTTTCCTATTTTTAATTTAAATTCTATTTACCATTAATATTTTCGACACTATTAGTCTATTGTATAAATTACAAGCTGAATCTGCCTTTGAATTTCATACATCCAAATTGTTCCCAAGTATCATACTTAGATGGCTAAATTAATTCTATTTCACTTTCAATAAGTGTTTATTTTATTGATTCCATTCTTAAATAATGTTATAGATACTTAAATTACATAGATCAAGGATTTTTTTTTCTCTCTCTTATTATTGATTTAACTAAAGTATATATTCAAATCTAAATAATTTTTAAATTAGATTATTGAAAGAAATGGCTAAAGTGAAATAAATTAAACAATTTATATCAATAAATATTTTAATCAATCATTTTTTTGAGATATACGATTTCTTAATTGAATAATTATAAGTATTGGCATTATAAACTAGATTAAGCTTTTAAGGCTACAAATTATATTATCCCTGTATATATGATTGTATAAATACCTAAACGTAAAACGATGGTTACTGGATAGAGGTTCTCTTATTTGGAGATTTGTTATGATTATTCTGTTGTTGTTATTATTATTATTATTATTGCTAATGTTATTTTGGGTCCTCCTTCAAACCTGGTAAACCAATAACTCTATTGATTCTCTTGTCTTATTCTGACCCTAATCTACTTTAAGGAAGAGTATCATTAAATTTGATTTTGAATGATTAATTAAAAGTTTTGTGCATTTATGATTTTGTATCATCTCCTTCTTTGGTTACTTCTGGAGTCTCATCCCCAATTTTGTAATTATATACTTATTTTTAAACAAATGATTAATTCTGAATTGTTTAAGGAATAGCTTTCTCTTGAATCTTTTTTGGTTTCTATTCGCCAAAATCATATTGATTAAGGATATTAGGTTTAGAATCATCTCTTTCACAACTTATTCTCCTCTAAAAATTACTTTTAGGTCTAACATCATTTTCTTTGGTCCAAAGATCTGATAGATATGGATGCTCCAAACAATCTAAAGAAGTAATTCTCTTGTTTGGATCCATTATCAGGCATTGCTTTAAGAAATTCAAACCTTTATTGCACATTTTACCTCCATATCTTTTCTCAATAGTTTCTGATTTTACTATCTCAGGAAACTTCATTCCTATATATCTTTAATTCTTCTAAAATTTTTCCATCTAATCCTAAGTCAATGGTCCAATAATCTTCTATATCAGATATAATTAGTCCATCTCATTTTCGCCTGGAAATAATGGTTGACCATCTATCAATTCTCCCATAATACAACCAATAGCCCAAATATCTACTTGTTTTCCATAATTATTAGATATCAGTAACTCAGGTGATCTATACCACCTTGTAGCCACATAATCAGTCAATTATTCTTAACTTTGTATTGTCTAATAATTAGATATATAATACTCTTGCAAAACCAAAATCACATAACTTTAAATTTAGATCATTATCTATAAGTAAATTCTCAGGTTTTATATCTCTATGTACAATTCCTACAGAATGACAAGCATGCACAGCAAGAACCAATTAAAATATCACTCGTTTGATGCTTTCTTACTAAAGTTAAATGCTATAAACATACGTCCAAAGTCTTCCTCTCCTCAAGTAATTCTAATAGGTTTCTATCAACGAATTGAAAAACAAGAAATATTTTGCCTTTCTTTTTGAATGCTTCCTTCAATTAAATGATATTAGGATGCTTCAACATTCGCAACATTTTCACTTCTCTTTAAATACTTTTCTTCACTGCTTCATCATCTTCTGTTTCTTTAAACTTTTTTATAGCCACTTTAAAATGTAATTAAAATAACTAACCCCATTCATTAGTCTCCTTGTTTTTGCATTTTAACACAATACCATAAGCTCCTTCCCCTACAACCCCCATGATTTCATACTTATTCATTAATATTTTATATAAATTAACAAACCCTTTTTATCTAAAAATTTGTAATTTACTAAATAACTTCATTTCAGCCAAAAATATATATCAATAACAACTCTCAGTTTAGGCATTACTATGTTTAAATTAGATTAACTAAATTTATTTGAATTCTTAAACATTTTTATAATAAATTAATCAATTTCAAAATTATGCCAATATATTCAAAACAATAGCAATATGAACCATAGAAATACAAGAATTTCTCTAATAATAAATTTAAAATATATATTCAAATCTAATTTTCCTATTCAATTTTCCTTTAATGGTAACTTGCAGCTATCAATATTGTGGTTCTCTTAAATTCTAGTCAATAATCAAGCAATCATTACTTTTAATAGAATATTTTTTATATTTTTCCATATCTATTGAATCAAAATAACAAGAAAGGCATTCATTTGCAAGATAAATTCGTTTTTTCTCTTATAAATATAGTAATGGATGGAAATAAAATGAAATTACAACAATAAAGCATTTTAGTAAAATTGAATATTTGAACACAATGAAGGGCACGTATTTAATGAATAGAATTTTAAAATAGAAGCATTAGAGAGGGTGATAAGTTATTAATTTTATTTTTTATATTAATACCCGTTTTTTTATATATTGTCTGGAAACGGGTAGGTTAAGCTTATATTCATTATTTAAGAGCATTAAAATTATTGATAATATTAATGAAATTGACTCTTGCTCTAGTATTATTAGTAACATTGGCCTCAGCCACTTCAACTCATGATCAAATCATGGCCTTTTTGTAAACTGGTACAAAGGCCATGGATGCTATTGATACAGTTTTTGGTTTATTGAATGATTTAATACAATCAAATAAGGATGCTTAATTTGCAGCTGACTAAAAAAATGAAACAGATGAATGGGTTGGCGCTTAGTAAGACATTAATAATTATATTCAGAACAATCGAATAATTTACAAAAATCAAGTCATTGAATCAAAAGTTATTCCAATAATCAATTGAAAACAGAGCCTAATTTGAATAAGAGTTATCTGACACTAAAAATTATCTTGCATGGAATGAACAAAGACAAGATGAAATTGCCAGAAAAATACAAGTTTTACTTGATTAACAATGCTTAAGCAATCAACTTTTTGTTAGATCAATCAAATAAAATAGAGAAGCTCTTGAAGTTGTGAGATTACTCAAATAAGATGTTGCAGGATATATCATTAATGGAGATTCCTTTGAGTTGGCTCAAGTCAAAAGTGTTGCTGACAAGCTCAAGTCATATAGCAATACCTTTAATGAACACGAAATCAATTCATTCCTTTAATTAGCCAGCAACTAAGAGGATGGATCAGTCAGTAGAGGAGCAACCTTAGCTGAAAAAGTCTTATCAGTGTTAGAAGGACTTGAAGCTAATCTCGCAGCTTCCCTTGAAGCACTTGAAACAAATGAGATAAATGCCTCATGGGAATTGGCTGGATGGGTTTCATTGAGTGAAGCAGAAATTGCCAATTTGAAAGTTGAATATGAAAGAAAATAAGTTTATGCTGATAGATTAGCTACTGTAATATCCCTTAAATAATTAATTCTAGTAAATTTAAGCAGCCCTTGCCCAATAAGCTAAATCCAAGATCATTTTACAAGAATCCTAAGATGCTCTTGATTAAGCTTAAGCAGATTTAGAATCTAAAAGAGCTGATTATGCTTAAGCCAAGGCTAAGAGAGATGAAGAAAATGCAATAATTGAATAAGTGATCATTATCTTCAAGAAATAAGTTGCCTCTTGGTCTGGAAGATGATATTCATTTTCATCATAAAATAATACAAATATTTAGTAAATTATTCCATTTACACTCTTTTTTATCAAATTAGTAGAAATATCAAACTTCATAAACTAAAATCAACAATCTTAGCAAAATCTTACTCCGTCAAATCAAGAGAAGTAGATGTCTATAAATGAAGCTTCTATTTTTTTAAGATTTCTATGATTTTTGCTTGCTTTTTGAAAACAGCCACTACTTCTTATCTTTATTTTAATAACCTTTTATTATCTGCTAAAAGTTTATCTAACTATTTTTGTAAATCATCATTCGACTCTATTTACTTGACTTCCTGTTGTTAAATTTTAACCTATGTTAATTCTTCAAGCAATTTAATTTATTTTTAATCTTTCTTTTATAATTCATTTTATAAATTCCTTGAATTCTTGCTCCAATTCTCTAGATCCTTTAATTGTTATTGTTATTCTCTCTCCATTGCATCTTATTTCTCTTATGCCTATAAATATTATTTCTTTATATTCTCAACTTTATCACTTAGTTGGGTAATTTGAATAATATATTTTTTACTTTCATCAGATAACGACTTGCCCTCGCTTTCATATTATTTCAAGATTTCATCATATTACTTAGACTTGTTTGATTCAATAATCAATGATTTTTCCAATTATTCAATTAGTTTTTTCTATTTTTGAATTTCAATATCTGAATCCTCCTAGATCTCCTTAAGCTCATTCAACTTTTGCATCTAGCTTTAATATCTATTCTTATTGATTTCAGAAATTTCATTAAGTAACTTTTATTCAGGATCATCAAAAATCACTGCCATTTTTTTCATTATAGCATCGGAATCCATTTTCTTAAATAATACAATTTAAAATAAAAAATAAAAAGAATGGAATAACTCCAAAGATAATTCTAATGACATTGACAAATGTTATTTTAATGTATATAATGTATCAGGCAACAAGTATACATGCACCACCAACAGCCTTGATTCTTCTTTCTGCAGTTTTGCTAAAGAATTTGGCCTTGACAACAACTGGTTGATTTGGTAATCTTCCTTTACCCAAAACCTTGAAATAGCCTGCCTTTGTAACATCAATGACTGCAGCCTTATCTTTTGATTTGGAATATTTTTCTCTGGTCTCATCTGTAACAAGAGACCACAATTTGTCAATATTAACAACTGGCTTATGAAGTGTGTTCTTCTTTAAATGGAAATGTCTCATTCCAGTCTATACATATATGTTTTAGATACTTTTTAGAAATATCCTGGATGATATTTATTGAAGTTGATTCTATGATGTGTCAAACCTCCTGAAACACCTCTACCACTTGGATGTTTTCTATGCTTACCAACTCTACCATAACCATGGCAGACATGTCCTCTCATCTTTCTACATTTTCTCAATCGACTAACCATTTATTTATATTTTAAAAAAAAGATTTTAATAAGTGAATAATAACTATATGAGATTTCTTGACCATATATTGCATTACTTGATTTTCCTAATCTTTTATAGATTTATATTAAAATAACTCTGACTTATCTACATTTTACAAGATTATTAGTAATAGTCAAAATAAAATATAGAGAATCAAACGTGTTGTTCTTTTAGATTCTATAAATAATTTAATTGATATTTAGAATGCTAACTCAATTTATTTCACTCGATATTTGTGATCTTCATTTTTGAAAAATTATAGCTTTTCCAAGAAACTTAATGAGAAATATCTAATGATATTATAAAAATATTTATTAATAAGAATGAAAAGAAAGCATACATTATTAGTAAGGAAAGTTGTAGCAGAATAAAGTCAAATGAGTTGGCCATTTGCAGATTAGGACTTACATTCCAGTAACATATTTCAAAGTACATTATTGCTTAATCAATTAGCTTAGAGTCCTGATTATCAAATTTTAGACTTTAGTCAGAAGAACTCATCTAAAGAAATTCTGTCTAGATCCATAGTTGGCAAGGTGGACTCTTTCAATAAATAACTTAATGGTCTTGAAAAGCCTCTCCGGTTTAGTTAGCCTGTAAGGTTATCTAATATGTAAAAGAAGATTAAAAGAAGTTATAACATTTGAATATACTTTTAGCCAATACAAATGAACCATCAAGTCTAAATTCATCTTATAGAAGCAAAAAAAATATTACAAATTAATAATATGTAATATAAAAAGCCGTGGATGCTAACTTTGATGTACTTGATAAATATGAGTTAATTTAAACTATGGAAAAAATATAGAAAATAATTAAGAATAATGAAAAATATGCCTAAGATTAATTGTAGAAAATTTCAGTAACAGAAAAAATATTGAAAACTCAACATGAAAGAGCACTAAATAAGCATGAAAAGTAATTGTAAGTATGGAATGAATTATCAACTAAAATCAGTTCTCGCGTAAAAAATAATTCAAGCACTTTAATCCAAAGATAAGCTTGTATTTTCTTATATTGAATAACTAGAATATAGATCTCGGTTGGATTCCCTTGAAATGTTTGAAGAATTAAAGCCAGAAGAATCAAAAAACCCAGTTATAACGTGGCATCAAAGATTAAGATCTCAATATAGGCCCTTAGTAATTAGTACTTGCTCATATCATAGAAAGTTATCCAAAAAGAAGAATAGGAAAGACTATAACTAAAATAAGACCTATTAGAATAAATTCCTAGTCGAGAACTATTAGAAATACCTAACCCACAGAAATTGATTTCTGATATCAAAAATAAAAATGGTTATGACAAGGGTAGATCTGTATCTGATTATAACGGATTAAAAGTAAAATACTCAGAAAAAGTTAGTTAGTGGGTTTAAGTGTCTACGATTAAGAATTAAGTTCCTTGAAGAAAGATCAATCTTAAATACAATAGCAGTACTACTATTATAAGGCTCCCAAAGAATTTAAAATAACTGAGGAACATTTATGAGAATTTTTTTGATATTTATTTATATATTTTTATTCTTGAGTCTATTGGTGAAGGGGAATCTCATCACTGATCTAAACTTATTTTGTATTAATTTTGGTAGAGATGGCAAAATTAAAATCAATTTTATAGGTTCTCAAATAAAAATTACAAATTCAATATCTGAGTCATCAAATGCAATTTGGGTTTAGATATAATAGTGTTTTTGTAATAAGAAAATAATCGAAGTTTAATAATATCAAAAATGTGATAGGTTTTTCGAAATTGAATATTAAAAAATTATTGTTTAAATATAAAAATTCATTGATAAGATTTTTCGTCCATTCTATTTAATTAAGCCTTTGACTTGATCAACTATATAAATAAATAATGTATACATCGCTTCTTAAAGGATTAAATGGTTACACCTATGAATTTGATTTCATAGATTACTAGGATTCCTTAACGGCAGATGCTGAATTTGATATATCAGATTTATATTATTGCGTGCTAACGATTGATTTTATTTTTCTAGTATCTTCTAAATTAAATCCTGAAACCAATCCTGTACCATTATTTACCATTTCTCCTATTTTATGAATTTCAAAAGTTTTAGAAACAATTGGTCCATTATTCGTAGAACTAAATCTTTTTTTTTGTAACTCATTTCTAAGAATATTAATTTCTGATTCGTACTCAGTGGCCTTAATATTAATTATCACTTACTCTCTCAATCAATTTATCATGCTTTATTTATATCTAATCCTTCATTTAAATCTGTCTCTAGATTTCTTGATTAAGACCCTATATTCTTGTCTCTAACTCTACTATCTTTTAATTGCTATCAATCAATATAAATGAAATTACTTTTATGTTTCTCTAACAATAACTTATTATTTATTTGTTTATTCAGAAATTGTCTAATTTTCTACTCTCAGACTTCGAATAGTACCTTGTAATTCTGAAATGTTTTCTTGTAATTAAAAGATCTATTTATCTTTATTAGATATTTAACTTTAAAGATCTTTTATGGAAACTTGATTTCTCAATTAAACTTCTAATTGTTATATAGTTTCTGTTTTTCTTCTGTTTTCTTATTCTAGCCTGCTAATTTTTTCAAAGTCAATTTATTGATATCGCTCCTAGTATTCCTGATTCTCTCTACTAATCTATTTAATTCTTAATTCAAGCTCATTGCATTTTGACTTATATTAAGTATATTCATTTTAACTTTAGAAGTACATTTTATTTACTTTATCTAATTCTAACTTTATCGTTTCCCTACTTTACTCCAGTGACTTCAATTACATTCTCAAAGATTCTGATTCACTTGAATTTGATGACATTTCACTCTAAACTGTTTAATACTTTCTTTTCCACTATTCACTCTCCTCAACCTTAATTCTCATCATATCATTTATTTTTTAATTCTCCTTTTGCAGAAATTCAATCTAAATTTTTAATTCCTTTATTTCTCTAACTTTTTGAGCCTCTAAACTCTAAATCTATTCCAATAATTCTTGTTCTTTCCTCTCAAATTAAATAACAATAGATCGTTACTTTGAGTTTTCTTCTAATTTTGACTAAAATATTCTCACTTGATCTTAGTATTCATAATTTGTAGTTTAAAGACTTTTGTTTTAAATTTTCAAATTCTGATTTTCAACTTGAATTCCATTATAATCTTCTTTTAATGATGATAATTGGGACTCAAGTTACCTTATTCTATACCTATCTGTCTCAGAGGGCACTTCAACAGTTAAAGTTTCTTTTATTTTCTCTTACTTTTTCTAATTCAACGTGAAATAATCTTATTACAATGAATTTAATTATTATTCTAATTACCTAATTCTCATTTTATCCTATTCTGAAGATACTTCTATTCTTTCTGTTACTGTCTCCCTAATGACATCTTATTTTTTAGCTGATACAATCTGCAACTCACTTCTAACTTATGATAATTGAGTTTCTAATTGTTAAATTCTAAATTTGTCTGCTTATGATGGTACCTCAACTGTAACAGTTTCTTTTACAACTTCAGATTTAATTTTATTCAAATTTATGAAGTCTTATTACAATTTATATAAATCCGACTCTAATTCCAAAATCCTTTTTCTGTCAGACTCCCTACTAACTTCCACTCTTTCCGTCACTACTTCTCTAATAATTTCTTGTTTTTTCTGTGATAAAATTTATAATTCGTATCTGACATTATCCAATTGCTATTCTAATTGTTAAATTCTTAATTTATCTACTTATGAAGGCACCTCAACTCTTTCTGTCACAACTTCTTTAATAACCTCCTATTTCCTTGAACTCACGATCTACAGTTCCTATCTTAATTAAGTAAGTAGTGTCTCAAGCTATTAGATCTTCAATTTATCAGCCTATGAAGGAACTTCAACTGTAATTCTCTCTGTTATTACTTCTTACTTCCTTTTGTTCAATATTTCATAATTCTTATTTAAACCTTCTATCTATTATTCAAGTTGTCTAATCCTAAATTTATCAGCTTCTGAAGATACTTCAACTCTTTCTGTAATTATTTCTCTTATCACTTCCTATTTTTTTTATATTATTAATTATAGCTGAGTTTTTAATTCAGACAATTAAGATTCTAATTGCTAAATTCTCAATTTATCAGCTTAAGAAGAAACCTCCACAGTTATTGTTTCCTTTATTACCTCTTATTTCTTTTGATCCAATATCTAATAATCTCTTTGTAATCTTGACAATTGTTCCTGTAAATGATTAATTCTCAATCTGTCCTATTCCATTGGGACTTCAATCCTTTCTGTCACTATTTCTTTTATTACTTCTTACTTTTTGAGGCTTACAACTTACAATTCTTATCTAACTTATGATAATTGTGATTCTAATTGCTAGATTCTGTATTTGTCTGCTTAATTTGGTACTTCAACCGTGATTGTTTCCTAAATAACCTCTTATTTTTTTTAACTTAATAATTGATAATCCCTTTGAATATTACTCAATTGAGTTTCAAGTTGCCTTATTTTTAATTTGTCTGATTCTAATGGAACTTCAATGGTTTCTGTTATATATTCTCTAATTACTTCTTATTTTTTCGAGGATAATGATTGAAGCTAATATTCTAATTCTTATATTCTTTATTTATCACTCTCCAGGGATTAGACCTCTCTGATAGTTTCAACTACTACTTAATTCTTTCTTCTATCTAATTCGTAATATTTTGTTTTCCATAATTGTAATTCTTCCTCTAATTGTGCAATCATTTTGATGTCTTCCGAACTTCTTACTTGCACTGTTTCTCGTATTGTCTCTCTTATCACTTCTTACTTTGAACTATTTAATTATTACAACTACAATCTTAATATTTGTATTTAGGATTCCAATTCTTAAATTTTTAACTTATCAGAGTTTGATGAAATTTCAATTGTTTCAAGTTTTACTTCTTATTTTTTTTTCAGCAATTTCTCATATTCTATTGATTTATCCTGTAATTATCTTTCTAAATCTCTATATTAAATCCTTTGAGATTCAATTTCATACTCCAAGTGTTTGATTTTCTTCAAATCATCAAAATTAGATTTCTGTTTTTCTATAGTCATAGAATAAGTTGTAATTTATTCTTTATATTTTTCTTCCCGAATTGAAAATAATCTCATCTATTCTTATAATTAAATTATTTCCATCTCAAGCTCTTGATATCTTTGTTTGTCATAGTCTGATTATGTATTAACAATTGTATGAGATTCATATTAAGATCGTATTTCAATCAATTATTGTCTGATATCTTAATGCTTCTGTTATTCATCATAGAACTTTTCTTTCCACAACTTCACTTGAACTTCCATCTCTTAATATTCTTATTCAATCAATCTATATTCTCTTCTCAACTTTTCCATATCTTTTTGATGATTTTCCCATTCAAATTAAAATTATGTATTTTATTGAATTTCAATTCTCTTGTCTTATTATAATTTAATATCTCTTATTTCTCTAGAATATTTAGTTTCTGAATCTAAAATCTTTTTTTATTCAATTAACAATTGCTCATTCAATTATTTAACCTAATTTTATTCTCTTTGTAATTTCTCATTAATCTACTTAAGTTAAATCTCATAATACTCCTTGAGATTGGATGATTAATTGACTTCCTCAATTTTTAATGAAAATTCTTTCTTTTATAAGGATAATTAATTCTCTAATTAAATAATCTATCTTTCTAGTTCAATAATTCTGCTTTTTTCTTTTTCTGATTATCTTTAGAAACTCATTTCTCCTTCTTTTTTTAATCTTTCATACTATTTTGTTAAAGTTTGATTCTCTATTTCTAAAGAGGAAAAATGTTACCTCAAAGTAGAGATTTCCGATTCATATTTCTTTGTTATCTTTTGTAATTGATCGTCTATTTATTATTATTTTTATCGATCCCAATCTTATTTCTCTATTTTTAATTATTCCTCAAAAATAACTCTTAGTTCTTTTTCCATATTATTTAGTTTGTATTAAAGCTTTGAAATTGTTTCTTCTTTTTCTCTGACCTAATAATCAACATTAGTATTCTTATTCTAATGATAAATCACTTATTATTCAAGCTCTTTGGTTTCTATTTTATATGCATTTATTTATTGATTCAATTGATTTATAGTATTTTCTAAATTTCTAATTTATGACTTATATCTATCATTTTCAACACTATTTCTTGCTTGACTTTCTAATTATGTAATACTCAAACGATATCCATTATTTTATTCTTATAATTATTTAATTTCAGCAATCAAGATTTCTAACTCCTCTTTCATTTAATCATTTTCATTTTTATAAAAATTTGATTATTCTTCCAATTAAATTAATTGCATTCTATAATTGTCATAATCCTTCATCTTAATTTCTAAGGATATATATTTTTGTTTCCAACTTTCCAATTCATTTTGAATAGTGTGAATTTGATAACTTTCTCTTTACACTTTATCATTCTATTATTACTCAATTTATTTTTTTGTTTCATTTATTCTAATTTCCATCTAAATGATTCTTCTTTCACTTTCTTCCTTTTACATTTCTACAGTTTAACACTTCTCCTGCCACTATTTACATTATGTTTAATAGAATGTCATTTCTTATTTTAATTAATCGATTTGATACTACATATTACTCTTCGATTCAGCCATGGCAGATTCCAATTTATATTAATTTTAATTTTGCGCTTCGATTAATATCTAAATGTCATTATCCATCTCCTTAATTTTATCATTTAAAGTAGAGATTGTTCTTTCATATAATTCTTTATCTGATGATCGAACCTACACTTCAGATTGATACCTTGCAATTTCTTAAGTCAATCTAATTATTTCATTTTAAGTTGTAGAGTTCCTTTACTCTTTCACTTGCCTAATTTCTATCTCTAAATTCTAAGCCCTGCTTCTATAGGTCTGGACATCCTACTCATATTTACTTTTTAATCTTAAGAATTCTTCTACTTGTTTCCTTTATTATTCTAGCAAAGCATTTAACTGGGATATTTCTTCAAAATATCATAAGATTTTACCTTGCTAGTATTATATCTGTTGCTGAGTCAATGTAGATACATCTTATTTGTATCTAGTCACAAGAGTTGATTATTCAGCATCCTAAGAATTTCTCATCAAGAGTTGTGATCTCAATTTGGCTAGCTCCTGTTATGCCGCCTCTAATTCTGCTTATGCAATCATATATTTCTATTTTAGGTTATAGCTCTCCCCTGACATCTACTTTAATTACTAATTATCCTTATCTAATTGCTCAATAACTTCTTTCAATTTTCGATTATCTTGAAGTAATTCCTCATATCGTCTACATATTCAATAATTAGATACTTATCTTCAAAAAGAGTACTTTTTCTTCCGCTCAAATTATTGTCAACAATGCGTCTAAATTATACATGTCAAATTACTTATCTGTGCTTGCAACTATCCCTGAAGTAGTCTAATACTTTTCGTAAGTCATTGATTGTCTACTTTAAGACATAGGAACTTGCAGATATTATTGATTCATATTTGAATAATTATAATTGATATTTTGATACAAACTTATCATGATTCACAACAACACAAAAAACAATAAAACCAAACATATTATAGTAAAGATAATAGTATTCCTCCTTAGACTATGATTCTCATAATGAATTTACAATATCATCAATAAGTTTGAGCAGGATCTGAATCTATTTAAACTCTTTTAAATCAATTCTAATCTTTTAATTAAATTATTCATCTATTAGATTTCCACTCTCTCCTTTTCAGGTATTCTTAGGAGATTCGGAACCAAATATGAATATTTTCTCATATCGTCATAGTTGCTAATAATATCAGAATTGTGTAACATTAAGAATCCTTATTACGCCAAGAATGAAGATATAGTTTATTATGTTTAATCTTGCTGTTAATTTAGAAATGCCTGATTGAAGAATTCTTTAATACTATTTATCAATAGACTGATTTATTTTTGATTTTCAATGTTATTTACATCTATGTATTCATCCTAATATGTAATAGCTGTTGCAAATTCTGATTCAAATATGTATTCTCCATTTTCTTAATTCAATGCAATTTCTAATAAATGGTATTGTGCAATTTTTATTTTGTCATAATATTGAACTTTAATTCTTGTTTTGTTCTTGCTTATATAAGTTAAAATATTTTTCACTAGATATGCATTCTCATTTTTATCAATAAGTATAAAAGTAAGGTGTTATTTTATTAATTATTGAAACTAAAGAGTTGATAGTGTTTTAAATCTTTTTGTATCAATCTCAACCTCCTCTTCGATTAAGTACTTGAGAGATTACAATGTTCTTAAGACTAATTTTTATTCATAAGTCTCCTTGCTTTGCGGCTTTATGTAAATTTATTAATACTCCTCCTGGTATATATTGTTCTTTTTCTCAAAATTTAATCTTAGTTGTATCAACTTTATTAAGAATTTGTTATTTTCGCTAAGATAAATATCGTCTACCTGTTCCACTCTAAATTTTTCAGTATTAATACCTACACATTGGACATTTCTGAGAATTATTTTGGTCTTAAGCCCTACATTTCTTACAAAAACTATGTCCACATTTCAATGACACAGGATCTTTCATGGCACTATAACAAATTACACAATCTAATTGTTGTAATACATTATTCAATGTAGAGTCGATTGCTTCAGGTGACAAATCTGGTTTTAATTTACAATCAAAAGATGTTATTGCCTTTATATATTGACCAATTCCTTCGTATGATTTTTTATAAGAAATACTCCTGTTGTATTGTTAAAACCTTATTAATTATTACAATATTTCAGGATTTTATTATGAGCATTTCATCAACTATTTTAAGATAGAATCTAAACATATCAAAATTTAATATTTGGTTGTTTCTCTTTATTAATTTTATAACATCACAAATATCAATTCTAATATTTGATATAGCTAAATTTATGTTAAAACCTTACCTATTTCTATTCTTTTATTTTATTTGGATTCATTATAGTATCCTAAACATAATTAGATTCCTCATTTTATGTTGAATAGTGGATTATTTATAAAATATCAATTAGATACTTCTAATTATTTTGTATGTTTCTCTTATTCAACATGAATAATGGTTTTAAAAGGTTTGCTTTATTTTCTAAAGCTTTGGTACATGCTGTTGTAAATTACCTATTTGATATTCCGATTAGTTATTTTTTCTCCTTCAACTGTATTACAGTTTGAATTTTTGGATCTAATTCTTATATCAATTCTTTGATCCTCTAATTCAAAAGATTCTAATATTTAAAAAATGCCCAAATTTTCTTTGATGCCCAAATCTGCTTTATAATTTCGAATTAATAATTCATTTTTATTTATAATAAATATATATACATTGAATTCCTTTAACTCTCTAATGAGAGAAAGCTAACTTCATCTAAGAAGTGGCTTTATCGATTCCTTTTTTTTGCATAGTTTTCAATATTATATAATAAAATAAAAACTTTATTTAATGAAAAAGCTGAAAATAATACTTTTCTTTGAATTAACACACCTATATGAAATTTTATGGAATTTTTCCTCTATTTATTTCTTTGATTATTATAATAAAACTATTTTTTCTAAAAATTATTTCTCTTTTTAGATTAAATTCTAAAACTAAAACAACGAGCTAAAACTTAATTAATACGTTAATTTTAGAATAAATAAAATGAATAAGTGTATTAATCTAATATAGGCAACCTAATTAATAAAATTTAAACATTATTAATTTATATTTCAATATTATATCAATGATCACCAGAGTCCTTTCTCCAACTAATTTAAGCAATTGTTAATACATTAATCAACCATTTTATTGCGGCAACTTAACTTATACAAATCCTAATTATATAACTTTTAAGTACAATTATGTATGTTAAATAATTATCTTGTATGGGATTTAAAGTTGGGTAAAGGAGAGTTGCATGAAAATTTGAATATCTTAATGTATATTTAAAGAATTTTTGGAAAGATTTTCTAATCATGAGTGTGCATTTTCAATTTCATCCCTTTGCATAGTTGTGAAATTATATGCTCAATGGTCATTTAGATTACTAATTAAACTTACTATTCAAGCATCAGGTAAAAATAAAAATCCAAATTTGGGAGCGACGAGATTCCCCTAAAAATGTAGCTTATAATAGCCTACGATTAATTTTGAAGGTTTTTTAGCTTATTAGTTATTGTTAGAGAATGTTAACGACTAATTATATGCTCAACTCCAAAGCTCATCGAAGTAAATTTGCACATAAAATTCTAAATTGTGATTCCCCATGAATTGTTACCTCATTATACACCACATTTTTAGACAACTAAAAAATACGGAATTGTGTATTAAATAATATTTGAATTATTAGTCTAAGGATGAATTGTACTCAATGGAGCATATGTATGAATTAGGACTTATTATTCTAGTACTACAAATAAACATATTATTTGATATAAATCAGTATATACAAGCTAACAAAAATGCTAAAATAAGTAAAATGAAGCATGAGAGAATGCTATCATCTATTAACTTTAATAATTTTATCATAATAATAGATCGTTAATTTGCAGCAGTTTGGCTTAGGCTTCAGAGGAATATTTTGTGCAAAGATTTCGGGCAACTGCTTAAGCATTGCTGAATGCGATTTTCTTGGAACACAAATGACTTGGAAACAATTGCTTTTATTGGTGAAAGCAAGGAGATTTCAAAGAAAATTGCGAAATTAGGACAACCAGCATGGTTGAAATCTTATTGAATTTGAAATGAAATTATTAAATGCGCTACTGCGAGCGCTATTAGAATGAGTTAAAATTTAATTAAGATCTGTTTAGGTCAATATTGATTCTGTAACTGGATGATCTGAAAAATAGGTTGAGATATTTTCATAAAACAAAAATAATAACAGATAATTATGCTAAAAAAATTAATTCGAGAATTGGAAAATTGTGAATAAAAGCAAATTACTGGAATATATTGATATTACTAGGCGGTTAGTCAAATTATTTTTAACAAATTATAATATTCTTCTCCATGATTACATTCAATTTTTGATAGAAATATGGTGATAAAAAGCAAAATGATTTCGAAAAAAAGATTCAGATAAAAGAGAGAAGTGAAATATTCGATTTTAAACAAATATGGATAAAGAAATAATAAAATTGAATGTAATAAAATTTAATCTAAATTGTATTTGATATATACCTCCAATTTAAATTTAAGCTTAATGACAGAGAGTTTTTTTAATTTAACATAGTTTAAATGTATTTTTGGATGATTACTTATAATATTAAAAACAAATAAATTTTGATAGGTTTTTGCAATATAAATAATCATTAAAGTCAAAAAAAGTAAATTCAAGGGTTGCTGATTCATTAAATATTAATATGAAAATGTTAATGATGACGAATGATATGGTTAAGTCAAAGGGTTGGAATTTTATATTTCAGTTTACACTCCTCGTACAATTTATATTGAGTTTATGATTAAAATATATTTCAACATAAATGTAGTTCTACTATATTACTTTTAAGGATTCTAATTAATAATTTTCTATTTAAATTTAATTATCATTCTATTTATTTTTTAATGCCTTTTTATTACACTAAATTAACTATAATATATTACTCAACTTTAAGACCGCCCATGAATGAACATTTTAAACTGCAGATACTTTCCTTTTTATTCACCATATCCTTTTTTATATTAAGTGTTATTTTATAAAGCGCTTATTGATTCTAATGATTTTTTCAGAATTTTAGAATGTTTGAAGTATGAACCTTTTTAAATTAATTATTACGACTTGATTATATTTATTTCTCTCATAATAGATTATATTGGTAGAGTAATCAAAATATATTCGGCACACAGGATGGAATAACTTCCAGAAGAAATAGAAACATCACATATTATCTTCAACAATTGATAATATCATGTAAGACCTTAGAACAAAAGTGAATATTATATTGCATCAAATAGAAAGCAATAGAATGCACAGGTTTATGGAAAATAAATATGTTCAATCTTTCCAGGACTTCTACATCAATTACAAAAACATGCTCTGGAAGAAAGAATTATCAACAAAAATAGAATCACAATATTCACCTTTCAAAAATTTAAATCTCATAATTACTTTAGTAAACTCAAAGTCTTTCTCAATTAAGATAAGAAAGAATTATTTAAAATGTTGAAAAATACTGTAATATTCCGTTAAAAACAAAGAGATGGAAGAATCTTCAATTGCTTCATTAATGAAAATTAATAATTTTGTATCATTTATCCAGGACTAACATCCGAAATCAGTACCATTACTAAGTGAGTCAAATTCAATGCATATGATATTATGGAATAACAAACAAATTTGTTCGAAATTGTAGATGGAAGACCTTTAATAATATGTGGGAGGAAAAATTTTTATGATCTATAAAGATCAGGATAGGCGAATTTAGTCTCACAAAAAGTTAATTTAATTATTTTTGATAAGTCTTAAAAGAAATTAACATTCTATCGAGGTGACCCTGAAAATCTAACTTAAATGAGAGCTGATTGTAATTTATTTCTATTTGAAATGAATCTAATCTTTTGATTGTTCAGTCATTGCTGAAATCACATTGGTTTCCTAATAATCCAATCTTATCCATCAGGCAAATATCTCTTTTGAAATCCTTCCTTTAATATTCTCAATAGGTAACGCAACTGCTTGATCATAGACATTTTAGTTTCTAAAAAAATTAAGTTATGTGAAGGTGGAACTCTTACATACTTTATTGCTGTTATTGCTGTTTTTGCTGTTATTTCTAATTATTTATTATTTTGCAGGAGATAACGATTGAGCTTGCATTTAAGTTGGAGTTAGAATAATTAGCCAAGATTTATTGTTATTTAAAATTAATTTATCTTACAATCATGAATGTGATTCAATTTTATACATCTCCAAAGAATAAATGACGGTAAAAGATATTTAAAAATAAAGAAGAATTAATTTATATGGACAAACATAAATTCTATTCTGAAAATAAATTGGAACTCAAAAAAATATGAGGTAATTGATTAATACATTATCGAAGTTACTTCATTACATTTTCTGAAAATAATTTCATAATTTGAATTCAAAAAAAATAAAAAAGGAATGAGACACATATTGAAAACAATACTTGGTCCAAAGTACAAAAATTTAATAAGGTAAGTTAAGGAGTAGTTGTTAAGAAATTTTTGTTGAAAGATCATTCTTGTGAACACAAATATTTGTATAACCATATAATCCCTAAGTACATTACCTTAAATTAGTTTAAAAATCATGTGTAAACAATGCGCGATCCTTAGTATTAGAGCCTTATGGATTAAATTAAAGATTAGAAAGTTGGTAAGAAAATATTAAATATTCAAGTTCAATGACAAATACTTTGTTTTTCCATAAACCAGTTAGGATGCGTTAAAATTAAATTAAATTAAATTATACAATAAATGTCAAAAAAATTTGCAGCAGATTTAAGATGGTTTATTGATGATTGTTTTCATTTTTAAGATTACTAAATTACTATCGAAGAAAACATATAACTTGGTTGAAAGAATGTATGAATTACTAAAATCAAGAGACACTATGTTTTTAAAAAATATATACAATGATTTTCTTTAAATATTTAGATGCAAACTAACAATGTGTCTCTTTTAAGCTACATCCAACTATATATATAGGATCAACTTTAAAGCCACCACAAAAAAAAATAAATGTAAGCCATTCCTCTTTATCATTATCAATTTTATATCACATATTGGAGTCTAGATAACAAATTTATATTGTTGAATCAGGAATTACAATTAAACAAGATGGAACAAAAAATATTTACATTTTAAATTTAATGACAAGCTCAAAATTAATTCAGACTTTTTGGTAAGATTAATTTCATAATGTAATAAACAATATGGTTTAAGGAATTTATAAGGAGGTCCTAAAATATGCTACTTATATATATTTACCTCCATATTGTCCACATTTTAAATCAATCCAGAAGGCTAGTAGAGAGTTAAAAACTCTCTTAGCATAATAAGTTTGTTGAACAAACCTTAAACTCAACTAGTAAATTCATTACAACATTAAAGAAATTAAGTATAACCATCTTTTAAGTTATTGCGATTCTGTATATCCAATAGTATAAAATATTTAGAAAAATAGGAATTATGATTTATAAAAAATAAAATATTTAATATATGAATAAAAATCTTCAAGATGATTAAATTGATTAGTAAAATAAATGATTAAAATTCTTCCAATTGAATTCATTCATTTGATCACTTTAAAATAAAAATTTGATTAATGTAGAATAGTTTATGCACAAAAGTACTTTGTATTTTGGGGACTTATGGATGATGAATAAGGTTTATGAGAATGGTAATAAAAATTGGGTCATAAAATTGTAGTTAGAAAAGAAAAAAAAGAAATAATTTAAAGATAATTGATTTTAACAATAGAGAAGAATGAATGGTATTATATGATAATTTATTTATTAAAATTAACAAATTTCTAATTTTAAAATGTTTTAATTTTATATATGAATGAGGAATTCACACGAGTTTTTCTAAAATAAAGAATAAAAATCGATATTCACATTATGAATAGATAAAATTTATGAAACGAAGAATTATATTCATCGAATACAATATAAAATTCTATCATTAAAATTGACTTTATAATTAAGGAATTAAAATAATTTTTGAAATTATTTCGATTATTATAAATTATAATGCATTCCGAACAAATTAGTAAATAATTTCGAAGTCAATATGCTATTTCAAACAAGAAAAATAATAATCATCAGTAATTCTTCTATCATCGTTATTTGTTAATTAAGAATTTTAATTGGCTGTTTCAGAATTTATTCCTAAATAACACCAATCGAAATAGTGTGGAATAGTAGCATCAAAATTAATGTTTTAAATTATAGACTTTTGAAAAATAATTTATTTGATTTTAAATTAAGCAGTAAAATAATTATATTTTATACTTTTATGTTAATTCAAAATCTCCTTACCTCTAAAGCCAAAAATCCATATTGTAGAATCATGTTATTTTTCAATTTCGATATTTGTAAAAACTTGATAAAAACAAACGCAAATTAAACAAAAAATTCTGATATGAAACCAATTTATAAAAAGGTAAGCTGTAAATGATCCTAAGTTGAATCAACAATAAAATTTATTAACTAAATTCCAAGAATGCTGATGTGTCTAAAATATGTAAATAGCCTTTTTTAATCATAACAAAAAGTGACTCCATATTTTATTCATTGTAGAAATGTGTTTCCCTTCATAATTAAATTCAAAATTAGGAATGAAAAATATAAATTAACAAACTTAATTAGTCACTCCTTATGAATTAAATATATAATAGTAGCAAACCTTTATAAAGGCGAGAATTGACCCTTATTTTTTATGAATAATACTTAGTAATCTTTTATTACGGTAATAACTCTAAATATATCATCTTTTTTTAGAAAATAGTAATGATTTATATTTGAAAAACAAATGATGTTGTTTTTCAAATCCTTATATCATGAAAGATGGTAAATGTTCTTTTTATATTAACTTAGAAAATCAAGCACTAAATCAAATTGCTTTCATTCTTCAAAAAGAATCTCCTTATTAGAATGGTAATGTAAAATGAACATCAACTAGTTAGTTGACGTAATTATATTTTAACCTTAATAAATGCGATATGTAAATTAATTTATTGTGCTTACCATAAGGCAAAATAGATGATAATTATAATAATGTATTTTCAATGGTTGCTAGTAAAATGATTATGCTTCTAAGTATTAGTGGTGAACTTAAAGTTTTAAGAACTTTCTTTTACATGATAAAGTTGTTTTCTTTTACAAATCAGTAAAGAACTTGATAGGATGATTAACATAAATCATAAGATCTTAAACAAGTAAATCAATTGGCTAGTTGTAACTAATTAATAAAATGAAATTATGTTAGGCTGAATAAAGAAATTTTACAAAATATATTTTATCTCATCTATAGGATCACTAGCTAGAAATGAAATGTCTATTTACTGTTGTTCTAGGCATCCAATTTAAATTTTATTTCGAGTAAAATTTATGTATTTAGTATAAGCACAAACGATTACAAATTTATGATAAATGCTAATTAGAAAAAAAGACTCTGGAGAATCGAACACCAAATAAAACTTTATGAGAGGAAACTACATTTTTAAAAGACTTGATGCGAAAAAAAGATGCTCAAATATTTAAGAATTAATAAATAAATGATAATCGAATGAATACGTATAGAAATTCCATCATTTAACAACAACTGGTTTTTAATTCTTAAGGGTTATATGTAGATTATGGTCATCTATTTTGATAATTTACAACTACTTAAATAAACATAATCCTTATGCCCTGAGTTTTTGGTCATTCAAGAAAATTTGCATTAAGAATACAAAATATAAGGAGAGGGAAAATTAAGTATCCTTCAGTATTAGAATATTATATTCAAATAGACAAAAGCAAATACATTAAATTAATAAATTAATGTTCTATTTATTTCTTAAAATATTTAAATCATATTATTTATATTTTATAATCTAATTTGCTATAATTTTTCATTTGTATTTAAACTATTTTAATTATGAATCGAAGTTTGTTGAAAAACAATTAAACTCTTATTCTAATTATTACAAAAGACTATTCGTAACATGGAATTAATTAGTGATAATTCCTTTAAGGGCCTTAGATGGTATTTTTAACTTAGTACAAATGTATTCTTAAACTTATTATTCTGTTTTTAGACTAAATAATTCATTTTTTATAATTTCACTCAAAAAATGAAGAATCTAATCAAACTCTAATAGCAATAATTCTTTTTAGTAGAAATATAATAAAAATAAGACACATTTGTAAAATCCTAAAATTTACTCTTTAATTATATTACCTTTCCACTATTAGATGATAAAAATATCCCATATAATATTTAGCAATGCAGATTGCAAGGTAAACTAATATACTTATGTGAATACCGTGATAAACCAAGCAGTTAAATAGTACGATGCATCAACTTTTTACTTTGATAATTAACCATATTTACTTTTTTAAAGTGATGATATAAATTTGGTAAAAATAAGAATAACAACCTCTCATATTGGTAGAATACTTTTTTCTAATACAAATATATAAAATAAATACCAGCATTTCAAATTCATTTTCAAAATATTAAGAAAAATAGTTCCTCATTATATAATCAAATACTATATATGTTACTTCCTCATCTTCAAATGTTAAATACAAATATCCAACGATGTAGTTCATTCCTTAACAATATCCTACTTCTTTATTATGAAATGCATATGTTCTGAGGAATGATTGTAATTTGCTTGAAGGAACCCTATCAAAATGGAGTTGTAAAGATCTTTAAACATCCATAGTAATAATTTCTTCGTATTATTATATCTCCTATTATGCTTCAGATTTTTTGAGAGCATAATCCATATGATTTTGATCAGTTCTGAGATAAACCTTTAGATTTTATGCTCTATAATATTGGTTTTGCTCCATATATGGTACACTATTATGAATAATATAATATTTTTCTATAGCAAATCTTAAGTGAAATTTAAAAACTTTAGATACTAGTAATAATTGATAAGGTCTATCTTTATATGATAAATATTTAATTGATAATCTGATTGAGTAAATCTATTTTAGTTAAGGGTTATTGAATCCATGTCTTTTATATTTATCTTCCTTTCTTTATTTAATACAAAAACCTGAAGAATACTTTTAATTAAATGTAATTGCATTTTTTTCTTCTAAAATTTACAATAGTTTTTCTAGTTGCACCTTTTCTAATTTGATATCAGAATGAAATGCAAGTTCCAATATCACATCAGTTCCTAATTAAGGAGAGACATTCAATTCACTTAGGAATGTAGCAATCTCATGTAATACACTGTATTTTTGTTATTGATATTTTTCTTTTTCTGAATATTGTTGTCCTTAAACAACACCAGTAATTTTTTTCAATCCCTTGCTTATCAATCCATATCCTTTTTTTACAATGTTGAATTATTGATCCAGAATTTGTTTTTATTAAAACTTAGTTGATTTAATATGCTCATATAATGATTTCCATTTCAATTTATTCTGCCAAATATCCAATTTTGAAAAACTTGAGATCAGATGAGAGTTGTCCCCTTTTACAATCCTATATGATAATTATAAAAAATTATAGAACTCTTCCACATCAAATTCAGCATCTAAAATTAAAAATACATGTTTAAAAATAGCGCTAACTTCGTTAAATGAATCTTCTGACAAATTTAATTGTTTAACTTTTCTTTTTTCAATCTCTTTTTATATTAAATTATTCAAGAATTATCTAGCTGATTATTTCGACATTAATTATTTAACTCCTAAATACTCATGTGACAAAAATTAATTTGACTTTGTTGAAGATGTAGAATATGATCTATTTCTTGAATTATTGGCACTGTCATCTGAGGTTTCTTAATTTTCCATAAGTTCATTAATAAATTGTTAAATTTTCGTTGCTTGTTCTTCGGTTATTTATTCGCCTATCAAAGTCCACTCGCTTCCAACATATTGCATATTTTTTTTTTAATCTCCCCTCTTTAATTAATCATAATTAATTTAATCAAATAATTAAAATTAAACATTATCAGCTTCAATAGATATAAGAATTACTTCCACTTTTTTTTAACAATCTTTAGATCTAATGCTGAAGATCCAGTGGTTGCTTTTGAATCACTCGTAACTCTAATTAATTTAGCTTATCTTGATATATAGAGTAGACAGTATCATTAGTTAACTTTTTCATTAATGAAAGCATTATTTATTTTGAAAACTTGATTCTATAATTAATCATAAATTTTACCTGTTTTCATCATTTAAAAATACTTATTAATACCAATCTTTAATCTTCAAATCAAAATCAGAGAGTTTTTTATTTCCTTTTTCAATAATCTTTTTATAATCTTCCTGTGCCTCGATGGCAATCTCTTTTAATTTTATTTATCTTTCTGAAGCCCTGACTAGCTCATCTTTTCCTTTGTTTCCCTTTGCAATTTCTCCAACTGTTCTTTCCATAAGTAATTAACTCTTATCAGCATTTTACATTAGCCTTATATACTCCTCTTATTAATCAGATATATGCTTATTCAATATTTAGATATTCCCAATATATTCTTTCATTTCAGATGACAATTTTAAGTTTATATTTCTATAATTGCTCATGATTAATTGATATGGTTCAAGAACCTAAGGCATGCATAATAAAATAAATAAACTTCACTTCTAAGATTTTCGCTTGTTTATTGCCACTGTTATGAATTTTAAAGCAAAAAGTTGCTCAAATACTAGTAAACACATTCGATATTGTCATCATCACCTGTGCCTTTACTCACAAATTCATGGAGCCGTTCCGCAATTTTTTTTAAAGATGTTGAAAAAGTAGTGCATGCTCTTTCTATTTCCTTGAACTGGAAATAATCTATTAAAAAATTACTGTTTTCTCTAGCTCAAGAGTATTGTTATTTGTGTTTAAAAGGTAAGAATGCAATTGCAAAAATTCTTAAGATGTATATTCAATAAACTGATTAGCCATTTTTTATTAAAATATACAGAAATAAGTATTAATTCTTCACATTTAATAAATATATGTATAACTTATGTGGATCCTTGCTTGACAGATGGTATAATGTTAAATTTAATTTGATTTAATATGTTTATGACATAGATAAATAGATAAGATAAAATGACAAAGTCATACATATATTGAACGAAACTATAAAAAACGATGTAGGCATAGAAGTAAGGAATCCTTCATTTATTTTAAAGTAAAGAATAGAAAAATTGAAAAGGATTTGTTCTTCGATCATTTGGTTTTCTTATCGGAAAAAAATACCATAGTTTTAAAGTTTATATTTTTCTAATTTTTTAAGTCAGTTCACTCACATCGGATACTGGTTGGGGATGTATGATTAGAGTTGCTTAAATGGCCCTAGCTTAAGTTATAAGGCATTATCATTCTTTTACTTAGCCAGAATAATTGATAGTTTTAATTAGACATTTCTTAGATGATGATGATGATGAATTGATCAATTTTATAAAGTAAGATCAAAAGAACTAAGTCCAATATTATCATGCTCCATTTTCTATTCAAAAAATTGTCTATCATGCAAAAGTTGAATTTAAGAAAGAGCCTGGAGATTGGTATAAACCGAATGAAATACTTGAAACTTTAAACTACTTGTTCAAATACTCTTAATGTAAATCGAATTTTTTCATAATAAGACTCCTTAAACATGTAAATCTATATCAATTATTAATGCGCCTTCATTCTATAGGATGCAATAAAACAAATGTTTAATTATGATAAAGGCAATTAAGAATGGTTAAAAGAATGTATAAAAAACAATAATCAATTCATATCATAACATGATAAAGGCATTGCTATTTTTCTTCCTGCTCGAATTGGCCTTCAAAGGGTTAATTAGGATTATTTGGAAGTCTTGAATATTCTAATGACTTTGCCTTACTTTTAAGGTATTATTGGAGGAGTTACGAATAGAGCCTTCTATATTGTAGGAAGAATTCAAGATTATCTTATATACTTAGATCCTCATTTTGTCTAAAACGCTTAGAATTTTGAAGATCTTTCAAAAACCTAAGCATCTTACACATGTTAAAATATCTAATTAATACACAATAAAAGTATTGATCCATCTATCGTTGTCTGCCTATGTGTTCGAAATGGACTTGAATTGTTGGACTTATGGCATTCTGTATACTTTTTTATTATTTATTAGCTTAATCATATGAAATAAGAATTCTAAGAATTTTTTTTTATTTCAATTTTGGATACAAATGTTGAATTACAAATATCTGAATCTTTTCAATACTTAGATGAAAATCATGAATTAGTAAATATTCTAAAATGAAAATAATATACTTTTATTTAAATAAATATCTATTTTATCAATGTCAAGATAACAAAACAGTTAAAAATAACATCCCCCTTAGCCAGCCCAAGGTAATTAACAGTAACGAAATCCCTAACCTCCTCAACCTCCTAAATCAAAAGTATTTAATGCTGAAGATTATGCTAAACCTCCTCATTTGACAAAGGAAGAAGTCTTGGAAGTTAAAGTAAGATCGTGTATTAATTTTAAGTAAGCATTTGATATTTTCGACGGTGATGGATCAGGAGCAATCGATCCATAAGAGTTGAGAGAAGCATTTGAAGCATCTGGAATTAAAACATATCACAATAAATTTATTTATTAAGTGCTGGGAGAGTTAGATACTGACAATTCTGGAGGAATTGATTTTGAAGAATTTTTACATCTTGCAACTGCAAAAGTTAGTGATAAAGATACACGAGAATAAATTCAAAAGGTGTTCAATTTGTATGACTGGAATAAAGAAGGTAAAATGCTTATTCTCTATCAAAGGTCGAATAACTTGGGATGAACTCAAAAGAGTAGCCTAAGATTTAGGAGAAGAAATGACGGATGAAGAAATTTAACATATGTTTAAGAAAGTATTAATAATTCATCAAATTAATCTAGGCTGATTTGGATGATGATGGATTTGTTACATTTGATGATTTCTATAATCTGATGACCTAAAAAGAATACGGAAAGTAATGAGATTTTACATTATAAAATGAAATAATTAATTATTCATACATTCTTGAAAAATAATTATCATCATTCATTTAAATCGGATAAAATTGAGTATTTGTTTTGAAGATCTATTATTACAAATGTCAAATTGAAAATCGGACAATTTAAGGGTTTTAGATACAATTAATATTAAATCCATAATACCTAATTCAAATTGATTAAATTATAATTTATCAAAAATAACTTCAAAGCTTCATTGAAATTAAGCTGTAACTTGTCTTTTTTTCATAATAAACTTCAATTTAAGAGTTTTACTTTTCTTTGTAGGCTACCTTTAGAAAAGATTTTATATCTGAATTTTTAATTAGGATTTTGTTGAAGACATAGAGATCAGTAGAAGGCCTAAAATTCTCAATTTTAATATTTAAACTAATATTCCATTATACAAATTTTTATTAATATAAAATTATTCTATTGCCATTTATTAATTAACAGGTATGCTGATATATTTAAGGGTCGCTAATTAATTTATATTAGGTTTCAAAATTATTGTTTTTTCTTATTATTTATTCCTTAATTGTCCTTCTTTTCAATATTTAATAAATAAATTGCCAATCCCATCCTAAGATCTTAAATCAATAAAGTTAAAACGTAGTGTAATTTTGGACAATTTGAACATATCTTTCGACACTAATAATTATAAGATACCATGATTTTGACATTTCAAAGGTTCCAGCACCCAATTATTGAATTCCCAAGAATTTTTAGGAACTAATATTGTACTTACTTATCAACTTCTTCTTGTTCGATTTAGGTTGAATAATAATTAAATGAATTAATGAAAATTTCTTATTATCTTAAGAAAATTTTCGCCAGCCATTTAAGGATGGCTAATAAGTAACCAAATTTAAAATAATAAGTCAAAGTCTGCTAAAATATTAAAACAAATGTTCGATTAAATATATTTATATTCATCATATCTTATATCACTTACTTGACTTACGTCTTTTTCTCTTGAGTCTTTTCATTTTCTTTTTTCTCCACTTTCTCTCATTCTTTATTTTAATTATTGAATAATGAATTTAATTTTTAAATTATATGTTTCCAATTTTGGTATGAAAGCCTAGAGATGAAGGATATCTAATCAATGTAATGCTTTGAACTATTATATAGTACTGGTTTTTTTTTCGATAACAATCTAAAACTAATATAGAAATTAGAATATATGAAATTCTTATATGTCATATTTATTCATAATTTTTTTATCTCTAGCATTCATTAATTGTATTTAACATTCCCTTATTAATTATAAGATAATAATCAAATATAAAAGATGATATGAATTTATAATTAATTTTATTCACAATTTATTATTAAATATGTCAAACATCTATGTTAATACAAGTAACATTAATAATGTTTCGTCGACTTAAAAGAAGAGGATATTTGATAACACTCCACCAAATTAAACTCAAAATCAATTGCAATTACCTACTTAAAAATAACCTTAGTTAAGTGTGAATTCTTTGAATATTGATCCTGAATTATCATATATTGCACCTCTGGAAATGGAGTAATAAAAACCTGCTTCAAAGATTGAAGGTTAAATAAAAAGTGAAATTAGAAATGAGTAAATATCTTAAGAAGACCCAGCAAAACAAAGCCTATTGAAAGAGGTTTAATTAGAGAATTTAGAAAACATCTTCACATTATTTAGATCCACAGTACCAATGAATTAATCAAACTTATAAGCTTCAAGATTGATATCATCAAATATTGAACCTTAATATTATTAATAATTAGAAATTGATGCAGAAAACATTAGAGATCGTATCAAAATGGAAGGTCGAACTGTGCATACAATAATAGAAAAGCATAGTAGAATTAAACAATAAAAATTAAATATTACTTAATAACTTAAAAATATTCAGACCTCATTAAACTAGTATGATTAATGCACCTCTTATTAAAAATTTTAAAGAGAAATCAAATATGCTTTTAACCAATTTGAATCCAAAGCTGATGAATTAAGAGATTTATTTAATGAAGCATTTAACTTTATGTCAGTAGTTTCAGTGGCAGCTTACGAGAGATTACATAAGCCTTTTGATGAATCAGAAGCTGTGAGTGAAGCTGAATTCACTTCTGTATCTCTAAAGCATTTCTCGGATATCGAGTTGATGGCTAAAGAATATGAATAAACTCTTTCTGAAAAAAGAAGGTAAAATAGTATTTATTATTATAATTTAGATTGGGAAATATCAATCAAAATCATCAATAATACAAATCTATTTGCTCTAAATTGTTATAATTAATTAAATCTTTTCCTTAGTAAGAATAAGAGCTCTAATAAAAAATGATTAATTTATAGCGAGTTTCCTCCATATATTTTAAGGGAGTTTCAAAAGATATACAAATATGTTTATCAAACAACTTGCTAGTTATCTAAGAATATAGGCTATCGCTAGCAGCAATTGATAAAATTGCTATTCAAAAGGATTTGTTATAAGAATATTATGATAGCTTTGATTATTATTAATATCTTATATTTTATTTAAATTAATAACCTTAAAATTACAAAGATAACTATTACTAATTTAAATGCTAAAAAGATGAACTTAAATTTGTACACTTTGATTAGACCAAATACTTTTTTGCAATGAAGAATAAGATTTATTAAAAATCATGTTTATTTATTGATACTATTCAAAATTAAGTTAATTCATAGAAAGCAGCAGTGAATTTCATACTTCCATTAATTGATGAATTTAAAAAATATCAAAATAATAATTTTTAGGACTTTTTCGATTAAATTTTCTTTAATTTACAGTAATCCATATCTAAAGAATAGTGGTAACATCTTATAAACCTATATTAAGAAGTGTAATAATCCAAATGCATACTTAAAATAATATTAGTAAAAATAAACAATGTATAATAACAACATCCTACACTAAGTGAATTTAAAGAGAAGTTTGTAAAAAAAATTGAAACAGAGCTGAAATTTATTAATTCTTTAAGTCCTAAAGTAGAACCATATATAAATATTCATGATATCGATGCACATGTTTAATATTTGACATTCAAGGATAACTATTAAAAATAAAGATAAGCAATGGATTTAAAAATTCAAGAAATTGTTGTTAACTTGCCTCAACAATTACAATTAAGTGATATTGAGAGTTAAAACCTGAAGAAGATAAATATTGAAAAGTTCTTTAGTTAGTCACATTAATTAGAATAAATTGCCATCAAATTATAAAGGAAGAAGGTTTCTTAAGATGTTGAGTATATTAAATAGTAGTTGTAGTCAGATATAACATTTGAAAAGGATGTTATATGTTTATTAGAGTCTATGCAATATTTGCATTCTGGAAATCTTTAGATGATTGTTGAGGATTTTAATGAAATTGATCAGAAGAACAACAATAGTTCATTATAATAATTGATTGAAGTAGTTCTAGAGAGTTAAAAAAGGATAGAATTAATCTAAAGCGAAAAGTTGCAAGAGATTAAATAAGTTTAAGTATAAGGATTTAAATGGATATTAAATTTATTTAAATAATACGACTAATTTAGAAAAGTATTTATTCTTAAATATAAAGAATTTAATTGAACTTATATTCCAAATGTAGGAAGAGTAATAAATAGAATATTCAAGAACAATCTACATCTCAAATTATGAAGACTTTTTGGCCGTTAATAGGTTTAGCCATTTATTCTATTTTTTAAATTAATACCCACGAAAGTATTAACATTGGGCTTAGATTAAGAATGAACTCATTAAAGTCATTTTAAGTTCATTCAAAATTTCATTAAAGAAAGTGATGGAAAAGATAGATGTATTAGGAGGAGAGAAACCAGTTAGTTTGCTTCAATTTGACTAAGACAATACAGACAAAATTTTAAAATGGTTTTCTTTAGAATAACATCATTCCAATATAGCTAAGGCTGTTTTAATATATTAAGGTTATAAAAAAACTAAAATATCCAACTCCTAATTTTCAACTTCTAACGCATAATAGGATCAGAAGAATAGACAATTAATTGAAATTTAAACCAAAATGCTAGATCTCATTAATAAACTCAAAGATTAACTGGAAATGCTTCCTTGTGAAATAAAGTTTGCTTATCATAGTGCAGTAGATGTATTCACAGAGGAGGAATTTGATAAGGTTATCTTTACTGAATTATAAGAGGAATGGGTCTTAGACTACATGGAAAAAGGATAAGACCATTCTTTCTTGACAGATTTATCAAATAATACAGGTATCTTTGATAATGTATTATTAAACTACAGTTTGATTTTCATCAATTTGAATCAAATTTTGCAGTAAGATTATTTTTGTTATTTAGAACTTAAAATGAAATAGACGTCAAATAAATCAGAAATAATCTTTTACAAGTAATTAAACATTAGACATGAACAAATTACAAAAACTGAATTTTAATATATTCAACAAAAACATCATTTTTTATACATCTCAAATGCTACTTCCTCAACTAAATAATCAAATAACAGATCTGATAAATCAATAGAGATTTCAGTAGTTTCTTCATCATAATTTGTCCATCTATCTTCATTATCAATTATCTAAAATTAACAAATTTAAATATACATCTAAAGTTAACATTCTATACAGCCTATCCTCCCTTATCTATGCTACGGTTTCTTGGTCTAATTGCATTGATTTTGGAAATGGCGAATCCTCTTTATCAATTAAGATCCCTGTCATATAATGACTCCAATCAATGACTTTTTCTGAAGCTTTACGAATGATTCCAGGAATATCGGTCAATTGAACTTCCCTTGCTCTCAATCTGGTTGGATCAGATTTCCATAAAAATGGTTATCCATTCAAACCATATGGTCTAAATTAATCGAGTGCTTCATTTAAGGAATCAAAGATTGCTTTATTATGAATATGCTCTAATTCAATTAATAGTTTATTTTGATGGTTGATTATTCTTTATTCCATTAAAAATCTTTCAAATTTGCCAAACTACTCTACGCTAAGAATGATTTAATGCTATGCTCCATTTGAATCGTAATCCGACTCAGCTGAGTCTCGAATTGGCTAAAGAAACTTAAGCATTATTTAAGATGATGGACCCAATGGTATATTTATTACTCTCTAGATTTAAATCATAACATTATCTTGATGATATTAAATAATTTGATTACCTATCAAGTACTCTTCTAAGTATTTGAGATACGCTTTAATTTATGCTACATTTGTTTTAAGTCCTTGCATCTATTATTCTTTTGGTTAAGCAATCTATGCTCTACGATTTAATTAGGAATTGCTGATTATCTCATATAAATCAATGCCATTTCTTAACATTTCCGTATAAAACTAATTTACTTCCTCTTATATCAGCATATTTGAAATCAGAATAGAGTATGAATCAGCACATTTCTCAGATATCTTCTATGGTTCTTTTAACTGTTCAACATTTCTAACAAATTAAGATTAGGCTAACTTTTTTAAGTTAAAAGGCTCTGGGCAAACTAATTCCTTTTCTTCTAATATGTTATTGCTTTTTCTCTAAATTGTTACTACATCTTCGTAAGCCTTATTTTTCTCATCTTGCTAATATTATAACATTTAAGAATTGGATATTTAGATATCTATAATTGAACTTTTTAGACTATTTTCAGAATAATTGGCAGATTCCTAACTTAAAGAATCTACTATTTTTATGTAAGTTTATGAGTTTTATGATGAAAGCATTTATTTAACAAATTGCAAGTCTCTTTATGTTTTCACTATAGCATCAAATACACTTTATTATCCTCTTAAAATTTCTCGCTTTTTCTATTCTAAATCTGTTTTTTATTTATTAACCCACTTTTCTAATTTTCTTTATTGAAATTCGAATGTTCTAGGAGATATTTGATTATTCTAAAAGGCCTTGTCAATCTATTTTAATGATTATTGTTGTCTTTACTAAACTGCTTCTTCTCTTAAAGCAATTAATTAATCCATCTTGTCTCTCTGCATAAGCTCTTTAAATTTATTCATTACAAAATCTTAAAATGAAGTCTATTCAAACAATCCTTTATCTTATTAGATTGATTATTCCCCTTCTTATGAAAGACTTTTTAATAATGATTCTGAACCGAAAGCGCATCTGATTTCTCCGATATCAACTTTATTTTCTTCCTCTTATTCTTCAACATCAATTGATAATTTACTAATTTTTTTTGATTTTTAATTACCAAAGGATTGGATTTGTTCATCTTGAGAATTCTAAAATGTTTTTTTTATTTTTTCAGGAGTATGCTCAGATATTATTTGCAACTAAATATCTTTAAATTTATTTTAAACTTAATTCTATTAGTTAAGCAAGCCAGGTTTATATTCAATATCATCTTAAAAATTTTCTATAAACTTTTAATATTAATTAGATTCTATCTACTTTTTTGTTTCTTTTTGATTATCCATTTAAGAATTAGGTCTTGAATGACTTAAAATGCTAGATTCATCAACAAGTTGAGAGTTATCAATTGAATCTTTTTTCAGAAATCCAAATTTGATTAATTTATTTATTTGCGATTTGGTTAAACTTTTTAAATTTAATCCATCCTTAATTTTATGAATATCTTTCTTGCCTTAGAATTTAGATTTTAATTGAATTTGTCTGATTTTATATCCTCTCCAAACTTTTTAAATGATTAAAGCAGCCTAATTCTCGACAGAAAAATCACTCTAAACCAAAGCCATCTTCTAATAATTATCTTTTTTGAAGTAATTTCCTTCTTTATCGATTTCAGGAATTGAGCATTTTCTCATTTAAAAATAATTTGTCCCTTTAATTTTTTTAGCTTCATTTTATTCTTCAGAATGAACATCATGAATGTTTTTTTAACTGTAAAAACTATCATCTAACTCTTAATTATTCTATTATCTATCACTATCATTAGGCATATTATTGCTGCTCGAATTACTCATAAGTTTGTATAAAGATGAATGCGGTTTTGATTCATTTTTTTATTAATTGAGACCTTTTTTATTATTATTTAGAAAATTCTCTTCTATATTCTAATATTATATAACTATTTTTTTTTGTTTCTCTGGTTTCTTAAATTTTAATTTTTAGGTTGTCGCTTCAAATAAGGTTCCAGTCTTTTCATGAAGAGATCCTGTTCTAATCCTATTGTTTAGAATCTATTTATTATGCTAACCTTACGAAAGACTTCTATTTCTCTTCTATATTTTTTAAGCAGGACTAGGGTAATGAATAGAACTTATTTTCAGTCGATTAGGTAGAAAATTCAAATTTTTAGGTTTCTTTAGAAGTTATTTATACTAGTTTTGCAAGGTAGTTGATATTTTTTATTTTTATTTAGGTTGATTCTCATCGTGAATGGACTTTTTCTCTAGCTTAATAAATAATATTACTTTTAATTATTGATTTAAGATTCTTTTCTGCAAATTGGTTTAAAAAGGATGTACCAATTTATTATCTCCTATCTTTGAGGTCAACAGTTGTTCTTGTATTTCGACGTTACATAGCATTATAATATTTCTCTTATTCAGATAAAATGTAATTCCGTAGTCTTTGCTGATTAACTCCCCATGGAAATACTTGTGAAATAGACTTTTTAGTCCTAAATCCACTTTTTTGTATTTCAGTTTTAGATTTCTAAGAAGATTTCTTAGATTTTTTCTTTTTCTTCTTTTTTATTTTGTTTGGTGTAACTATTTGACTAGGGTTTAATTTGCTTGCCATTAGGAAATCTTATTAATCAGATTCTGTATGTCCTAATTGTCTTGTTTCATTAACAGTCATCTTAGGTTTTATTTAACTTTCAACCTTGCATCCAGTAATCTTGTCTAAATTAATTGATGTAATACTATTTGGGTTGCTTGTTTTCGGTTTAAGCATTTAATTTATAACAACCAATAAAATATAATAAATGAAAGTTTATAAATAATCCTAATATGCCTCAATAAGAAAAGATGTATTGTAATGACTCAAATAACCTTTTAAATTTAATTTAGATAGCTATTCTATAAGATCCTTTTAGTAGTATTTTGTATTGAGAAATTAATATTTTAAAAGAGAAGTTCTTAACGAATCATAGACTCTCTGAACTAGAAAAAATATAGTTCAATATTGGTTTTGTTAATAATTATTTACAATGAAAATTTGATGAGAATTTTTAGATCAAAGGGAAGGCAACCTTGAATTGAAGACAATTAGAATTTGGTTAGAATCGTAAAGTAATGAGATTGGAAGGTTTTTATGTGAATATAAAATTAACGATCATTATTAATAATTATTTGAATTCAAAATGAATACATATAGCAGATCTCCATTAGAACCAGTCACTTAAAATAAAGATTATTTTACATCATAATCTTCTTCAAAAGTAATAACTAGTACAGTAAGACAGTGCACTTCAGTGACACAAAACTTAGGGTCCTCTCAAATGAAAAGATCAATGTATTTAATTGTGTTTATCGCAAATAGGTCTGGAAATAGTATCTATTCCTCGTAAATTAATAACCCTCCTCCCGCTAGATAATAGTTGGGGAAAAACCTTGATATTGTTTGTTTTCTTAATGGCTTGCGAAGTTGAAAGATTCGTAGCTGAAAACGATAAACTGAAATATAGGATAAAGGAGATGGATGATAAATTGCTTGATAGAAATAGTTATGAAAAACAAATAGAGGATTTGTAAGCTAGACTTATGCAGATGCAATATTAGGAGAGTATGTACAGGTAAATCAGTATTTTATGGTTTAAGATAAGAGATCGAAATTACTACTACATAGTATACAGAGGAGATTGAGAATTGGAAAATCAGGTTTTTTACTAATGAGGAAAAATACAGGAATGAAAATGAGTTATTGAAACAATAACTTTTGGTTGGAAATTCAAAATAATAAAAGGAAATAGATGATTTGAAGAATCAATTATTCTCATAAAAATAATGGAATGTAATTTGAATGATTAAATATCTTTAGGAAAATGAAGTATAAAAACTAAGAGAACAATTATTGAGTAAATAATAAGCTGTGGAGTATTATTAAGTAGAGTTGAATTAATACGAGGCTGAATTTTAATAATACAAGCAATAGGAAGAAAAAATAGTCGAGTTGGAAAATAAAATTGGTATGTTAGTTTGTGAAACTGAGAGATTAAACAATTTGTTGAAATAGAAATTAGAAGAATTGGAAATTAATAAAGCACGTTATAATAACATGGCTTAGGAGTCTGAAAAATGGAGATCTGAGCTTAGATCATTATAAAATCAATTTGATAAGAAGTAGAAAGACTATGATTAACTCAATTAAGCATATGTTATGACTTAAAATGAATTAATCAAATATAAGGATTAGGACTAAATTATAGATTAAATGTAAAATAAAATTGTTCTTTTGTAAGGCGAAATTGATAGATTAAATTAAGTATTGAGAGAAAAGATAAAATAAGGAGAGGAATGGAGATAGAAATATTTTGATTCTGATAATCAATGCAAAGAGATGAAATTGAAATTAAATAAATTAGATTAATTGTAAATGCAATTAAAAGATCAAGTTGATATGTTTTAACAATTGAGTAATAATTTGGAAGATTAAAAGATGAAAAACTATTAATTGCAATAATCAAACAATAATTTAGAACAAGGAAATCAAGATCTAATTAGTAGAATCGAATTGTTAACATCTGAAATAGAAAGACTAAACAATATTTTAAGATAGAAAATTCACGAATTAGAAGAGTGGAAATAAAAATGTTAGCATTATGAATAAGAATTTAAAAATAAATCAATTTAATATAATGATATTAAAAATAAATTAAGTTGTTTAACTTAAGAAATTGATAGAATGTAAGAATAATTGAGATAGAAATAATTAGAGTTATAAAACTTACAAATAAATCAAAATTAGTTACAAAAAGAGGTTAATAATCAAGAATAAATTAATTAATCCTTGTAAAAGTAGATTGAAGAATGGAAGAGAAAATATACCAATATTGAATATGATTTGTAAGAATCATTAATGAAGAATAAGAAATTGGTAGAATATGAAAATACTATTGCTATGATTTCATAGGAATTGGAAAGATAGAAGATGCTATTTTCATAGAAATCTTAAGAATTTGATGACTAAAGGAGATAGATGATGAATGATATCTAAAAACTGAAATAGAGTATGGGATTGAAATCGACAGAAGCTGAAGAGTGGATGTCTAAATATAGAAGATTAGAATAGGCTTACTCTGAATTGAGTTAGACTAATAGAATAGTTGAGGATAAGTGGAAGTAGTCATTAATAAGAATTATATTGCATTGTTCTGAAATTGATAGATTAACATAGGTTCAAGCTGAGATTTTTGATGAAAATGAATAATTGACTAATCAAATATCACATTACCAAAGTTAATTAAAGATTAAAGATGATTAATTATATAAAGCATTGGATAGAAATAATCTATTACAAAAATTATAAGATGAAGAAAAGGGTAAAAGACAAGGATTGGAAAACTAGATAGCAAGTTTGAAGATATATTAAGATAATTGTTAAATTCTAGAATAGAAGATTATGAGTTTGACAACTGAGAATTAAAGATTGAATGAACAATTAAGATTGAGAAATGGAGAAATTGATGATTATAGAACTCAAATTTAAAGATATGAGAACAAGATCTAAATTAGCAATCAAGAATTAGAAAGAGTTAATTAGTAATTAAGGAAGGCTTTTTCGGAATCAGATGAATTACGAAAGGAAAAGGAGAGATTAGAATCTTAGTATAATTTACTGTAAAGATAATATGATGACTTAAAACAAAAATACAATTCCTTAGAGTTATACAAATCTAAATATATTGAATTAGAGAATAGATGTGCTATGTTATCCACTGAAATCGAAAGATTGAATTAATTATTAATGAACAGATAAGATGAAATTGATTAGTTAAAGAAGAAGTGCTATTAATTGGAATAATAAATCATTTAGTTAAAATAATATGAAGAAAATGTAAGAAAATTCTAATATATCATTAGATTAGAGTCTTGTCTAATGAAATTGATAGATTATAAGGAATCATAGATGTCAATGAAGCTGAACTCAAATAATGGAGACTATAATATGCAGACGGTGGAGCTTAAACAAGGAAAATTTAAGATCTCTTCTTTCATTTCGTGGTAATTTTATCATTCTAATTTCAGATGTAATCAGCAGAGATTGAAAGTCTAAGAGCTCGAGTTTAAGAGAAGGAAAAAGAAGTTGAAGAAGTTAGAAGAAGCAGTTTGGCTCCTTATAGAAGATGAGTAATTAAATATATTTATGTAAATTTAAAAACAAATAAAACTTCATCTAAGACATGCTATCAATACCATTAAAATGTGTGCAAATAAGTAGACGATGTCAATGTAAATAATCATTGATCCAATTATATAATCATCAATAGATAATTTATGAGTCTATAAAATGATATATATATTACGCTTCCACCTAAAATTAATTGTGTGTCATATATTAAATAGGCTCCAAAAAGGAGACTACAGATCAACGAATAGAGAAGATTAATGACGTTTTAGTAGTAGATTCCTGCCATTATCCCAAATAACAATAAAGAGGTAGTGCACATAAACAGTAAAGCTCCTTTTGTTGTGAAGTCAGATTTGGTCTTGCAAGCATAAAAAGTTAATCCTACTACTGCTGCTAAGGACAAACTGGCAGCCATCAATACAATATAACCTTAAATAAAGAATATCAGTTTACCACCATTTTAACTATATTCATCAAATACATAACTGCATAAATTAGAAATCAGATACCCTTCGCAAACTGTGAAGATTAATAAAAGAAGGTAATTATAGGGTACTCTCCAGGCAAACTTAGGTATGCAAAAGAGAATCACTTCTATGAAGATCGCAATTCCTAAAGCCAAATATGCATAACCACTATGTTGTAATTAGAACATTCTATAATCGATTGAAACATATGATATAACGCACATTATCATAGTTATAAGCAATTAAATTATCATAATTGAATAGACCTATTGATATAAATATTTTTACTTTTTTAACAAAGCCAGTTCTCTCATTTCCAATTAGTTGTTTATATTAATTATTCTTAGCATACCACCTAGATTCATTATTTGAGGTTGTATCATCATCTATAACCACAGCAACATGTTAGGGATACTATTGACTCCCTCTTGGCTCGCTGAGTTTTGTGGGCATATATTTTATCTCTCGATGATCTCTCTACGGTTCTGTATGGTATTTTCCGAAATCCAAAGGGCTAATTTGATCATCTTATTAACTTTCACTCATTTATAAATAATATAATTTTATGAAGGAAATCCTATATCATCAAATACTTAAATTATTCTTATATTTTATTTATTATTTATACTTACTAATAAACTGCTATTTTAAATAGATCAAAAAATTCTTCAATTGAAACACATCTGAATTTGAGAATTATATTTTCTATTTATAATAATCATCCTACTTATGGTAATAAGACAGAATATTATTATTGAACGCAAAGATTTGTTAGTTCTAATTTAGTAGTGGCTATATAGAAAATTACATATAACTCAATAGCAACTCTGAAATTTCTATAATTTGGTCGATCTTATTAGAATATTTGAGAATGAAGAATATTAAAACAGAATTAATAAAATTGATTATTAGATAAATTATAAGTTATTATGATTGAGTAACCTGAAGTCGATAAACCTGCTAGTAATTATAAGTAAGCTTACTATCAGACTACATAGCTATCCTCCTCCAGATGAAAATCTGTAAGCAATATAAATAGGATAACCGATACAAGCAACTCATTGGTAGAATAATCAAATGAATTTTGTTTAATAAGGGAATATTCCATAATATATACCTGCAATACCTATCACTTAATATCCAAGCGCTTTATAATATAAGAATTTTGGTAAGATTAAAAACTGAATTTTTAGGAGAATTTGATAAAGAAAATCTACCTCCTTATTCTTTAAATATTAGATGTCCTGAGTGTGCAGGTATGATTTAAACCAAGTTAACTTATGTTTCTGGATGTCTTTCTATTAGTTTATGTATATTAATGTGTGCTTCTGGATTATTTTGTGGGTATAATTTTAATGATTTGTTCTTAATTAGTTGTTGTTTAATACCCTTCTGTATGAATTGTTGTAAGCGATAAGTACATCAATGTCCTCTATGTGAATCGGTCTTGGGAGAAGTGAAATGACAACTTTTTCTAATTATTTATATGATTAAATTCCGTTTTTATTAATTATTAATAATATAATGAAAGCCATACTCATATTAGGATTGTTGGTGTTTGGAATTACTGCAGTAGAATTGGAATCAGGAGTCCCTATTTTGCTTAAGGAAATTAAAGCAATTAAAACAGAGCACACTGAATTTTACATTTTTACTCGATTTGGAACTCAGTTAAGGGGGAAAGGTTTCTGAAGTGGTTTCATTGGTTGGAGATTTATTAGAGCAAATGAAGAGAGATCAACTTAATGATGATCTTGAATATGCCCATGTAATTTTAGAGAGATTAATAATATTAGAGAACAACAACTCTAGGATTAGACATTGAATGGTTGATTATTGTATTAAGAAATCTTACAAAAGAGAGACAAGATAAAAATAATTAATTAAGTGAATTAAATCAAATCCTTGTTGGATTGCAATTATAATTAGATGCACTCACTGAATAGTTAAATATTCTTAATGGCAAAGAAGAATAACTAAGATAAACTAGAGCTTAAGAAGCAGCCTCATATTAAGCCAGACAAGAAAATAATAGTAAAGTGTTGGCTGCCTTGAATGAAATTATTCCTAAATTATAAGTTGCTGTTTTTGATTAAGAAGGAAAATCTTTATTGCAAACTGAATAATTCGAAATTGTTGAAAAGATCAAAAGAGAATTAGGACATAATCATCCAGTTGCTATTATGGTTGCATTGACAACTAAATTTGATGTATCAACTGTTAAAAGAATTATTGATAAATTGGAACACATTAGAAATGCTGTCATCTCTTTAATGAAATAAGAAGATGAATAAGAGACTCAAAGCCAAGTAATAAGTCTATTTAAATTAAGATTACTTTCTAAACTACTCTATAAGAAATTGCTGAATTGAGAGAAAGATTTTCTAAAGATTTTGAAGTCACTTCCCAATTGATCAAAAAAAGAACTAATGACAAGGTATGGTTTGAAATCAATATTTAAGGTTCTTTTGGAAAAAAGATTAACCATTATCAATAGAGATCTTAGTCTCACTGAATAATTACTCATTCAAACCAGAGAATACAAAGAATAATATGATGCTGCTTATGCTGTCAGAAAAGGAAAAAGGTAATAATTATAAAATATCATCATTTAGAATTTCTGAAATTAAAACTGTCTAATAAGCTTATGATCTAGTTGACAATCATGCCAAGAAACACAAATAATGATTTACAATAAATATATTTACAATTATATCAATTATGGATATATTAATTCAATTAAACTATTTTATATCAGAAACTATGTTTAAGTAAACATAATTTATTTTATATAGATAAACCAAAGCAGGTGTAAAAAAATGAAGTTTTTTTTAATTCTTAACAATGATTTCCTTATTAATCAAATATTAAAAAAAAATAAGACGAAGAGTCAGCATTCATATTTTTATTTTATAAAAGTTAACTAATATGAACTTATGATTGTTATATTTTTAATTTTAATTCAAATGAATAGTGACTTGATCTTTTTAACTTTTGTTGCCTCATCATCTTCTGCATTATTGATAATTTCAGTAATAGAATTAAGTTCTGGTGTTTTAGTGAATGTTGGTTTTGTGGTTTTCCAAGTGGAGGTTTTTGAAAGTGGTCTTTTAACTAACAAAGAATGAGTAGATGTAGTTGTGTTTTCATTATTTGTTTTATCTTTAAGAGTTGATACAGTTTTTCTATTGGTTGGAGTAAAGACTTTTCTTTCCTCTACTTTTCTAAATTCAATTGGATCATAATTTTCTCTTTTTTCTGTTTACTTATCAAATTTTGATTTCAAAAATTATGCCAAATCTAAGATGTCTTAATACTTAGCTTTTGAGAGTTATTAGATCTAAAATAATATAAAGAGTATACATCTAATTATTTTTAAATGTTGTTTTTTGTAAAGGCATCTGCTAAGGTCTTGAAATTCTTTATATAATCATTCTCTTTGTTGGCTTTCCAAATAATTTTATTTCCTTGAATTGAATTGGGATATAAATATTCAAATATCTAACAAAATGTGCTACCAGTACCAAGGGTTTCCAGTTGAGTGATGGTTAACTAATTTGATAGAAATTTGAATGTTTACTTTAAATGTTTCATTTATCCACTTAACTAATTCATTTTTTGAAGTCGTTTGAGTAATTGTTGTTGACATTTGATTTCAAATATTATAATTATAAATATCGTTAATTAGCATTTGAGTGGAATTTAAATTACTTCATAATTATAATTAACACTATTGATTGGTCAAATAAGATTTTAATAATATATATTTAGTTATTTCAAATAGATTATACTTCAAAATTTGATTGTATTAATGAAGTAGATCATCTAGTGTTGAATCACTTTAATTATATAATTCAAAAATAAATTGATAAAATACAATTTAAGGTTTGGCATCGATTGCAACTTATGAGTAACTTAATTTAACTAAAAATATTAGTTTTACTAGAGAGTGAAGGTGAATATTGTTAAACTAACTATAAATTATAATGTATTTCATTTCATCAGTGGACCTTCTAAGTTTTATAATTCCATCTGAGTTCCTGCTCTGGAATCATTGTCATGTTTAGGAGGAGGTATTTTAAAAAATGTCAAAGCATAATATGGAACTAGTTCACCCATAAATACTTCCTAAATTGGTAATGAAATAGATAAAATACTATAAGAATTAAATCTATGTTCAATTAAACATAATTGGCAAAGATTAGTAAAAATATAAGCAATCTGAGTGCCAAACTTATTGATATTGTTTAGATCAATTTGTTGACTTAAGAAAGGAAAGGGATTATCCAATCATCATCTTCTAGCTGCAATAGTTAGGTTTTAGTACATCAGAAAATAACTTATTGCTAAAGTATAAACATCCAAAAATAAGTGCGGCATAGAGTAAAAATTAAAGAATTAATACTCTTTCCAAGAATCCATCCTTGATTAAGAAGTAAACATAAGATAAGACTAAGTGTCTATAAACAACTTACCTAAACACACAGGGCTATAGTATATGGAGTACTGGATGATATTAGTATCCTTGTTAGCAAGAACACTCATGCAAATGGCTAGATGTCCTATGAATATGATGTAAGATTGGATCCAAAATAGGATTGGTGCTGTGTATAGAAAGTCTAACCATATGCCTTATGGCTATTCCATTATTAGAAGGAGACTCATACCCCTGAAGGCACTTGATGCACTCACACTCACCAGAAACCAAAACTTCAGATTTTTATTTTTCATACTATGTAATTTGACCATGTTACTAGCAAGGCAAACTAACACAGCTATCATTTCAATAAATGTTAGCCTATATAAATAGAGAAAGTAGACTACCAAATTTAGAAATGACTTGGAGGTGTTAGTTCTTGGTTATTTTCCATATAATTTATAATATACATAATTATATAATCAGTTTTAGTGTGGTTTCTGATAAAAATGAGTCTGGCATTAATGGGCTAGATCTTATTCATCCATCAAATGCTACTTGAATTATTTTAACTTCTTGCGTAATCTAAGAAATAATAAAATAATGGATCTACCTCATAATCTTTTCGATTTTCAACATTAAAACATGATCAAGACCATCAACATATTCTTCAATATCGGAATTTGGTTGATCAACAGCTTATAAGATTTTCATTTCATCATTAACCAACTCAATCAAATCATCAATATGATCTTTATGGGCCTTTTTAAGTGCTCTTTCTTCATCTAAAATTTGTTAAATGAGTTCATCATATTTATCCTTAAGATTACTATTTCGATTAGGATTCATTTAAACTTCATCTTCGTATTAATCTCCATTATCATGATCAAATAATTTAGGAGGAGAATTAGATTTAACAGCCTAAGGACTTTCAAACAAGTAATTATTGGTGATATATTATCTTGGTAACATTAATTCTCTAGTTAATTAGTCAACACCATTTGAACCTTAGGGAGCTTTTAATTCCTTTACCTAAATAATAGTTAGATATCAAAATACTCTATCTGCATATCTTAGAGTGTTAAGACTATGTTCTGCATCTTTATGGCAAGCTGAGATAGTACCAATCATGAGAGTTCTACAATTTCCAGTGAATGAATCTTTAAGGACTTAAGTCAATTTGGATCCTCTAAAGGGTGTGTGATTTTTATTAAGATCTAATGCTCTTATACATTCTTTCAAAGCCAATAATGACTTATTAATTTCAGCTCCATCTATTCTAGTTTGTTTATGATATTCGACTACATCAGCACCTCTTTCACTACCTGCTAAATCAATAAATGACAATTTTCCAATGATTTTATTTTGTTATCTCAAGTTTATCTGTAGAATTGCATGAGATCTGGATGAATCTTAATTGACACTATTCTATCCTGTAACTCTGCTCTTGATTCCCATTTCTACAGTTTTTTAAAACTCCTAAACACTATGTACTTTTGTCTCTGATAAACCTGCTATGTTGACTTAGCCTTTTGCATCCTCTCGAGCTACTAGTTGAACACGATCATTCAATAAATCGAATAATTTAGAACAATAAATTTCATAGAATGAGACACTCAGCACAATCGAATTTGTTATCAATTAAAATAAATCATATGCCGCTAATGTATAGATTCCTACCACATTTTAATCCCCCAACATTGTATATGTTTTACCAGAGCCGGTTTAGCCATAAGCAAAACAAGTAATTTTAGTTCCGGTTATGGCTGCTTGCACCATAGGTTTTACAAGTTACTAATATAAATCTTCATTTGTATATTATTGGTCAAAGGCAGCATCAAAGGTGAAATTGAACTCTTCGATGAATTTAGTCAAATCCACTTTCACTCTAATAGGATTATACTAATCATACCTTGGTTCTCTAACAATTACAGTATTGCCCTAAACCTCAACAATATCTTTCTAACCTTCTTTAGTTTCTTTCTTTGATAATGGACGCTTTCTGACAGCGACTATAATTTTTGGTTGATCCATTTAACTTTTATTTATATTTTATTAATATTTCACAATTTGGCATCTTAGTACATTTTCTCAATTTCTCCAAGCCATTTCTATTCAACTACTCTTCTTTTCAATTTCAAAGTTGGTGTCAGTTCTCCCCCATCAACACTAAAGTCTCCAGGAATCAGAGTCCATTTTCTAATGTACTGAGCCTTAGAGATGACTCTTAAATTATTGTTTAATTCATTACTTTGTATTGGTTTCATCAATCAATTACTGAAGATAGTTAGTAATAGCTTTATCATTATTGGCTTATTCAATTGTAGTGGCTGAAGAACCAAGACTCTTGAATACAGCAATGACATCCTCATTCAATTTCTCAGTTGGCCTAGATAAAATTAATATGTTATAGTTACTATCCATCAGGTGCTAATTAATGCTTTAATGTTAATAAAATGGATAAATATTTTCTCTTATCTCCAATAACCATACAATTTGAAACTATCTTAATGTTCTTCTTGACTTCATCCTCAATTAAAACTGGAGCTACATTTTCACCTCCTGCTGTAATGATCAACTCCTTAATTCTTCCTGTTATCATCAAGTTACCATTCTTATCAATTTTGCCAACATCTCCTGAATGTAACCATCTATTACTATCAATTGTATTCCTAGTTGAATCTTCATCCTTAAAGTAACCCATAAAGATATGTCTACCTCTATAACAGATTTCTCCATTTCCGTCTTTATCTGGGTTATCTATTCTTAATTCAGTTCCTTCCATTGGCTTACCAGTACTATTAATGAATAAATCATCAAATTTATCAAAGTGAAAAGGATCTGCCATATTTTACACTCCTCCACATTCACTCATACCGTAACCATTGATCAAGTACATATTCAAGGTTAAGAAATACTCTCTAATAATAGGGGATAATGGAGCTGCACCGAATATCATATATTGAGCTTGATCTAATCCCAAGGCCTTTTTAACATTTGCGTACACCAATTTATCTGCCAATCCAAAACAAAGAGGAGGTTTCAGACCATGAGTTTATGCAAAGGTTCCTTCTTTACCAATTGACTTGGCCCAATTAGCTATTTTAGTTTTAATAGCCCCATTTGATTTTGCTATTTATTACATTTGATCATAAATCTTTTCCCATACTCTTGGTACACTAAAGAATAGAGTAGGTCTAACCTCCTTAAGAGTATTAATTAGGGAACCTTATAGAGCATCTGGATTTGCAAAGTATAAATGTGCTCCCCATCTAGCAAAACCAATAATATCTATCAATTATGCAACGACATGACTTAAAGGCAAATAACTTACCAATCTCATTTCTCCAGTACCTTACATTACATACTTTCTCTTCTATTAAGTAATTGTAAACACATAATTGTCATGTGATAACATAACTCCCTTTGGATTTCCTGTTGTTCCTGAAGTATAAATTAATGTCACACAATTTCCAGGTCCGCAATTTTTTGATACTCTTTCTAATACTGAACCCATTAAATCTGCTTTTTTGCCCATTTCAATAAAATCTTTCCATTTGAATACTTATGATCTTCTTTATTCAGGGATCTCAGAAGTTGGAATATCATCATTATATAATACAACTCCTTTTAGACGAGGCAATTTATCCCAAATTTTCAAATACTTACGTAATTATTCTTTAGTATCTGCTACTACTAATTCACATTCAGAATGATCTGAGACATAGAAACATGCATCTGGATTATTTCTAAAATACGTATTAATTTTATATCTTACGTAGTATAAATTCCAACAGGTAAATTGTGAGCATGAATGCTTCCCATAAAAGATATGTGCCATTCAGGAGCATTAAAACCTATTATGTTTACTGCACTCATTTCTGTTACTCCATATGCAATCAAAGCCTTTGCAAATTACATTGATTCATTATAATATTCTTCATATGTTCTTGTAATCCTATTTATTCAATATTTTATTATTACCATTTATTATTCCTCTTAACACTTAAGGCAGGCTTTTAGGCAAATTGAGTGCAATCATTTTTAAATTGTTCTGGAAGAGTAATTGGTAATTCACTTCCTGGACCCTATTTTCTTACTCTAATTGGCAATTCCATTCTATAATTAGTAGTCCATAAGACATTTTTAAGTGGGTCTTTAGCATCAAATTCCTTTAATAATTGTCTCATTCCTTCTTCTGATATGTACACTTTCTCTTCCATTTAAGATTTCTTTAATTAATGATATTAAATCCAATAATTCTAATAGGATCATTTATTAAGCAAAATTCCTTGATTCTAAAGTGGATTAGAGTAAAGATGTAAAGAATTTTGAGTATGAAGAATGTCTAAAATAGGAAAAATTAATGAAGGAGATTTTCATACATTTTCAAAGAGAACTAAAATTTGATCGCTCACTATTTCAATAAAATGATTAAATTGATTGAATAGATAATTTAAGATCTAAATAATTTTTTCTTTAATTTTATTGACTCAAACCTTTTTATTTTATATATTGATTTCATTAATTTTTGATATTTCTAATGACAACTTTTTATTTTATGAACTGATATGAACTTTTTTTTCATATTGCTTTTCATTTTATTTCTTAATTAACAATTGTCTATTTCGAGAATCTATTTGTATATCAATATGATTTTGATATTTTTATCTCAGTCGAGCAAAATGATCAAATACCAAAAATTATATAACTGTTAATGATATTTTACTTTTTGATACCTAAAGTTTAACAAAAATTATTATTATTTTTTATTCACATTGAAAAAAGATTAGGAAGATTCCTATGTATTAAGTAAAAAGGATTCAATTCATTTCTATTAATACTAAATAATTTTGACCAATTTACAATTTAAAAAAGTTGGGAAATCTTTAAATATTATTAGTTTTAATTTCTAAGCCTTTCTTTTTTTATGTGTTAAGAATAGATTTTAAAAAGAATAAGTTGATACAAGTTCTATACATCTATATTGACTAATCTATGATATAGTTATTAAAGTCTTTAATTTAATTAAAGATCTATTAATATTATATTTTCACTCATCATTAATCTATATTATCATAATGCTTATTAATAAATACAAAAATATAATTTATTAAATTATATTACGTATTTTATGCTATAAGAACTTTTCAGTTTTCTGGAATTTATTTATTATTATTTTTGAAATGAACGACGATTTATGCGAATTAATTGTTAATCATGCAAATCAAATATTCATATCTCTAGTGAATTTGAATGGATAATTAAATGAAAATGGCAGCTTGAGTAATTATTTTTTGATTATTCCAATAGCAAATCCCAATCCAACAACATCCAACACTTCAACAACATAAGGACTAGCATTCATGATGCTCCTACTTTTTGGTGCTTATGCATTGCTATCAATTTTTTCTCCACAGCGATAACAAGTTATGTAAAAGGGCAATATATAAAATTAACAGAATCACAATGATTGATTTGACAATTGAACTCTTTATTTATATGATTAGTTAGTTATTGTTTTTAATTAATTCTATTTATTTCTAAAGCGGAATCAAAACAAATCTGAATTCATTCGTTTATTAATGTATTTATTTTTATAATCCATTTTATAATTGTGGAATTTTAAACATAATATTTTATATTATAAAATGGAAAATTTTGTCTTGGATGTGAGCCTTATAAATATAATCTTATAAATCTTTTATTTGATTGTTAAACAATTTTTGGATAAATTTATCAATCATTAATGTTATTGAAATACAGAGAAAATTTTATATTATTCCTGAAATTATATAAGTTTCATAATAATATTTGAAATTTTATAATAATTATAGAATTCTATATAAATTTCATGACTGTTGATTTAGGTTGGTAGTTGTATCATATTCAGTTATTTCCTTAATCTCAGACATATTCAACCAAGGGTTATATTGTTTGCTACTTTCTTTAAGTTAGTCTTTGTAAAGTTTTAATAGTTCCTGTAGTTCCTCCTTTCCTTTGGTCATTAGTAAATCTTGATTTAGAACAGATTCATTAGTGACAGTATCTTAAGAGTTATTCCTTTATTTTGTAGGTTTTGGAGGTATTTAATTTCTAATTGGTTATTATTTAATCTATTATTGTTCAGGTTTCTTTTTTTATTATTAATGGGTTTAAGGTCTATCCTTTGAATTCTTCCTTAGATTAGGGGATTATTAGGTTATTTTTTATCGATTTTAATTAGCAGAAGTGGATGCTCTCCCCACTCTTTTATTATTGGTTTGTTCTTTAATTAATTTTTCTTAATTCAATTAAGCTAAGGCTTCTAGATCTTATTATTTGCAAAAATCAAACATGGCTTTTAGTAAATAAGGATGATTAATCATTTACTAAACACTCGGTGGATTCGGCTGCATAAGTGATTTAAGGATTTAGGTCAGTTCATGTGATTTTTGGGATTCCCAGTCCAAATTAGTTTTCTTTAGAACTTACTGTAGATACTTGACTTCTTCTCTCCAATTTTTGTTGGAAAGCAAATCAAATTATATCCTTAGTGATCCAAAGGAATTTAAAAAGATTGTGTCTAAATCTATTGAGACATTAATCTGTTGCATTTCTAAGTAATTTAATGCGAATAACAATTAAAGCAAATATTGACATACTAAATTAACCGAGACTTACTTGTTTAATCTTTCATTTAAGATTTATTCTAAATTATTAAGATTCACTACCTCCACAATATTCTAAGACTTAAACAAGATATTAAGATTCAATGAAGTATTCCTTAATTTTGGTTAAACTTGGATGTTTGACATTAATCAATTTTTTGAGATGATTTTCGATTTCATTCAATCTTTCGATATTAATTTTGCTAATGTCTGTTCTTTTTAAGACGTAACATTGTTTATCTATCAACGATCTAACGAGGAGATGTTCTTCAACTATTACACCTTTATTGACCTTTTTGAATAAGACTTTTTATAATTTATAATTATTCATATAAATGTATTATCATAATCCTGACCCCTATTAACAGCCATATACCCATGGGTAGTATAACGAAAAGACATACAGACACAGTGGATTTTTGACAGAAACTCAAGATGATTATGCAGATTACTAATATTATGATCCTTACTAAAGTCAATTGCAGAATCGAACATATTTGAATGATTTGCGACCTTTAAATTATAGTATTATTATTAATTAAATAATAGCATATTACGAGTAACCTCCTTATCCAGTCAAAATGGGATAACCATAATAATATTTTGATCCTAACGATCCCAGCAATATTCCATTCCTGCCTCATGAAAGTAAGTATTGACTCAAATATTCAAGGGTATGATGATGGATATGAGGAATATGTACTATAGTTCATAAGAAATTTGCCAAGATCAACTTAAAATTTTGAGGAAGTGGCCTTTGCAAAATATTTAGCTGAATGCTCTATTATTGATAAGAAAGTGTGGAAATTGCAAAGGATGTTGAAATAAGATTAGAGATTCAATGTCAAATTGCTTTTTGATTTCTTTGATTCTAAGAAGAATGGAACAATCGATTATAATGAGTTTCAGTTAGGATTGTAAAAATTGGACGTCATTCTCAATACTATTGAGTTGGGTTAAATGTTCCTGCGATATGGAGGTAATGATGACAATCAAATCTCCTCTGTTGAATTCAAGTATATGCTCCTAGGCCCAGATGATTCATAACAATTTATGCAATTTGGAGCCATGCATTATATGCATCATCCATTAAAATAGAATATTCCTTAGTTTCTTTCGGTGGCTCAAAGGGAATACATTTGTGAAATCATGCATCTACAATTGCAATTAGAGAGAAACCTCAATTTCATAAAAGAAGTTATTGGAACTAAAGATATCCTACTGGCCTTATTCAAATAATTAGATATTGGAATGAAGGGATATATTACTATCCAAGATTTAGTAATTTACATGAATGAATTAGGAGGTCAATTTGAATCGTATGATTTAAAAGGATGTTTAGGCAGAATGTCAAAGTAATAATTGAAATATTCTTAGAGTTCATTGTAGTCGTATAAATTTCAACGAATTTAAAACAGAATTCTTTTTAGATGAAAAGAAGAAATCTGACTAAGATTAAAATATTGATATTATGAGTGACAGGAAGAAAACAAGACAGAAAGATTACATTCAAGAATTGCACCAAAGAACAAAAGATTTGCAAAATTAATAATAATAAGCTCAAAAACTCTCTACTGATCGCAAATCTTAACCATTATTGGCTACCACTCAAAATAAATAATAACCTTAACCATATGTTATATAACCCCCAGTTGCATAAAAGAGGAAATAGGAACAACCATCTTAATTAGATGATGATTTAGATGATTTGTTATTCCCTGGTTTCTAAAAATACGAACTGTAACCACCAGATTAAGAATATTGATATTATGTTTACACTACCAATAATATAATTATTATCATGCTAAGCCTTCTTACTCAAGTTTCAAAGGAATGATTTAGCTATTAACATATTTTGTTATTTCTCGATAATGATAATATTTCATTAAGTTTTTAAGTTCCTATTTAATAATAATAAAGTTTACTTCAGAACTCTTATCTATCACTTAGAGCATTAAATCACAAATATCGATGTTTTTTTTAATAATCTGTTTTTCTCTCAGTGTCAACATTATAATATGTTTTCTAAATTCAGGAGTTTATGGATCATTTAACCTCCTTTCATCATCCTCTATTGTACTAGCAAAATTCCCTAATTCTGTTACTAATATTCCTTTTAATGCTTTGAAAGTGGCCTTCTCCAATTCAATTGTCTTGATTGTAGTGTGCCATCCTGGCCAAAACTGTTTAAAATTTTATACATCTTCTTCCAATTATAAAAAGTCATCTAATTTAGATATTTAAGTAAATCTAACAGTAGCCAATGACTACCTAAATGTATCATGATCGGTTTCATTCACTAATCTATTGCCCCAACACATGTTTCCCTTAGTCAATGAAATCTTAAGGTTGAATAATCTATCATTTTTATTCAAACAAATATCTAAATCAAATTAATTCATAGGATTAGTCAAACTTGCAAATCCATAATTCATAAAAAAATATTTATTGGACCATTAACCATAATTATAAAACAATTCTTCTCCTTTCTAAATATTTCTAACAGCCTACATAAAGAATCCATCTGCGTCTTTAGAATATCCATATTTCAAGAATCCATTATTATCATGATTTATGAAATCTTAATACTTTCAAAATTCTATACCTGCCAATGGAACTAGCAATTATTATTATTCTTTTTCTCCAATCTGTACTGTAAAACTTCTCGATATTGTTAGAATTCTGAATTTTATGAAATCATCATATGTATAGCCATATTTCTAGAATTCCTTTACTGCTTCCTTCAAATTCTCGTATTCCTCTTTGAATACTTTCCTTTGATTTATCACTGTAAACAAAGTTGGAGAACCTTTCAATAATGCATCCTATTCAGCATCAAAATAAGTAGGAAATCCACTCACATCTTTTGGTAATACATCAATATATGGTTTCCAAAATGAATATTTTCTAATACATATTTTTATGATAAAAACCTCCTATTTTCTTGTAATAAATGATTAACAAAATAAGTTTGAATGTTGTTTGGTTTATAATTGATTTAAATCATCTTTCTATTAATCAAACAACTCTTTTTCACTTCCTCCAATGATAAATATTGCGTGCGTGGAATGAACAACACCCATTCACCTTATCTGATGAATTGAGTTGCTCTTAACGTTCTATGACCTTCACTCTACACTTCAATTTGCACCTTTGAAATCTCAGCTTTCCCATCTTTCAACCATTCGATAAGATTTTTATATGGATCCTTTCAATAGATAACTGCAGATACTGGGTCATCATAAGTTTGTCTTTTAGGTTTGCTATTCCCTTCATATTCTGAATCATCCTAGCATAAGGTCAAGAATAACGTAATTGCCACCATACACGCTTTTAGTAACATCATTTAATATTCTAGAAAATGTATTTTAATTTAACTCAACCAAATAATTTCTATTAAAAATATAATATTATTCATTCCTCACATCTTGCCTCTGACACTTCCTCTTTATCCATATATTTTATAATCTACACTATAATATCTCTAAAAATATTAATAATATATTACTTTCCCTCTTCAAACCACATCCTTAATTTGTTTGCTAACTCCTTAAATTAGGGCATCTTTATATCTTCTCGAATTGTACCCTTGGAATTTAATAATGTTAAAAAATCATCATTTTATATTCCAATCAAACTATATTCCTCAAATTAAATTAAAGGTATTTCCAATTTTCCGTGAATCGAACGTTATATTTTAACAATTTATTTTGAAAATGCATTTTCAACTTCAATGTATGCACAATGACCATGACGACTAAAGAAGAGTTGAAGTCTGAGGATTTTACAAGGGCATTCATCTAATAATAAATAAGTTCCTTGTTGCAAATTCTCTACTGATTCTAAGTAAGCCTATTTACCTGGTATTAAATCATAAAACATTAGTTTAAATTCATTTGAACTAAATCTCCGACATTATAATTATTATAGTATCAGAAAATAATTCTTTACTTATTTAATAAAAGTTACTATAAATATTTTATAGAAATATTATCAGAAATTGATTAAAGTTCTAAGAGTTCTTTCAAATGTATCATCAGTGAATATTGTTTGGGAAGGAATCACATAAACAAAATGAATTATGATCCTACTGTTTTCATATATTTTGTTCTTGACTTCAGTTATAATTATCAGGAAAACAACGAAAAGTATAAATAAGTAGCAGATATTGAAAACCTAATTTAATAAAATCAATTACTTCTTATTGATCCACTAGTTCGGTTGTAACTTGAATTAAATCATTATAAAAATTAGAATTCATGACATTTATCACTTCCGATATCATAAATGCTCCTTCTAATTCATTTTAAGTAGGCACTGCTCTGTAAGTAAAGTTATTAATTGCAACATCAGTCTCAATTAGGTTTTGAATATATATCAACATCGCTTTGAGGCCATGTCTCATATTTTGGTTCATTATAGTAGGACATAACGTTGCTGCTCTAATCTTTATGTCTCCTGGTAGATATTCACATAAATCACTAAGTTAAATCTGAGCATAGAAGTCATTAAAGCTATTAGTCACAAGCATTCTAAAATATAGTTCTTTTAAATTACTATTCGAAATCTGGATCTTATGAGGTAAATAATTTTGTATTATTAAGGGACTCCATAATGTAATACCACATCCTGTCGAAATAAGCAGCATCCAAGTACATATAGTTTTTTCTACCATAGAGAACTTCCCTTTAAGCGAACATCAATGGTATATCTCCTCCTAGATCAGCCAATTATTTTTTATAATAAGCAGTTTCAGGGTATTTTATCAGATATTTTGAAAACTCATAAAAATTTATTATGCTATTTAGAGTAAGTATTGAATAAAGCACAATTAGAAGGAGAATAAATCTATAAGGAGATATTCTTTTTTTCCTTAAATTTTTGGAATTTTTACTCACTTTCTCCACTTTTTAACCCAAGAACTAAAATTCCTTCTCTGTTATTTGAAGGGAATAGTTAAACTTATAAGAATTATCTGATTACAATTTATCAAGTAGTTCCTTAAATTTATAAATCTCCTGTTAGATTGCATCATTATCTGAATATTAGCTCAAATGTAAAAATACCATAAGTTTTTTATTGATATAGATTTTAGCATAAATAATAGAAAGTACCATTAATATTAAAAATATCTACTAAAATAAAAATAGAGTTTTCATTTCATCCTAAAAATCCTATCCTCGTGCAATTGTTTGTACCATAATATCAGAATTCAATTAAGTCATAATATCTCGCATTATAGGATAGTTTTTAAAACTATAAAAGATTTAAGGACTGTCAGCTTTAACTGTTTTTTCATAAATGTAATTCATCTTCAAAATGTATTAAAAATTCAACAAAACAGATATTGCTGTTCTGAGTGTCATATTATATTATTCAGATTTAAAGGTATCAAGATAAGAAAAAGCATCTATATATTTTGTTTGTAGTAAACCTTGAAGCTCTTAGCGATTTAATACTAATTTTAAGTTTGAGTTTAGAGAATCGAATCCAAGTCCCAAATTGGAGGTTGCAAATTATGAAACTGAATTGTACTCTTCTGGTGTTATAATTCCATTAGATTTTTGAAAATTGTAAGTCCACAAATTCCATCTTGTAACAAGAAACATATCCAATGGTTAAAAGAAAAGGTTCTTAATTTCTAATAAATTGATATCTATAGCAAATGACACTAAGTTTAAACTTGTTAATTGCTAAAATAGTATTAAATTATTACAATAATGATGAATACTCCTTAAATAATTATGCATAATGCAAATAACATAACTAAGAATTAATGTTACCTTTTTAAAGGCATATGCTTATTAAATTTATTATAAAGGTCATATTTTCGATAAAATTTTGAATTTCTTAGCATTCTTATAGATGAAACTTAAGATTAGTCTTCCCTATCAAAAAGTTCTTCTTTTTTAGCCTCCTATTATTTCTGTTGTTATTCCTTACCTTCTCCGCCTTATGTTAGAGATTTAACTGAATATTTTTTGCTATCAGTTTTAATCTTATCAACCAATAGATGTTATTCTGGTTCTCCTCTAGATGTAATTACTTATGGTTATATTGTATCAATATTGAAGACCTTTTTAATCGCTTCGTCATTTAGGCTTTGCTTTTCAATAAGGCTCTTAACCTATTTGAAGCTTTTAATTTCATTATTCTATTCAAGTAAGGGAATATCTTATCTAGAAATCTAATTAAGTAGCAGATGTCTTTCTTCAGCAATACTTAATTCGTTTGCAGAGGAAGATTGATTTGATATAGTATCTTTTTTACTAGAGTTGCCTGTGTTCTAATAGATTATTTAAATGTTTTCCAATTTTACAATCATATAAATCATTGTATCTTAATAATGTTTGAGAATTATTTCTAAATTGCAATAGTATCGAATATCCTCTTATTCATCACTCTGATGTAATAATTTTTTGGTATTAAGAAGAACATTTTCTAAGAAACAGGATTACTTAATTTCTTGAATTTATGGGAATATATTAATGATGGATGATCCTCTGGAAAATAGAACTTTGTATTGTTTAATCTCTTTAAATTGATTGGTGTAACTGGTAATATTATATTTTTCATCAACAATCAAAGTAGCATTCTTTACTAAAGTTGGAGATATTAGACAAATAAAATTAACTTAATCTGAGTACGTTAAATCAATTGCAAAATCTACAGTGTCAATTGATGATCCATGGTTTACATAATTATGATTCAATTATCTCACAAATTTTGATTTCCCAGTTATTATAAATTCATCTACTAATTTATTATGCCATTCACGAACTCCTAATGGAATTAAATCCTGTAATTTCTTATTACATATAAAAGATGGAGCATTACTTGATATTTTATTCATCTGCAATTATCCATTTTCATATTTAGTAGTAAGATAAAACATATTTTTGTTAGTCGTATAATCTACAAAGAATAAATCTGCTGATTTTTTGGAATGAATTATCATTTCATTTGCTTCTAACAAATCATTTAAGATTTCCGCATAAAAAAAACAAATTAAAGATTATACCATACCATTAGGTTCTGCTAAATAATAATCATCTAATTCTTGCTTTAGCTTTAACATTCGGTTGACAAATTTATAAATCTCATCAAATTCATTAGTCTTCCAATTTTATAATAATTTTATTTTCCATTAAATTATATTTAATAACATATTTTAAATTTTTATATTCTTAATATCATTTTAGATTAATTTTGAAGCAACTCCTAATAGTTCTTGACTTCTAACTTTTTATTATAATTCTTAATTTATTTAATAAATGCACTTCTTCAATAGTTGATTTCTTTTGATTTATCTAATAAAATTTTGATCCTTTAATTTATTTAGAATAATAAAACTTTCATAAAGTTTCCTTTCTTGCATTAAAAAAGATGCATTGATTATCGGATCATTTGTGTAGATTAAATCCGATAATCTTAATAGTGATATAATTTTAAAAAAGAAAGGTACTAAAACGAGGGTATAGGAATTTTCAAAATGAATAAATTACATTACCCCAACATAAATGGTTACTAATTAAATTGATATCATCATTAATCTTATTATTGGGCTTCTTTAATTTTTTATTAATAAAAGGTCCAAAGCTTATGTGGTTGAATTTAATATAGCTATAATTTATAGGTGTCTAAGCTGGAAATTTAATTTATAAAATGTCATCAGCAATATATTCATCATCAAAGTTATTACGCTGAAAAATGTAATCTAGGTAAGCTAGAAATTCTTTGTTTTTATATCTAATGTTCCTTGTATAAATAATATCTCAAACATTTGAACAACTAATATAATTCCGGCTATTACAAACCCAAATATGCCTTCAAACTATTCAATTACGAAATTCAGAAGGCCGACCTTCATTAAACAATTAATAAGACTAACTATACTCTTACCCAGTAATTTAGTTTTTATTATACATAAAATATGTAGCAGCAAATAACTAATCCCAAAAATATAAAAATAGGAAATCTATATTGTAACTGATGGCCTCGCTAATATTACTAAAGTATAAAGCCAAGAAGATGAATTCTGATAATATATGTATGAAATATTCAATAGAGAAGCATGAATAAGTAGTATGTTAACTAAGCTTTCAGGTAATGCAAGGGCAGAATCATCATACTCCATGTATTTTGTCAATATTTTAGACATTAATTGACTTATATTAGGCATTGAGATCTAAATTAATGAAAAGAAAATTATGGAAATTATTTTAAAATTATTTTGTACATAAATCTCATTTAATTCAAGGTTTCATCATTATTTACTTAATTATTATAAAATAACTGCATACTCTTTTCAGTTGTTGAGAGAAAATATAATAACGATTGCCAATTTATAACTTCTTTTTCCCCTCCTTATATTAATTATATAATTATGCTCTATTGAAAAATATGTATTTTTTCAATCAAACATTGAAGATAAATTTTTTCAAATTTTAATTGTAATTAAATTGTAATTTTAATTTTTTGTCAAAGATGTTTTTGTTGGAATCCTTAAGAAAAGTAGTCTAATAAAAAATACAATTTATTTGTTCTGATCTTTTATGAAAGCATATTCAAAATTGTGTTGATATCATGATATAAATTTACAAAAGGACATAGATTTTAATTTTTAAATTAAGAATATGCTGTCTAAATATCTTAAATTTTTACACTTGGTTTACTTAAAGTATAATGATATTGATATTTTATCTTAAAATTTAAGAATTATATAATTTGTAATTCACTCTGTGGTATTCATAAATTTTACGGAAACCAAAAATTAATCTGATTAGAAATATCTTAAAAAATATTATACGTAATTCTGTTGAATAGTGAATTTTAATTGAAATATCATTATTATAAATATCTATATATTTATACTATTAAAATATATCCATAATTTTATCAGAAGAATAATTAACATATTTTTAATGGTAATTACACTATCAATTATCTACTTGTCGTTATACCTCATTTTCACAATTTCCTTATATAATTGAATGTCTTTATGATGGTTTTCGAATTTTTGCACTTATTTTTGATTGAATTACATATAAATTATCTACTTTTATTATTTTAAAAATAGCCTACTACTACAATTACTTAGTATTTCTATTGCAGCATATTGAAATAAAAATAGAATGCAAAAATGGGTACTACTAAAGTATGATAGTTTTAATTACAATTTAATAATTAATTATCAATAAAATTCTTAACATCCCATAAATTATAACATAAAAAAGAAAACCATAATTTGATGTGTTGCTCTTTTTTTAAACAAACTCATAAATTATAAGAATTAGAATGATTCTCTGTTTAGAAAATGACTAGAATTGATTGTTTATTGATTAAAATTTGATAAAATAAAATAAAATGATTTTGGTAATTATGATCTCAGATCTAAAATAATTAAACCTAATACTTGATTTGTTTTTATAAATTCTGCAAATGATGTAAATAAGAGTAAATTAAAATAACTGAGTTTTAATTATAATACAAGGAGATAAGTTGTATTATTAGTAATAATATATATGAATCATTATATTAGTTAATTATTAAAACATTTAAATATTTTGTCATCTAGATAATCTTATTAATTTAAATATATTATTTAATTAATTATGCATAAATTTCTGTTTGGAAATAGAAGAACGAGCATTTCAAGTTATAACCCTTTTGGTTCCTCGAAAAACATGAAACCGGGCATCATAACTAAATTAAAAAACAAGATTTAAGGTTTATTTAAGCCAACAATCAACTCATAAAGTTTAATCTAACGGATACAATCATTTGACGATTAAAAATTAGAATAAGAACTATCTAATTAATTTAAAAATAATCTTGTCCTTATAGATCGAATTATACCAAATAAGGAAGATGGTACAGTACTAAAACGCAAGTCCATATTTGCCTTTGAATAATAAGTAAAAGAAGAGATAGATTCTGCTAAAAAATAATCTTAAGAAACATAAACTGATCTAGGTAGGGAACCAAGCAATTTCTAACCAAATGCTAAAAAACAAAAGAAGTTTAAAAAAGTATACTCAAAAAATTAAAAAAGTCGAAAAATGGAAGGTAATATTTGTTAATAATAACAATAGAAAATCCAAAATAGTTAGAGTTTAATCTAAATAAACAAAATTTAAAGTAAAATAAACACCAAAAATTTGAAAATTCATCTGAATATTATTCAAATTACTCCAATAAGAGATTGAAATAGTTTGATAGTTTTACAGAAAGTAGTATACCACTCAAATAATAAAAAGCTGAAACTAGTGATTATTTATCTCCAGTGAAAATAATTGAGAATTAATCAATAATCCAAAATGATGAGAATAAGAACTTGAAATGTGATTCATTTCTTAAAGCATTAAAAGCTTCTTCATCTGCTGCCCAGAGCCCATCAAATAATGATCGCCTTAAGGATGATCAAAATAACAATAATAAATCTTCAAGTTCAACTGGAACAAATTCAAAAGGAGAAGGAAATGAAACAATCTTAAGTTTTAAGAACGGTTATTTTTTATAAGAAGTGTAAGAGAACTTAGAATGCTAGGATAAAAATAAAAAAGCTTCTAATGCATAATAAAATTAAGAGTTAGAGTCGAAACCTAATTAAAAATGTAAAGAATAGTGTTTGGAAAATATCAATCAAGTAAATTTCATAGTATAATATTAGAAATAATTAAATTAAAACTAGATGAAAGTGAATAAAAAATCTGAATTATTAAATATAGAATAGAACAATATATAGAATTCTTCTTTAGAAAATTCTACTCCAAACGATAAATAGCTTTATAAATTAAACTAATTATAATAATAAGACACAAAGAAAGAATAAGAACTAGAGAATTAACAAGTAAAAATAGGCCAAGATTTACTTCCATAACAAGAATAATTTTTGAATCAAATTTAATATGTCAAAATGAAAAA